TAAAATAATTTATCCTTAGGAAAACTCTTTATAAATAAATCAGTTATCCATATATCCTTTAATTAAACTAATTATATTTTGATATCATCTGATGTAATTTTCTTAATTACTTCTCCAATTTCTACAAAGAAGTCTAAGCATTCTCCATCATATTTTTCAAATTAATGAATTTGATCTTCATAAAATTTAAATTTCTTAATCAATTCTTAGAGTTCTTCTTTTTCATTCCTCATTAATCTAGGAGGATCTATTTCATCTAATGATACTGTTCGTGATTATCGATGTAATAATTAAGTAGGAGCATTTGTTTAACTTTAACTCAAATATGAATCAGATGATGCATTTTATAATTTAAGAATATTTTTAAATGACTTCAAATATTGTTCATAATTATCATAATGAGTTTATAATAATGATCTAATAACTGTTTGATACATTACAATAAATTATCTATCCCAATTATCTTTAAATTCATTTAATTATTAATTTGTTTTAGTGATTGCAACTTGTAATTCTTTTAATTCATATTTAGAACTTTATAATTTATGTTATATTGTAGATAATTATTAGGTTGATAACTTAATAGACATTTCCATTTTAATTAATTTTTCTGGATTAGTTTTATTTTTTTTTAGTTCTCTATATTAAGAATTATTAGATTCTAGATCTTTTTCAAGTAATTACTTTTATCCTTCATAATTTTAATTCTTACGAAACACTTCATCATATTATGATTAAGTTTAGTTTTTAATTTTCTTAATATTTTTATATTCATCTAGATATGTTTTCTAAATTGATTGAATTTGAGGTTATGCTACTTTGAGAATTTAATATCTTTATTATTAGAATATTTAATTGAGTTATTTAATTTACTATTTTATATTGTTCCAACAAGGTACTATAATGTTTCTGCCTTGAATTTATATAAAAGAATTGACTGTTAATTATTATTCGTTAGTCAATTCTTAAAATATAATTTTGTGTTATTAAGATGTATCAATTTGATCTAAAATAGATAGGGATTCCTTTTTGGCTAATTTACTTAATAGAGAAGCTTAATTCTAAAGTTCAAAACTTTTTTCTAGATTTGAATAATATGTTAAAAGAGAATCTGTTAAATTAGTTACACATTGGTATTTTTAGAGTATTCCTTTCCTATCTAATTTAATAAGAGGTAGTTTTTAAGAACCAAAATAATTCTTAATTTAATTTAAATAGAGATCTGCTTATTGTTGTATTCTACTCTTTTATGCAGCAGGGAGATCATCATTTTATTCAACTTATTCAATAATATCAATTTGACTAGGTTCATAAGCACTAAGAGATAGAGAGGAATCATCAAGTTTATCAGAGTCATCAGGTATATATGATTGAAAATTTGTTGACTGATTAATCATAGAAGCTATTTATTTAAATCCTATTGTCAATTTAGAGTTGTTAATTCTTTTCAACATGCGATAACGTAATATCCAAAAGAAAATGAGTATTTCAATGTAAATTGTATAGAGGGTTCCATATAAAAAATAAATGTAATTGGTTTTGTCTAATAATGGAATAAGGAAGGCAATAGATATTATCAATAATGCAGTAATTAATTTCATTATTTTATATAATGTCAATTAAATAAAAACTATATTAAACTTGGCATAGATTCTTATAAACAAATTTTAATAGTTATTTAAGAAGTGCACCTACACCAGGAAAATAAAGATTATATAAACATGTTGATATTTAAAATGAATTTGATAAATTTGAAAAGGAGAGAAGAAAGTAGAGATTATAATTAATTGAATATAAGAATAAATTAAAAAAAAGAGTATTAGAAAAGGAAATTGCTTTAATTAAATAATTTGAATCAAGTTAAATTGATTATGTTTCTACTAATAATGCTTCACTTGAAAATAATAATATAAATAAAGATGTTACAATGGATGAATAAAGAAGACAATCTCTTATTAAAGAATTGGAATTGATCAATAATTAATTGACTTAAATTGATAAAGAAAAGGAAGAATTAAAGATTTTAGAGAATGATATTGCAGAATTAGAACCTAATATGGTAATTTTAAGAGGCATATAAAAAAAAACTGTATTAACCATGATTAATTATATTGAATTTCAACATAGACATGTTTCAGGTTTGGTTTTGAATCCAGAAACAATGAAAAATATTGAGACTGTTCATTATCATGTTATGAATAATCTACCAATTCAAAGAGAAAAACTATATGAAGTTGTTCCAGAATTATTTTAGGAAGAAATTGGAGAATTGGATGAATATAAATAAAAATTAATTTAAGAAATTAGACCTACTTTAGATGTATAAGAGACTAGTGTAATCTAAATTATTGAAAAGAGTAGAATACCTGAATCAAATGATCCTATAGTTACTTTATTAAATGAATAAAGAGAAATGATGATGTTTGTTTATAATAAATGTGTTCATTTTTGTAATAAATATGATGATTGGATCGAAATGGTATAAATATATTATATTATGTATATAAGAAATTAAAATAAGGATTTCCAGATATTGATGCTATTATTGAGAATTTGTTATTGAAAAAAGACTTAAGTGGAATAGATCTTGAGGTATATGAAGGATATAAAGAATTAGAAAAAATAAATGATGATTATCATGATCTTTTAGAATTAAATAAAATTAAAATTAGAAAAGAATAAAATAAATTAGAAATGCCTCCTTTTGTTGAATCTCATGAATTATTAAGAAAAGTATGGACAGAAAAATGGGAAGCTCATGTTAAGAATTCTCTAGATTTCTCCTAATCAATCTTAATTCCTCATAATACTTATGAATCTAAATTAGATTAAGTATTAGCTGATTATAAAAAACATGATATATAAGATTTGATTGAATAATGTATTACAATATAATTTAAATAAATTTAGCAAATCAAGCTCTTAAAGAGAAATTAGGAGGAGATTAACCAGTTTAATATTATGATAGAAAAGATAAAGATATAAATTTAGTCAAATAAATATAAATTTTAGGAGATATTATGCATTAAATTCCAACTCATGAAGAAGAATTAAAAGAATTATAAAAGAAAGCTGAATAATTTGATAAATTATAAATTGATGATAAAACATAGATATATAAAAGTGAAGAAGGTAGAATTTTATTAACTGAACTTCCTAAAGTATTACATTTAAACAATAAAGATCCAAAATAAGTATTTATTAATCATAATCTAGTATAATTTATTATTTTGGGCTGAACACTTTAATATTGAACCTTAAAAATTGAGAAATATCTTCAACTTTATACATTACCCAATCTTAGATTAATAAAATAAGGAAGAAAAGTAAAAGATTTTAAAATTTATATATTAATGAATAAGACAACACATAAATTCAACGTTTATATTTTGAAATTTCCCTTAAAAATAATTCTCTCAATCTTGGAATTTGTAACTCTCCTTCTTATTCAAAATCTAAGATAATTGGCCCTATTCTTTAAAATTTTATTAATACCTGGAGCAACTACTTCCTTCTTTTTATCCCTTACCTTTTATAGCATAGGATGCTCAATTGCTTGATCAAGAGTAATTCTCAACTTAGGACTAAATTATAAACATTTATCAAGAAAATCCAATGCCTCAGGAGGAGCACCAGGGAAGATATCACCAAATGCCACTTTAGGTTTCTTGGGAAAACTTTTTAAATATTCTATAGCTTTTTTGTCAGTTACAAAGTCCATATCCCTATATATTATATAAATTAAATTTAACTTTTCTCCCGGAGTTCCCAAAACAGAAAAAATGACTGTTAATTAATCAGTATTAGAATATGGAAATCCACCTTTTTTGGCAATTGCACTTCTTTCTGGACTCAAAGGAAAACAACTTGTTCCTGGAAATAGAGGTGCTCTATCTAAAAATGTAGGTGCATTCTCTTTCATCATATTTAATAATTCTGCAAAGATACAACCTACCGACCATACATCTATGGCTGCAGTATAATCTTTCTCTAATAAAATCACTTCAGGGGCTCTGTACCAACGAGTAACAACATGACCTGTTAATTCTCTTTTAACTGCTTTAGCATTCAATTTGTTTTATTTTTAAAGCATCCTTGGACCTTTTTTATCATCCTTTTTTTTTGGTTCCTCTTATTATCTAGCTATTTCTTCTTCCAATGTTTGATCAGATGCATCGATTCCTAGTATGATATTTTTTGTACCTTACACACTTCTAGCCAATCCAAAATCACATATTTTAACAGTACAATCTTCATTCAAAAGCACATTAGCTGGTTTCAGATCTCTATGTAATACTTTAGCTGAATGCAAATATTTAAGACCAACACATATATTGTAAATTATAGTTTATATATGTAAAAACTACAAGTGTATTGGTGATTTGAATAATTTTTTTAAGTCACTCTTTTTTTTAAAATATAAAAATTTACTTATGCATATTCCATTACAACATAAATAGTGTCAAATTTAGGATCTGTAGGCTCTAAAATCTCGATAATCTAAATTAGGTTTTGATGTTTTAATTCTCTTAGAATACTGATTTCTCTTAGAATCCTTTTACAATCAATCTCATCATCAAATATTCCAGTCAATCTTAATTATAACAATTTTAAAAACCTTTTAATTGCTACTTTCTTGTTTGTAGATTTCTGTAAGGCTTCTACAACTTGACCATAAGATCCAGAACCTATTTGTTTTATAATTTCATAATCATCTCCAACTTACCAATCTGAAAAATTTTTGGGAAGAGAAGATAATTTCTATAGTTTCTGACCTTCTTACATTACTCAAGTTTTTAAAAAATAAAATAATTTAATGATTCATAGCATAGAAATTATGTAATTTAATAACTTAATTAAAGATTTATATAAATGATTATACTTAATTATTTATTACATTTTTTACATCTATCATCTTTATTAAATAAATATACATTAATAAAGAACTGTTTAACTTGTTTCTTAATTTTTTTAATTAAATCAATTAAGTAATTTTAATTATGTTAAGTGACCAATAAATTTTATAAATAGTCTTGGCAGCTGACAGTGTAATATTACACTTTTAATTTTACATTACAAATGAGACATTATACTTAATAATAGGTTTATCATCAGCACTTTTTCATGCTATAATATTTATAATTGAACAAATGATAAGAAATTAGCTATTAAAGATGTTACTCAATATACTTAAACTAGCACAAATAGTTATAGTTTCCTAAATGTTTTATTAAACTTGGATGATTTATGTAGGAATTCAAATAGTTTGCATAATAAAATTGAACTAAAAACTAACAAGAATAATGATATTCACTTTATTTTGTATTCATTCAGCATCTCTTACTTTTTCAGATATGAATTATTTAGCAACAGGAATAGTGAGAAATTGTCTATGTTACATTTTGCTTTTAAGTTTATTTAAAAAACAAAATTATACAATCGATTAAATAGAAGAGATAATAAAGTAATTAAGTTCAGACATATTTATTTTTCTTGATAATAATTTTAATCCAGAAAACGAATAAGAGAATTTTCAGACCATCATGAATGATTATGTTTTTAGAGGTGGAGATGATAGAAGTGATCGAATTATAACAAATAGGGAATAAAATACAATTACTATTCAGCCAAAATTGATTGATGAGAAGAATACTTTTGAATTCAAGACAATTTTTAATCATTTAAAAAACACTAAAGATAATTGGTAAGATTAAATTTATGAAACATAATCTGATTATTTTATAATAGTTAAGAAAGTATTTTTTAATTAAAACATCCGTTAATCCAATTTTATTAAATGTTTTACAACATAGTAAGATTATTTTTTTATTATTCAAAAAAGGTTAAAACCAATTTCACTAAAGAAATAACATTAAGAGGATAATACAAAAGAAAATATGAAAATTTTAAGTAAAGTTTCACATGATATGAGAACTCCTCTAAATGCAATAATAAATATGCAGTTATGCTTAAAAGATTAGATTGATGAAACTCTAACTCAGAGATATTTAAAACCTTCACTTAATTCTTGTAGATTACTTTTGAATTTAGTAAATGACATATTAGATTAAGCTTAACTTTAAAATAGGAAGATTCGTTTAGTATTCAAAAAATTTAATTTGAAAAAATTAATAAATAAAACAATATCAATTTTTGATATTTAGAAAGAGAAAAAAGAATTAACCATTTTATTCAATTATGAAGTTAATGTACCTGAGTTTATTAATAGTGATAAAAATAGAATTAGATAAGTTATTATGAATCTACTTAGTAATGCTGTCAAGTATTCTATGGCAAAAGGGAAAATTGTGATAACTTGTGAATTTATGATTAAATCCTAAACTTTTAAAATCTCTGTAAGTGATACTGGTTTAGGAATAAAACCTGAGAATCTGGAAATGCTATTTTAAGAATTTGCTAGAGTTGAAGATAAGGAAAATCTAGAGAAAAATCCAAATGGAATAGGTTTAGGATTATTAATAAGTAATGAATTATCAAGACTATTATCTTCCAATAATTAAGGGATTTCTGTAGAATCCTAATATCTAAATGGAGCAACATTTTCTTTTTAAATCTTAAATCAAAAGGTCCCTGATGAAGATCTTTCTGATTCCTAAATATCAGATGGTGCTGTATAAGAAGTAAGTAATTTACCAGAATCACATTTTTTTTAGTAATATAGTTGTAGCTTCAAATCAAAAGAGTTTACTATGCCAATTATTAAATAATTATCATTGGATAGTTAATAAGCTATACCTACTAATAATAATTAATCAATTAAAAAGTACAATTTGAGAATGAATTCATCAAATTTATAATCTTCAAATCGATTACTTCCATTTAATGTGGAATGTGAAAAATCTTACCAAAGAAAATCTACCAGTTAATCAAATTAAATTATTGAATAAATAAATAATTGGTTAGATTAAACTTCTAAATAACCTCCTGTCTTGATTGTAGATGATAATGAATTTAACATTATTGTCTTATAATATATTTTGGAATAATTGTATTTAACTTGTGATTCTGCTATTTCAGGATAAATAGCATTAAAAAAATGTGAGGAACGAGCATTTAGCCAATATAAATTAATATTTTTAGATATTGAAATGCCTGAAATGGATGGTTTGGAGACAACTAAGAAACTTTTAGAATTCGATGCAACTCTTAAAATTATTGCCTGTACTGGAAATAGATAAACATAAGCATAATTAGAGACTTACAAATAGGTAGGAATGTTAGGAGCCATAGAAAAACCGGTAACCAAAACAAATTTAAAAGAGCTGCTTCTTAATCTAAATGCATAAAGAAATGATGCATAATTTACTCATTACTTTTGATAATTAGTCATTATATATAATAATAGTTATTGATAAATACAAATTATAATCAAATTTTATAAGGCAAACCTTTACTCCGTTTTTAATTTTTTATAAGGCTAGAGAAATAGAACAAATTCTAATACTTTTATTTAAAGAAATTGTTTCCAATGTTATTTAGAACATTTTAATAAGTAATACAAGGAAGTTTATTTTATTTTTTTTCAGGATGTTTAAATTAGCATCTTTCACCATAACTACAATAACTAATTTTCTTTCTCAATTTATACCCAACTATAGTATAATTTTTACAAATTTAGGTTTTGTAATTATAAGGCACATGTATTTTTTATCTCATTTCATATTTTCCATGAGCAAATGTACACTATTTATTATTATTTTTCTATATACCTATATTCCATAAGGACAATATCCTTCAATTGACCAATATTTACATATCTAAAATTTATAATAAATTATTTATACTTCTGTCTTCACTTTTACAATATAAGGGATTTAATTTTTGTTCTTATTTACAATTTTTAATTTATTTTCACATTCATCTTAATCACTATATTATTATAAGTAAACTTTTTACAAACTCTAACCAGATGAGAGATTTTCATTTTCATCTTAGGTAGAAATACAATTGCACAATTGCATTATAATTAGTAATATCTTAAAAATAATATTATTAATCTTATGTTTAATTAATTAATATAAAAATATGAATGAATTAGCATATAATCTATTTATGTATTAATGATTTTCGATGAAAAATAATAAAATTATAAAGAAAATGCAAAAAAAGAAAATTCCTTTATCACAAGTTCAATTAATTCGATTATAACATTAGTATTCAATTAATATTATTTGTTAAATTTAAGAATGTTTTTTATAAATTAATAGACTTGGCAACCTTCTATAAATTAGTGATTCAATGATGATGTCATTTCAATCGAATTTGCATGTTAAAAGTTATAATTAATAGTAATTATTTAATATTTATTTTATATTAACTGATATTAAAATAAAAACGGGTTATTTCAAAAACCGAAATAAGTTTTAATTATTTTTATGAACAAAATTTTATTATCCTTACTTCTTGTTAGTGTTTGTCTCTGTTAAGAGGGTACAAATTATCATGTATTAAAGAAACTCTAATTTAACTTGAAAATGGAGTAAGTTTAACCAATCTAAACAAACTAATGACTATGGATTTTAACAAATTGAATTGCTAGGCAAATTTATTGTAGATGACTCACTAATTAAAAATGTGGGCTGAACTATACTAGGATGAGAAAGTTATACATCATGAAATTAGACTATTGAGTACAGCTCATAAAATACTTAACTAACAGAAGTTTAACAGATTGAGAAATACAAGTAAAATGAATTTTTAATGATAGACACTGTGTAAAGAGCTAAAAGAATACTTGCTGCCTTGAGACACAACACACATAAGAAATAACACACTATATATTAGTAATGGAGAGTAAATGAAATCGATTAATTGAAACATTCAATTTAATTGTTATAAACATCAACAAGTAAGAATATATGTGAAATTTATAGCTGAGGATGAAAGCAAATAATGTTGTGATAGAATTGAATAATTAATCAATAAATTTTTGGATGAAAGAAAACATATCGCTAAATAATGTGGAAATGCTGATGTATATGAAATTTATTTAATTAGGTAACCATAAATATTATTAATGATGCAGAAGGCAAAATTTAAATTATTAATAAAAAATGTCATGAAAAAGACCCTGATGTAAAAATTAATAGAGTTGATTCAATTGATAAAGTTATAGTTGGATAATCATAATAATAGAAGAAGGAAGAACAAATTGTTGTTACTGAATAAAAATAAGAATAAGTTGTTGAAGAACATCATGAATAANTAAAGAAAATGCAAAAAAAGAAAATTCCTTTATCACAAGTTCAATTAATTCGATTATAACATTAGTATTCAATTAATATTATTTGTTAAATTTAAGAATGTTTTTTATAAATTAATAGACTTGGCAACCTTCTATAAATTAGTGATTCAATGATGATGTCATTTCAATCGAATTTGCATGTTAAAAGTTATAATTAATAGTAATTATTTAATATTTATTTTATATTAACTGATATTAAAATAAAAACGGGTTATTTCAAAAACCGAAATAAGTTTTAATTATTTTTATGAACAAAATTTTATTATCCTTACTTCTTGTTAGTGTTTGTCTCTGTTAAGAGGGTACAAATTATCATGTATTAAAGAAACTCTAATTTAACTTGAAAATGGAGTAAGTTTAACCAATCTAAACAAACTAATGACTATGGATTTTAACAAATTGAATTGCTAGGCAAATTTATTGTAGATGACTCACTAATTAAAAATGTGGGCTGAACTATACTAGGATGAGAAAGTTATACATCATGAAATTAGACTATTGAGTACAGCTCATAAAATACTTAACTAACAGAAGTTTAACAGATTGAGAAATACAAGTAAAATGAATTTTTAATGATAGACACTGTGTAAAGAGCTAAAAGAATACTTGCTGCCTTGAGACACAACACACATAAGAAATAACACACTATATATTAGTAATGGAGAGTAAATGAAATCGATTAATTGAAACATTCAATTTAATTGTTATAAACATCAACAAGTAAGAATATATGTGAAATTTATAGCTGAGGATGAAAGCAAATAATGTTGTGATAGAATTGAATAATTAATCAATAAATTTTTGGATGAAAGAAAACATATCGCTAAATAATGTGGAAATGCTGATGTATATGAAATTTATTTAATTAGGTAACCATAAATATTATTAATGATGCAGAAGGCAAAATTTAAATTATTAATAAAAAATGTCATGAAAAAGACCCTGATGTAAAAATTAATAGAGTTGATTCAATTGATAAAGTTATAGTTGGATAATCATAATAATAGAAGAAGGAAGAACAAATTGTTGTTACTGAATAAAAATAAGAATAAGTTGTTGAAGAACATCATGAATAAGTTGTTGAAGAACATCATGAATCATAAGTTGTTGAGGAACATCATGAATCATAAGTTGTTGAAGAACATCATGAATCATAGGTCGTTGAAGAACATCATGAATCATAGGTTGTTGAAGAGCATCATGAATAAACTGAAACAGTGACAGAAGAAACAGTTGAAGAAGAAGAAGAAGTAGAAGTAGAGGAAACTGTAATTGAAGAAACAGTCACAAAAACAACTTCAACTAAAGTTGTAGAAATACCAGAAGATGATGATGATGTTGTAGAAGGAGATTTAGTTTCGGCTTAAGGAGTAGGAGCAAGTGGAGAAGGAGGTAGAACATGATTATGTTATTATTAACAATAAATATAAATTTTTATTAATTAGGAATCTTTATAATTTAATTAATATTGAATATGTCATTAGAAGAGAAATAACAATTTTTGGTTGATGAAATCATTAATAAGGCATATGATAGTGAAGATTTTACAAAATATATGGATAGAAAGAAAGAAAATGGTGGATAAGATTTAGATATCTGGTAGATGGATGAATTAAGATAAGCAGTCTATGATTATCAAAAAATGAAGAATGCTATGATGTAAATTGTTGATGATGATATTGGATTTAAAAAGAAAATTGATTGTTAAAAACTAATTGGTACAGAAATAGGAAACACAAATAATGTATTAATTTCAATTGAAAAGTATAACATTAATTAATACTAGCTTTGATAAGAAGGATACAGGATTCTTTAGTCTTAGTAAATCATATGTAAACTATAAAATTGTTACATAACCATTTTAATGGGCAGTCACCAGAAGATATTCAGATTTTGAATGGTTAAGAGAAATCTTAACAAAATAATACCCTGGAGTATTTGTACCTCCTATTGCTAACAAAACTCCAACTAGATAATTTAGTGACGCTTATTTAATTAAAAGAATGAAATTCTTAGAAGTAATTTATTAAATTCCTATGTTTTTAGAAATTCTTAAATCATATACTTAATTCAACTATTCTCAAGAATGATAAATACTTTTGTGAATTCTTAAGAATGCAAGATGAAAAAGAATTTAAATCACTTCAAACTGCCTCAGAGAAAGTCTAAAAAACTACTAAATTAGATAAAGTAACAAGCGAGACAGGATCAATTGAAGTAGCTTTCAATCCTTAAACAGATAATTATATTAGAGCTGCTGGTAATTTAATGACTAGTTTAAATTTAGATTTTGATATGTAAAATATATCTTTATAATTAGAATTATGAAACAATCTAAAAAAATGTTATAAGATTTTGAAGTAGTATCAGCAACAATGTTTTAAATGGGTGAATCTTTTGAAATGCTAACTAATCATATTAATTAATTTAATTCTGCTGTTTAAGAGCCAGAAAAGATTTTGAAGTTTGAAGCAGTTACAATTACATTAAATAATATGATGATAATATGGGGTAGAAACTTTTAGAATTATGTTAATTATATTTAAGATAACTTTAGAAATTTCTTTAAATATCATGACAAAGAGATTTCTTAATTAAAAGAACATCTATTATTAAGATAATAAAGTTAATCTGAATATCTAAAATATAAGGAACGTTTGGATTTAAAAAAAGAAAAGTTTTATTAATTAAAAGAGTTTAATAAATGGGAAGTATCAAAGGAAATCTTAGATGAATTAAAACTCAATATTGATAATAAGAAATTTTGTTTGAGTGTTATGTTGCCTAAAGAAACATCATAATAAAATGATTTAAGAGATACGTATGCTTATTATAATTTATCTGCATATAATGAAATTAAAAGAGTATTTGAATAGAATATTGATATTTATGCAAAACATTTCATTAAATTTGCTGATAGTTAAGCAAACAATCTGACTTAGGTTAATTGTTATTTTATAAATTTAGATGCATGTCACATGGGCTGATATATAAGGCAATTTAAAAGGATTAGACTTAGTTACATAACAAGATTAAAAAGTCTAAATTATGCAGTAACCAAAACCAAAGGTTTGAAAATTTATAAGCTTTTAATAATTAATAAAAAAAATTATATTATTATCATGAAATAAGACAAATAATTTGATGAAAAAGAAACTTATTCTATTTCTACTACTTTCTCCTCAAACCAATCAAAAGGTTAAAATAAAGAACAAAATTCAGAAAAAAGTAAAATAGTTAAATATACACCTCAATAATTAATACTTTGCATATTTTAAAAAACTACTAATCAAGAAGAAGAATAAGATTTAAGTTTTATGGAATAGGATAATTAACATCTTATTGATTATATTTTAGATCATTAGCACTATTTAATTGATGGAGGAAAAAAGTTGTATATTACATTAAGAGAAGAATATGAGGACAATCCTCAATAATAAGATTAGAATCCACCATTTTTTTAGATATTAAATAAAATAATTGAAAAAATGTAGAATGGTTAAAATACTACTTATATTTTTTAAAATTGCTGTATTTCAGGAATTCATCTCTTATAGAATTTAAACAAAATATAAGAAGAAATTTATTAATAAGAAATATAATAATAATAATATGATTAATACAAATTTTTAAATGAAAATAATAAAATAACCCTTATCAATATTATTTCAATTAATAGTTAAAATACTGTATTGCTATAAAAATAATTTAGTAAAATATTGTAAAGTTTTACATTTATCATTAATCCTAATAACAATTTTGATTTTTCAGATATATTTATGGATTTAAAAAAAAATCATTAACAAAAAGGATTAGTTATATAAAATTAGTATTTTTTACCAATAAATTTTAAAAACCAAGAATAAAATATAAAAGTAACATCAGAGATAGAGAATATATATAAATATTTCTTAAAAGCTAAAATCATTTAATTTAAGCCAAAAATAATTATATTAGGAATAGAAATTGATAATTCTTTTGAAATAGACTCTTATTATCTGTAGAAAATTATCTATCAATTAAATAAGATTTCATAAAATTAATTGATAATTTTACCCATAAGAAAGAGTACAAATTAGGAATAATATTGGTAAACAATAATTTAATGTATAAATGCAATCAATACTTATAATAAAACAAAAAAGAATCACATCTAAGATAATAATAGAATGAGGGCAAAAAATTAGCTTGCTTGCATCGAATACATGAGTCAAACTAATAAAGAAAAAGAATTCTATAAAAAATAATTTAAAAGTTTGAATTTACTACAAAAATTTGAAGAATCAATTGAAAAAAAACAAAATACCTAAGAAATATTTAAATTTCCTATAATAAATTAAAAAAATGTGATAGAGTATGTGATTTTGGAAAATTCTGAAAATGGATAATAAATTTATATTGATTCTGAAACAAAATATTATGTTTCCTATTTTCAAGAAAATACTGAAAATAAGTTAACTATATCTATAATTAAAAATTAATAACTATATTTAGGTGAAATCAATTTACAAGAAATAGAAATAAAAAATGAAAATTAAAAAAAAATAATTTTAGAAGAGATAGTTATTTTTTAGGATAATCCAAATTCATCTTTTCTTTTAGATAAGTAAAAGTTTTACTAAATTACTTTAGACATTAATAAAATGAATTAATTTATTGGAACTGTCATTATATATAATTTTAAATAAAATCAAAATAAAATTTATAAATTTTCAGATTAAAATAATAATGAAATTTAAGGTCATATAAAAGGTTTTACAATTATTAAACACTCAGATACATCATTCTCACTATTAAGTGGATGTATGGATGGAGAACTTTATTAATAAATAGGTGTAAAATTAGATCTTGTTGAATAGAATTCACTTAAAATTAATTAATATTAGAAATAAAACAACAAATTACCTAAAGGTTATGATTATCCTTTAATTGTAAAATTTGAACCTAATAATGAATAAAGAAATAATTCAAATAAATATTTATATTTTGAATCATAAACAAAATATTAGGCTCAACCTTTCTCACCAGAAATACATTAAATAAACTTTTCACATAATTAATAAAATATATCTTGCAAAAGTGAAATACTTACAAATATTACTAATATTCAACTATTTTAAAAATATTCAAAACTTTTTAGATCTGATAAAATAAATTTAAAATATCAGAAATGTACATCTAATATAATTGTAATTGATTTAGTAGTTTTTGAGAAATCATTTGAAAGAAATAATTTAAAAGATTTTAATGATAATAATAAAGATATTGTGCTGTCGAAATAACCATTATAGAATTATTTGCATTTTTAATGTTGTTATTATATAAAATCTTTCTAAACTTAATTAAAGTTTAATTTAAATATCAATTCAATCCTTTTAAAATCTAATAATGACACTTTAAATTAAAAATGTCTATATAACAATGTAAAATAATATTTATTATTTTTAGTGGCTTGAAGATTAAAATTTTTAGCATATCTTTTTATTTAATAAATCATAGCATATTTATTTATTATATTATTTAAAAGATAAGTCAGGATAATATTTTAAAAAGAAGTTTACATTTTATTGCGATGAAAATCCAAAAGATTTTATTCCTTATGATGAAATTATGATAAATGATTATTATAATAATGTAATATGGATTGTAAGATAATATTATGATAGAAATTATCCATATCTAGTCATTTATAACTGGTAATACATATAGTAAATAATTTAGTCATTGGATGAGACTTTAAGGTATCAAAGATGATGATGTAAATATATTGGTAAAAGTAAAGATAGATAAAATTTTTGAATTAAATATAAACTCACAATAATTCAATTTAATTGGTCTTGAAGTACGAAAAACCGATAATGTAATATATATAATTAAAATTAAGATGCTCTTAATTTGCTCCTCAACATTTATTTGCCAAATTCCAATTTAAAAAATCAGAAATTACAATTGCAATTAATAAAACATATAAAAATAGATGATTGATGAAAAATCTTTATATTAAATCTTTTATACTTAATTACCTATTTGTCATAACTCTCAAACCATTCTATTGAATTTGAATGATACTACAATAGCTTTTTTTTATTAATATTGCACGATTAATTGTTTAGATGAAAAGTAAACCTTTTATCAAATTGAAATAAAAGCTTAGATATGGTCTTAAAAAAAATAATTAGATCCAAATATAGAAAACTATTTGATTTTAAGTAATAGTAATGACAATATGAATTATTATAATTAAAATGAGATCCAAGATGATAAAGTTTTAATTAAATAATCATTTAATTATGAAGCAAAAAATACTTTAATTCTAGCAAAATTAATTTCAATAGAATTTAAAGGTTAATTTTTCCAATATTGGATTTTTTTTGAGTAAGAGTTTAGCCAATTTTAAGTTATAGAATATTATTTTACTTCGAAATGTAATTCAATTATTAAAAAGAGAATTATAAATCTGTAATAATCATAAGGTACAATTCAATTCTTAAAGAGTATGTCTACAAATAAATACGAAACACTAATTTTGTATGAAAATTCAACTTAATTGATTCAATCAGAATGTAACCAAGATATATTTTTAAATGAGGAAACAGAATAAGACCTAGGATAATAGAAAGTTCACAATTATTTGGATAAGTAAGAGTATTTATTAAATTGAAATATATTAAAATTTATTATTCTCAAAATACATATATTAAATTAAATTTAAGATAAGTAGAAATTAATTTTAAGAATTGACTCAGGAACTAAACTTCTAATTGCAAACAAAAATTCACTTATAACTTATGAATTATATATATATATATAATTGAATTCGAATTCAAATCACTCACAATCCTGTAATTATTAAAGTAAAATAGGCCTTTTATTTAATCTATTCTTAGCAAAGTAAGTTGATATTTATTAAATTTATCGATTTCCATCAAATAAATAAAATAATAATAATCGAGTTATATTTAAAAAATCATAACTTTATAAATTTTTAATTTAATCTTTATTTTAAATAATATTTAATATAATAATAAATCATTAATCAATTTGCACTAAATATCTCATTTTTACTCTACTTTCATCGTAGACAATATATTCAGTATTTTGGGTGTAGAAACTTAAATTTTTATTCATTTATTATAATTGAAGTGGGATTGTATTAGAAATAATTTATCCTATTGGAACGACGCATCCATTAGGCATTTTTATTTATGACATTGGATCAGGACCTTTTGAACCAACAGCTTTAAGAGTATATTCAGGCTCTAATAAATTTAATTAATTTTGTACTTTAATATTGAAGACAATTAGAATGTGGGTCATTATATGAGTCAATTTAATTCATACAACTTACTTCACATAATAATAAATATCGATATCGTTAATACTAATTAGTATTACATTGATTTCCATAATAAGAATTATATCCAAATCTATTATTGATAGTATAATCTTAAGTATAATTATAGCTCTTTGAAAATTGATCTGCAAAATAAATCCCTTTACCAAACATTGCTCCTGTATTTACTGCCCATGATGGTGCAACTATAATTTAATAAATATCAATTACTTTTTAATCCTAAAGCAAGTAGACTCATAAAATTTGAAATTTTAGATCCATGCCATAAAAGAATTCTAGGTCCTTGATTAAATTTTTCAAATTTCTATGCTTCTCCTTTTCTTTCAATAGCAAAAATATTTGCAATTCTAACATTTTAAGTTCTATAAATATAAGTTTATATCATTTTAAATTCTAAATCCTATTAATTTAATGTAAGCATTTTAATATTTAATGCATTAAAACAATAAGTTATAGGATGAATAGTATTTAAATTGAAATTTGCTCCAAGCAATATTTTAATAGATTATTCAACATTTAATAGTAATTCTAATAGTTGTAATTATGTATTGATTATTTCTTAAGTCTCTAATAATGGTAATAAATTTTATCTCATTTAAGTTTATGGTATTATTTCATAATATCTTGCAGATTTATCATTAATTTCTGAATAAAATTGTTATAATCTCTTTAAATCAACATCTAACTAATTCTTATATAGATTAAGTTCTAAAACAATTTCTTTAAGTTCTAATAATATTTCTTTTGCTTTTAGAATTGTATTTTTGTCTAATTTTTCAATAGGCACAAATCCTGTATCAAATGAATGATTTTATAATTCTTATTAATATAATTTAACTTAAGAGAATTATTCAATAACTTAAAAAATACTAGGATCTAATTTACATTTAGGATATAATGATGACTCACTTAAATCAAAAGGTTCTAAAAGAGATTTATAGTTTTTATTATTTTAACATTTAATAAGCTAATATTTATCTGGTTTTTTATCAAATTCTTCTTCTCCAGACTTTATTAATTTCCAATTATTGCCACCTGTTTTTGCAGCAAATATTTTACAGTATTCTTTAATTGTACTTTCTAAATCTTCAAATGGAGTCATTTAGAATTACCCATCTTCACCTATTTAACCCCATTTTGTAAATAAAATATAATTATTTCTATTTTTATCAAATAAAATTTGCATCTTATAAAATACATTTTTATGAAAATTCCTATTAACAATATCAACTTTAGAGAGTAAACATTACCATAGACCATAATCTGGATCATCATAAACTCTTAAATCTCCTTTTGCAATTTTAGCTTATTTATCAACAATTTACTTATTATCAATTTCAGCTTCGATTTGAATACTTTTTTTTTCTAAGAATTTTAATGCATCCTCTTCAAAATCAACTTCATGATCTGGCCATAATGCAGTAGCAATTACAGAAGTAGCCATTCTTTATTATCTCAAGCTTCTAGTGTGATGAGCATTATTAGCCAATAGTTCTTCCTTCATAACTTAAGCATCAAATATTAATGCATAATCTAATGGAGTCAATCCATTATTATCTGTTAAGTTATAGTCAAATATTTTCATTAAAATTTTTAACATTTCTAAATTTTCATAAGAACCAAAATCTAAAGGCAAGACAACATGATGAATAGGAGTTTTTCCATCTTAATCACGTAATGAAAGTTAAATATTAAATGTAGGCTAATTTATTAAAAATTTGACAAATTCTAAATTATTATTTTTAATAGCAATATTTAATGCTGTTAAACCTTATTCATTTTATTCATTAATATCAATTCCATAATTCACATATTTTTAGAGTATCCAACAATCATATATTTTTAAGTGATCAACTAAATACATGAATGGTTTAATGTATTTATTAGTATTCAAAATTTTGAATTTAACATTAGCAACCAAACCTAATTAAATCATTCTATCAAAATTATAATTTTAATTTCTTTAGAAAAGTAAAGTGAATGCATTATTTTCTGTATTATCCATCAAATTAGGATCACATTTCCTATTATATAGAAAATATTCAACTAATGAATCATTATTTTTTGATATTGCATAATGTAAAGGTAATTTTTAATATATATCTTAAACATAAGGACTTATATTTTTTTATTCAAATTATTCTATAATTTCTAATTTAAGATCTTAAGCCACTTAAGCTGAATATAATGCAAATAAGTGAAATAAATTTTATCCATTTGAATTTAATTTTGATAAGTCTTTTTCATTTTTTACTTTCATTAAAAGAGTTAAAACTAATTAAAATTAATTTGCATTTATAGCATCTTGAATTGCTTTTACAAATTCATATCCATCACTAATTAATAAATAAGCAACACCTTACCATCCAAATTTAATTGCTTAAGAAAAATAACTATATTCTCCAGTTTATAAATTATTATGTAAATGTTATGGTATATCTAAATCCTAACTAATCTTTTATTTTAATTTTTATTATATCAATCTTTCTCTTTAAGTTATTTTATCTGCTTAACTTCTCACAAATTCAAGAGGTGTTTTTTATGTTAATTTCTATTTTTCTCTTTTACGAGAATAAAACACATTCTTCTCTGAATCATCTTAGTAAGATTCCTCTATTGAAATATCCTCATCTTCTGAATCATCATCATTGTCTGATACTTCATCTATATATAATTGTTGACATTAATTTTATGTTGCAGCTATTAATGCTCTTTCATTTTCATCTTCAATGATCATTAATTTATCAATTTCTGGATCATTCTTTATTTCTTCTCTGTAGATCTTCTCTTTCTCTTATATCAAATCCTATAAACTAATAATATTGATAACTTTATTAACATCTACCTTATTATCAATCAACATTGTACTAAAATTAGCATGTTAAAAGAAAGAATATGCAATTGGAGAATTCTTAAATACATCTGGATTATCAACAGCTGCTCCCATCTTTATCATATATCTACCTGAAATAGCACTTCCTCTTAAAGCAGCATAATGTAATGGAGATCTTTAATATCTATCCAAAACATTAACATCGCATTCTTTATATGCTAATAAAGAAGAAACTGATTCAAATGGATCAATCTCTTTTGTTGAAAGGGGATCATTAAATTTAGTAAATGAATAAAATAATGGAGTTCTACCATATATATCTTTTATATCACATTTAGCTCCAAATTTTATTAATTATTATTCCATCTAAAAACTTGCATTTGCATTTGGATTACTAAAATTTATAGCATAATGAAGTGATGTTCTTCCTTTTTAATCTTAAAAGTTTGGATCTACTTTAAATTCTGATAAAAAAATCTTTACTGTTGATAATTCTGTTTTCTCTACAAATGAATTTAAAGGCACTTAATTCTAATTATTTACATCATTTAATTAACCTCCTAAACTTAATAATTTTTTTAAAAGAGAATTCCATTGAGAACTGTATTTTAAAGCTATCATCAATGTTGGAGTATCTCCATTACTATTTTTTTCTTTAAAATCTAAGCCTAAAGTTATCATATAATCTAAAAATGTATTTGATGTTTCATTATCTCTATATAATATGATTAAACCATTGTTAAAGTTTTTAAAAAAATAATGTAAAGGAGTACCAAAAGAATCCATTTTAGTAAGCATCTCATTTGGGAATATTTATAATAATTCCTTTACAAAAGAGATACTAGGGAATGATTAGAAAACTAAATGGAATATATTAGTTTCATTTGAAGTTTAATTTTAATTTTAAATTCTTAATTATTTTGTTTTCATAACATTCAAATTTATATTTGATCCTTTTTAAATTAAAATCTTTAATAATTTCAATATCTAATTTTAGTAGAAATATCCATCTTCAATCCTTTTCATTTGTAATTAAGTTTATTTTTAAGATGATATACCTACTTAAACTTATAATTTATCATAATAAAAATATTTTGCATATAATTGACAATCAGCCTTTTATAACCTCTATTAAATTTCAATCTAAAATTATTCTTCAGGTGATTTATAAGAAGTTGAAAATCCATAATTATTATTTTAATTTTAAAAAGGTGTACTTCTCTAAATAGAAGGCTATATATTATTGATATTTCCAAATAAAGAAGGTTAATTTTATGAAAATGATGCTAATATACTATTGTTATTTCCAAATGAAGAAACATTAGGTTAAGGTTAAATTTATGAAGGTTATCCAAATAAATTTAATCCTGATTATAAAGTTTATGCTTAACCAAATCCATAAGTTTAAGTATTCATATAATTCGATTTATTTGAAGGTTGTGGACCAAATAAATTATTTTATTAAGGTATATTATTCGAAAAAAGATTTAATTGTTATTATTATTAACTCTATTATTAAAATTATGGTATTTATATATTAGAATTTTAATTTTGAAATAAATTTGATGATTAATTTAATCCAATTTGATCATTAAATAAGTTTGTTAATTATTACTCTTGATTAACTATATTTTATTTATTAATTATAATAAAAGACTCTTAAGAAATTGATTCAGATAAACGTTATTCGAATTTTTTAAGATTTTGAGTTCCTTCTTATTATTATTCTTTTTAAAACTTTTGTTTATACTCATTTACAATATCCTACCATATTTCTTCTATTGATGTCTAAATATTCGATTAAAATTCTGATTAAATTTTTTATGATATAGAACTCATAAATATTTAAATGAGTTTTAAATGAGGTACAAATCCATTATTATCAGGTTCATTTATTAATGGTGCATTTATCTTATCTAAAACCATTTAAAATAGTTAAATTCCTTGTTCTTCATAAAAGAATTGATTTTCTATTAAAATATGTAACAATGTTTTATCTTCTCTATTTACAATATTCACCTCAATCTAATTTTCTTATAGAAGTTCAAGACATAATTTGTAATTCTTCTTTTATAACAATAATGAAAATGGAGTTAATCCATTTTCTTTTTCCTATGAATTAATATTAGCACCATTTTTAATCAATAATTTAATTAATTTATTTTAGATTTCTGATTATTAACCATTAATAGCATGCAACAAACTAGATCTACCATCTTTATCTTAATTATTTAAATCTGCTCCATGATCTATTAATAATTAAATAAGATCTATTAATAAATCAGAGAATGTGCATGATAAAGCATGTTAAAGACATGTTTTACCAAATTTATCTTGTATATTGATATCAGCCTTTTTTTCTGTGATTATATACTTAATGAATTCAAATTATTCAATAGATTAATCAAACTATTTAATTAAACCTGCAACTAATGTTAAACCATCATCATCAATACAATTTACATCTGTACTTTCATATTTCAATAATGCTTTAACAATACCAAAATGATTTTTAGCTTAAGCAACATTCAAAGGTTTTAATTTCCAAGAGTTGAATTCATTCTAATCAGCACCTGCTTCAATCAAAGTTTAAACACAATCTAAAAATCCATAAGCAGCAGCATGATGAATTGCAGTATTTTTTGATGAATCACTAATTTTAAAGTCTGCCCCATAATAAAGTAATTTTGATAAAATAGCTAAATTACCATTTCTAGCAGCCATAATTAAAGGTGTTCTTCCAAATTTATCTTTAGCATTTATTCTTGCTCCTTCATCTAACAAATATTCAACTAATTCTAAATGATTATAGGCAGCAGCAAAATGTAAAGCAGTCATTCTGTTTCTTCCTGCAAAATTAATTAACAATCCATTTTCAATCAATATTTTTACACATTCAATATGACCATTTTAACTAGCTAAATGAATTGCAGAATTCCCTTCCTTATTTTTTGCCTTTAAATTAGTATTAACTAATAATCTAACATTATGGGAACGACCATATTATGATGCAAGCATTAATGGAGTAGTCAGAAATTTATCACCTTCTCTTGCATCAACACCATTAGCTAATAAATATTCTAAACAATTTGAGGTTTAAGAGACAGCAGCATAATGTATAGGTTTACTACCAATTTCATCTTAGATATTGTATTCCATTGTCTATTCCATAAAATACTTAAGGAATTATTCAGAAGGATTAATACATGCACAATGAATTGGAGTGATAAGATAGTCATTTTAAGTTTTCTTAGTAATTGATATCTTTTTTATTTAATCTAATTTATAAGTGTTAAAATTATCATCTAAGGCATCATGATGTAAATAATTAAATCCATAACCGTCGAGATTATTTGTCAAAGAGTATTTGATCAAGAATTTAGCAGATTTAATATTACCACATCTAATTGCAAAAGCAACATTATCAATTAAATGGTGATCATATTTTGATGATTTTCGATAAATAAATAATTATTCATACATTTCACAATTTGTTTCTATCTCTAATAATCTTCTACATTCTTATTTAATATCATATTTATAATTTAGATCATAGACAAATGCATTATTTCCTTCTCTATTTCCTCTGCCAAGAGCAACTTTTCTTAATTTTACTCCATAAGCTTATTTATTATTATAACCTGTATCTATTTCTTTTAATTAACAAGGTAAATCATGATAAAATTTAATTCTTTTATTCTCATTTTAAAGAAAATATGTTAATAATTTTTTATCTTATCTTTTAAATAAGATATCAAATATTGAGATATCATATTCTGGTCCCCATTTATCAAAACAATTAGATATTTTTTATTACCCTAATAAGATAATTTCCATCAGAGTTTAATTACCTGTAATTGCTGCTCTTATTATTTCTTTATTATTCATTCTTGTACTATCATATTCAATAAAATAATCTTCAGTCCCTTCATATTAAGTACTAAAACTCTTAAGGTTTTTAAGATTTTCATTCATTTTTCTTCTCCTTTTTTTCCCCTTCTTTTTATCTTTTTCTTCTGTTTTTCGAGATTATCTCTATTTTTTTGGAACAGGTTCAGCTTCAGCTTCTGCAGATGAACTTTATTGACTTGACTCTTCTTCATATTAACTAAATTGAGTATCAACTTATGTTTTTTATTATGTTGATTTTCTTGCTTTTTTTTTAATTGGCTTATCATTAGACTCATCTTCATCATCAAACTTTAATTATGATTATTTGACCTGCTATTTTATATCCTTTACTAAGCTTCTTTGACTTTATTTATATATCTCCATGTCTACTACATAAATGGTTTCATCTGAATCAATGATGGATATTCCTTAAATATCAACCCTAAAATAAACATTAATATTCACCATTTAATTTATGAAGAAATAGTTGTTTATCCATTACATTTATACTATTACTTATTTTTTTTTTTTTTTTCAAAAGGTATCATCTCAGATACATGAATTTCTTCATCATTCTCATTCCAATCTTAAAGTATTTTATATAGTTTGTATTCTGTCTCAACTTTACACAGTATAACTTATTCTCTTTTTAAAATCTATTCTTTTTTGGCGCGGTTGCTTCTTAAATTTCTATTCATAAAATTGAATTAAAAATTAATTGAAAATAAAAATAAAATAAGTTTCTGATATATTATTAATAATTTCTGAAATTATAATAATCGATCTTAAAAAATATAAGGTAAATGAAGAAAATGTAATCATATTTAACTTTTATAATTTTTATAATTACTTTTTTTTAATCTTGATATATAAATAGAAAATAAATAAAGATAATGTATTTATAAACCCTTACAAAATTTATTTTCACAATGCTTGTTAGATGATTTCATCAATAGTTTTATCTATTGTTCTAATATGAATTATGAAAGATGCTGCTTTAGCAACTATATTTAAGTCTGGATCAAGAGCTTTTGCTAAACCTTCTAATACAATCATGTTAGTCAATAGAGCTGCAAAATGACCTTCAATTGACATTCCATTTGCTCTTAAAATTTCTAACATAGATCTCAAGACCTATCCTATATTCATTTAAGCTAAAGGTACTTTACATACATTTGTAAATAAATCTTACATTTCTTTCATAAATTTATCTTATACTTTTTGTTCGATTTATCTTTAATTATATTATGCTAATTGCAACATTAATTTTCCACATTCATAAGGTTTTCTCAAAGTTACAAACATTACTAATTTAATAAATGATGCACGATCACTTTTATTTAATATTGTTATCATTCCAGGATCTAAAAAAATTATTTAAACATCCTTTCTTGTTTATCCTTAACCTCTTAAAAATTTATGAAATAACCTTTCATCTGACTTTTTTTCTTATTTTAATTTTAACATCTATAAAAATAATTAAATAATAAATACATTTCCTTAATCCATTGTCTATTATGTTTGATATTCTGCTATTTTTGTTAACCCTTTCTCTATTATGTCATCAACAATTTCATAAACTGTATCTTAAAGATTCCATAATTTTTATTATATTTTTTCATTAAATGTTTTAGGAACAGGAAAATCTTTAATTCTTATCATGATATTGCCTGCATGACAATCTGCATGTATAAAATTATCATAAATTAACATTTTATAAAATGCTTTCAAACCTAAATTGGCTAAAGCTAGGTGCTCCTCTGTTCTTTCTTACTTTAAGAATTATGTTAATGGTATAGCATCTTCATAAGTTTCTGTTAGAATATCTGCTGATATATATTCTTCAATAGGTTTTGGAAATACAACATGAGGATTATTTTTAAACTTCTCACAAAATACCTTAAGGTTTCTACCTTCAAATCTTAAATCAGTTTAATTTACAAGAGTTTTCTAAAATTCTTCAAATGTAACAGGCATCCCTAATTATTTAATTTTTAAAGTTTCACTAAAAAAATTTGCAATTTTATATAATATTCTTATATCCATCACTAAATTATCTATAATATCTGGATGCCTAACTTTAATAGCAACATATTCTCCATTCAATTTAGCTTTATGAACTTAAGCAATTGAAGCTGAAGCTATTGGTTTTTCTTCAAATTCATCAAAAACATCTTTGATTTTCTTATTAAAAGCTTATTCAAATTATTTGTAAGTCTTATCTAAAGAATGTGGAGGAGTATCATCTCTTAATGATTCTAATGCCTTAATAATTTCTTCTCCAAAAATATCTCCTCTATGACTGGCCCATTGTCCTAATTTTATCCATAATGGACCAGCTGATTAAAGTGTGTAAACTAAGTACTTAAGCCAATATGGAAACAAATAAGACTTGAATATTAATGAGAATGGCAGAGTAATAGCTAAAGGTAAAAATTTTAATAGCAAATGCATAAATCTGATTTTTCTTCTTAAATTTTAGATCATTCTCTAAAATAAAGAGAGTTATTTATTATTTTTCTCTCCAAAGTATTCTTATGTTAGAGCCTTGATTAAATATTTGAATTACTTCAGTGTCAGGAATTTAATTGTACATTGAAGAAAAATGCATTTACTGATATCTTTCTCTACCTTATCTATATAAAATATATGAGAATCCAACACCAAAAGTTAATCCTATTTTTGTTTTGGTAAAAAATGGCTATGATTTATTCAAATTTGTAAATGGATATTTAAGAATTTTTTACATATAAATTTATTTAACAATCATTTAGTTAATTCAGAAACTGATTTCATATTAATATATTATTCCAATTTGCCTATTTAATTATCAAGTCTCTAAATATATAGTTATTTATCTTCATTCATATAAATGTGATGTTCTAAAATAAACCATCCACATTATTATAAAATTTAAGATAAATAGTATTGACCAGCAACTTTGAATTCTTTATTATATTTTTGTTATTTTTTCTTCTTGTCTTGCTATCAAAATATAAAATTATTATTTATACCTTCATTTATGTTATCACTGGTCTTATCCAATATTCTTCAGTTATATTAAGTAATATACAATGTTATTCAATTGATTCTTCATTATATAGATCTATTTTAACAAATTATGGTATATCATTGGTACCAATCAATGAAAAATTTATTGGAATCTTATAATTATTTGAATCATAAAATATTTTGTTTGTTCCACCAAAATTCAATTCTCTCAATAAAATAGAATTTTATTTAAATAATTCATCATCATCTTCATCAAATGGTTTTGAAAATGTTTGTAAAGTGAATGATTCTAACAATTTTTCATAGAAATAGATTTTATCTTCATTTCTAAGTAAATTATCAAAACTGATTCCATATCTTTATTTTAAGAATTCATTTGTAATCTCAAATGATCCATCAGCATTAATTTATTTATTTTAAGGAGCATAAGTTAAATAGCAATTTTATAGTTTCACCATACATTTTCCTTCTTCTAATAAGATTGCTTAAATCTAAGATTTGTTTTCATTAAATTAAATAGAAATTTGTTAAATTTAAATAGTTTTATTAATTTTAATTTATTGAGTGGAATGTATATTCTATTAATTAAGAAATTATTCAATATATTTGATTTGTTGATTAATTAGAAATATTAGTTTTTATTTATCTAAAATTTAAACACTTGGCAAATAATAAGTATTATGAATTGAATTTTTAGAAGATTCTAATATTTATATTTATTATGAATTTATTTTTGACAAATATTATAATATTTCTTCTTTTTCTTACATTTCATATTCATCTAAATTTTCTTATTTAAAATATAATTAAAATGTAGCTTCATCATATCTTATATCTAATTATAAAATAAAATCTGATTAAGTATAAATAGTAATTCGAAACCATTTTAATCCTATATTGTGAATCCACCATTAACAATTATCATTAAGAAAATTGATTTACTATTCTAATAATAAACCTTGAGGTTATGGCCATATAGCAATTTTAGTTTCATTTTACTCTGTTACAATTTAAACAAATGGTACAATCAAATATTATATAAATGTTTTAAAATTATTCAAGTATTTTATTGGATAAGGTAATGTATGAATATATTGAGTATATTGTAAAAAGTCTTATAATTAAGAAATTTCAATAAATTCATTTAATATTTTATCATTTATTTTTGCTGATAATTTCAATGTTTATTACAATTATTAAACTTCAATTTATATATTATCTTATTTAAATATAAAAGAGACATTTTAAAGTAAGGGAATATAGATCATCTATCCAGTAGAATTATCTGTAAAATAAAAATATTAATGATCATCAATACTATTATTATAAGTAGTATAATTCTTTTCATGATGAAATGTCTTATTCATTTATAATTTTAGTTATTAATTTTGTTCATTTAAATGTTTAATTTATTCTAAATGTCTAAAATGCTATTCTTTTGCTTCTTTAATATGTATTTATTCATTATCAATAATTTTAATTTTTAATTAATTTATTTCTTCTTATAATAATTTAATCTATTATTTCCATTCATAACCTTATTTTTCAAAACTTTATTTTTCTTTTTCAATTTTATTAATTTCATTTTATAAATGTATATATTTTTAATCTAAATCAATTTTACTACTAGAAACCTAATCTTCTTATTATTTTTTTTAGAAATGTAATTATACTTATTATTCAACTTTATTTGTAATTATTTTTTCCAAATTTTAAATAGATGTCATTTTAAATGATTTTCTTTTCTTTTTTGTTTCAATTGTTGTTTCTTAATCATCTTCTATTTTACTAATTCTTTTTATTCTATAAAACTTTCCTTTATTTATAGAATCTTCATTTGTGGTTTTTAATCTTGAAAATGCTTTTTATGGAGTTTAAGATTATATTTCTTAAAATTCTACAATTCTTGGTAAATCAATTTTTAGAGAATCTAATAATCTCATTATTCTGATTATAGTTTATCTTCTAAAAGTAAATTGATTATTATTTTATTCATTCTAAAATATAAAGCTTCTCTATTGTAATGCTGATTTTTATGAAGACAATCCTACTATTTATTTATATAATGGATGAGTTATTCCAACATATTTTACTAAAAGTTTTTTAGAATTTTCATAGAATATTTATGTGCTCTTAAATCTAAATTACTATATTTTGATACCCATTTTAGAGTAATTTGCTTTTTCTACGAATTTTAGCCAAATCTTCAAAAGTAGCCATTTCATAAGATTTAGCTAAAGTAATGTAACCATTTATCAATAATACAGCCTCAGATTAATTTAATTAAGAAAAGGCAAACTTTTCATAGAATTATAAAGCCAACTCAGCTTTTAAAAATGCTTTACTATGTAATCCCAGTTGGTTATAAATTTTTGCTGAATTCATAAAGATAATAAATTAAAGGGCATTTGGAAGTGATTTGAGTAATTACTATTTTACAAATCTAAAAATTTATCTGGATAAAAGCTCATTTCTAAATAAATGTGTTGATACTTATTAAATAAAGCTGCAATATTGTTGAGACAAATTGCAATAACATTTATGGAATCAGGTTAGTTACGATATTCTTATATCAATATTTCATATTAATTCAACATTTATTCCTTATCAGATAGGTGAGTTATTAGAGATAATCTATTCATAATTTATATTTATAAATAAGTGTTTAAAAGGTATAAAAATTAACATCATCAACCACAACCCAAAAATCTAAGAAGCCAATTCTTTTGTCCTTTGATTTCATCAATATCTTTGGTTTATCCTTGTTTGATTGGGCTGTAGTTGTTTGTATAATCATAAGTAGATTTTCTTTTTGGCTTTCTTTCTTAAAATGTTACATGAACAAGAGAGAATACAAAATTTTAAGTCTCCTCCATTTTAAGATCAATAGAATATGAAGGAAAATCAGTTTTAGGTTTTCCATTCTTTTTTGCTATATAAGCTTCATAATTTTTAGGATTTTAATCAATTGGATAATCCTTGCTTGCTTATTATAAGGCACGGCTGATTGCAATCACAAGCTCAGTTTGAGAAGGTAAATCTATTACTACTTCAATTATTTATTCTTCATTAGAAATGTAGAATCTATATGATTTTGTAAAATGATTAAATGCTTCTCTTAATGGACTGATTAAAGATTTCTTAACTTTTTAACCTGATGTTTTTGTGCTATCAGTTTGAGACATTAACTACTAAATGGAAATTGTTTTTATTTATTAGAATTTTTAAACTATGTTAAGATTTTATTCTAAATTGTTCTAAGTATGCCATTATAATATGAAAGTATATTAAATAATATCCATTAAAAAAAATTTATCACATTACACTTATTTTATCACTTAAAAATTCTGAACCTTTTCCTTGTACTCTTTTATTTTCTAGTATATAAATTCGATCTTATAACATTTTATTTTTCTTTTCTAATTACTCCATATTTTTTCCCATTTTTATAATTCTATCTTTTGCCTTCTAAAATACTTAATAGCTATCTTTTTAAACTAATAATTCTTTCTAAAGTTCTTGTTCTTATTTTATTTAATTAACTATATTTATAATATTGTAAATTACCTTTTTAATCACGTTGTTTATCAATTCCAAAAGTCTTATCAACAAATTATTTGAGACCTAATACTATTTAAGAATTTTAAGATTCATTCTCTAATTATGGGATGATGTTGAATAGATTCTCTTTTATAGATGCTAAAGTAACTTTTAATTAATCTGTTTCTTAATAATTCTTTTTTAATTCTTCTTTTTTGTGAATTAACGTAATTTATAATTCGTTATAAAGTTATTATTACTATTATAATTATTCTTTAAGTTATCTAATCTCATCATCTTATTCATTTAATTATTATTTACATACTTTAAGTTCTTACTCTTTGTTTATTATACTTTAATTTAATTATTATACTTATTTTTCTAATTCTTATTTAAGTTTCTTTTCTTTTTCAGTTGTCTCAATCTACATTTATATATTACATTCTAATTTACTAATCTATTCTTAATAATGCTTTTCTGTTTCATCATGATTCTTTTTTGTATCAAATAATAGTTCATGAAGTCTTTATAATTCATTTGTCTTTATTTCTATTTCTTGCTAAAAATCAAATAGCTTTTTTCTATACAATTTATTTTCATCACTTCCAAAATTAAAAAATCCTTTTTTTGGTTCATTCATCTAAAGGGTTTTTACTATAGATTTACATTAAAAAAATCTAACTTTCTCTGTAATTCATTGTATTTTTCTTCTTTTTCAAGTAATTCTTCACATTTCCTTTTAAAAGCTAATTCAGTTTTAGCTAATTTTTGATCAAGCTATGTTTTTTAGTTATTTAATGTATGACATTTCTCTTCAAATTCAATTCTCTTCTATTCTTCTTCTGAAGCCTTTCTTTCCTCTACTTAAATTTTAGTTTTCATCTATTAGAAAGCTACATTAAGCTTTTTCTTATTTTCTTCTGAATTTAAATCCATTTCATATATATTCATTGTATAATTATAATCATTTCTTAGATTTCTTTTTTTTGCCTCTTATTTTCTTACCTGTATCAGGTATATTAGCTAATAAAATCCCAGGTTTTGGAAGCTGTACCTTTTGAGGATTTAAATGTCCTTAAGGTATAACAATTGATTTTTATAGGATTGAGATAGGAACAAACTTCTTTTCTGAAGCTAATCTATTTTTCAATACATTAATTTCACTAATCTAAACTTATATTACTTTAAAATACTTATTTATCTATATCTGATTTAATACTATGACTTTTGAATACAGTACTAAATTATTACGAAGGTCTAGCACTTCTGAAACAGCTAGAAGACAAAGCACGATTGTTTTAAATGCTTTCAGCCCTAGGATGATTTGATACACCCCCAGGCAACCAACTCCCTCTTGCTTTTTTCAAGAATTCAAGTCTTTACGAATTAATTCTTTATTCCAAATAAGCATTTTTATATTAGAAATCCTCAGCCTCATCATCCACTTAAGTAGGTAAAACTGTGTTTTCAATAATTTTAGTAATTGGAATGGCACTTTAAACGATTCTGCCTTTAGCAAAAGATGTTTTATTAAGATAATTTGAATAAGCTTTTTCTTCAGCAAGATCCATCTTTTTAGATTCAAAGATATCAGAAACTTTGATACCAACATTCGAGAACTGAGATCCCATAGATTATAGCTATTATTATTATACATTTTTATACATTTTCAGATTGGAGTATTATTTCATCAATTCTACTTTTATTAGCTGCCCAATCTTTCATAGATTAAACCATTTCAATATCTTCTCTTTATTCTTTAATTTCTTTTATTCTTTATTATTAATAATATTGATTAAGTCTAGCTGCAGCCATTTTATCTTCTAAATTAGTTGGATCATAATTGTGAAATGTTCCTTAAAGTTCTCCAAGCCTTTGAGTTTATCCAATCTAATAAGCTAATTCAGTATCTTTATCAGCTTTATGAGTCTTATTTTCAGGTGCAATACTAACATATTTATCTGCTCTTTCTTTCTTCTTCTTTTTTTTTGTTGGAGAAAGATCCTTTTATGATTCAATATTTTTTTATGAACCATTTACTTTATCAGGAGATTATTCTTCATCTTCATCTTATTCTTATTCTATGCCTTCTATTTTATCTAATTTATCTCTATCAGTTGGCTTGTCTGCTTTGAGAGGAGATTCCTCCCTTTGGAATTTTCGTTTAGTACTTTTTTATTATTCTTCAAAAGTTTCAAACACTGGTAAATTTGTATCATACATCCAAGAAGACTATTATTTAATGACAGAATATTATTAATTTGTTCTTGGTCTTGATAATTTATCAACTTAATCAACCATTTTATAAGTGGTTTACGAGGTTTAAGGTCTTGTATGTTAAGAAAAGCCCATTATACCTGGAGTAGTGCCAGGTCTTGTACTTGTATCAGACAATAAATTTTTTCTGTGATAACTTTTCACTCTATCTTCAGGTGGATCTATATCTGGATGTATTGACCTATATTTTGATTTGTAATCTTCGATTCCAGAAGCATACATACTTTCATTATAAGAAATGGGAATATCTTATAAAGTCTAGAAATTAAGAATATATATATTACATAGTCTTTCTTTTCTATGAGAGATTATGTTAATTATTATTTTTAGGATTTTGGTAATTAACGAAAGAACCAATTGGAGACTTTATTTAAAAATTCTAGTTACTATTACCTATTTCTAGTGCTAACAACTTCAAGTAATGAATTCTTTAATTATCTATAGAGGTTATCATACACAAAAGGGTCTTTTAATTCTATTTATTATGCTCGATGGAGTGTCACTCTTTCATTCCAAGACATCATTTATTGTTTGAGCATCTGAAAGATTTGATTATTATTTAAGTATCCAGATGTTAATCCATCTAATTCGATCTTAAAGAATTAGTTATATAATTACAATTTATAATGTAGGACGTTCATTGAGTTTATTGATGTCTTCTATTTTATATCCTGTTCTTGAGAGACGTTCATTCAATAGTTGGTCTATTGTTAATGGAGGTTCTACAAGAGGTTTACCATTTAGATAAAGAGAACTCTCCATTTTCATTTTTTAATTTATTAATTAATATTTCTTATTGTATTTTTGTCTGATGGAAACCTTACAATACATGATATATAAAATCATTTCTGTGGTTATTACCATTAATAGTTTTGATACTGTTGATATTATGGGTACTGTTGATATTGTTGGTAATCATAATATTGATATTGATAATAAGGATAGTATTATTGTTGATTTCGTTATTATTGCATCTAATATTTGTATTGTCTCAATGCTTATTCTCTTTCATCAATTACTGTAAAATCATTTAGGATACTCTTTTTATCTGCAAACTCCTCAAAGATTTTCATCATTTCTTTTCCTGTTTCCCAATTCAAAAACACTCCATCTCTTGATCGAGTTACTTCTACATTATCACTAATAATTAATTCTAATTAATTACCTATTTTTCAAATGCTCAAAATGTTTGTTAGGTACATCCTTTACATATAGCCATTAGACATTGAAATGACCCTTCCATTTCTTGATTTCCCACCAATACTGGAAACTTTCATCCTTATATCCTGATGTTAATTTGGCAACTCCCACAAATTATCCACTTCTTACAACGCTGAAAAACAAGTAAACTGTTTTTCCTTATTCTTATGCTTCCAAGAATTTAGCATTAAGTTTCTCATTATTTTCTTTACTTGATGTCCAGATACCGTATTTTATTGACTAAAAATATATAATTTATGAATCATTTACCTTGTGAATATCATCATCATTATTACTACGAAGTATATAAGCATATGCCTCTGTATCAGCTAAATTTCTATTTGCTTGATTAATTTGTTTCAAAGCAGGTATTAATTTAGATGCTTATTCTAAATTAGTATAATCTTGGCATGATATGTATGGCACTTTTAAATCTCTCTTATTTCTGACATATGGTTCATAATGATTATTCATTAATTTTTAATCAAATTTAAATAATCAATAAACAAATAAATACTCATTCACTCTTCCATTTTCATATAGATTTGTTATAGTTTTAAAATTATTCTTGATAATTAATATTATACAATATTTATGAGAAATTCCAAAAAAACACTTCTCATAGTAGGTGGTGGTTTTGCAGGCATGACAATAATTACTTAGACTTATAAGCAGTTCAATATAGTTTTATTAGATCAAAAATCATATTTTGAAGTAATTAAACTATATAATTATAAGTTTGTACCATCTGTCTTCAATGCTTTCATCCATCCAGAATCTATTTTTGATCTAACCCTACAATTTAAATAGAGTAAATTTGGAGTCCTCTTTATATAAGGCAAATTAGTATTTATTATTAATATACATATATAGACTCATATTGAAGATAATATAGCATATTATGAAGGAGGCTAAATTGAATTTGATTATTGTGCTATTACAATAGGTTCTAATTATACAAATCCTATTAAGTCTACAATTCCTAAACTTTCAGATAGATTTATTGAACTTAAAAAAACTCAACTAAAAATTATTGAATCCTAAACTATTTTAATAATTGGTGGAGGCACTGTTGGAGTAGAATTAGCTTGTGAAATCAAAGCTTCTTATAAATAGAAAACAGTAGCTCTAATTACAAAAGGTAAAATATTATCAACCATGCCTAAATCTGCTTCAGAATATGCTAAAAAAAGAATGCTAAATTTAGGAATCGAAATTTAAGAAAATTATAAAGGACCTTCATTAGATTCTAATTTTGATTTAGTGTTTAATTGTAAAGGGAATAATTATGAAAGTGTTCGTCTTAATGACAATTATGAAATGTTTGATCCAAAAAAACAAATCTTAGTTGATGATTACTTAAAAATTAGAACAAATTAAAATATATATTGTGCTGGTGACATTTGCATATCTAGTTAAAATGAAACTAAAACAGCATTTGCTGCTGAAATGTAAGGAGAAATCGTAGCTTACAATTTAAAACATCCAAATAAATAGATTAAATCATATTGGATACCTAACACTTATATTATATCTTTAGGTGGATGGAAGGCAGTCTTTGTATTTGAAACTTTTACTTTTGGTGGTTTTATACCTTATTTGATGAAACTCTTTATTGAAGTTGTAGTAGTCAATGATTTTAGAGGAATAATTGGATTTAATACTATTCATTAGATCATGAATTATATTGTTTATGTGATGCTCTATATCTATATGATTATGTAATTGCTATTTGCTATTGCTCCTTTGGGAAGTAAAATTAAATAAGATCAAAGAGTTGAATTAAAAAGAATTTAATAAGAAATTGAAGAATTCAAAAAACAATGATTATATATTTATATTTCTTTTTTTAAAATGTTGTAATTTACATTAATATAAAAATATTAATAAATCAATAACTATTTGCAATTGACTATAAAGTGTTTAGCATGTGTTCATATTAAGATTTAAGATCTCGAGAATTTAATAAAAATTATTCACTACTTATTTTTAATTCCTCATATTGTCTTTCTAATTATCTATATTTTTCATCCTGCTATTATAATTATTCTTATTAAGATTTTATTATTTGCTCATATCTAAATTACTAAATTGTATTCATACTTGTTCAGTATATTTGAATTTGTCTAATAAATTTAACTATTAATATTTTTTTGTTAATCTAATTCTGTTGTTTACAATTCTTTTTCTTACTCATATTATTTTAATTTATATAATAGTTGTTAATTTAATTCTTAAAGTCTTTAAGTATATTTTTTATTTTCTTTTAAACAAGTCTCACATTCTTAGTATTTCTTTTCCCATTCTTTACATTATTTTTTTATTTCTTAAAAACTCTCATTATTAAATTCACTCTTTATTGGAGTAGATGTACAATTCTATTATTTTGATAATAATTCAATTTGCTTTTACTTCTTTGCCTAATCAATTTAAAGATTCTAAATTATTATATTTTTTTCTTTTATTTCCTTTTCCATTGATTTTAATGCTTCTCTAGTACCAGATAATCGCATTTCTAATGATTTTATTTATTTTGTTGTATTTTCAATATTTTTTTGTGAATTCCTATGACTCTAAATGTCAGCTATACTACTACTTCTTTTCTCCATGTAATTATTTATGGAGTCTTATAAATTATCAATTATTGATTCCTAATTATTTTCAAATTTATAAGGACCTGGTTTGTATGGAGATTCTAATAATCGATGAGGTTCAATTCTATTAGGTTATTCTTCCTCAGTTTCTTCATCAATTTTACCTAAAATTCCTTTTTCATTTCTAAAATTTGGATTGACATTTTCATTATCATTCTCATTCTCCTCTTTTGGTCGTTTTTGACTAAATGAAAATCTTACTGCCTCCTACCTTAATAATTATTATAATTCTTGTTCTAGAATTTTATTCTCTTCTTCTATTTATTTCAAAAAAGCAGAATTCATTTAATTTTTTAAATTTATAATACATATTACTATACTTATACCTATTCCATACATTCACTGTTAAAATTATGAAATCTCTGTTTACAATAATTAAATCATTTTTACAAGATATATAATTCTATAAATAATAAATCTTTGTTTTTTTAACTATTTAACAGTATTTTATGAATATTTTTTAATAAAAAATAGCAGTTTAATTAATAATTATTTAATTTTCAATATGATAAAATTCATATAAATCATATTATAACTTATTTTTTTGGCAATTTAAATATAAATGGTTCATTTACAACTTTATAATTTCTATTTACTAGACTACAATTGATAAAATTAACTCCTTCTTACTCTGTTTTTCCATATCCTTCATGTATGTGTCCAAAAAGATGATATTTAGGTTTAATTTATAATACTCTTTTTAACAATGATTCATCTCCAACATGTTTTTTATTTCCCCAATTATCAACCAAATCGCCATGATTCAAAGGTGGACCATGAGTAACAATAATATCACTATCTTCTTCTATTTAAGACCAAAATACTTCAGCATTTTCATTCTTTAATTAAAATGCCCAAGTACAAAACTCTAATGAATAAGGACTACCCCAAATTTTAATACCATCAATTACAATTGAAGAATTTAATAGATAAATGCAATTATCTTTTAATTTCTATAGCAATTCTTCATCATTAAAATTTGAAACTTTGTGATGATAATCCCTTAATTTTGATCTATAATTTTCTGTATCCAATGATATATCGTGATTACCTGCAATCACAACTTTATATTTAAATGGTTATTTAATCAACCATTCAATAAACGAAAGTGTTTCTTCTTTTTAACCCCTTTTGGTAAAGTCTCCACAGTGTATTAAAACATCTCCTGGAGGTAAGGGAATATTACAACAATGTGTATCACTAATGCAAACAAATGTTAAGTCATTTTCCATTTAAATTTATTTTTATTTTTTAAATAAATATTATTGCAAAGAAATATCGATATTATACGTTTATGAATTTATTAAATTAAAAGGATAAATACTTATAGATCATAATATCTTATTATTAATTTATTATGTAATAAAACTATTTAAGCAATTTAAACTATAAATTGGTTTTCATATTGTTTCATTCATTATTTATGCTTCATTTTCTTTTGTAATGTATCATTTATTTATATATATATTTAACATATTAAAAATAATAATATATTAAAATGATCCTCTTATTGTTTATTAAATAATGTAAATAGTAATTTAATAATAATATTAATTAAAACGAATATCCAATATTAATGGAAAGAAGAGAAGATGAGGTACAATACTTTAATGTTGAAAAAACAAATACTTAACAAGACAAAATTATTTTAACTCTATTTTCAATATTAATGAATGCCTTAATAGGAAGTTTATTCTTTTATTATTCAACTCATGAAAATAAGTATGGTACTTGAATTTACTATTCAAAGGTGGTGATTAATGTAAATATTTAAGGTCTTGTGCATTTTGGTTTTCAATTTATTGTTTTTTTAGTTTATTTGCTTGGATGTAAAATGAATAATAATAATTTAATTTATATTTAGAGTACTTAATCCATATGCAATTTATTATAAACACGATTAAATTTTTGATTATGCAAACATTGTTGAGGGATCCATTAAATTGGTTTTCTTTATCTTATTTTGTGTATAAATACGAATATAATTAGATTTCATTTATAATTTCAAATCATTGTGGGTAGCTAACAGTTTTAACAGCTATATACATCATCTTTAATGTTTTTGTATTCCTGATTTTGTGTGGATTGACTTATTTCATAAAACCTAAAATAGAAGAATGAATTTGATAGTTAATTATATTTAATTTATGCAATAATAATCAATATCAGATTTCGATAATCTTGAACAAGAACATTAATTGATTGATTAAGTTAATTAAAAGTCAAAATCCGCAAAGTTTAAATAGTATAAATAAGGATAATATTATGGAGACATTTAAAACAATATTAGACATGGATATGGTATATTGTTTAACTAATTATTATATTTTTAGGACTAATGACATATCAGGATAGATATTATATTGGATTTTGGAAGAATGATAAAAAGCATGGGTTAGGTAAGGAAGTATTGGATAAAGGAGATTAATATGAAGGTTAGTTTGAAGATGGAAAACCTCATGGTGAAGGTACGTTGGAAACTTCTAATGGAATCTATTCAGGTTAGTGGGTTTAAGGAATAAAATAAGGTTATGGTAAATGGAGAGGAAAAAACAATGAAATTTATGCAGGAGAATGGAAATTCAATAAGGCAAATGGGTATGGAAGATATGATTATTAAGATGGGGGATGGTATGAAGGTGAGTTTAAGAATTATCTAAAATATGGTAAAGGAAAAGAAAATTATGCTAATGGAGATTTTTATGATGGTGATTTTATTAATGATAAACCTGATGGATTTGGAGTTTATAGATGGGCTGATGGTTCATCTTATCATGGAACATTTTGTAGTGGAGTTAGGCATGGAAAAGGTTATTGGTTAAAGAATGGAGATCCTTAAAATCATGAGAGTTATGATGGAGAATATGTTAACGATTTGAAATCAGGACATGGTGTTTATAGATGGCCAAGTGGAAATGTATATGAAGGGGAATTCTTTAATGATCATAGACATGGATTTGGAGAAATGAGATGGGTGGATGGTTCATTTTATAAAGGTTAATTTCACAATGGATAAATGTGCGGAGAGGGTGAATTAAAAAGAAATAATAAACCAATTATCTATGGATATTTTGAAAACAATAAATTAGTTAAATAATAAACAAAGAAGTCAATACCTAAAACTATGAATTAGAGCTAAAACAATAGTTATGATGGCAAGAGAAATTATTATTCTTTGCATCAATCTTTTAATCAATTTTAAAATGCTTAACATTTATAAAAATATCATTTTAAGTCTGAATCTATAGAACCCATTATTAGATAAGTTAAAAGGGATTGTAATACATCTATTGATGATATGAATAAGAATGAAATTTCAACCCATTAAAATAGATTTAAAATCTCCATAGATTTAGATGATCCTTAAGGAATGACTACTTAACAAAAATACAAATCATTAAATACAACAAATCGTGCATTTTAAAATCAACAAGAGAATTTAATATCGGTTACAAATAGAACCTAAGCGACAAAAAAAGTTATTATAGATAGTGTTAAATTTAAGAGAAGTCAATTATCTTTTAGACTATAATCATTAAACTAATCTACTAGATAAACACAAAATTCTCTTCCAAAATAAGGTGTGAACTGATTTGTAATTTATATATTTTTCTAATCATTTTTTCCATAGTTATGAAATAATTGAAAAAAAAATAGCTCATTACTGAAAGGTTAAGAATTAAAATGCAAATTTTAATTAAGAATTATTTCAAGATCATATTGAAACTCCATTCTTTTAAAACTTAAATTCAAAATTAAATTGAAAAATAGAGGGGGATATTCAAATAGTATAATTTAATGATAACATTTTTCAAATCATCCCTCCTTTAAATAAATAAACCTTTTTTTTATTAAATTACCAGAATTTCTTAAATGTCTAATGTAAAATTTTTCTTATTATAATTTCTTTTAAACTTTTCTTTCTTTATTTCTCTAAGCACTGTGGTTTAATTGATAAAAATAATCAGATTCTATAAAAAAAATATACATAAAGTATGTTATTTTATAAACTCAAATGATGTTTAAATATATTCTTTTTAAATAACATATATATTAAAGACTTATTTGATGTGAGTTACGAAATTTTATATAATAATACTCGATGTATATATAACATAAGTCAAAATTTTTAATCTGAATCACCAAAACCCTTGTATTTGGATCTTTAGTGTTCAATAATTCTAATGGCTAAAGCTTTCTTGTAATTTATTAACATTGTTCCACTTTATTAATATGGGATTTACTCAATTATCCTTTTTTTACCCATTTGAGTCACTAGCACTGTTTATGCATCAAAATTCATTGGATTATTAAATAATTATTTTCAATCAATTTAGATATACACTTAATTAAGGCGAATAAACCTACGCGAATATAATTATTCCAATTTATTTACAATCTAAATTATATCAATTCAAAAAACAAAATTTTATATTGAGGAATATTCTAGATTGAATATCATCTAAAATTTTATTCAATCTAAAAAGAAATAAAATTGAACATATCTTAACAAATAATTATTTAGATATTTTAATTATTGTTGGAAAGATTATTAATGTGTAGAGAATAATTATTATCAAAAATCTCGATAAATTTTTAATTTCTTTGGATTATATTAATAATTTGTCTAGAGTATATTTAGATAATAATTGTAAAACAATATATATATATTTACAAAAAAAATATATAATACTAAATAAAGGGTATTAGAAATGAAATTAATTTTTCTTAAGGGTATTTAAAATTAATAATTCAAGATAAAACGAAGAGAAGTTTATAAANGAAAAAAAAATAGCTCATTACTGAAAGGTTAAGAATTAAAATGCAAATTTTAATTAAGAATTATTTCAAGATCATATTGAAACTCCATTCTTTTAAAACTTAAATTCAAAATTAAATTGAAAAATAGAGGGGGATATTCAAATAGTATAATTTAATGATAACATTTTTCAAATCATCCCTCCTTTAAATAAATAAACCTTTTTTTTATTAAATTACCAGAATTTCTTAAATGTCTAATGTAAAATTTTTCTTATTATAATTTCTTTTAAACTTTTCTTTCTTTATTTCTCTAAGCACTGTGGTTTAATTGATAAAAATAATCAGATTCTATAAAAAAAATATACATAAAGTATGTTATTTTATAAACTCAAATGATGTTTAAATATATTCTTTTTAAATAACATATATATTAAAGACTTATTTGATGTGAGTTACGAAATTTTATATAATAATACTCGATGTATATATAACATAAGTCAAAATTTTTAATCTGAATCACCAAAACCCTTGTATTTGGATCTTTAGTGTTCAATAATTCTAATGGCTAAAGCTTTCTTGTAATTTATTAACATTGTTCCACTTTATTAATATGGGATTTACTCAATTATCCTTTTTTTACCCATTTGAGTCACTAGCACTGTTTATGCATCAAAATTCATTGGATTATTAAATAATTATTTTCAATCAATTTAGATATACACTTAATTAAGGCGAATAAACCTACGCGAATATAATTATTCCAATTTATTTACAATCTAAATTATATCAATTCAAAAAACAAAATTTTATATTGAGGAATATTCTAGATTGAATATCATCTAAAATTTTATTCAATCTAAAAAGAAATAAAATTGAACATATCTTAACAAATAATTATTTAGATATTTTAATTATTGTTGGAAAGATTATTAATGTGTAGAGAATAATTATTATCAAAAATCTCGATAAATTTTTAATTTCTTTGGATTATATTAATAATTTGTCTAGAGTATATTTAGATAATAATTGTAAAACAATATATATATATTTACAAAAAAAATATATAATACTAAATAAAGGGTATTAGAAATGAAATTAATTTTTCTTAAGGGTATTTAAAATTAATAATTCAAGATAAAACGAAGAGAAGTTTATAAATAGATCATAAATGCATTCCTAGCCATATTGGATAAAGTGATAGTTGATGATCAAAATTTATTGATTGGAAGACTTAAATTGATGAATAAAGGATTAGATTAAAAGGTATAAACTTAAAAATGATACAATACTTCTATTTCTACATATTTATTTATTTTTTTAATTATTTTATTTTTTTGAAATAAAATTATATTTAACGATGAATTCAACACTTAGAGCTGATCAGATTATTTATTTTGGAACTGCAAATACTCCAAAAGTTCCTTGTAGATTTCATGAAGACTATTTTATACAAAATTTTTGCAAGAAATAGTATAAAAATATATTATAATTTAGAGAATGTAGTTTGCCATTGTGTCCTGAATGTATAAAGATTCATTCTGAAGAACATGAACAAGATAGAGTAACAAGTGATATTGATTTGTTTTCTAATTGCCTAACAGAACAATATCATAAATCATTAGAATATCTTAACCTTTGGGCAGTAGATGTTTAAGAATCAAGTAATTTATAAGAGGAGATTTAAAAAGCATAAGAAGTATGTGATATATGCTATTTATTTTTAGTTCTAACTCTAAAAGTATTAAGATGCTAAGAAACAATTTTATAAGGTTATAGATGATTATTTTAAAATGCTTGAATAAAATATATTAAATGAAACTTAAAAATCAACTCAAGATTTAATTAAATTGGTAAAATCAAGACATAGAATAGAATATTTGGAATGGAAAAATTAACATGAAAATTTATAAAAGCTCAATTCTGATAAAGTATTTTAGAAATTAATATAGTGTATGCCTCCATTAATCTCGATATATTCAGATCCAAGATAGACTCCTTAAGCAGTTTATTAGAGGAATCATTAAGAACATATTGAATAGTTAAATAAACTTAAATTAAGCATTAAATAAGTAATTGTTAATGATAATCTAAATTAAATCATTACATTGTTAAAATAATATATTTAGTTAACTACAATTGTATAAGATTCATAAATTTAATAAATACAAATTACAAATACAGTTTAGCCTATTTTATAAGTTTAACCTAGAGTATAAAATTAAACAATTGTATAAACTTAACCAATTGTGAATTAAGCAATAAATTCAAATAAATATTAGCCAAAAATTATATAACCTTTTAGTCAAATTAGAGAGTACACAACTTTATAACCAGTAATGTATTAATAACCACCAATAATACCAATTGACCCAATCTAATTTTATCAATAGCAATATTATCATCCAAATCCTGTTTTATAAGAACCTATACCAATGTCAATGCCAATTATACCACTTTAATAATCGACTCCTCCTTAAATCATAAGATCTACTTAAAATCTTGTATAGCCTATAGTTGATACAGGAATTTAGAATGGACAATTAAGAGAGACTATGGCATAAAGATATTATGATAAAATGTAGAAAAATGAAATAAAATGATTTATAATATTATTATCTACATTTATATATCACATAATTTCTCTACTATTCATATTAATTGGAGAGAGTGATGGACCAGGAGTATTGGAATAAATTCCTGTAGAAAAAGTGTGTTTATGTTTACTTTAACGATCTGAATTTATTGTTTAATAATTTATTATAGTTCTAGCAGTTAGAGGAGGAGTACTCAAAAATAAATGCGTTCTTTTTTTTTTACACAATTTATAAAGATATTATTATTTAAAAGATGTAATTGCTATATTATTAGGATGTTCATATTTAGGAGTAAATCCAAGCTTAGGACTTTAATATAAATCATTTCCAAACAAAGCTGATCCTGCATCTTTTTCCGGATTACTTTGATATTTTAATTAGTAAATAAAGTTTTTTTCTTCAACTATTGTACCTATCTCCATTTTATCTTCTCTTTCTTTACTTCTAATTTTTTTTGGATTGTATTTAACTTCAATATATTACTTAACAGCTGTAAATTTAGGTTAATTAATTTTATTTACACTAATGAGATTAGAAGTTTAGAACATAGTTCTAAATTTAGTTTTCCTTAAGTATTCTTATTTCACCCATTATTTACATTCTTCAGGGAACTTTTATAAAAATTCTAATTTATGTATGACCATTAAAGTAGCTTCATTAGATAAAACAATAGCATTATATTCACAACAGCCATCTTCATTCATAGCTATTTCTTCACCCAATAACTAACCCTTTGCTGCTCAAATTATTTAAGATTTTACTTAAAATGCATATCTTTACCATTTAATCATTTATTACTTTTTCTAATAAGATATCTCCAAATTGAATCAAATAAAAGGATTTCTTATGTTGTCCATCTCTAGTTATTACACAATTCTTTTAAAATTATTCCACATCAAAACTATATGCTAATTATTCTAATTATTTTGATGAATAATCTCCTTAAACAGGGAATTTAGTAAAAATTAAACTTTTTTTCTCTTTCATCTATTATATAAATTATTATCTAATTAAATCGAAGTCGTCTTTTTTTAAAATTAATAAGAACAAATCTTCAGTAAATGCACATGCAGTCAATGCTCTCGGAACATTCTCAATTAAAGCTCTATCTCCAAAACCGTCCCCTCTTTTTAATATTCTAACAGTTTCACCAAATTTATCACTCATTTCCTAAATTTCTTATTATGTTATTTAGACTTTCTCATTTGTTTATCCTTAAACTATATTTGCCTTCATTTTATCAGCAAACTTCTTTGAAAAGGCAATTTATTTAAAGAAATTTGTTCCTGATGTTAAGGTTGTTATTTTGCTTTGGGTCTTTCTAATGTAAAATTCATAATTCCAATATATTACTCTGTTTTCAAAGGCACAGGTTTGATGGATAAAGTTTATTATAATTACAATTATTTATGATTTTCAGGAGGCTTATCAATGTTTTGTGATATTATCTGTTATTATTATGGCCTTTGCTTTATTAAAGCCACTTTACCATTAAATATTATATATAACTTATCATTTGACTTATCTCCTTCTTTAAAGATGACCTCCCCTCCTTTAAAGTGCTCCATTTTGAATTTACCACATAACTATGATTTCAAAGAATTATACATATAACAGACTCTCTCTTTAAGTTCCCTTAAGATTTTTCTCAATGAAGGAATTAAAATATTATAATTGTTGTAATTTCGAATAGATTACTTAAAGATTGTCCATAGTAGGATTTAAATGGTTATTCAATAACTTTTGAAAGTTGAGATTCTAAATAATTCTTTTCTATTTATACCTCATTCATAGTGATTTATTTATTTTTAATTTTAATATGTAGGACTCTATATCAACTTACTTGAAAACTGAATCAGATTCTATCAAAGATCATCCAGCAAGCAAGTTTAAGCAAAACTTCATGTAAACTAATTAAAGATTTTTAAATACTAAAAAATTAACATACTCTAACAAAAAAATAGCAATTTCTAATTAGAAAGATGCATGGAAATAAATGTTTGGCAATTTCTTACATGATATTAATCTTAAATAGAAAAAGGATCATATCTCTCAAGAAACCAAAGAGGTATTAATGATTCATCTTAAATTTAGCATCTTTAAGATCCACTTGTGAATGAAGTCCCATTATTCCTTCCATGTTCAAATAAACAATTTAAACTCTAGTTCTATAAGTATTTAGAAGGGGAGTAATCAATTAATGAATTATTAAAGGCAATTAGATTTCCTCACTTAGAAGCAGTAAGTAATATTATTATTGTTTTAGTTATCAATAGAAGATTAAAAAAAATAAAAAAGGAAACTATCCATTGTTTAAAAAATTAAAAAATTTAGAATTAATGACATACCTAAATCAGGTGATAAGACTCCTTAATTAGATATAGGAAGCTCTACAAAATAATTGAAAGTCTAACAATTAAGATTAGTTGATTAAAGAAGATTTACAGAAGCTGGTAAATTAATGGAATTATTTAAAATTAAAATAAATAAGAAGGTTCAAGTTTTAAGAGATTTTATTTAATAAAGAGTATTATTTATTTTTTATATAAGATCAATTTAAGATAATAATTAAACAAAGAATAAAGAGAAGAGGAAATAAGAAATATTCATTTTATTAAGACTTTTTTTGATATCACTAATGATTACAATTAACATATCTTAGATTAATAAGAAGAATTATAGGATGATGCTTAATATTATAAAAAATTAGTACCATGTTAAAAGAAATTAAAATAACTATTAGTAAATTATGATAATGTACAACCAATTATTAGACATTAAGAAAAACATTTTGATAGATTTGATTATCCTTCTTTAGGTATGTTAAAAAATTAAATGAATTCATATTCTAAAGATTATTTAGTTGAACTTGAATAACAGAAATAAATTTAATTTAAAACTGCTTTAAATTAAGTTCGTAAACTATTAGAATAATAAAATATTAAGTTTTAATCAGAATTAAGAAAATCTAAAATTAAAAGTAATTAAAATTCAAAATCTTAATCTCCACTAACTTTTCATAATTAAGAGAATTCAAATCCTATAAATTTATTAAGTGATTGTCCACTCGATGTTATTGTAGCAAGTCCAAAGAGAAATGTTAATTAATATAAATCTTACTCTTAATTCAAAAATTGTATTGCTGATCCTATAAAAAGAAAAGATTATGTTATTACAAAAAAACCTTTTTATCTTTTTACTAAATAAGCAGATGGAGATAAAAATTCAAAAAATACTAAAGGATTAATAACAAATTTTGATGTTAAATTATACGATTATATTCACAATAGAAATATATACACATTAAATAAACAGTATTAATTTTATTAATTTTAAGAGTTTAAGAAAAAACATAAAAATTTCATACTTTAATAGAAAGTTAATAGGAGTAATAGTTAAATGAACAACTTGACACTCAACTTAATCAATTAAGAAAAAAAAGATTAAAATTACGTTAGCATGGTTCTTTAGAGGCATAACGTAGAATAAAAACTGAAATACAACCTGATGAAATATCAGATGATTAATCACTATAATCCATTTATGAAGTAAATCTTGATGTTTATTATGATTAATCAAATTAATTAAGTAAGAAACTAAGAGAAAAAGATGATGTTGGATTTGCAAAAAGAATTAAATAACTCATTAAATTAGAGGAAGTTAATACGTATTAAGTTATATATAGATATTTAGATAATGCTTAAGAACAAATATATAGAAATTAAATAAGTCGTAAAATTCTCTTAATAAATGAATAAAAAATTTAATATCTCTATTTATTTAATTGTAAGTTAGCAAAATAATATAAATTTTAAATTATTTATATAACAATGAAAAGTAAAGACATGGATGCTCCTCCACTTAGTGAAGATGAATTAAATGAAATTTACAATTGGGTTGATACTGTACCATTATCTAGACCTAAAAAACATATAGGTAGAGATTTTGCAGATGGAGTTTTAATTGCGGAAATTATTTAATATTATGTTCCTTCAATAATTGATATTCATAACTATAGTTTAGCTCATTCTGTTTAATAAAAATAATATAATTGGAATACTTTGAATGCAAAGGTACTATATATTATGATTTATAGGTGTTTAGAAAAATGGGATTCTAAATTACCTAGAAAGATATTGATGCAGTTATTTAAGTAATCCCTGAAGCTATAGAGAGAATCTTAAAAGTAATCTAAGTGAAATTGGATATGTTTTTGGAGCATTCAGAATAAAATTAAGTTCAAAAATAAGAAAAGCCAAATGAAATTTCAAAAAATTAAAATTAAGTTAACAATTCAAAACCAGTTCTCAACAATAAATAACACGATAAAGATTTAGTTATTTAAGATTAAAAGGAAACAATAGAAATACTTGAACTTAAAATATAGAAACTAGAATAATTAGTGAAATTAAAAGATAGTAAAATATAATAGTTAACTTAAAAACTATAATAAGCAGGAATAAAATGATATAGTTACTCACATATCATCCACATAAATTTTAGAAATAATTTTTCTCTGTGTCACTTATACTACTATTTGTCTCACTTTTTTCAAGACCATTTTCTTAATCAATTACTTATTATTAATTTCTTTTAATATTGTTTTATATTTCTTCTTCATCCGGTGTTAGATCTTAAGGCTGATTTTACATTTTCTGAAAAATTGACATTCTTTATTTTTTTATTGGTTCTTGTTATTCTGAATTTTTTGTAATTAAAGGAGAACTTTAAGGAGTTGTATTAGGTGTTCGTCTTTATTTTATTGAATTCATTTCAATACTCATTTTTTACAGTATGCCATCACATTTATCATCTTCCAAATTAGATTGATCCACATTTGAAGTAGTATTGAATGTCATGGTGCTGGATTTATTTTGTCGCCTCTTTGGTTTTTTATAATAATGCTCTAATTTTTCTAAAGGATCAGTTTTCATCTTTAGACCCAATTATTTAAGATAAGAAACAATAATTTGCTCTTTTTTTATCCATTCATTTTCAGGATGCTAATTACTCATTATTACCATTTCAAAAGAATCATCAGTCTATTGATTTGAAGTATATAGATTCTATCCATCATTATAGTTCGAATTTTCTTAATGAACATTTTTGTAAGCTGTAATTGTGTTTTCTGATGAATTAATTGTTGTTTCACATGACAAATATTAACCTATATTCATATAAAGTAAAACTCTTGAATGATTAATGAATTTTAATATATTTATTAATATCATTAAACCTTACATAATCAATGCTGAAAATTACTGCAAAATTCAGAGTTTTAGATGATTGAAATACAATTTTTATTTGAGTGAAAATATTATTAGATTTAAAGAGCTTATTATATATTTATCATAAGATGTTTCTCAAAAGTAAGAGATTTTACATAATTAAGACTTAATATATTTATTAAATAATAATTGGGATTGCTAAGAGTGTCAATATTATTATTTTTAAATTACATTAATTGAAATAATTAAAATTACTAATAATATGGTAATTTTCAAAGTTTTCAAAGAGATATATTAGATAAATTCAAAGATCATCTGATGGTTCCACTTCCCATCCAGTTGCTCCAAATCTCTCTTATATGGCAATGAGGGACTTAACCTTTATTTTTGCATTGTTAGGACTAGGCTAATTAATTGAACTATTAATTGTATATTAAGTTTCAGCTCTATTTTTTCTAACCAGTTTCCTTTATGGATAAATCGATCTTTGAAAAGGGAAAATCAGAGTATCACATGATTCCTTCTAAGAAGAGATCGATTGGAATATTTAAGGATTGCCATAATTAATATTATCTAATTATTTTGAGTATTTTTAGAACACCAATTTAGTTGGCATTTAATTATTGTCATCAGCTATTGAACTACATCTAGTTTTTATTGTATCTAAAAATTTGCTTTTTGATGGAGATGGCTTCTTTTCTGATTCTAATTAATTTTTTGCAAAGATTAAGCTTCTTTTTCTCATTTTAATTCGATCTGATTCTTCAGGCAATTAATATTTCATTTTCAATAATGCCATTCTAGTTGATTTTTTAAGTAGTTCTAAATTAATAGCACAATTAAATCTAAATCCTATTGTTTTTTGATTTGGAGAAACCTTATTGCTTTTCTAATTCATTATTGAATAATATTTATTTATTTCTTATTATATTATATTATTAATTTTAAAATAAACATAAAAAAACATATTTATGAATCAAATTCAAATAAATCTTATCATTTCATTGATACATTCACTTTTCTAAACTTTGTCTTTACAACTTATTCTTCTGCAATATTCTTTAAAATTGATTTATTTTATAATAATTCCATATTTGTCATTTTTTCATGAGCACTCTTATTTCTACTCTCTACTATTTATTTCTTTATATCCTCTTAGTTTTATTTATAATTATTTTTTATATACTAAAATCAAAATAATAATACATACAAGTTATTTTTCTTTTTCTTTTTCAGTATAATTCATAAGTTCTAATTTTTATTGAAGTAATAATAATTTTTATTCTTCTTCTTCTGATAATTTTTTTTATTATTTCTGTTAAATTTACAATTACAATTATTATTTCACTAATTCCATTTTCTCTTTTTCTTTTAATTTCCTATATTATTATTATTATTTATCATATTCTTCTTATTTTTTTAATTATTCCAACATATATTTACCTTCGTTTTCCTCATTTTCTTTCTATTTTGTTAATACTTAATGACTGTAATTACTCATAAATTATTTTATTTTTTAATCTCTCTCTCTCTTTTATTCTTCTCTTCTTTCATCATCTTATATCATTTTTTATAATTATTATTATTACAATTTAGTATCAATTTCCTTTTACAATTTAAGTTCCTCTTATGCCTTTTAAAATATTATATTAATAGTACTTTATAACGTAATTATTCATTTTCTTTCAAAATTTACTAAAATTTATCTTTTTATTCTTATCTTCTTTTATTTAATTCTTAAGATTCTCTACTTATTTCATTTTTTAGCTATTATAACATTTCATCATCCTATAATTTTGATTATTTTTAACTTTCCCTTCTAATCTAATAAATATAAGAATTACTTCTTAAGTTTTTCTTATAAAACTTACTCATCTCTTAATTTTTTTTCTTCTAATTATTTTAGTTTAATCTATTCCTTTTTCTATTTTTCAAATTACTCAAATTCTTATTTCCTTTATTAATTTAATTATATAAATTTGGCTTCTTTCATTGCTTCTTCTTTTTTCATCTCTGCTTTCTCTTTTAATTATTTATCTAAATCATCTTTTAATTTTTATTTTAATTAAAGTTCTCTCTTCTTTTTTTCTTCTTGTTCCTTTTAATATAAAGTTGTATCATATTTAATTATCGCTGCCCATTCATCTTATTCATCATCATCCAATTAATAAACAGATTTTTATTTATTTTCAGATGTTAATGAGTCTAATCTTGGAATTTCGGGAGGATTGTTCTTTATTTATGAATTTAATTGATCTTATCCTTATGTGATTACTTTTGTTATTTATTTTGAGTTATTTTCATTTTTTTATTTTTCTTCTATATTTTGTAACTATAGAGTATTTTACTACTATTTTAAGGTTTTTATTATTGCTTCCTTTTCAATATATTATTTCTTGACTGCTTCCTTTATCTCTGCTTTCAAAGCCCTGACACCACTTTCATTAAATGATGTATATTTGGAATTATAATCATGTACATACCATGTAATTAACTTTTTAACATTTATTAATTACTTCTTTATCTATTGGTTTTTAACCGAATTCATTGATGAGTTTATTGAGTATGAAATCAGAAATATTACTAAATTACTGTTGTTTGTCTGACTTTTTATATTATCTTGGATACATGAATATAATTTATAATAAGAATTATTACATATATAAGTATTAAATATAAAAACATAAAAGATTTAATATATTGTTTGATAGATTTTCTAAAATTTTGTTCTAATTTATGAAAGAATGTCTTTTTTCATTCTCAACATTTTATAAATACTCTTTAATTAATGTTAAATGACTACCAGAATTTTATTCTTCATTAATGTTTTAGTATGATATCTATAATCCATTACATTTGTTAATTATGTTAAGATGTCCACATGCTTCTATTTTAATCAAATATCAATTAATTAATCTCAAGGCAATTTATATAATAAGGGTTTTAAATAGGATTTTCATCATTTTAGCCTCTTATTATACCAAGATCAGATAAAATATAGGATTAGATTTATATTTAATATAACGAAATATATCTTAAGGATGTGTTATTTTATTTATTATAAAATCAAAGCGTTTACTTTCTTATTTAACTTTTAAATTATTTATCATTAATATATAAGAATATGTTGAAGTGCAAAGTTCAACTTCAAATTTATTAGTTGATAAAGTGAATCTTGTGCCTTTTATAATGACAACAGAATAATTAAATTAATCAAATTATTTATTTAAATGAAACTGCAAAATTTCTTTTTAAATTCGTAGTCCATCCATTGATATTGTTGATACATTTTCATATGAAGGTTTTATTCAAAAACAGACCTTCTTCTTGTAAAGAAGTCTTAGATTTATTAAAAGTTCTAGTATTGATCATAATAAGAGATTTATTTTTTATTTCTTATACAATATATCTTTAGGAAGGTAGATTTAATTGATTCAAAAGAGGAATATTTATAGTTTCAGCATAATTTCTGTTCAAATTCATATTTAAGAAGACTTTGAGTATGTCTGAACTCATTTAGCGTAAAGGGGAATATAAAAATATATTAATGTACTTACATGATAATATTTAGGCATGATAAATAAATGGTATACTTTTTCAATGTCTCTAGGATAATAATAACAAACATCAAATTTTGTGTGAATTTCATTTTCATAATCCTAATCGTTATTTAACAATGAATATTATAGACATTTTTTTAATAATTTAATTCCAATCTCATATTATTACATTTTAATGAATAATATCCAAGTGATTTCATTCTACAATTATCCATTATTTATTTTGCATAATTTACCATAATTATTGTTTAATTATGATAAAAGATAGCCAAATCAAATGTTAAAATTTATGATAAAATCAATTATCTAATTGTAATATTATTAATACTTGAGTTTCAGCTTTGATTTTATAAAATCAATCAAATGTTTATATCACTTGTAAAGTTAAAGTAGATAATTTTCAAATCCAATATTAGATATGTTCGATATTTTAAAATAGATTAATTAAGGATTAACTTATGGATCAAATTTCATTCTTCTTTTCACTTCATTAGAATCAATTTTTTCTTAATTAACAATTAATTATTTCTATTGAGAACTATTGGTCTATTAAAAGAGTCTATTATTTGATTCTGTTCTAGCATTTCTATGAGTTTCTTAAGGGGAATTAATTCTGCTTGAATGTAAATTTGATCTCATTTAAATTTGACCTCTAAATGCTGAACTTGGAACTGAATCATATTCTGCTTCACTCATTATATGAGTAGAATATCCAGTATGTTGTGTAGTATTAAAAGTTGTTACACTTTGTAATCTTGATTGATAATGATGATTAAGATGCTTGTGATTGTTTTATGAGCACATTCATTAATCTATCCTTTCACTAATTTATACTTTTAGAGTCTACTAATTTATATTAGCCTGCACTTTCTAGAAGTTTTTCTTAATTACAATTGGTTTTTAATTGTAGAGCAGATGAAATTTGTCTCATGTCTTGTTATTATATTTTATTTTTAGATAAATTAATTATTAATAGTGAATATGATTTCCAAAAGAAGTTTATCTAAGGGTCCATAAAGTTTCAAAGTACACATTAGAAGATTGCCTCCACTTTGTAGAGAAGAAGAATTTAATGCAACTATTTAAGAATACATGAGTGATATAGTGATGAAATATTATGTAAAAGGCAAATTGAAGTAATAATTTTATCCATTATAAGAGAATAAGAAAAAATAGATTCAAGATGTTATTTATTTTTCAACAGTGAATCCTCAATGAATCGATTCATCTAAGGATATAAAAAAGTATTCTGCGATGAAAAAGGCTTATATTATCTACCTGATATTGGAAAAGCTTTGCTTTAAAATTAATAGGATTTATTGAGAAATAAGCCAAAACCATTAGAAGGTGAATATTAGAAAACAGAACTCTATAAGAAATTTTTAAAGGTTTAAGAAGAGGAACAATTATAATAATTGGAAAAGGAAAATGCTTAGATTTAATAATTAAAGGAAGAGCCAATAAATGTAGAAGATAAACCAAAGAAATTTGAGAAAGTTAAAACGCATATAATTATGGAATTAGAGAAGGAATATTAGAAGAAGAAAGAATTGAAGACTTAAATAGATAATTTGACAACCACAAAAAACATCATCAAATTAAAATGTGAAGAGGATGGAAGAATAATTGAAAGAACATTTGTAATAAATTAGATTAATAATTATAGATTTTCGTACCTAAAGCAAAAAATTGAATATGAATTAAAATTAATAATCAAATATTAGTAAATAATTGAATGATCATTATATAAAACAAAAATCATATTAATCATTCATGGTCTCTACTAGATAACAATTAAACCATTTTATATATTTTAATCCACTTTTTTGAATACTTAAGTTTCTTAATTATTAGATTTTTCTATTTCTGCAAATTTTTCTAATGATTACTCATTTAATTCTTCTCTACACATTGGGCAAGTTTCATGTTTCTTTTCCACCATCCATGCTTGCAAACAATCAGCATGAAATACATGAACACAAGGAGTCACTCTACAAATTGATTCTTTATCATATTCAATTAAACAAACAGTACAAGATTCAAATTATATAGTATCGATTTTCTTTTCTTTAATCTTTGGATGTTTCTCTAAATTCTTCCATAAAATCTTTCTCATATAATAATCAAGCTATTAAACACTTATACCATTTTTTTGACCTCTTCTTTATTATGATAATTATATTTAATTTTATTGAATTTCATTTTACACTCTATTTCTTTGTCTATATCTTATTAAAGTAACTATAATCCAAGTAAGCACTAAAACTACAGCTAAAGAAACCAAAAAATAAATAAGCATTAAATTTGTATTCACTTCTGAATCCTCAGACGGAACACTGATATTAAAATAAAATTAGCACGTATCAGGAACTACAATTGTTAATAATAGACGATCAAATCTAAAGTTATTATAATATAATACCTATATAAATCTGAATTATAATTTAATCCAGAAACATCAATAATAAGTGATTTTGTTTTAGAATCTGGAGAAAATGAGAAAGAATAATTATTATAATATGGAGTGGGTACCCCATATTTGAAGTTTTCAAACATAAAATATACAAAGATTTAAGAATACTCTGAAATTAGTATATTCGAAATTCCTACATCTAACAAAATTGTATCTAATTGTTTTGTTTATTCAAAATAAAAATACTCTGTTCCAGTTATTGTTAGGTTTTCTAATTTTTTATCAATCATTATAGGAGTTGCTTTCCTGGAACAATCCAAATCAACTCTATTTGGTTCGCATGCACAAGTACCTATATTACAATATCCTAAAGAAACGGAAGTGCAATCATTAGGACATGGAGTACTATCAGTCTTCTTTATTCTAATATTATATTAATAAGTTGTTTCTTCTTCTCTTTTTAAATTAGTTATATAAAATTTATCACCTGATCTAAATGAATTAGCTGGTATCACTATATTTTGATAACTCTTGCGAAGATAGTAACCATTGACATCAGCATATGTTGCTGATATTGTTTTGTTGTCTTTCATAGAAGGAAGACTGTTTTTACTAATTGTAAAAGACAAATTGACTTCACCATCTCCAGGAGCTAAGAATATTAATCTTTAATCGAACATAAAATTACTCTATTTAAAGATATTTTTAAGTGTCAACTGAACTAACTTAAAAGACCATAGTTCCATTTCCTACTTCTTATATTACATAATAATCAGAATCTTCCAATTCAAATAATTCTCCATTTTCCAAGTAATCCTAATTGATATTTATCGTTTATATTCCTAATGCAGTTATAAAAAAGTAATATAAAATAAGAATCATTTCTTCTTTATAAAAAATTTTATTATCAATATATTTAGTATTTATTTCAAGTATTTCTGATATTAATTCCCGGCTTTATAAAATTAATATTGATCATCCTTAACTTGAATACACTATCATAGTCAAATTTAGATCAAGCTCATTATCTATTTCTAAAAATAGTTTTATTGAAATTCTAAAGTAATTGGATCATTATAAAACAGATAAAAAGAATTTTTATTAATTATTAAAAGTAATTAATCTAATTATTTAACTATAAATATCTCAATTGATTAATTAATCTGCTTTATAATATTTTAATAATAAATGAACTTTGATAGTTTATATAGACACTATTATAGCTAAATATATATTGATCAGGCTTAATTCATAATGCTATTATGTCGAAATAAGAAAAAAACTAAAAGAGAAATACAAGTCTTACTGAATTTTAGTTAAATTTTAGAATATTTTGTAATACTTTTTGAAATTCATATTAAAATAATTAAAATAATGATATTGTAATCAAAAGACCTCTAATAATAAATTAAAAGGTAAATTATACACAAAAGATTATTCATTAGAATCTGATTTGAAGAAACTTATATGATTTAACATTCTATTTATCTCAATAATAGTCATGAATCTAAAAAAATAGCATAAATAATATTAATAGATATTTTTGTAAAATAATTAAATTTCAGTTCACAAAATTTACAACTAAGTTTTAGTTAAAAAATTTTTGTTAGTATAAAAGATCAGACAATGCAAGGAAATATTAATTAATTTGTTTGTTAATGATTTAAAGACATCAAGAAATATTACTTAAAACTAATTATCACGAAATTAGTTTGCTTCCAGGAAGACCAATATACGAATATGAATTGGATATATTAAATTCAACTCCAGAATTAATATAAGCTGCTTTAAAATAATTTAGACCATAAATTTTAGAAATGTTAAGGAATTATATGAGTATTGATAATAAAATCTATTCTCCTAAAATAATTGATGGAATTGAGAAAGCAAGATCAAAAACTTTGGGAACAATATAAAATCATGAAGAAGCAGAGTAAATAGTATCAATAAAACTCATTGATCGTTTAAGTGAAAATCATCTAAGCAAGAACTAAATAATTGCTAGATTAATTAAGTAAGTTGTTAGAAATCAATTCTAAATGGTTTCTATAGGGAAAATAGGTAGTAAATTATTCTGGAGTTAAAGAGCTGCTAAATAATAAGAGAACAATTTAGAAGTATTAATTTTATTTAAAATTTTAGATTTGGCCAGGAGTTGAATGCATTTATTAACCAAGTACTATCTAAAATTTCAAACCTAAATTAATTATAGATTGTGCATTTAGAATTCTAAGATACAGATCTGTTTTAGAGGAATTAATTTAATTCAAATAAAATCTTGACATAATTATTGGATAGATAGTGATGACCACTTATAATAAAAAGTTTTACCAAATTTCTGGTATAGAAGTAAAAATGAGTCCAAAATCTACATTTTTAAATTAAAATGGTGAAGCTATAACTTTTGAAAAGTATTATAGTTCAAAGTATAATTAAAAAATTGAATCAAATTAACCTTTATTAAAGGCAATTGTCAAAGGAAAGAGAGATTAAAATGAAAAAGAGATTTTTTTAATCCCTTCTCTTTGTTAAATGACTGGGTTGACTGATGAAATGAGAAATGTAATAAGATATTATATTTTTTTAGGATTTCAACGCAATGAAAAAGATATCAGAAATAACAAAACCTTCAGCTGAAATTAGAATGAGAACAGCATAAGATTTTATTTAATAACTGTAAAACACAAAAATTATAAATAAAAAGGATAATACTTAAAAAGTAGTTTTAAATGAATGGGGATTAGAGATAAAAAAAGATTGCATATAGATTTCAGCTCAAAGACTAGATCCTGGAAATATGTTAATGGGGAGAGATTTAAAATTAAATTTAGGAGATAACAAAACAAATTTAGATAGATAAACACAAACTTAAATGTATTAAACACCTCAATAACAACTAATGTTAGCAATTTTTTACAATGCAAATACAGGCAAATAATCATTAACTTCATTCTTAGAAAATTATAAATTAGCTTGTGGAGAATTTCAATTTAATGCCTTTTATTAACCAAAAGTCATTGAGATGTAATAAGATAGAGAAGAGGAATTAGAAAGATTATTATAAGAATTAAAGGTTTTTGTTGATGAAAAAAAAATAAAAGTTAATTTTTTATTATTTTTGTTACCAGGTTAAAAGAAAAAAGCCAGATTATATAAAGCTTGTAAAAGAATCTCTATGGCTAAATTTGGTTGTGCATCTTAAGTTATTATAGAAAAAACTTTAAGCAGAAATACAAGATCTATAGTAAATAAGATTTTAATTTAATTAAATGCAAAAATTGGAGGAACTCCATGGGCATTAGATGGTATACCTGATATATTTACAAATAAACCTACAATGATTTGTGGTGTTGATATTTTTACAAAGATTGGAAGAAAAAGTCAATTAGCATTTTGTAGCACCATTAATAGAAATTTCAGCAGATATTATTCTTAAGTGTTAACATCTGGAGAATTTTGTTTACACTTATAATAATGTTTAAAAGCTGCCTTAATTGCTTTTAAATAAGAATTACAAGTTTATCCAAAAAATGTAATTATATATAGGGATGGAGTTGGAGATGGTTAATAAGCAGCTGTATTAGGAACTGAATTACCATAATATAAGTAAGCCTTAAAAGAGTTAGAATTAAATGATGTATCACTTACTCTAGTCATCTGTAATAAAAGAGTTTCTGCAAAATTTTACACTGGAGGTTAAGGTAGAGCAGAAAATCCACCTCCAGGTACAATTATAGATAATAAAATCATCACAAATGAGGAAGCAATAAAGTTTTATTTAATCTCTCAATTAAGTAGATAAGGAACTGTAACTCCAACTCTTTATAAGGTTCTTTATTCTGATTTGCAAGGTATAATTATAAAATATAAATAAGGTATTGATTAAAGTATTAAAATAATGACTTTCAAATTATGCTGGCTATTTTATAATTTTACAGGTTCAATCAAAATACCTGCACCAGTCCGTTATGCACATTGTCTCTGTAATTTTATTGGAGATAATTATGATGATAAAGATAAAATTAAATTTCTTCCACAATCAGACTTAATTCATCAAAAAGTGCTATTTTATATTTGATTTATATATATTATAATTTTAATAATCAATTATAAGAATTATATGACTATAAGAAACGATACAGGATTAATTAATAAAGAAATCGATAAAATAATATAATTTCGTATAGGTTTGTTTTGAGTAAGAAATATTATTCAAATCTTAGATAGTAGTTGATTAATTATTTATTGTCTATTCAAATTAATCTATATTTAATAGTAAAGAGTTTGAATATTATTATTCAAGAATGTAGATAATTTTGATTAAAGATTGAAGATATTTTCAAGATTTTCTTGTTAATTGGTTATTATATTCTCATGATTGTTAGACATTTATATTATCACTAGAAATCAGTTTAGATTAAGATTATTAATATACAAGAAATTTAAGATTACTTGTATGGATATATTTGTATAGATTTTGAAGGAAAAATTTATAATTTACATAGAATAGCATTGAATAGTATATAAAGAAATTATGTTTGAGATACAAAAAATAAATTTAAAATTTATTAAATCTAATCTAATCTGAATTTAACATGAAAATATAAAATGCAAATATATGTTTCTCATGTTAATTGCATATAAAAATCAACAAAAAATTGAAAAATTTAATATATTTATTTATTATATTACATAAAAGGGTAATTCATGTCTCATAGAAGTCTTTCTATTGATTATTCTGAAAAATTAGATACTTATGGGGATGGTTGTCTTCCTGAAACCTAAGCAATCTCAATATTATTTTTGAATTACTTAAAGACTTAATCCATTAGCGAATCAGATACCTTAAGAAAATCGAAAGAATATTTAAAGAAGTTATAAACTGCTATAGTAATTTTGATTTGGTATGAATCCATAGCATTTTTTGGTTGCATTACAATTCTTATAATTAGTTAGGAATTATAATTAATATAAATTGCAATAGGACTATTTATCAAATTATTAATATACATTGGATTAAGTAATTCAACAAGAAAATAAAAAAAATATATTGGAATGAAATCTACAATCACTAGAAAAATATTCTTAAATTTTTTATTGTAGAATATAAATATTAATCCTGAAAATAGAGTTGAAATAAGATTAGTTGACCAAACTATTGCATGTAAATTGACTTTTAAATAGATTTTTAAGGAATTTGTAAAATTACATATAAAGTCTATAATTATCATTTTATTGATAACTCTAGCGATCTATATTACTTATTTTGAATTTATTCTTTCAGAATTTAATGTTAATAAATATCTGATTTTCTCTGAATTTGCATTAATTACATTACCACTTACGTTAATTTTAATAACATTAATTTCAATTTTAGTATTTATTGGATTTACTTCCTTAATCAATGTTATTCATTTAATAATGAGAGCTATAATTAAGATTATTGTTTCCATCCCAGGTGTTTTAATATCTATATTAAAGATTTTGAGAATAAAAAAGGAAAAACATTTTGTTTTGATGAAATATATTCACAATTAATTTACATAGAAGGATAATTGTTCAATTTGTTTATGTTCAATTTAGAATTAAGGCATTTTATTACCTTGCAAACATCTTTTTCATATTAAATGCATTGAAAAGTGGTTTTTTTAAAATAATTCATGTCCTATATGTAGATAAAAAATTACTAATAAAAATGAAAATCAAGAATAATGAATATAATGTTTATTTGTAAAATATTATTTACTATATTAATTAATTTTAATTATAATTTTAAAGTAAATAAAAGATAATTCAAATTTACAATGCTATAATTTGATCATATTAAACTTATATTATTATCAATTATTATTCATTCAATTAAACAATAAGAATAAACAAGTATAATATAAATATTACAATGAATAAAAATTGATTTTTATGATAAAATTTGATTGGCTAATTTTTGCATCATTTGGATTTATATCCCATATACAACCTCCACTTTTAAATTACATTAATATCAATTCAAAATATACAAAAATGGCTGGAAAATCTGGAAAAGGAATCGGTAAAGTAAGTGCAAAGAGACATGCTAGAAAACCAAACAAAGCTTCAATTGAAGGAATCACAAAACCTGCTATCAGAAGATTAGCTAGAAGAGGAGGAGTCAAGAGAATTTCATCATTCCTTTATGATGACTCAAGAAATGTTTTAAAGAGTTTCTTAGAGAATGTTGTCAGAGATGCTATCACATACACTGAACATGCTAGAAGAAAGACCGTCACTGTTATGGATGTTGTTTACTCATTAAAGAGATAAGGAAGAACACTCTATGGATTCGGTGCATGAGTTTTATTTTCATTCAGAATTAATTAATTCTATTCATACATCTTCTTCCTTTTAGTGCCTATATTTGTATATCAATTAATTGTTAATCTAAATTATTAAATTAAAAAAATATTACCAAAGAAATTTTACACAATTTTATGAATTCCATTTATATGAATAATCTACTGAATTTCACTATTTCTATTTAAATAGTAATCAAATATGTGAATAAAAAATACTTTTTTTAATTAATACTTATATAATTAATATTGAATGATAAACTTTATATATTTATAGAATTAAAATTTTTGTTATTTAATATTAATTTCATAAGTCATATTTACTATCTTCAATATAGAATTAATTAAAGTCAAAAAGATTGAAAAGTATAATAAAATTGAATTTTCTTCAATATATTTGATGTTTGATAATTCTCTATTAATTAGAAGAATATTATTTTTTAATCTATTTAGTAATAGATAAATACTAACTTAATTAGATAGTATGCATTTTAATTTTAATTATTTATTTAGTGTTTGATACAAAAGATTTATATTCCCTAAGAATTTAAGAATATAATCACATTTCTGCTTATTGATTTACTTCTAAATAGTAAGTAATATAAAAAAGTATTATTTGGAAATATATTGTATGAAATCGGGAAAAATAAACAAAAAATTAATTTTTAATTAAATCTTTTTCAAAATGAAAACCCATGTCGAAGTTTCAAGTCAAAGAAGAAAGGGCAGAAGAGCCTAATTAGGTGCACCATCAAACATTAGATATAAATTAATGAGCGCTCATCTTTCTAAAGATTTAAGAAAGAAATACAATGTTAGAGCATTGCCAGTTAGAAAGGATGATGAAGTCACTGTTGTTAGGGGTATAATTGTAAATTTGAGGTTAGGCACACATAAGGGAACAAAGGGTAAAGTTTCATCAGTTTATAGAAAGAGATGGGTTATTCAAATTGAGAAACTCACCAGAACAAAAGCTAATGGTATATTAATAATTGTTATTGTAGGAATGCCATACTAAATCCCAATCAGACCATCATAATGCATTATTACAAAACCTTACCTTAATGAAGACAGAAAATAATTGTTAGCAAGAAAGGCATCAGCCAAAGTATCAACAAAAGGAAAGGGTGAAAAACACACAACTGAAAGCACTAAGAAAGCTGATTGATTTATTAAAATATAGAAGTACATTAGAAATATTCTTTTTTTTTGCCACATATTTATTTATAAAAGTAATATATAATAATATTTCATTATTCATCATCTTCTAACTAAAATCCATTAAATTTTTTTAAATTTTCTAAATTGGGAAAGTGTTTCTCAAAGTTTTTAGCTAAATTTAAGATTTTTGCTGCAACTTCTACTAACTAATCTTGATCAACTTAAATAATATCAGCAACATCTTTAATCTATTGATATAAATAAAATTATATACTTAACTATCAGCATTAAAAGTTGTTTCTAATTATTCAACTATTTTGAATGCAACAAATATTAAGGCAGCAGATAATAATGTATAATTATTCTTGCCACATATTTCATAATCATACAAAACCATTTTGGCAAGATACAAACATAATTTTTTTAAATATTTGTAATTTTTCTCAAGCAATTTAGATTCAATAAAACAATTTGTTAGAATTAAATTGTACAAGTCAAAAAGTGTTCCACCAACTAGATCAAATCCAATTGTTTAAAGTATTTCACTCTCTTTTTTTTTAATTTGATCAGTTGTTAATTTTTTATGAGCAATTTTCTCATAAACAACAGATAATTTCATAGGATGAATTTCTTCATATTTGGCAGCAATAAACATAGATGTTACACCACATAGATGTAAATCAGATACTTCTAATTATTTTTCATTTTTTGCAAAATAGAAATCTAAAGTTCTCACTGCTACAAAAAATGTTTAATCAGTGCATTTATAAGAACAAAGTACTTCTACCATCCAATCAATCATCTTAGCCCTTAAATTACTAGGTATTGAATGAATTTTCAAAAATTCTTATGGTGTTGATTTTTTCTAAAATTTTTTAATTGATAAATACTTCTTATTCTTTTAAATAGAAAAATATTTCATCTGTGTAATATTTTTACAAATTTTTATTTTCTTGAATAGTATGATCAAATTTTGGTTTAATTGTGATATTCTACAATTCTTGAGGTAGAGTATAGAGTTTGGTTGTGATTCCTTTATGTTGAGGCACATTTTCTTTGTCTTCCAACACATCTTGATTAAGGGATCTCTTTACTCTATCTTAATTAAGCATTTTCCTTCTTAAGTCATTGTTACTACTAAGCATTGACTTGTTGATTTGTTGGGTGTCTTTATTTTATACATAATGGATTTACCTTCATTATACAGCATGGTCAAATTCCTTCTTACAGGGTCTCTATTTTCTATATATGTCTTAGTAATTCTTCTTAAAGGTTATTACTATTGATTTTCTGGAACTCCACTTAGTGATCTGTTGTATTTAATTTCCATAATTTATTCGTTAAAATAATTAACGTCGCGCAAAATTAATTATAATATAAAATCCACAAAAATACAGGAAATAAAAATATTAATAAAAATAATCCCTTTTCACTTTATTTTATAAAATAAAATTTTATAAGTTCATATAATGAAATAAAACAATGGCTAAACACCAAACAATGAAAACTTAAGAGTAGTTATAAGAGTCCGTCCACCAATGGCTAGAGAAATTAATGATGGCAAATTCATCTCAACTGTTTAAGTTGCCCCAGATAATTTATAACTTTGCATATTTGATTATCATGCAATAGAACTTGTTCCTGATGAAGATTTAGAATAATATGTATCTAATCCATCTAATTACACTCTCCATTAATTTACCTTTGATTATGTTTATGATCAAGATAGCACATAAGAATAAGTGTATAATACTACAGCAGCATTATCAGTAGATTCAACTTTGCAAGGATACAATTCAACCATAATAGCATATGGTCAAACTGGAACTGGCAAAACATATACAATGCATGGATTTAGTTTCAATCCTAATTCTGATTAATTAGGTATTATACCAAGATCTTTGCATAATATATTTAATCACATTCAAATGAAAAGTAATTCATCTACAACTTTTATGGTTCGAGCATCATATTTGTAAATATATAATGAAAACATTAATGATTTATTAAGAGATTCTCCAACATTAAATATAAGAGAAGATAAAAAGAGAGGAGTTTTTGTTGAAAACTTGTCAGAATGGGCAGTAAGAGGTCCAGCTGAAATTTATTAATTAATGCGTAAAGGTAATGCTAAAAGAGTGACAGCAAGTACTAGAATGAATGATACAAGTTCAAGAAGTCATGCCGTTTTTATTATTACAGTTGAATAAATAGAAGAGAAAGCTGAAGGAAAATCTGCAAAAGTTGGTAAATTGAATTTGGTAGATTTGGCTGGAAGTGAAAGAGTTCGAGTAACAGGAGCCACAGGTTAAAGATTAGAAGAATCTAAAAAAATAAATTAATCTTTATCAGCTTTAGGAAATGTTATTGCAGCTTTAACTGAAAATAGAGGTTCTAAACCTCATATTCCTTATAGAGATTCCAAAATAACAAGATTATTAGAAGATTCTCTAGGTGGAAACTGTAAAACAACCTTTATGGCTATGATATCACCAGCTATTGATGCATTTGGAGAGTCCTTATCAACATTAAAATTTGCAAATAGAGCTAAAACTATTAAAAATACTCCAATTGTAAATTAAGATGGAGATCAAGGAGCTTTATTAAGAAAATATTAATAAGAAATTTAGAAATTGAAATCAGAATTAGAAGAAAGAACAAAGTAACCACTTGAAAATTTAGTTAATGAATTAGAAAAAGAAAAGCAAAAGGCTTTAGAAGATAAATAAGAAGCTCAATCTGCTTATGAATAAAGATCAAAAGATTTATTTAAAGAAACAGAATTAAGAAAATAATTAGAAGAAAAGATTTCAGCATTAAATTCTCAAATGTTAGTAGGTGGATAAAAAATTGAAGAAACCCCTTAATTTTAAAGTGCCTTAGAAAAGTAATAAAGATTGATAAGATAACAATACCAAGAAAAATTAACAGAATTAGAGAAAGAAAGATAATCAATTGAGGAGGATAAAGCTTAAACAGATAAATATAAGCAATTATTATTAAAATAAAGAGATATTATGATAGCATTAACTAATAGATTGAATGATAGAGATGAAACTATACTTCAACTATAGGAAGAATTAGATGTTTATGAGAAATTATAAAAAGAGAATGAGGATTAACTTCATTCACAGTAACTTAAATTGGAATAATTTGAAGAATTATTTATGGAAAATAAGATTGAGATTCCTTTAGTATTGTAAAATCAAAAATAATATAATAAAGAAAAGATTTTGGATATCTAAAATGATGTATAAATTTAGAAACTGGAATCAATACCTGTGTAAACTTTACATAATAATTAATAAGTTTAATCAGATGCTCTTATATCTTATGAACTTAAAAATTAGATTGAAATAAACAAATAAATTCAATTTGATTTGAAATTAACAAGAACTGAATTGGAAAAAAGTAAAAATGAAATAGAATAATTAAAGAAACAATAAAAATAAGATTAAATCTCTATAATTGAGAATGCAAGAAAATCAGTTGATAGAATATTGGAATAATTAACTTCTGAATAGAGTGAATAAAATTTAGGGAATGTTGCTAAAGAATTAAATTAATTATAAAAGATGCTAAAGTAAGGTTTATAACCATCCAGAAATCATGTTAAAGGTCAATACTCTTTTAGTAAATCAACAAGTGACTCTCCAAATAAAATAGTGCTAATAAATAAATAAAATGATTAAATGGCTAAATCAACAGGATAATTAGTAAAATTAATGCAAATGAAGCCGTAACCTAAACAAAATTAATCTCCTGTCTTAAGGTATTGTATTTATCTTTATATTTTAGTTCAAAATTGAAATAAAAACAAAAATCTGTGGGAGATCTCTGGAATTAAATTTGAGTTTTTAATTAAAGTCTCTTGATATTATTTTAATTACAATATATATATTAATCAGTTTTATCAATAGTTTACTTTGATTTTTTCGCAATCTATTTATTCACATATAGCTTTTAATGGATTTTGTTTGAATTTCTTATCAAATTCAGGTATATGTTAACCATTAATATTTATCCATGGAATTTCAACTAGATTTTATGCAAGCGTATATTTGGCAGCTTTATGTTATAAATAATTCCCAAATTTAGATAATGCACATTTTAATGTCCTTTCATATACGCATTCTTAATTTTAAACACATCTTTTAAGGCTTAAATTAATTTATTCTTCATTATTTTATCTTTCTTGATGTATGCATGTTAAATAACGTAATTATTCAATCTAGTCTAATTGTTCTAAAACACATGAATCTATCAGATTTCCATAACATTCTTTGTTACCATGTTAACAGTTGAATTCATATCCTTGATTTACTACTAATTTTTCATTTCCTTTTCCAAATGGAATAAAATTAAATTCAACATATTAGTTAATTTATTCATAATCAAGTAGGGCTTTCATTCTTTTAAATAATCTAACAGTATCTGGACACTGGCTTTCAATAAAGATATCAATTTAAGTAGCACAATTAATAGGAAAAATTAAAGTAAAAATAATTGAAAACATTTAATTTATTAATAAAAATAACATATTTATTTAAATATAATTGAATATTATAAGTTTATGATTTATAAAGAAATAAGAAAATTGATGAGGAATAATACTTAAATAATAATAATTAAAACTAATATCTATAGACATATTAATTAAGTTTGTCATAAGATAAAAGGTAGACCAATTCTGGTTATTGGTGTCAAAGCAAGTTGATGAATTTGATCAATATTCCACCATTTACAATCAAGTAATTCATTTTAACATATTTTGAATTCATCTTTGAATATTTCTACTTCACATCCAAAATAGAAATCTTATTTACCCCATCTAGATTAAGGTTATTAACCAAAAAAAATAATAGATTTATATTATGAATCTACTCCTATTTCTTCTTAGATTTCTCTTGTAATTCCTGCTTAAATTGTTTCATTTTCTTATAGTAATCCAGCTGGAAAAGCCCAGGAATATCTAACTGGTCCATTGGCTTCTTAGACTAATAAGATTTAATTTTGTTTTCTAATAATAGCACCTACACCAATTGAACATTTATTTTAAGGTTATGCGAATGCTAGAGTAATAGTATCATTTTTAGTTTCAAGCATTTAATAACCTTATGAAATATATTTTGAAAGTAGGAATAATTAAGTTTTAGAGAGAATTATTTAATTATTCATAAATAAAAATATTACTTAAAAATTATATGATAAACTCATGCTAATCCCTTTTCTTTCATGACCTCCAACATGGTTTTGCCGATTTAAGCAGGTGATTTCACTACTCTAATTCCTGCTTATTCAAGTGCTCTGATCTTTTCAGGGGCACTTCCCTTACCCTCTATTTAATCAATAAAGTTATATATTTACTTGATACAATAGCTCCTGCATGTCCCATTCTTCTTTCAGGAGGTGCTGTGATACCAGCAATAAATCCTACAACTGGTTTATTTTTAGGATTATTTTTCTTAATCCAATCAGCAGCCATTTCTTCATTTTCACCACCAATTTCTCCAATCATAACAATACCTTAATAAATATATTCTAATTAGATACCTTCTGTTTCAGGATCAACCATAAATCTTTCCAAAACATCAATAAAATTAGTTCCATTAAAAGGATCTCCACCGATACCAACAACTGTCGACTGTCCTAAACCAGCTCTTGTAGTTTAATCAACAGCCTCATATGTTAGAGTACCAGATCTTGAGACAATACCAATTTTTCCATTTTAATGTATGTATCCTGGCATGATACCGATTTTACATTCATTAGGTTTGATAATTCCTGGACAATTAGGCTATATTATTTAATTAGTTTGAATACTCCAATAACACGTGTAACTGATTAAGATCTTAGAGCATGTTTAACTTTAATCATATCATGTTAAGGAATTCCATCAGTAATGACAACCTTTTCATTTTAATCAAGTATGATACCACTAATCCAATTTATGCTTCAATAGCTTCAATAATGGCTGCAGCAGCTGTAGGAGGTGGTACATAGATTACAGATGCATCACATTAAGTGGCTGATTTAGCTTCTTGGCAATTCTTGAATACAGGTAAACCAAGATGTGTACTTCCAGCCTCTAAATTAATAGAATTGACATTTACTCTTTGGTGAAACTCCACCAACCATTTTTGTAAAGTAGTTCAATGCTTACTCAGTTTAGAATGTGCCCTAGTTTAAGATTAAATTGTATACCTAATTACCAGTGATACCTTAGCATATGACTTTGGTATGCTTATTGACCCATACATAAGGAGCAGTGGTTGATGAAAATGCACGAAAGATTTATCTGCCAATCATTTATTTTATTTAATCTATATATATATTGAATATAATTTCAATAAACTACATCGCATTAATTAACTAAAATTTAGTGAATAATAAAAATGACTAAAAACTCTGTTCCATCATTTATTAATTAATGTTTTCAGATCCTTAGTTCAATCCTTTAAAGAAATTGGTTTACTCTAAGTTGAATATATAAGAAACAGAACGTATTGATATTTCAGCAATTTTGTAAATATTGATAACTATTTCAAAAGGGACACTTATATCCATAAATATCATGGTCATTCTCTATTAAGAGATGATGTGTTTTTAATGTTAGCAATTAGTATTATAATAAAAAAAAGAATGAAAAAATTAAAATAATAGATTCTTGAGGCTAAGGAATCCATTTTCAATGATAATAATAATAAAATTTAAAATTAAAATTTGGTTACTCCTATTGCAAAAAAAAGAAAGGTTTAGAAATAAAGAAGAGAATAAATAGTTGTTGACAATTAATTAATCAAATTACCTAATTATTTCTCATAAACTTAAAGTAAAAATTTTAATTTTATAATTTTTAGATTCATAATTAGCCAAAGAAGAATCAATATTGCTACCTGGTAGTTAATAAACATCATTTCATTCTTAATAATAAATTATGCAAATAGAAGAGGAAGGAATTGCTCCTGAATAAATTTTTGTTCCCGATTATAGAGATTTACTTAGAAATTAAGGTCTTATGCAATAAATACATCAACAAGATGAAAATATATTTTAAACAGAAATAAAACAAGCAAATATAGAGAATGGTGTTGTTTATAATTTGTATTAATAAATGTTAGAATAATTACACATCAGTATAGATGCTGAAAGCGTATGTAATGAAGAATGTGAAACAAGATAAAATACTAGGAAAAAAATAAAGGTTTAAATGGATCAAGGAATCAGAAAACAAAAGATTTAGAATTATAAGAGTTAATTCTATGAATTAGAAGATGAGGAATCTCATTTATTATAAAAACTAGAATCATATCTTATCAATGAATATAAGATATAACACTAAGATTAACTAACAAATTAAGATGAAATGTTACAATAGATTTTCTCGTGTCTTAATGATTCCAGTTACTAAAACTAATTATTATCTATGGTTAGTATTATGAATCCAGAAGAAATCTACTTAAATTAATCATGTGAAAGTAACAATAAATCAAATGTCTCTGTAAAATCTGTTCTTAGAAGTAGGAACTTAAGTGAGGATTCTATTAAAAGTTTAAAGAGAATACATTTTGTTGAAGAATAACATTTAGAGGAGATATAAGAAGAATTGTCTAATCACTATAATACTTCAATGTCTCTATTTTAAGAAAAATCAAGTTATGATAAAGCAGTATAATTTTATCATATACTTTGTGATGCTTAATCTTTAACTAATGTGAAAATTACTTAGTTAAATGTAGAAAAGTTTGGACCAATAAGTATTTAATATAAATGATTGTTTTTATTATAAAATGTTGTAATAATAATTTTACTATGACGTGTTTAAAATAGTCCAATAGATGTCTGCCAATTAGATTATCACCACAAATGAAAAGGAAAATTTAAAAAGTCATAATTCATCTATCTATATTTAGATATAATAATAAATCATGATTCAAAGTTTGTATAGACCCTTGATACTATTTATAAATCAGAAGAAAATGAAAAATTTGAGAAAATTGTTGCTGAAATCAAATCATATATCAAATCCATGAGACAAAGAAAACCGAAATATTTGAAAAACAAATAAATGCGTGTTATTACTGATGAAACAGACAAAAACATATATGATGATATAATAGCAGAAGTCTCTTCAGATAGTGATTCAATGTCCTGAATATTTTTGATAATAATCTTTACATTACTTTATTATTATAATTTTATAAATATCTCAACAAGCTATTATTTACAAAGCTAAATAATTCAATAAATTAAAAAAAAACACATCACATTCAATATGATATAAGTTATGCTTATTCTAATAAAATTTTGAATTCAAAATAAGACTTCAATTTATCTGACTCCCCAAGGTATTATTTACATCTTATCAGTAGATCTACACTTATACAAAAAGAGATCTTAAAGACTGATCAATAAACATTTTAAAATGAAATTAACTACATATATAATTAATAAATATTTATTTATTAAAATGTATGATCAGGATGTGAAATCAATCCTAAATATAATTTTTTATAAATTTTATATTTCAATAAATAAAAAATAATTTCTAATTTATGATCCTTATTTTCCTTCTTCTAATCAATATAGAAATTACTGATTCTATATCCCTTTATATATACTTGAATAAATTTTTACTCGTAAAATGTATTATTTTTTTTATTATTTATGAGGATCATGTTAGGTCTTAGAATTCAAGTAAAATTATTCTTATTAATTAATTTATAAGTTTAAGTTATTTTTAATAAAAGAACTATTGCATATCTCAAAATATAATTCTCAAATAAATTAGAAATTTATAAATTTCATAGATTAATATATAGAGTTTACATTCTTTAAGATTAAAAAAATGAAACGAATTCAAATTTAAACAAAAAATAAAATTAGTATAAAAAATTAACGATTAATAATAATCAATTGGGTTATTGTAAAGGGGGAGGTTATTGTACAACTTCTCCAGTTTTTGGATCCCACAATTCTCCTGTATCTGGATCTTGAACTAAACCATCATCAACTTCAACTATCTTTTTAGGTTTTGGCTTCTTCTTTTTCTTATCAAAAAATAGTCGATCATCTTAATGAATTGGCTTTAAAAGCACAGGTTAACCTTAATCTAGAAAAGGACGCATTTAAAATTCATTGAATTCCTTTAATTTTTAATCAACCGATTAAGAAACATTGTAAATTAAATAATTCTATCTTCTCCTTTACCAAATTTCTTCATTTTCTCTTTCCAGTTCTTTTATTCTTCTTTATATTTTATTTGTTTATTCTTCTTCTAATCTTTTATACTTCTATAATAAATTTGTAAGCATTTCTGACTATCTCTCAAGAAGTGCCAACATTTTCTCTTCTCTAATTTTAGCTAATGCATCATCTTCATTAAATTATACAGCAACTGGCCAAATCATCTATTATACAGGATGAACAATTGGTTAAGGAGGCGGTTGAATAGGTTATACAACAGTTTCCTCAGCCTCTAAATATTTCTGTTTGTATATTACCACCATCAATTGGAATTAATTTTCTATGTATTCGACGAGTAACAACAGGTTATTAAAAAGAAGGCGTTTAAAATTAAGTAGATGATTTGGATATCAATCTTTTAGTAGAAGTATCAATCAATCCAGGTTATTAGGATGCAAGTAAAACTTGTTCACTTTGTTTCATAAATATATAAAAATTTATAATATTTTGTATATATTCTTTTATTCTAGAATTATATTGCAATCAAATTTTTATATACTAATTATATTACTAGTTTTAGAATATTTTATGGATAAATTCAAAGTTTAAGAATAAAATTTGCATCAATCACATTAATCAAAGTTTGTAACTTTTAGAGATTGCTAGAATATTTATTATTAAAATAAACAATTAAAAATAAAAATATTTATTCATTTTGTAATTGTGCATTTTTCTATAATTAATTCTCCATTTATTAATTTGTATTTATAAACTCCCATTTCATCACCTAAACATTCTAAAATAACAAATTCAGGTTAAATTATTGCATCTCTAATAATAAATAATTATTTAACTATTTAATTGATCCATAAGCTCCACTCATTGTTCCAGGATTTATAAAAAATTTCCTTTCAAATTTGCTTATTAAAGATTGATGAGAATTTCCAAAAACTGCAATATCACATGAATTTTCTTTTAAAAATACACTAATTGTTTCTTCATCATTCCAAGGTACAAATTAATGTCCATGAATCAATAAAATTTTCCATATTCCTATTTGAATTACTTTTTGATCATTATGGATTTCATTGTTTTCCTAATATCAAATAGGAAGTCTACATCATCATATTAGCCTCGAACACAATGAAAATTTTGTGAAATTTACTTTAACCAATCAAAAGTCTCTTTATTTCCAACATTTCCTGTACAAAGTACATGTTATAATTTATTTACTCCTAAAGCACTTACAATTTTTTCATGAATTTTCTACATCCTAGTACCAATATGCAAATCTCCACATAAAAGTATAATCTAAGAATTTTAAATCTTATTTACATCACCATAATTTGATTCTTGTGTCATATATTATATTATTTTATTAATGAAAATAATTTCCTTTTGTAATTAAAAATAATAAATCAAGTAATTAGCATATCATATATATTTAATAAAAACTATTTAAATTAAACAATTCTTATAAATCTATTTTAAATTAGTTATTAGGAATCTAGTATAAATTAGTTGTTATTCATTTTAATTGAGCGATTTCAAAAAAAAATCTAATTAAATATTTATAATGAAGAATGCAAGTAGATGAATTATTATTATTTTCTAATGTTAAAATATATTTATATATTCAAATTTGTTCATCTTTTCATAAACAGTCCTTAATAGGTTGATACAATGCATTCCACTAATTTATCTGAGTAATTACCATTTAATTTAATTTACATCTAATTATTTTTTGATGAAATTGAAATTAAAAAAATAGATTTTTCAATTTAAATTCTTGCTAAAGCTTCAACAAATTGATCATTAATTTAATTAATTTAGAAATCAGGTAGCAATTATCCTATTTGATTTTAAAAGCTTGTTTAAAAGACTTTACTATTATAAAAATATGATTTAGGACTTTCTTATGGTACTTCTAAATATGTAAAATATTTATTTATTGTGCAAGGAAGACAGAGTTTGATGCTATGCAATTTTGATTATATTGAATAATTTATTGTAAGCTCTAACAATTAATAGGGAAGTTATTCAAATGATATATATACCTTTTAGAATACTTATTCATTTCCTTTAATAGATTATTAAATATTAGTCGGATAACTCTAAAATTATAGATTCTGAGATCTTTAATATTCTATGCATAAATTATGCATTTATTCCTAGGTTCTGTTATGTAAGACTAAATTTATTAAGAGTTATTAATTTGATTATAAACTAGTTTAAACTCCAATTTATAAATTTTCATCAGAGTATAAAACGGATTTTTTAAGTAAACAGGATTATCTAAATTTTACTGTAAAGGCATCAGGCAAAATAGCAAAAATCTTTCCATCATAATCTACAAACGGAGAAGTTATTTCTTTTGACCCTCTAGATTTAGGTTAAGAGACAGATTAAGGAGAGTACATAGGAACTTTATTTAGGGATATATTATTACCTTTATATTAAGTAGACACTGTATTATAAGAGAATACAGAATTAGTATGACCAGAGTGTAATAGAAATTTATCAAATTTAATCAATTAGTTTTATAATGTCTAAATATACTATTATTATCCTAAGATTTATTGTCTTAAAGATAAAAACAAAGAGTTTTAAAATCCTGAACTCTTTTATTTTTTTGAAACCATCGTACCTGTTTAGCTTATGTTAGTCATTGTATTCTGTCTATATTCACTTAAACATTATTATGTTGATATAATAGTTTGCTTAGTATTTTATATAAGTCTTCTCTCTAAAACTAAAATTGTTTAGTTTAAAGTTTTATTTTCTTCTTACAATTAATTTTTTTTTCTTATAGTTTCATCTAATTTTTCAGTTAATTCTTCAATTTTAAAATCAGATTTATATACAAGAGATTTCAATTTTTCAATTTCATAACTTTGATCATAAATTCCAAAATGTAATTTTAATTTTGTAACCTATAAATAATAATATATAATTATTACATCAGTTTGAAATAATTCACTATTAGATAAGTCATTAGAAGTTAAAAACTAATTAATATTGTTAGAAAATTGTTTTTATAATTGCTATATTTCATTTTGTAATTCATTTATTTTTTATTCTTTATCTAAAAGTTGTTTTTCTAAACTAACAATTTTATTTTATAATTAAATAACTTAAGTTTGAAGATCTGGAACTTTTATTGATAAAGCATTATATAGATTTTGAAGGCAAAGATTTTCAATCTATAATGTCTCTTATGATAATGGATTATATAAGGGATCTTTTTTGGTAATCTCTAGATTTTCAAATTCTTTTTCTAATAGAAATGTTGCCTTTCTTAATACTTTTTTTCTTTAAATAGGATTTTTATTTTTAATCTAAATAAAAAAATCACTATATGTAGTATATTTATGTTAATAAAAAAGATGTGCTGGATTCATTGCCAAATAATTTCTAATTTATTTAGTTGAAAGATTAGCTTAGTTTTTAAGTAGTTCTCTTAATTAAATAATCATTGATAAAGGAATTAATTAATGAGGAATATTCTATTCAATGTTGTCAAAATAAATGATCTTTGGAAACTTAACCCCTAACTTTACTAACTTTTCATAAGTGATCTTAAAAGAACTTAAATAATATGATTAATAGTCTAGAGGAAACCATCGACTCCAAACTCTTATACATTCTAATACAACTCTTATAAATTATTCTCCAATAACTTACAAATCTCTATTATCTAACAATATTTTAATTAATAAAACCTTAATTTGGACTTTCACCATTTAAAAAATATGTTGTTCCTCTATCTGGGTCATCTGATGTATATTTATATTTTGCAATTTCTTCAAATAATGGCAATAACGTTTTTTAGAGTGTATAAATATAATTGCTATTAAATGTTTCGACAAGTTCTTTATTTAACTAATTTTAAATAGAATTATACTTTTAAAGCCATCAATTTTGTATTTGGACTTTCAAATGGATCTTTGATTATTTTTACCATAGATTATTGAACCTATTTAATAAAATAACTATAATTTATATAATGAAAATGTCACATATCAGAATATAAGATTTTGAGTTTGAATTCTTCTGTTTTTGTGTAAGTCTCATTTGAACTTAAATATTATCTCAAAATTTAGGTTTCCATATAATTATTAATATAATAAATAATATAATGAAATATCAAAATTTAAACTTTTTAAAGGGTTTCATAAAAGGACCATAAGAGAATTTAGGATCTGTTACAGCAGGATAATCTCCTTTTTATTTTCTAAATATAGTTTAATTTTCCTTAAATTTATCTTAATATTCCCTATTGAAATTTGGATAACACAAACCACCTAAATCAGCTATTTCACCCATTCCACCCTTTATTATCAATGCATAATTATACTTTTTTCTTATGCAAAATCTTCAATTCCTACTTTAGATCATGAAATGGTTATTATTTTCCTTGAGTAAAAGAAATAAAATCAAATTTCACTGATGGTACATTCATCATTGATCCTGGTTGTACTTATTTTATATCTTATTGAGAATTGTTAACTTTGGAGGATGATGTCTGTTGCATTTATACTTATTCTTGAGCTAACTCGAATTTTGCTTTTCTTGGAAAAGGGTGATCCTATGATTAACCCAATTTCCTTAATGGAGGCAAGGATTATTGTTATCTATTGAAATCTACACAAGTTATGATATTATAGTCTCTATTTTCAATTTAGTATTTTGATGCTTTCATTATATATATATTTAATAATTATTTTAAGTTAATAATGGCAGAAGTACCAGATGAAATAAGGGATTTATAGAGTAATGTTGCCCTTAGTATGCTCACTGATCTTTTTAAGTTTAATTACTATAATATTTTATAGACAAGGTAAAATCAATTAAGAGCAATGTGATTCATATAAGAAAAAGTTTCATAAACTCCATGATACAGTTGTCTAAACCTTTAAGAATCATCACTTTTTATGGGAAAAATCAAAAAAACTAAAAACTCAATTAGCAACTGAGAAATAAAATCTCGAAACTGCTTTAAATGATCAAGTATTAAGTTCGAAAATACATTTAGGCTAATGCATAAGAAAAAGCATAAAATTTAAATGCAAGTTTAAAAAAGACAGAAGCAGAATATGAAATGATGGAATAATTAATTGATGCAAAATAATTTTAATGTGAAGAAGTAGAACATGAAAAATCTATAATATTAACTAGAATATCTGAATAAGAGAAAATGGCTAAGAGTAAGGCATTACCTGAAATGCTTTAAAAAGATGCTGAGATAGAAAGAGAGAGAGATTTATTATTAGAATATAAATAAAAAATTGAGAGTGAATAAAAAAGTATAGATGAGAAAACAGAAAAGATTGAACAATTAAAGATTGAGAATGATGAGAAACTTAATAAAATAAGTAAATTGAATGATGAATATATTAAAATAAAGGATGATCCAAATCGTTTTAGTAAGAATGCAGAAATGTTAAAGAGTGCAAATAAAATTATGTTAAAGGATTTATAAGGATACAAAGATGATATAGGAAAAAAGAATAAATAAATTGATGATTTAAATATGGAACTAAAAAAATTACAATTAAAATTATAAGAATATGAAACATAAATAGATGAAGAAAAAAGCATTACAGAAAAGAATTAAAGAGAATAAGCAATTTAAAATGATCTTTCATCAAAATTAAAAGAAGAAATAAGTGATTTAAGTAGTTAAAAAGTGGCTAATGATATTGAAATTAGAAATGGTTAATTAGAAATTAGAAGACATAGAGATACAGTCAGTTCTTTAAAAAAGGCAATTGATCTTGATAAAAAGGAATTAAAAAAATAATAAACATAAATGCAATAAATTAATGATACTCTACATGAATAAAAAATGATATTAGAAAATATAAAAAAGGAGATTGTGAATTTAAAGTATGAAATTGAAAAATAAAATGAAATTGGAGAAAATATTGCAGAAGAATATACTATGTTAGAAGGGAGAGTTAGAAAAGTAAAAGATAAAGCAGAAGAAAAAATATAGGAATAAACTAAAGTAGATAATGAAATTAAAAAATTTGAAAAATAAATGATTGAATTACAAAACTTTGAAGCTGAAGGATTAAAGAGAGTCAAAGCTTTAACAGCAACTAGAGAAAGTATGGCTAGAAAAGCATCAAGTGCATTAGCTGAAGTAAGAGAAACAAGAGAAGAACTCAAAATTAAAGAACTATTAATTATGGATCTACAAAAAAAAGCATAAGAAACAGAAGCTAAAGAACATAATTATAAATCATTATATGAAGAAGTCAAATAGGCAAGAAATAAATATGTCAATATGATATAGAATAGTTCATAAGATTTAGCAGAATTAAAAGAAAGAATTAAGATTTTATAAAATGAATTAGAAATTTTAAAAAATGAGTCTTAAGAAAAGGAAAGAACATTATTAGAATATAGACATTGTTTATAGGTAGAAGTACATAAGAAAGATAGAAGTCATGCAAAATTAAATAAATTAGAATATTAAAGGAAAGCAAAAAAAGAAATTATTGATTAAAATATTAACGAAATATAGAAATTAAATATGATCATATCTTCATTAGAAAAAGATATGTTAAATTTAAGAAAATAATATGAGTAAGTTTGTGAATCAAGAAATCATACAGGTATAGTATTGATAGATAGAAATGATGAATTATGTATTATGTATGAAAAATGCAACATTTAAGATAACATCTTAAAATCTGGAGAATTAGAAATAAAAAGATTGGAAGATGATATACGAATGATAAAGATTGAAATATAAGAATAAAAACGAAAAATAGATGTAGCAAGAAAGGATATTTTATAAATACCTTAATTATCATCAAAAGTTATTTAATTAAAAGATGAATTAGAATTAGAAAAAAAGAAAGAATCTTAACTTTCTGAAGAACTTGAAAATCCAAATAATTAATAAAGATTCAGAGAATTGGGTGGTGAAGATCCAGATTAAGAAGCATTAGATGCAAAAATACATGTCTTGGAAGAAAGATTGAATAATAAAAAAGAATAATTATTAGAAAAGGAATTAATTTTAGATGAAATTACAAATTTATCAGAAAAGCTGAGAAAATAAGCTTTGGATGGAAGATTATCAACACTTGAATTATCAGAAAAAGTGAATGAATTTTAAGCCAAATTAAAAGATTTAACTAGGAAAATGATGGCTACAATAGCAGAATTATCAATGTATTAGGCAACAGCAATTAAATTATAATAAGAAAAGGATGAATTAGAAAATGTTGTATAAGAAGCAAGATAAAGATTAGACAAAAGTTTACCACCTTTGCCAGAGCATGAGGATGAATATTTAAGATAATAGAAGGCTTAAATAAGATATTTAGAAGATAGGTTAATTATTTATTTATTGCTAGACGTTAAAGATTAGAAAAGGAATAATAAGATAAAACCTTTGAACCATTTTCTTGTAAGACTATGGCTAAATAAAGAGTTCAACAATATATTCCAGATGACAACATTGGTGCACCATTACCAAAGAATTATGGTAAATAAGCTCCATTTTATCCTCCTGAATCAAATGCTCAATTACGCTTCTACAAAAAACCTAAAGTTAAGGAAATAGAAATATGAAAATTATTAAATTTATATGATTAACTCATAATCATAACCTATTCACATAAATTAAAGTGCCTTTCCTATAAGTGAACCAACCATAGAGTAGATCAATAAAAAACAATATGGAGACACTCTAAGATAATAAATTGAATAAAAAAAGATGAGACAATAATAAGAAAAGATTCAAGAAAGACTTTTGGTATTGGATAACAATAATTTTAAAGGAATTGCAATTGGCTAATGGTCAAACAAATTCTGGAAGAGGAGGTGGAGGAGCACCTATAAGAGATCATTATGGAAATATAACTGTAAATAATAATAAATACCCTTATGATTAGACTACTAGAAGGAATCCTATGGATCCTAATTTATAGTCAGCTCAATTATTTGGTCCATCTAATCCTTCATTATCATCAAATTAATTTGATAATATGAGCATAAGTTAATTTCCTTCATAATAATAAAGAGTCATTACATCAAATCAAAGTATGATTAATTTACCTGTTTCTAATAATGTATGTAAATAATTAGAATTAGAGTATGAATTAAAGTTAATTGAGTTATATTGGAGAATAGATAGCTTTTAATGAGAAAAGATAAAAATAATTTATGTTACAAAGAGAATTAGTTTAATAAATGGAAGCTGCTGAAAGAAAGAAATAAGAAGAAAAATTGAGAATAAAAAGAGATAAAGAATTAGATGATTTGAGAGTAATAAGAGAGAGAGAGGAATTAGAACGAAAAATGAGAGAAGAATTTGGAATTGATAAATTAGAAAAAAGAAATTTATAAGAAACAAATTTTGATGTAGATGGATTGAAAGCATTAAAAAGATTAGAAATGTTAAAATATTAAAATGAATTAATTGAATAATAAAATAGAAAAAATGCAAAGACAGGTGTAAGATAAAGAACTCCAGTATAAGATGCAGAGAGAAATTATAAGGATTAATAAAATGATTTAATGAAATCAAGAATTGAATAAAGAATTATAAAAGAATTACCTATTGAAGTTGAAAAAACAGTTAGAGATACTATAAATGCTGAATTATAAAGATTAAGATAAGAAATGAATCTTTAAACTAACTAAGTGTCTGAATAAGTAGTATAATTAAAAGGTTAGTTATTAAAAGCAAATGAGAATAGACATTATAATGAAGATTAATTAAGAAGATTAAAAGAAGAATTAAGATAAACTTAAATTGTAGATGAAATTAGACAAAGAGAGCTTTACCAAGCATTTTTAAGTTAAGATAAAACAAGATAAATAATTGATACTACATAAAGATTAATGACTCCAGAATCTGTCAAATTTACATTTCCCAAAAGACCTAGACCATATTATAATTTAGCAGATCCTTACTTAGGCACTAATGATGAAGCAAATAAAGATCTTAATTAAATATTTAATGATAGTACATAGATGGTGCCTGTTTCTTATGATTATGGAAGTAATAATTATGATAAAGATAAAATTGAGGATAAGTTACTTTATTCAAAAGAAGAAATGACAGAAAATGGAAGATTAGGAGTAGAATTGAATTCAAATGATCTTTAAATGCCTGAAGATTATCTAAATAGATAAAAACTTTATGTTGCTAAAAAGTATGTTGATAATCGTCCTGGAAATAATTATGATCTAAGTAACATAGATAATACATCAATTTCTCCATAAACAAATTATGTTTCTTTAATTAGTAGTACTCACCCTCATTATATAATGGAAGAAGATGAAGTCAAGGATGTAATATATAAATATTCTAGTAATTATATTTAACATAAATAGATAAATTGGATAAATTAGAGGAGATTGATGCTCATTAATAAAGAAAGAATTATAATTAAATGGATAATGCATTATAAGACTTATTAGAATAATAATAAAACAAAATTAATCGAATAGATTAATATAAAGAGCATTTTGAATACAATGATTTTTATTCACCTGATTACTAAGGTACTAAATTTTATAATAAAATGGCCAATATTTTATAAAATTGAAAAGATAATTTATATATATATATGTAAATAGATGTATATTTAAATTAAACAAGTATATTTCTAGATAATAAATAAATAATATAAATTTTCTTATTTAGAATTTATTTATTTAAATATTATAATAAAATTACAAATGGATATGTAAGATTAGCAATTGAATGTATAAGTGGCTGTGAGAATAAGACCATTAAATTAAAAAGAGATTATTGCTAAAGAGGATAGCTGCTTGAGATCTGATAGAAAGACTGTAATTTATATTTACAATTTTAGATCATTATACCATAAAATGGCAAAAGCTTTTCATTTGATCATGTATTTGATTAGGATTCTAGTCAAGATCAAATATTCTAATGGTAACATTAATCATAAAATATATTAAGTTGTGTTACTAATCTGATTTTGAGATGTTTTGAGGGATACAATAGTACTATATTGGCATATGGTCAAACAGGTTCAGGTAAGACTTATACAATGGGAACATCTGCTATAGATTAATTTACAGGTTAGAATGTGAATTCATTATAAAATCAAAGTGATTGTGGAATGATTCCAAGAGTTATATATTTTTTATTTGAAGAAATAGAGAAAAGAAAGTAGGAATAAGATATTAATATTACATGTTCTTATGTAGAATTGTATAATGAATAAATCATTGATTTACTTAATGAATAAATAATTCAAACTAATGTACAACCTACAATTAGAGAAGAAAAAGATCATACAATTTCGATTTAAAATTTGACTACCATACCAGTTACTAATCCATAATATATGATTCAAATCTTAAATCGAGGGGGTGCACATAGAACTACTTCTGCAACATTAATGAATTTGAATAGTTCAAGATCTCATGCTATCTTCACAATTTATTTTGAAATAAACAGAGAATCTGAGGAAGGATCATTAAAAGCTAAATTTCATTTTGTTGATTTAGCTGGTAGTGAAAGATTAAAAAAGACATAAGCTATAGGTAAACAAATGGAAGAAGGAATAAATATAAATTAAAGCTTATTAGTATTAGGTAATGTAATTAAAACTTTGAGTGATCAAAAGAAATCTGCTCATGTGCCATACAGAGAAAGTAAATTAACTAGGTATTTATATATTGTATTGTGAGAATCCTTTAAGATTCTTTAGGGGGGAATTCAAATACTTGTATGATAGCCTGCATATCTCCAGCTTCAAGTAATTATGAAGAAACTATTAATACTTTGAAATATGCAAGTAGAGCTAGGGAAATAAAGAATAAGCCAACATAAAATAGAGTAATTATCAATTTAATTATAGGATCCTCATGTAGCTTAGGTTATGGCTTTAAAATAAACCATCAATTATTTGAATGATCAAATTAAGCAATATTAGTAATTACTGATAGACAACAATATAAATACCGACAGTATAAAAATCAACTAAAATCTAATTACTGATTTGATTTATTAAAACTAATAATAAACTTGTACAAATCATACTGAATAAATTAATAAACTTAAATCTTAGAATTAATAGTTTGATCAGTAGTTGTAGAAAATTCAAAAAGAATTTTTATTGCTTTAGAAAGATTATAGTGAGAGTGAAATTGAATGTTTTAAAGCCAAGAAATAAAGAGATTAGGTATTAAAATGGTTTTAAGATGCTCGAAAGTAAATACAAGAGATATTTTAGATTACTAATTTAAAACAATATAACATCAAATTTTATTGAAGATTTATCTTTAGATAGTTGTTATAATGAGATATTTAATTTTAAAAAAATAGTGTAAGAATAAGAGTAGAAAATATAGGAGTTATAATAGAGGAATGACATTTTAATAAAGGTAGTTTAATTTGATTATTATCTTAGTATAGGAATCTCATAGGGATTAAAAATTATTACTTATATAATATCATAAATAAAATAAATTATTAAATTTAGAAGAATCAAATGATGATTTTGAGATGAATGAGACAGAGTTTTTAGAGAATGATTAAAAAATTGAGGAACAAGAAAATAATCTAATAGAAATAGATAAACAATAGACTTAAATAAAGTTATAATTATAAAATGAAATAAAATAAGATTATCATAAATAAATAGTTAATTTGGAATTAGAAAAATTCAATTTATAAAGATAAATAATAACAAAATAAGATTCAACTTAAATTAATATTTTAAAACTAAAAATTTAAGAGTATGAAACTAAAATTTTAGAGATGAAATAAAAAGATACAATGTCTAAATAATTAAATAAAAAATTAGAGGAATAAGAATCATAAGTAAATAATTTGAAAAATAATATTGAGTCTATGAAAAGGTAAAAGGTAGAATTATTAAAAAAAATGAAATAAGAAAATCAAAAATATATGAAGGAAAAAGATGAAAAGTAGAAAGAATTAATTAAAACTAAAAAACTTAAAATATAATAAGATACAATTCTTTGTAAATTAAAAAATGAAAATACAAAAAAAGATATTTAATTGAAAAGAAAAGATGATGAATTATTAAAATAAAAGAATGAGAAACTTGTTATTAAATAACATAACAAGTATAATCCAAATTAGTCAATTTAATATGATTCTTTTTAAAAATAAATTGATGATTTATTTAATGAACTAATTATGGGATAGTAGGCAGAAGATTAAATTACATTAGAGTATAAATAAATGGAAGAAATTTAAGAAGAATTACAAATTATTCAAAAAAAGATATGTAGCATTTAAATCAAAATTGATTAATTAGAATTTGACATTGAATAAAGTAAAAATTAATTGAACAATGAAATATTAAAATAATTGGAAATTGAATTAAGTGATTATTAAGAAAAAAGAGAGAATATCAAAGAAACTATAGAATTTTAAGTTTAAAAAATCAATGAATATAGAACAGTAACTTAAAAATCAAATGAGTATTACACTATAATGTTGACTAATCAATATTTTAAAGACTTACCAAATTGGTGTATAAGATCTTTTAGATATATAATTGATAATTGGGTTAAAGATCATATGATGATGAGTGATTATGCTTAATAAATTGAAGATTTGAATTAAGCAAATTAACTTTTAATGAGTTCAAGACCAAGTCCAATAAAGAAATCAGCAAGATCAAGTACTCCTAATGATGATTTGAAAAGATAATTAAATGAATATAAACGAAAACTTCAAGTTTCTTAGAATACTTGTAGAACAACTAGTTTAGAATTAGATTATTATAAAAACTTTTATAATGAATAGATAAATAAATAATAAAAAGATAAGTCAATAGGATTGAAATCTTAATTATAACATTCAAATTCAAATTATATTGTACGGAATTATTATCCAAAAGATGTAAAAAATGAATAAGAGACTTAAACTTTATCACGTACTAAATCAATAGGTCCAATAAGTACAAGTGCAAGAGTAAGAAGTTCATATTCAATGGCTGATTATATAAATTCATCTTAAGATCTTGGTGGTTATGAGTAAATATTTATTATTATACAATTTTAGATTAATAAAGACTTTTTAAGGACATGATTAACCAATTTTATCTTTATGTAATAAAGACAACTTATTATTCTCTGGATAATATAAATAAGTTAAGGTTTGGGATATTGAAACATCATAATTATTAAGTTCAATAGAGTAGAGTAGTCATTGTAGAGCTATTTATTATTGGGCTGAGAGAGATTCAATAGCAATATCTCATGGATCTTAAATCACTTTGTATGATCCTTAAACTTTTACTTCTAAAGGAATGTTAAAGTCAACCATAGAGGAAGTAAAAGCCATGACAACAATAAATGGATTATTTGTAGCAGTAGGAAAATCAATAAATTCTAGTGCTTTGAATATTTGGGATCATAGATAGAATAAGTATAATATAATTTTTTATTAGTGTTTTATATGAATTTGAAAAAGGTTCAGATATTCTAAGTACTTATGGGTCTAATGAGAATAGAGAATTAATTTATGGAACATTAAAACATTATACTAAAAGAATTCCTTTCAGTAAAAATAAATATGGATAGATTTAATAATTATAACCTCCTTAATTAGATAAAGTTACTGGTGTGGCATCTTTTAATAATTATATTGTTAGTTGGTACTATTATTATTATATAAAAATATTAGTTCTTTAAGTAAGAGAATGTTGTTATGGAATTAATAAACTGGTTTGGAGATGTAAACAAATGATAGTATCCATAAAGATTTGATAATGACATTAGCAAGTAAATAATCAATCTTATATTTATAGTTGATAAATCATTAAAATTAATATACACTGGTTCAAAGGATGGATAAATTAAAGCAATTAAAATAAATGAGGATGGAAAATTTCAACTTGTAAATGAAATTAATGCTTCTACATAACCAGTGAATGTTTTGAATGTGATCTAAACCAATAATTATGTTGTAAGTGGTGGTTAAGATAAATTAATCAAAATATGGAAACCTTCTAAATATTTATTATAGTAATAAAATCTTATAGGAGAATTTAATATAGATGATAAAATGTGAATTAATTTTCAATATTTTTAGTGTTAAAATGTTTATTATTATTATTTTGTTAAATAAAAGAATTTTATGATAATTTTTATTAATCATTTCAAAATTGTAACCAAAGATTGTACCAACATTCTATCATATTAACCACCTGCTTAATGATTCATTTATATCCATTTATGTATAGCCATTTATTCTAATCTAAGTCTTTATTATGGATCTTTTCTTAAACAACATTTAGTAAAATCTTATAATTCATTTGATACATATTTTGGAAAATCTACTCTTCCTTCTATAATTTTTCTCATTGTATCTTCTTTAGATGATTAATAAAATGGAGTAGTTCCAGTAGTTAATTCATATGCTAAAATTCCTATAGACCATAAATCAACTGAATGATCATAATCCTATCCTGAAGCTATTTCTGGACACATATAATCTATAGTTCCACAGAAGGATTACCTTGGTTTTGATTCAGGAGAATAAGTTGCTAAACCAAAATCTGCAATTTTTAAGAATTACTAAAATTGAATAACAATTTAGATACTAGACTAATTAAAATGTTTTCAGGTTTTATATCTCTATGAATAACTTTCATTTTATGCATATATGAAATCCCTTCTACAATTTATGCAATATAATTTCCTGCTTTATTTTCAGTGAATCTACGATTTGGCTATTTTTTTAATAATTTATAAAGTTCTCCATCTGGTGCATATTCAAGTATTAATATAATCTATTTTCAAATAAGTACCAATACTTTTGTTTATTCTTAGAATACTCCATAAAGTTTTAAGATATTAGGATGATTAAGGTAACTTTATATTTTTATTTCATGTGCCAATTATGCTTCCATTTTATATTTACTAATAACATTTTTCTATATCACTTTTAAAGCAACTAAAACCTTTGAAGTTTTCTCTCTATCTTAATTTAAAGATATACTATGCTTAAAAGACATCACTGAATTTTCCTTTGCCTAAGAATTTTCCAATATGAAATCTATCAGATATATTTTAATATTTAGGACTAAGTAATTCTGCTTATTTTAATTGCATTCTCAGAGTTGAATTATTTGAAAAGGGGGATATTGGAGATGGACATTCAGCAGTATCTGGTGTGCGAATAGGAGATTTAGATGCACATTATCTTAAGGCAGGTTTATCCTTCTTCTCTATTGATCTACTATTATGTTGAATTATCAAAGGAGGATTAGATTTTTGAATGATTGGATCTGGATTAATAATTTTATTTTATTCTTCTGATTATATGATTAATTGAGTAAGTGCTGATTATAATCTCATTTTAATATTCTTTATTTATTGATCAATCCTTGTTGTAGTCTGAACAACTTTCTACCAATCATTATCCTCACTTTGCATTATTATAAATAAATAATTTCTTATTTCAATTCCATAATAAGGAAGTAAAGGAAAAAATTGTGATTAAATAATTATCCAATAAATGAATTAATAGGCAGATAAGCTACGCTAATATGCCTAAGAAAATGTGGTTTTTCTATTATAGAGACTTATGCAAGATATTTTGGCACAATAACCAAAGAATGTGGTAAGTTGAATTGATAATATTGAGATTGATTGGTCAATTGCATGGTTAGATAAATAAGGTAGAGATATAGTCAAATAAAAATAAAGACCAAGTGTCCAATCTTCCTCCTCAGATGAAGAAGTAATTGAATTACCTAAAAGACCTGCTGCAGCTCGTAAATAGAGAGCATCAATTTCTGCTGAAGCATATGGATAATACAATAGAAAAGAGGTGTATAAATGAATATAAAATTTCAGTCTTTTCAACCTAGAGTGATTGTCAAGTCCCAATAATAGAAAGAAATTATCAGCAAAAGATTATCATAATCATTTATGTTTGCATCTTTGGATAGCAGAGAAAAAGATATTGTAATAGATGCTATGGAAGAACGGAGTTATAAGTATGAAGATTTGTTATATCTTTATATAGTGTAGATGATTGGGTTATCAAATAAGGAGATAATGGAGATAATTTATATGTTGTTGATTAAGGAGAATTAAACTGTTTTAAGAGATTCACTAAAGAAGGTGAGAACAAATTCTTAAAAGTTTATTATCCTGGAGAATCATTTGGAGAGTTAGCTTTACTCTACAATGCTCCCAGGGCAGCTTCTATTCAAAGTAAAACTAATAGTGTTTTATTTGCATTGGATAGATAAACTTTCAATCATATTGTTAAAGATGCAGCTATGAAGTATACTAATTTATATTTTAATCATAGAAAAAGAGAAAAATATGTTAATGTTTTGAAATAAATTGAACTTCTCTCAATGATGGATCCATATGAACGATCTCATGTTGCTGATGCTATCAAAAGTGCATCTTTCTAAAAGGGAGAATATGTAATAAGGGAAGGTGAATAAGGAGATATATTTTATATGATAGAGGAAGGCAATTTGATTGCAACCAAAACTTTAGTTTAAGGATAAGATCCTGTCAAAGTATTTCAATATAAAGAAGGTGATTATTTTGGAGAATTAGCATTACTCAAAGATATACCAAGACAAGCTAATGTAGTTGCTGAAGTAATTTGAATACTATTTAATAGACTGAAGTGAAATTAATATATTTAGATCGACATAGCTTTAAAAGAATGTTAGGGCCATTAGAAGATATTTTAAGAAGAAATACAGAGAAGTACCAGAAATATGAGTAATATTGGATCACTTAAGGCAAATGAAGATGTATCATTTATTTATTATTCAATTCTTTCTTTTTCTCTTTTGTTCCTTGTTTTATTTCTTATTTCTCTTTAAAGGTTGAGTTTAAACAAAGCTTGTTGAATAAGTGTCTTAAAGTGAGATCACTCTTGCTCCACATCCATTAGCAACTTCTACTATTTCTTCTTATTTCTTTTTGAAAATATCATAAGCTTCTTATTGATATTCCTATAGATAGTAGAATGTTGAATACATAGTCATTCATAACTTTTTCTAAGAATTCAATCATGTTGATTAATTCATCCAAAATTAAATCACAAAGTTCTAATTTACGATTTTTTCTTTCCTATAAATCTTGAGTTCCCATATCAGTATCTAATGCAGTAGCCATAGCAACAATTCTTCTGATTTTCTATGATAAATGAAAGGAATACGCTTTTATATTTGAGTGATTTGCTCTTATTCATAACTTCCAATAAAACTTTAGCATGTCCTTTAAAATTTTTATTATGTTTTTTCTTGCTATCAACCAATAATTGTTATGGAATTTCACCAGCTCCCCAACCAAATGGATCATCATTCTCTTCTTCATCATCATCCTCTTAAACTTCTTCTTATGCTGGTTAAACTGGTAATGGATCAGATTATTATGTAGGTTGTTATGTTGGTTATTCAACTACATTATTTGTTTTCTCTTATTCAAGTTCTAAATTCATATAATTAAATTACCTTCATCCAAATCTTATATGTATTCTCTGACTAATTTAATTTTATCTCTAGCTTAAGTAAGTACACTGTGATCTTCTTACATTTCAATTTCACCTTCTTCAAGTAATTAAATCCAAGGTAAGAACCTGAAAATATAAATAAGAAATACGCATCATATTATTATGTGAACTAATCATCATTTCCACAATTATCTCCTGACATTGTTTATGGATCAAACTCTAAGGCTTGTTAAAATGATTCAAAATCAACTGCTGTCACAGTCAGAATTAGTATGCATACAAGAGATGCTTTCATATTTTGTTTATTAATAATAATACATAAATTCGTTTTTAGAATCCATTATTGTTGATTCCTCTAATTTATAGTTTCTGCTATTATATTTATATTAATATATTTATCATTCATGATATTTGGTAAAATCAAAGACATTAACTCTTTCTTCATCTTATCCCCAAACAAAACATACATAGAAATTCTTATTCTTTAAACTTGAATGTAATTCATGAATTCTCACTCTCTTAATATAAGCACCATTGGCAGCATTATCTATTTGATCAATTTATTAGAACTATAATAAAATGATATTGATACATTTCTATTATAAACATGAATGCTACCATCACCAGCTACAACTAGAATATTTTCATTTACTGCAGCTGCACTAATATTTGGATGTTCAACTTTAGTTAATAACTTAGCATCTTCTTTAATCTTTCTCTCAGTATTTATTTTGTAAACTCTACATTATGATTTATTACATAATGTAGCTAATGTACCATGCTCATTTAAACTTGCATCTAATACACTAGTCTTCTCACCTCTTAAGACTTCTTCTTTTTCAAGTGTTCTAAATGTATGATCCTTATTGAACTTAATCTCATAGATACTTGTATCTACACTCCAAGAACTAACTACTAAAAATCCTTTCATAAAACAAGAACTATAATGTTCACCATATGATGTATTTATTTCCTTCAATAAATCTCCTTTCATATTCCAAATCTTTATATGAGTATCTGAACTTGTAGATATAAGAATTTTATCATTTTCATCAACATGTAAACTATTAATATCACTTTTATGACAATTCTTTGTTTTAGGAATTACTTTGAAATATTATTTATCTTCGGCTTTTGGATAGAATTCTAAATTGAATAATTGATTATTAGCTGAAAAATAAGCGATTTCTTCTTTTTTAGATATACAGATTGCTGTTGCATGCATATCATTCAAAGTATGAAATAAATATTTTGGTTAATCTGGATTCTTGAAAAATTATTCCATCTCAAATAATTTTATACTATTATCAAATCCTGTTGCAATCAAATATCTATTATTATATGCAAAATCTGTTATATAATCAGAGAATCCTTTTACAGACGATAAATATAATGGATGAGTAACTAAAATAATAATTATTATTATATACTTTTGTTTGATGATTTAGATTTCTCTTTATTTTATAATAATTTATTATGTCTCTCCTATTTCAACAATTCCTTATATGATATATGAGGATGATTCTCTTATTTTTACTATTAGGTCTCCAATTTATTTTATTGTTTTTAGACATCTTTTGATTATTATTATTATTCTTTTTCAGAATTCTTTCTCTTTCCTTATTTCTAGTTTTTCTCTTACTTATCCTATTTTTCTTAAGTCTTTTATTTTTGTTTCTTAACTTCATCTTCAGTATTAATCTTTTCAATTCTAGTAATTTTAGTATATGCTTTATAATTTATATACTTTCCAACACTTACTTTGTAAATAGTATATAATATGTATATGACTGAAAATTCAATCAATATTTTCATATAATTATACTCTGGCCATATAATTTTACTTGTGTATTCAAATAAAATTCTTTCCATTATAATTAATATATAAATGATAATTTGTTTTGATTTCTAAGTATTTAAGTTTATGGATGTGAGAATGTATCTAATTTAAAATAAATATCTCAATTATTCTCATTATAATGTCTCAATCATTACCTATTCACGTAGAATCGAGAAAATTGTTTGTTTTACAATAAGTTAATCAACTTGAAGCTCTCCTTAATAAATGGATCACTTCAAATAACCTCAATGAAGAAAATATTCATTCATCTCATATTGAAGAATAATTGACTCAAAGTCAAACAGCAACTCATATTTCTCATTTTTAAGGATTCCTCACTTATTTACGATCTCTCAGTAATGAGGAACTTGCTTGCCATACAATTAAATCTCTCTAACAACACTTTGATTATATGTAATAAGTTCTAGAGAATGAAGTCAAGCTCTATCAATAACGACAATTTCTCAAAGATCAAGAAAAATAAGATGAGAAAAAGGGTCATAAATTTTCTAAGAAATCAAACTTAATTCTCAAAAATTGGTTATATAAACATTTCTCTTACCCATATCCAACTAAAGAATAAACTTTATAATTAGCTGAGAAATGTAATTTGACATACAAACAGGTATTATTATAATAAGTTTTTAGATTCAAATATGGTTTATAAATGCAAGAGGAAGAATAGCAAATAAAACATATGAAGAGAAGAAATTTAAAAATATTGTTAAATGCAAATATTTGTCAATCAATAAAGTTTAATAGAAGCCAACAGAATGAATAATTATTATTAATAAAATTATTAATCAAAGTGCGTAATTAAGCACTTTAAATTACAAAATCAACATACTATAATAAATAATTTAAGAAACTATTAATAATTATCTTTAAATGATTAATTAAAAAAGATATATAGTTCAGTTCTTCTATCCATTAAATAATCTTACATATGAATATCAAACTCAAATTATGTAAATTTCTTATAGAATTGAGGTATATTGAAATACCTAATCTAGGAATTCAAAAATATAGGATCTTATATTTTAGGAGTTTATATAAACTATTAATTATTACATAAGAAAAATATTTAAATAGACTCCTATAATAATTGAGGATTAAATCAATAAGATGTAGATTACTTTGATTTCAGATTTAAATTAAGTATTTATCCTATCCATAATTGAACAGATTTCTAAAAAATATGTAATTTATTTAGATGATAGTTAAGATCCAGATATTTATTTTTCTTTAACAGAAACAATCATAATTGAATGGAAAAGAAATCTTAATATTTATATTTTATAATTTCTTTATATATCAAAATAAGACTTAATGATTATTATTCTTATTTGTTAATCATATAAAAAATTAATAATTCTTAACATCTTCATTAGTGAATTCCTTTATACTCTTCTCATTATGATAACAACTAAATTATTAATTGTAAAATACCCTATTAATGATACACAAGTTGATGTCAATTTCATACAATACAGCTCATCAATGATATTAAGGATGTCCATATCAGTCAATTCAAATGTATGATTAAAATTGAGTTCTAAATGTAATAAGCTATAATTCATTCTTAAAACTTCTAATAATTCTGCCCATATTTATCTTGTATATTTAACTCCACTTTATTCAAAATTTAAACTTAAACTTTATAAATTCAATTCTTTCAAAGTTTAAAATAATTCTGATAAGCTTTCTCTATTTATTGCATGTCTGAATCAATATGTAAAAACTATATACCTTTAAAAACTCAAGTTAACTTACTTTAAAGAATCAATATCAGACATATATTTAAATAGACTCGAAAATATTGATTGATCATATGTTACTGTATCATTAGATGAGAAACTAAATCTTTATAACTTCATATTTTTGATTCCTTCAAATACAGTTGATGCTAAAAATAGATCTTCATCTACAAATTATAATTCACAACTAAATTATTAGATAAATTTTACTCATCCAAACTGATGGAAAGGGATTTAAGAGAGTCTAAACTAGAAAGACTTATAAACATATTTTTTAAAGTTAAAAGTGAGATATTTTTCATACTAAAATATTAATTATAAATTATTACCTTTGAAATCCAAGATGAAAATGCTACAAAAATTATAAATTTAATAAACTATTATGAAACAATTAAAGTGACTTATCTTATATGACTTTAAATTAATAAAGTTATAAAGATATTGATTTAATAAAGTCTTAATTTTTATTAAGTAATAAAGATAAAGTTTTAAAAATAAATTTAAATGTTTAAATATAATGAGCACGTATAGTTAATTTAAAGGATTTAATTAATTCTAATTACATCCAAAGAGTAGGTAAATGTTATAATTCTTATATTACATGATTTGTTTCAGTAACATTTATACTAAATTTATTTTATAAAAAAAATACATTTCAATATTTAACTTTCCTCCATTTAAATATAAAAGTTTAGGAAAATATTATAAGTGTTCTAGAGTTTAATATAAATTTTCAAAAATGGTTCCTCTAAAATCTATATTAATTAAAGTTTCTGAAAGTTTCTATAAATAAATCAAACTTTTAAAGGTTAGCTTTTTACATTTCTTAATATTGATTTCAGTTAAAATCAAATTTTAACAAATGCCTAGAATATCTTTATCTATTATTTCAGTTTTTTTAAAGCATATTTTACTAATTGTTTAAAAATTGAACATCAATTTAATAAATTTTATTTCAGAGTTATTTATCAATACATACTAATTCTATTTAAGTAATTTTTCATAAAATTAATTTGCAGTAAGTTAGTTCTACTATTCAATTTTATCTTAATTATCTAATTAAAGTGGTTTATTATTTAAAAGTAATCGTTCACATCCAACACAACTTTTAAATAAATCATAGGTTTCTGGTTCTAAAATAATTTAATCTGTCGTTACTATTTTGGTGAGAATTTATGTTTACAATAAATTTAATACTGCTGTTGATATATTTTAAATATTCTTTGTTGATGTATAAATTTCTATTAATTGAATTTCAGATAAATGATTTCTGATATAATATGTACATAATTCTGGTATACTAAATTTAAATATATCTGCTTATCCTCCACTTTCACTTGTGCCACTAATTCCTAGATATTTTAGTTAATTAAATTTGCCTGTATCAAATGCCTTTTTCAAATGTTCAGCTTAAATCTAAGTTGAATAAGCTAGATTCAAATCTGATAAATTCTTCAAAGGTTTATTTACTAAATATTCTAATGAAGAATCTGTTATTTATGGTAAATTTGATATATCTAGACTTTTCAATTGACATGTTAATGTATAATGTGCATCACACAATAAATATATAGATTTATCAGATATATATCTACATCCAGATAAGGATATTTCTCTAAGATTCTTTAGTAATTTACCAGATTCAACCATCTAATGAATCAATTTGTCATTTATTAAACAATTTGCAAGATTCAATTTATTTATTTTAGTTTTACTTGCTCCTAATAATGCATATCCATTTTTTTTAAAGATACTTTCTTCAACATCTGTAATAGAACCTTAAAAACTCAATAGATCCAACTATTTTACATGTTTTGAATCATGAATATGATGAAATACAGATAATGATAATTTACATTCATTAGCTATGAGTACTCTTAATTCTTTATAATGACAGCTAAAAATAACTTATATCAGTTTATCAGATGCCAATCCACTAATATTTATTGATATTAGATTCACTAATGATTTATCTCTAAATAATTATAATAATGTTTCTTCTTTGAATTTACTATAAGATATATTTAAAATTTATAGATTTTAAGGTAATGTTAAATAAATTTAAGTATGAGATAAATCTAATTTTTAAACTCCAAAATTTTATAAAAGAGAAATACCTTCATCAGTGATATTTGGGCATCCTTTAAAACTTAATTCTTTGATGGTTTTTAAAGTGTTTCCTTATATAAGACCAGAAAGAATAGTATCTTTAAATGTAGAACCATCAAGTATTAATGATTCCAAATGAGGATTCAAATTGCATTAATCTAAAATTAAATTAAAATCTTCTTCTTTAAGATCAGCTTGTATTTCAACTTGTGTTATTGGAATCTTTTGATTTAATTTACATAATGTTCTCAAATACAATTTTTAATCTTAATAAATAGCATTCTATATATTAACTTATAAAATAGTAAGTATTGTTTTCAAAGCAATAAACCAAATCTATCTTTTAATCTATTTATTTATTTTTATAACTTTATTCTTCACATCTCCTTTTAGAGAACAATTTAAAAATATTAAAGAACTTAGACAATTATTATAATAAATACCCTCTTTAATCAAATTCATAATGGTTAAAATAACTCAAGACAATGTCATCTATAGGAGTAAACAAATTATTGGGAAGATGCTCAAAAGACTATCCATCTATTCTTTAATTCTCATTAATCATAAATAAATTACAATCAACTCTTTCATATTATTCCACTCTGCTGTAAGTGTATAGTATTATTATTTTATTTTAATATTTAACTAAATATTTCCTCTCTCTCCAATATCACCTATTGCTATAGTTTTTCCATCTTAATTTAAATAATGTATTTTATCATTTATTATTGTTGTCCTGCTTTTCTTTATCACATCACTTATTATTACCCCTGAAGTCAATTCCAAATATTTTAAAATATGAATATCTTACATTTCATTTAATTACTTGAATTAAACAAGTTGATCATTATATATTATTACAATTACAGATTACATAGAGAAATGAACTTCATTTCCATTCTAACCATTTTATTCTGTTTAGGGTAAATTTGCTATTAATTCTTAATTATCTTCATTTAAAATACCCTCCATAAATGTGAAGGGTACAATTTTATTCATTCCCAAATCTTCAATATGCATAACAATATGTTGTCGCACCCCTTTTAATTCAAGCCCTGTATAAAATTCAATACAATTTGCTAAACCTAAATTCACTACCCCTTTCTATTTCGACATTCTCATTGTTTTGCAGATTATCAATACTTAATCATCATTATTAATAATCTCATATTTAATAATATCTACTAAAATTCCATTCAAACCAAGGTTCCTTAATCTTTAATTGATCATCTTTTAATGATTTACTAATTATTAAGCCATTTAAATTCTTTAATCTAATGATCCCTCAAAATTAATTGTAACTATTAAAAGTGAATACTTGTCATTTGAAATTATTTGAATTTATTCATAATCAAGATGATCATAAATTTAATCAGCTTTATTTAAAGGCCCAATAAATTCTTCTATTAATGGACTTTTGACATTGATATTAAAATTCATAAATAATTTATATGATTAATTAATAATTAAATTATTAAATCTTAATAAAATTATGTTCTGGGATATATTTATTATATATATAGATTTATATTAAGAATCCGCGTTAGTATAGTGGTTAGTATTCAAGCCTGTCACGTTTGAGGCCCGGGTTCAATTCCCGGACGCGGAGCTTTTTTTTATATTTTTTATTTTTTTTAAACTTTATTATTATCAATTATTATCATTATTCAATTTATCTATTTTAAACAATGTAGAAACAAATATTACTAATATTTAATTTATTATATTGGAGTAATTTGTTATTTAATATTAAAAATTGTATTACTAGAAATAAATTTAATTGATGCCTATTATATTATTATTGTATTGAATCTATTTAATCTAATGTCATTATTATAAAATACTCTTAATTTTTAAGAAGTATTATAAATTCTATTTGTAAGATTAAATGCATAATTATAATTATTTTATAAAGTAAGCTTAATGATAATCTATAAATAAAATAATAATCAGTTAAATCATTATATTATTATATATTTTTATCTATTAATACTAATTAATGGTAAATTTATTCTTTAAAGTAGTTTTAAAATTTCTTTTTCCTATTCATATTTACTCAAAAATATTAATGGAAATCCCTCAATAAATTTTTTCATTTATTCACTTATTATCTAAATTTGTATAATTTATCATATAAATAGATGATGTAATTAAGCTAATAACCTTCAAATAAGATAATTATTTTATTAATCAATCCTGGATAAACCCTTATAAATAAAATTTTAATCAGCGTTTATCCAATCACAACTAATATTTTATATTTAAAATTTTTCATTCATTTATTGTATTTTATTACTTTTGATTTAATTGGTTTTTGTCAAGAGAATTAGAATTATCAAAAGCACTTCAAATTATTTTGATTTCCCTTAATCTCTTACTATTATAAGGTAAAAAACTTTAGAAAAAATTATTAATTTATTAATTATAATGAATGATACGAGGGAAAATGAAATTTGCGAACAAGCATTGAACCAAGTGGAGTCAGGTATTCTCAAATATCTTTGTGATGAATTAAAATTGGAATAATTCACTGATCCACAATTGAAATAATTTATCTATGAAGACTCGAAGAAAAAATAGATTTTCTCTTTACGCTCTCTAGACTCTGATACTGAGACATAAGACAGTTTATCTTGTTCTTCAAGCAAAAGATGCTCCCTCTAATTAACTCGATCTCCACTCATTCTCAAAAGGTTAAGTGTTCCCATAACAGAACAAATTTGATATTGATTGTGTGTGTTTAAATTTGTTTAAATCCATAATATATATTATTCTTATAACTATTATTATAATAGTGGGTCAAAATGGCTGAATATGTATAGACCATATTTTCTGTAAATGTGCTGAGTTATTATGTCAATTATTACTCCTAAACCCAAAAAGATAGAATAAATTAATGATTGATTAAGTCAATAATTCGTTATAAGAAGATTTCATTAAAAAAATTGCTTGCATATCTCAAATCAAGTTTTTTTTGAAAAAAAAAATTATTACTTTAGTGATTAATTATTTAATAACAGGATTAGATTTCTAATTAATTTACTTTAGGACTGCATCTATTGCATAGGTCTCATAATTGATTATATTGTATTACACAAAATTGCATTTTAGATATAAAGCATAAAAAATGAGGTAAAGTGAAAACAATATTAAAATTCTTAAAAATGTATAAAAACTTCTAGATTAATTTCAAATGAATTCATTTTATATTATTTTATTCCTTTTTTTTTATTGTTTTATCAATGAATTTATCCAAAAGAACTTTCTTTATAGAATGAAATCTTAAAATCTAAATAATAATATGATTATTATTATTAATAATCAAAAAATACATAATAAAGCAATTTTTTATACTATTACTTAAATTAACTTCACAATTACTTAAAATCAACATATGTTTAGATATATTAAGATAATTATAGTTTATACTCTGAGAATATAAACAAATTATTTTTTTAATAATTTTAGTATAAATATTCAGCATTTTTTAATAAATTATTTATCATTTTTTTATCAAAATTTAGTTGTTAATTTAGTTAAACACTCTTCAAGTACTTGATTAAAATTCTCCTTCTTTACTATATTAAATAGATAGGATAAATACGTTAATGCTCTAATTCAGCATTTTTTAAATCTATATATTTCTTAATTTATGAATTCATAAAATTTTGTAATTAACCTCGACAATCTATATTATTATCACTAAATTGAACTAGACATTCAAATTATAATTTAAATCCTTCAGTTTTAATTAATTCATGTAATTCTTCATTTGATATATTATTTTTATTAAATTAACTAAATAATTATACAATCCTATGTGTATTTTATAAAGCCTTTTTTATTCTTTCTTATTTCGTTAATGTTTTGGAAGGAGGCTCTACTACTTATGAAACAGTTCTTTTTTTTCTTGTTTCTTCTATAGGTTTTATGGTCTCTATACTTTCAATTTTCTTAATAGGTTTTGGTATAGATATTTTATTAAATTTAGGTTTTATGTCAAATTTATGATTGATAGTTTCATTTTCAGAACTTTTAGTAGTTTCGAAACTTTAAAAATTCTATTTCAATTACAGAGGAGGAAATATACTTTTAGGACTGTTTTGTTTATTTTTATTAGAGCTTGGCTATAATTACAAGGATCGAATATGTAAAAGCCTATCGTTTTTTAAGATGTCAATCATTTCATCAATTGAATATTTGTTTAGATCTACACTCTATTGAACTATTTCTTTCTCTTATTTTTATTTAAGTTTTTTAGCAATTCTTTCAATTTATTCTTATAATGATCTTGAACTAGTGCATTTTTTTAATGATTATGAATAACAAGAGACAGTGCTTTAATATCTATTAGTGATTCCTTCATTAAAATGATTTTTTGGTAATATACCATTCAATTTTAGTTATTCCTATTAATTGACAATTAAAAGTGGGTTTTGATTTTCTTTATTAACTTTAGATTATTAATTAACAAGCATTGTGTTTTGTTTCCGTTAACAAATTTTATTAATAATATTTTGTTGAATTAATTCTGATAGAATAAGTAGAACATATTAAACAATATAATTCAATAAACAAAACATATAAATGAATTCCAATTTCATATCAATTTAAAATTCAAAGTTTTTGATTTGTAAATAATATTTAAAGTTAAAGTCCTTATCAAATATTAATATAATTTAGATTGATATATCTTGGATTAGAATAATAATTTTTTAGAAATAAAAGCAATAAAGATAAAAGGATGAATAAATATTCATTTTTAATATATTTTTGAAATTTAATTAATGAATCACTAAGATAATAATGCACTTAAGGGAGTTCTTAAATAATAATTGATTGTAGATTCAGAAAGTGGACCATATAAAACAATATAAGAAGCTATTGATAGGGCTGAACCTAACACAGTAATTAAAATTGCACCAGGACTTTATTCATCAAATATAGTAATAAATAAGCCAGGACTTCGTTTGGAGCCTAAAGAAAAAGTTGGAGATATCATCTTAGTCGTATCCTCGTAACCTACAGTTTTAGTGGATTTAGTAGGTGATCAACGTTGCACTTTAATTGGATTAAAAATTTCTCATAGTGGTACAAGTGAGGAAGTTGAAGAATTGGAAAAATTGATTGAAGGATAGGAAATTGCAAAGCATTTATTTGGAGGTCATGAAGATGGAGGACCTGGATTAGAATCAAATCCAGATGAAGAATTTGTAAGTAAAGTACCAATTGAAACAAATATGAATTGCGTTGTATTACTAAATGGTGGTAAGTTGTTTATGGAAGAGTGTTTTATTGCTTTAAAGTAAGTGATTAATTACTGATTTAGTTTTATTGTTAAATCTTTCAAAGGTATATTACCAGGTATTGCAATAAATAATGGAGCAGAGGCCTAGTTGAATAGATGTGAAATTAAAGGAACGTCATCTAAAAGTTAAGATGCTAAAACTATTGGTATTTTCATAAAATTGGGAGATTTAATAGTTAAAGATTGTAAAGTGCATAATCATACTTATGGAGGTATTTTAGTACAGCAATCACCCACTAATAAAATTGTTAGAATAGTAGGTAGTAAAATACTATAGAATAAGAAAGTTGGTATTCATGTAGTTGGGGCAGATGCTGTTCCTTAAATAGAGTAATGTAGAATTGAAAACAATGAAGGTCCTGGAATTAAAGTAGGTATTGGTAATAAAGCAAAAATATTTGGAAATGAAATTAAATCAAATGTTGTTGGGATTGAAGTTTTGTCAGCAGAACCTTCTATATTTGATAATAAAATTGATAAGAATTTTACTGATGGAGTTTTAACTAAAGTATTTGAATAATTAAGATGTGATTGTAGAATAAGATCAAATCAGACTATATCTGGAAATAAGGAAAATGGAATTCATTGCACTGGATAAAATAATTATACTAGAATTGAAGATAATACTTTTATTGGTTATAATAAAAAAGCAGGAATTAAAGCAGATACAGAATCACGCATTTCAATATTAAAAAATAAAATCTCAAAAAATTTAGGTTAAGGAGTATTATTAGTTGAAACTTCATCAGCAGTCATTGAAAAAAATGAAATTTCAGATAATATTAAAGCTAATATAGCATTAGGAGGATCAAATTCAGTAGATACGTTTATTGTTGAAAATAAAATTCTTGGTGGAAGATGTGAAGGTATATTCTTAATTGAATGTGGTAAATGTTGGATATTTAGAAATACTATTGCTGAAAATGTAAAAATTGTACTATATTTTATAGAATGATGGAATTGTTTGTATAACAGCAGTTCCAGTTATTAGACTTAATAATATATAGAAAAATAAAAGTAATGGAATTATGATACTAAAGGATAGTCGACCTGAAATTCTTGAAAATAATATCAATGATAATGATGGAATTGGATTATTTATCAGAGATAAAAGTCATGGAAAAATATTAAATAATGTAATTAAATCAAATGAAATTGAATTGGTTGTTGAAAGAAGAAATCCATCTTTAGAATCAATAGTATAAGAAAATAAAATAAGTGGTGATATTAGAATACCTTAAAATTATGATTGCATATTATAATGAGTTTATAAGATTCTAAATCCTTTTAAATAAACATTATAAGTTTATTTAATTTTTTATTAGTAATAAAAGTAAAAGTATTAATTAAAATGAATATCCATAAATATATCATATATATTATATCAAAGTATTTTTTTAGATCTATTTTCTTCAATAGTCCTTTTCTTTTCAGCTAATTTTATTTGGGATTGAACTGATCTAAGTTCTTATTCTTACTATGATATTCTATCTAATATTGGTATGTATTTTTTTGAATACTTTTCCACATACTTAATATATTTTTCATTTCTTGGGCTCTTTGATCCTATCAATTCTTTTCTAAAAGCAGAATGATTTCTTTCTATCTTCAATTTCTCTTTTCTTTAATTATCTGTAAAACTTTCATCATTTTAAGTCTTAATTAACATAAATATATACTTAAGCACGAATATTCAATAATTCTTATCGAATTTATTCATTACTTTATTAAAAATGATTCTTTAAATTTTATCTATTCAATAAAAACTCATCTTTCTTATTTTTAAATTCTAATCTACTTATATCTCTCTAAATCATTTCTAATTCTTTTTTTAATGATATAATATCATTATATACACCTCCTCCTATAATAGTTGAACATTTTTATTTCTTTTAAGTGCTATTTTTATTAAAATCTCCAAAAGATTTCTCTTAACTTTTACAAAAGGATAAATTTAATGGGGATTTTGGACTTGAATTTTCAAGAAATCTTCTTATATTACATAGTGATGAATTATGAGGATGATTCATTGATAAATTATTTTTATTTGATCTCATTGGTGATTCTAATACATTTTAATTTACTTTTTCGCTTGTTCCTATTTCTAAACTTTAATCATTTTATTTTTAAACTGTCGGTTGATCAGGCTATGTTTCTTAAGTTACCTATAATATGGCCACTTCATCAACCTCGCTTTCATCATTATATTTCTTGATACAAGCATCTTTTAATTCTCTCATTAACATTTAATGTTTCTCTTCCTCTACTTCTACAATTTTACTTAGAATCCCTCTGGCAACATCTGCAAAAACTGTAATCTAATTATCTTTATTTAATTTATCATATTCGTCAAGCCAATATTAGCATCTATCAATTTACTTTTTGTTTAATTCATTAACGTTTAATTAAGTTAACTAAATTACTGTCTATTCATAATTATTTAATAATTTCTATATTCTAAACCACTAATCACTTTATTCGCCTAACAAGTTAAATAAAGCAAATATTTAATATTGTATTGATTATGATGGTCTGGACTAGTATTTAATTTTAGTTAATAAAGGTTTCGAAATATTTGTCAACTTGTTTCTAATTAAGTTTCTATCGATTGGAGATCTTTCTCTAAAAGAAATGTATTTTAGAGTTTTATGTGGTAGAGGTGGATATATACAAGGGCATTTTGGTCCCATACACATTTGCAAATAAATTTTTATTAATATTTATTAAGTTAATTAATTAGACTCATAAATTCATGATAATTTTTATTGTGATTTATATATACACTATATGTTATGTTACATTTATATATATTAGATTATTTATCAAAATTTAAGTTAATAAAGTTTAAAAAATATAAAAAGGTTATTTACTAATAATAAATTAAAAGATGATAAGCATTGCTGAATTGTCTAAGATTTATAAATTATATAGATTTATATTAAGAATCCGCGTTAGTATAGTGGTTAGTATTCAAGCCTGTCACGTTTGAGGCCCGGGTTCAATTCCCGGACGCGGAGCTTTTTTTATATTTTTTTATTTTTTTTAAACTTTATTATTATCAATTATTATCATTATTCAATTATTATTCAATTTAATTATACAATATTGAACTAAATACAAATATCTATAATTTTATAAATTCAAGTTTTTAATCCTAATTTTTATTCGTAAATCTTATAAAAATTAGAGTTTTAGCTTTTATTGTGAAAGATGTAAATATTTCAAAAATCTTTAAAAGATAAGTGTTTTCAAACTAATAATAATTATGGAAGAAATTTTGGTTTAAGTTTCATTGATGAATGTTAATAAAAAGGTTATATGCCTTTAAAATAGTATCTAAAATTTATATAATAATAATTTTGCATTTCTAGTTCTTAATATTTTGATGATTTATTAAGCGAAGATGACATTATCAAATTTAACTGCACTATATATATGGGTTTTTATTTAGAGCAATCTCTATATTTTTCTAATATAAATCCATTCAGATCATTTATTTCAACTTTTTAATACTAGGTTTCTGTTTTATAACATTTAAGGTCCAAACCTATAATTCGACAGTTTAATACTTCTAAACTATCCTTAGGTCATTTGTCATATGCTATACATATTATAGGCTCGGAGATTTACTTAAACCTTTAAAACATAAAAAAAATTTAAGTGAATACCCAATTAGCCTCTAATATTATGCTATTCGTATCTTTATTATGAGATGGTTATACAATTTTAATAATAATTATAATAACCAAGTGTATTTTAAGGTTGATAAATGATTTACTAATATTTTTAGAGAATTAAAATTTACTATGTAAAATGATTTAACAAATTGAATTTATATATTTGTTAATATTTAATATATTAAATAAATTAAATATATTTTTAGGGTTTTCCAATACAATCTACAAGTTTCTAAATGAAAGAATGACTACATAGATTGAAGTAATAAACAATGCAACTAACTAATTGTATAAGCTGAGTAATGAAGATCTGAATTATTCGATTACTTAACCAAATCAAAATTATCATCAAAATTTCTTCTATGATAACAAGTACTATTGAATCTTAATAAAATTATGTTCTGGGATATATTTATTATATATATAGATTTATATTAAGAATCCGCGTTAGTATAGTGGTTAGTATTCAAGCCTGTCACGTTTGAGGCCCGGGTTCAATTCCCGGACGCGGAGCTTTTTTTATATTTTTTATTTTTTTTAAACTTTATTATTATCAATTATTATCATCATTATTTAATTTAATTAATATCTTAATAATTTAATATAAAAGAAATCTATTAATAGATATAAGAATCATTTTTATAATTTATTAGCAGTTGGTTAAGGTATTATGAATGATATAATTTTTTTGTGTTTTTTTTGCAATGATCTTGCCATAGAATGAATGAGAATACTGTAATTTTGCATATAAAATTATAATGATATTAAATTTATATAAATCAGAATTCAAATTAATTCAATGAACTTTCCAAATAAGGTATAATAAAATAAATGGATTGATGTACATCTTATTTTCCTTATTGATTAAAGAATTCATCAATTAAGCGATGAAAATAAAATGAATTCAAACTGTTATTCCTGTTTAAAAACTGCTTTAAAACTATTTTATACTTTTTTTATAGGGTTAAGTTAAAGGTGTATATGCTGGTAAAAATAAAAATTATACTGCATTCACTAATTTTAAGATTCTTTTACATTTATGAACTGGGTTGTTATCAAGTATTTTTATGAATTTATTTTCTGATGAGCTTTCAAAGCCTTAATCAATTCTAGAAGATGATGGGCATTAAGACTAGAGTTTATATTCCCTATGACAACTTGATAAGCAAAAAAATCTTCCTGTGCTATTGCCCTTAAATTCCTATGTTTCCTTTTCTTTTTTCAACTATAAAAAATTTCTATTTTCCTTTTAATTACCAACATCTTGTCCAAAATACCAGATTTAATTGATTCAATAACACTCCATAATGGTTTTTATATATATTTATAGGGACCTGTATTTTTCATAGAATTAATTAATTATGAGGCTTTTTCAAATTTAGCTCCAAATATAAATATATTATCTAAGCCAACTTCTTATGAAATTTCAATGTTAACTCCATCCCAAATACCTAGAAATACCTCCATTCCTAACAAATTTCATATTTGAAGTATTAGATGCTTCTTTGCCTGCAGTAGAGATATGCTAAGATATATCAGAAGCAGGTATCATGAATTCATTTTATGATACATTAGAATTTTGGAGGAAGACAACTTTTAGATAATAATTAGAGTTTAGATCATGATTTATGACTTCAGCAACTGAGGTGATTAATTTATTGATTCTCTTGGTATTTAAATATCCTGGAGCAGCTTCTTAAGTCAATAATTAAAAAAGTTTCTCTGATCCAAAAATCATTAATATTGGATTAGTATAGAATGTAAAAAGAATAAAATCATGTATAATTGATGAAAATATGCTTTACCATATATTTATTTATGATTCATGTGTAATTCTTGATAATTAGTGTATAAGTTATTAATCTCAGAAAATTGGTTTTTATAATTTCAGGATTATTCATCTTTAAATATTTTTAAATAAGCCTTTTAGCAATTTAAAAAATAATATATTCAGTATGAAGTTAGAACCTGAAAATTAATATGAATGACTAATTAGTTTCCTAGTTTATTCTTGAAAGCTTCATCTATCAATAGTAATAATTATGGGAAATAAATTAAAACTTTGAATTTATAAAAGATTTATATTTACTATCATAAAGTTGAAGTATAAATTCATTTCTAATAATCTATATTCTTTTTGTTTTTTGAATCTTAGAAAAAATGAAGATAAAGCACAAATAGATTAGATATTCTATTTTATGGAGATAAAAATGTGATGAATTTATTTCATCTTTTCAAAGACTACTCAATACTTATTATGAAAAAATAGATATTAATTGAAAGCAATTAATAAAAAAAATAAAATAATTTTTTAATAATAGCTACATTATTAATTCTAAATTACAAACTTAATTAAATGTAAAGTAAATTTTCATGAAAATTTTAAGAGTTGTAAAGAATGACGTTGTGTGTGTATAAATAAGTTAATTAATTTAAGAAATAATATTTATTTTTAAATTTGTTAAAGTAAAATGCAAAAAGAGGAGAACAATTAATAGGCAATTCGGAAGATAAAATTTGCTTTACCAAAAGGCCATTTCCTATTTACATCAGAAAGTGTAAGTGCAGGTCATCCAGACAAATTATGTGATTTTATAAGTGACAGTGTGCTTGACGCATGTTTAGAATAAGATCCAAACTCGAAAGTGGCTTGTGAATCAGCATGCAAAAATTCTCTTGTAATGATATTCGGAGAAATTACTACTCATGCTTAAGTACCTTATGAAAATATCGTTAGAGAAGCAATAAAGTAGGTTGGTTATGATAATATAAGTATATAAAATATTCTAATATATTTAGATAAGGGATTAGATTATAGGAATGCTTCAATTATAGTTTCTCTAGATTAATAATCTTAAGAAATCAATTAAGCTGTTGTAGGATCTAAACATGAAGATGAAATTGGAGCAGGTGATTAAGGCTTAATGATTGGATATGCATCTGATGAAACCCCAGAATTAATGCCATTAACACATCATCTCTGCAATAGACTGATTTCAAGACTTCAAGAATGCAGAGAAAGTGAAATCTGTCCTTGGATGAGACCTGATGCCAAGGTTTAAGTTACTGTAGAATACAAACGAGAAAATTCTTCATTTTATCCTGTTAGAATTCATAATGTACTCATATCATAATAGCATGATGAGAAAATAACTCATAGTGAAATTGAAGCAGAATTACATAAACATGTATTAAAGTATCTATAATTTATTCTATTCATTTTAGACAAATTTTGCCAGAAAAATATGTTGATGAATAAACTCAATATCATTTAAATCCTTCCAAAGCATTTACAGTTGGAGGACCCTATGGGGATGCTGGATTAACAGGCCGTAAAATCATTGTAGATACATATGGTGGATGGGGTGGCCATGGAGGAGGAGCCTTCTCTGGTAAAGACCCTACAAAAGTTGATAGAAGTGCTGCTTATGCTGCAAGATGGGTTGCTAAATCACTTGTTGCATCAAAATTATGCAAAAGAGTCATGATTCAAGTTGCCTATGGAATTGGTATTAGTGAACCACTCTCTATATGTGTTAATTCATATGGTACAAATGCTGATGGACTTGATGATGATGATTTATCTGAAATTGTTTAAGATCATTTTGATCTTAGACCAGGAGTGATCATTAGAGATTTAAAATTAAGAAGACCTATTTATGCTAAAACTGCTTCTGGAGGACATTTTGGAAGAAATGAACCTGAATTCACTTGGGAGCAACCTAAGATTATCAACCTAGTTGCCTGGAAAGCTCAGAAAGCAGAGTAAATATAACAAAATTAATGATAAAATCAAATGAATTTATTAACAAAATAAATAAAACAAGTAATTTTTCATTTTCTTTTATTTCAATTTACTCTCTAGTAATTTAATTTAATCTCTTAATTGCAAATTCTCAAACATAATATTATGGAATTCCTATTAATATTTGATTGATATTTGTGTTTCTTATAAAATTTTTAAGATAATTTAAAAATTCTCTTAATTTGCAAGATTTAGATAAAGTTAATAATGAAGATTTCTTATTAATTTTAATTGTTATTTGCATTATATTTATGATCTTCTTATATTAATATCTTCAAAAATATTATAATAATTTAGATTACAAGTATGTTGAATAGGATGATTAATTTAAAACTATCAAATATTTATTAAACATCTATTAGATTGAATTAAAAAAACTCTGTTATTTTAACTTAAAAATAAATTTTATCAATAATGCTGTTGCAATAATCAAGAAAGAGTGTGGGTCAATCATAATAATAAACAGCCTCCTCTCATACAATAAAGATGATTTCTGAAAAATGGAGAAGAATATCATAAGAGGTTGATAATCAAAAAGTTAGCAGACTATAATAATTACAAGATAAAATGAAAGAGATTGAAAAACAAGCATTAACAGTTAATAATCGTGAAATCAAATAATTATAAGATTCAATAAATACTCTTAACCAAAATGTTTAAGATCATTTGACTTAAGAATATAATCATAAAACATAAAAAGCTTATGAAAATACAAAAAATTCTTTAGATAAAAGTTTACAACAATAAAATCAATAATCATTAGATATGGACAAAAGAATATCTCATATACTTGATTGGAATAATCTATAAGATTAGATTTCAAGAAATGAATCTTAATATGACTTTGCTCTTCAGAATAAATTATAAATGATAGCAGATTCAGTTAATTAGATTGAAGACATTCTAGAAAGTGAAAGAGAACAAAGGTAAATGAATATTATATATTAATAGATTGCAATCCTTTGAGTAAATAGAGGGTGAATTAGAATAAAATCTTTTTTAACTTAAAAACTTCATTTCTTAAGAATCTACACTTAGAAGATAAAAGGAAAATAAAATATTTGATATGATAAATGATGTGCATTAGAATTTATCATATATGTTGTAAGATGAAAAGAAAGAGAGATAGATAATGACAAATAATTTAATGCAATTAATGGATGATGCATGTATTAGAATTGATAGAAGTCTAAGTTCATTTTGATAATTTTATATTTTAATTAATGGCATAATCTTTAAGTTCTTAATTGGGATAATTACAACATCAATAAAAACAATATGCATCACTTCTTTATACATAATAAGTGAGTGCTTAAACAGATTTAGATACAATCTATTATCAAGGTTGTAAAGGAATAAATAAATTGACACAAATTGATAATCGATTCTCTAGATTCTAAGAGTCATTATTTAATGTCTAAAACAAAGGTATAAATCTAAATGTTATTATTATTTATAGGTATTACAAGATAATTGTAAACAAAATAATAGAATGCTGATTTGGATAAAGAGATTAGATAATGTTTATTATTAATGTCATAATATTGGACATTTGAAGGTACACATGCTTCAATGGAATATCTATTAAGAAATTATAGAATTCATGAATATTTAGTTGATGAAGTTATAATATATTTTTTAGTTTATCATAATACTAAATTATATGTTAGACTATTACAAAATTTAGTAGATTAATAAAGGTAATTATTAAGTAATATTTATAAAGGAATTCAATGTGGGCATTCTTTTATGAACCAATTAGCAGAGGATAAACTATCCCAAGAGATTTATTAATTAGATAAATGTAATTAGATTATAGAATTTTGAAGAAGATAATTGATTATCAATGTTTATTGTTATAGAAAGTAGAAGTATAAGAAGAAATTGTATTTACTGTTTAAGATTATTTATATACAGAATAAGAAATTTAAAATATTAAATTAAGATAACCAAATTAATTAGCATTTCTTTATTCTATTTTATAAGACTTAAAAGTAACAACTGGATATATGGATTAATTAAGAGGTTCATTTGGTAAATTATTAGCTTTATGTATTGAAAATTGTACTGATGAAAATAAATCATTTGCTTATCTCATATTTAATTTATAATTGTTTGATCCAACTAAGATTTTGTTAACTGAAAATCAAATTGAAAATACAGCCTAATGGATATATACTTAAGTCTAACATAATGATAATCTTTTAGATTTAGCTATATTATTTTATTAATTTGGTATCAAAACTACTTATGAAACATCTTTAATTTTATTAAATAAAGATTTATCTAAATTCTTCAATAATGGATTACTTTTAATTGAAATTATTAAATAATTGAAAGATATACAAATACCAGAAAAATAATTACATTAATTAATATTTTATTTGAAACATTAGTTAACAAAGAATGATAATCACTTTTTAGATTCTATTGTTTCAATAATGCATGATTAAATAATTACTGTTGTTAGACCTTATTTATAAGATACTTAATATAAACATTTATTTCCTAAATCAAATCAAATTCATTTAACCTTTAATAATTCAGAATAAGTGATCAAATAATTAAATTAAAAAGAGACAGACCTATCTATAGGTACATTAGTGAATTTGATTGAAGATTCATTTAATTATTTTATTAAATCTAAAAAGATTTAATTTATTAAAATTTTGAATTAATCATTATAAATAGCTGAAACACAATTTCCACAAACAGTTATGTTTAATACAAATAAACTTTATACATTAATCAATAACATTTCGGATTAAATTGATAATAAAGAACTTATTTAGAGTCTTTAATAAATATTTACTTATACTCATTCAAAATAAGTTGATGCAAATATTTATGAATCATTGCTATTACTTAGTGTACATTTTTAAATTGATACAATTAATGAATTTTCAAAATCTAATAAAGTATTAAAAAATGTTTAAAACAAAGAATAACTTATAAAATTGATTAAATAATAAGATGAAAAATTAATTGAATCACTTTTATAAAATAATTAAATTTAAAAATTGTTAATCTATAAATAATTATAGATTTAATTAAGTTATATTTTATAAGAAGAATAATAATTATAGAAATTTATTAATTAATATACAGAAGATGATTAATTTATTGCTAAAATTATGTAATCATTATCAATCATATAATTATTAAATTTAGAAAATGCTTTATGTATAAAATACATAAAATCTATTGATATTGATCCATAAATATTTTTCAATAATGATTTAAATCATTTAGGATCTTTAAAGATATTATTACATAAATCTAGTAGAAATTTAAATTTTGTATTTAAGTTATTTTTAATATATGATGATCTAACTGCCGAATAATAAGAGCTTTATTTATAAATTGCAGCAGAATTAAAAGAAAGTTTTAAAAACGATTTGAAAATTTAAAAAATTAATTTTTCATAATCTTTATTATAATAAACAATTGGATCATTGATAAAAAATAGAAAAGAAGCTAATTTCACAAAAAGTCTTGGAAATTTAAAAGATTAAAATGCTCTTTTAGAATTGCAAACTCTTTATTTAGAGAATTTTAATGATTTAAGATATAGATAATTAAGATCAATTAGTAGTACATTTACAAAAACAAAACAACATATCAAATTAGATAAAATTATTAATCTTATTAAATTTATTGAAACTAATTTTAAAAATGATCTTCTTTAAAGTTATCTCAATATTTTAAAATATTATAGTAGTATCAAAGATCAAAATGAAGAAATTGATTTTTCATTTCTAAAAAAAACTTTATTCAAATTGCCAAAAGATTATTGTGCTGTTATTAATGAATATCTTAATCAATCAAATTTATTTAGTGCAGAAGTAAGAACTTAAATGATAATTTATGTTTTCTCTCATAATTTAAAAAATAAATAAATAGTTGTTTAAGATGATTTAGATTTTGATCTAATTATCAGTCTATTGGAAACTCCTAATTTAGATATCTTAACACATTTAGTGGATTTATTAAGAGCTAACATATAACACATCAATATTGAATCAATAAAAAAATGTTTCAAATTAAATATTAATTAACCAGCACAAATAATATTAATATCTCAAATCATCTATGATTATTTAGATCATCATTAGTCAAATTTATTAAAGGAATGCTCTTCATTATAATAAAAAGTGTTAGATCAAAATTTGGATTTGAGTTTATAAATTAACTATACCGCAACTACAAGTTGTATTAGGTTAATTGCTAAACATACTTAGATAAATAAATGTAAATCAGCATTCAAATCTTTATCATATCCAGATGTCAATACTTATGGAAAACGTAATTGTCTATTATTTTATAGAATCATAATTGAATAATTTTAAAATCACAACTTAAAATACTTTAATTCTTGCATTTTTGCTTATTTCATTTCATAATTGATTTAAATAACTTCTACAATGGATGTTAATTAAGAAATCTTATAAAATTTTGGACTTTTCTCTTTAGAATAATGGTGGGTAATAATGTATATTTTATCAACTTATTATTTTTCAAATGAATATATTCAATTATTCAAAGAGTAAGTGAATAAGTTTTCACCTTAGATCAAATTGCATATAACAACAGCTTTAGCGGAATCTTTATTTTATAGAACACAAAGACACTAAAAACTTTTATAGATTAAATTAAATTAAAAATTAACTTAACTTTAAACTCCAAATTTAGAATCTTGCATTAAAAAAGTAGGCTTTTCTATGAGAGGATAAATAAAACCAATAAAAATTAAGTTATCTCTTCTTAGAATATTAGAATTAGTTGAAGATTTGTAAGGTTAATTATCAAATTACTTAATTCAAAGTGATTTGAATATTAAATAAGCTGATTAATTAAAGAGTCTAATTGTTCATATTTCTAAATTCTCTAATGTTTTTGCTCATTCAAAATTAAAATCTTTAAGTGAAAGAATTAGAACATCTTTAATTCATTCAATGAAAATAGAAACATTAGTTCCTTTGATTAAAAATTGTATATCAATTAAAAGTGTTTCTCATATACTATTATAAGCCTTTAATGATATATTAAGGTTAGATTTAATAAAGATTTAAAAATAATAAATACAATTAATAAGAGATTTAATATAATAGATTATTATTGAAATAAGTTTACCAACTCCAAATTTATCTACAGAAATGTTATTATTATTAAATTATTTATACTCAATATAATTCATTCAAAAATAATTATAATAACAAGGACAAGAAATTATGTCAGTTTTAATTAAATTAGTTGATTCTTAAAATGAATAAGATTAATCATTAATCTTAAATTTATATTCATTACTTTCATAGATCGATTCATACCCATATTTAAATGATTTAAATCAAGTCTTTAATTTACTTATTAATCTCTTATGTCTAGAACAAAATATTAAAAAATTAGACAACAATGAATTTACATATAATAATGAATAAATTATTCATAAAGTTTCTAATAAACTTATTTTAATGAATACATCCTATGCTTTAATTAAATCATTTAAAGGATTAATAAGTAAATAGCATTTGACAGATATATCAATATTATATTTGATAGAAGGTGATAAATAAGGCTTTTAATGTATTTTAGATAACATTGAAAATAGAGTTCATTTGGATGTTTACATAAATAGCATTATGAATTAATCAAGAAAATTAAAACCATTTGTAGTTTTGAATTGTGTAGATTATATTGCATAATTAATATAAAAATGTGAATCAGAATTAGTATGTGAATAATATATGCAATTAAATAAAGAAATTTAATAAATGTTTGATTATTCAAGAGAATAATATATTGATTCTGAATTAAAAAATGGAATATTCGAAGCTGATAAATTAGAGTATCAAATAAATCAAGTATATATCGAGATTGTTTTAAAGATTAATGATATTTCTTTTAAGAAATTATTTAATAATTTAATTACATGGTCTAGAAAATAATTATAAGAAGTTGGATATAATTTCAATAAATATAGAAGAATATAATTTTTTAGATTATCTACTTAGATTAGTGATAAATTAGGTAAGTATTTTACTAAATATTATTCTTATATATGGGATGCCATAGTGAATGAATTACAAACATTCCATAATATCTTTTATGAAACACCTAAATAAGCAAGTAAATAATTTCATATATTAATTTAGAACTTTCAAAAAGAACTAATGATGAATGTGATATGTTTTATAGATTAGAACTTTTATTAAATAGACATATTTTGTAATCTATATCTTCATTATGTCAAAATGATTGTGAATAATTTGTTGATACAGAAAAATTTGAAAAATTAAGTGATCCTTTAGCATTAACATTGGATTGTCCAAAGGTTTAATAGTATGAATCAATTTTATAATATATTGATGAATGGATTACTCCAACTATATTAGCCTTATTCTAATTAATTAATGATGATTATAAATGGAAAGATTTTCATTTAAAAATATTATAAGTGATAAGCAGACATTCAAATAAAAAGAATGAAACAAGTTCTTTCATTATAATTGCAATTGTTAAATTAATACATAGATTGATAGATCAATTAGATGAAAGATATTTAGTATTGATGAATGATTTAATTCCATTTTTGCATCAATTAACATCAACCAATCTAAATTCAGAAGAGGTATATATTATATATCCTAATATTTTTAGTTAGAAAAAAGAGTTAAACAATTAATTGTTAGATTATCATAATTAAGTGGGGAAGATATTGTAACAGCTTTAAAATGACATCATAAATGATAAAATCATTATATTTTGTTTATAAATTATTTTAATGTAATTTTATAATTATAAAAATTAATTGATGAAGAAGAATCAGAAGACAATTATTTTTTAATTATTGATAATTTTAAAAGAATTTTCTATTTTCTAAATATTGGTGTGGAAATTCAATAATCAAATCATAAAGAAGATCTTATATCAAAATGTTATAAAAAATCAGTTAAAATCAATTTAACTCAACATTTTAGATGATAAAAATAAAAAAAAATGTTATTGGCATTCTATAATTTTAATATTATTTTAATTTTTATTAATTAATTTATAATTTGTTATTAAAATTTCACCCACTCCCCAATTTGTTTAATAAAAATATAAAATAAACTTGAGTTACTATAATATTCATTCTAATTATTCAATAACTTTGTTTTATTACATTATTAACTATAACTCTGGTAATAATTCATACAAACATTAATTTGTTTCATAACTATTATTAATTAATAATAAATACTTTTATAAAACCCTTTATGATTCTTCATTTAACAACTTAAAACTTACCCATAATATTGTTTACTTATTTTTCTCTTCATTTTTAATTTAATTTTCTAATTCTTAAAATGTGTGACGAACTTTTTAAAACTTTTTAGCTCTTAAAAATCTAATAATGAATAATTAAATTATATACCTATATTTAATATTGGATTTTTCTTTTTCCCATTTATTTTTTAATTCTTCACTACCTTCACTATATTTTAAAACATGTTCTTTTTAAAATATTCCAAGTTCAATAGACATTTCAGTAAATCTTGGTAAAGTTAACATTTTATCACCATTTTCATCTTAAAAATCTGCATTTGTAGTAAAGATTTATAATAATTATGTTTTTGATAATTTATCTTAATGTATTGCCCTGTGAAGTGTTTTAAACTATTATTATATGATACTATAAAATACCTCTGAAAATTCAATTAATTTATTTCCATCTAAATCTGCTGCATTAAATAAAGATTCTAAAATTGTTTATTAATCTTTTTTGTTACTGTAATAGCATTCTAATATTTTCAATAATAAGTTATCATGATTAATATAGTATCTTTAATTATTTTATTATTAATTTCGATATTAATGTAAAAGTTATTAAATTTATTATTATTATAACCATCTAGATGATTTTTCACTTAAAAATTCACTTACTTATTCATAACTTAATAACAATTCTACTTTTCCATAATTTAAATCATTTTTTTATGAAAAAAATTGATAACTTTCAGTTAATAATTTTTAACCTATTTCATCCATTTCTCCAATTAAATAACAAAATTAAGCAAGTAATTTTACTTTAATATGATTATCTTTTTCATAATAAATAAATTAATAAACCTATTTAATTTTCTTTTCAGCTACTTATTTAAATCCATATTTGTTTTTAAAATAATCATAAATACAAACATGAAAAGGAATTTTATATCCCTCAGCTTATTTGCATATATCACTTAATATTTATAATACTAATTTTTATAATTACAGAATTGAGAATTAGATTTTCTTATTTTATTTCTTTTTTGATTTTAAGTCATTCAATAAGTTATTAGCTACATCTGTATTTTAACTGTAGATTCTACGAAATCTCTTTTGATTTTTAGGTTCAAGGACTATAGGATTAAATTTGTTTCTAATTTTAGGTTTATAATCCTTATATTAATTAATTACTTATTTTATTCTTTCACCTTATGGATTATTTTAAATAAATTAAGATGATTCAAAATCTAAGTCTTCAGAATTAGATTCATCATTTTAAGTTAAATTAATACTTTTTTCTTAATTATGTGCTTTTGAATTTCTTTTTTTAGAAATTTATGGATTATAATTGATTGAAAAATTTTAATCTTTTTAATCTTTATTTGATACTAAAAGTGCTTAATCTCCTTAATTTAGATCGTTAACTTAATTTTTATCAACTATTCTTTCTTTTTCTATTTTCTAAACAATTTAATTTTAATTATTCTATTTATCCTAAGGATTAAATTATTTTTTTTATTGATTTTATTTAAAGTTTTATTATGTAGATGATTATTACTAAATTTCAGTTTTTGTAAACTAAGTTAATGATTTTTAAGGTTTTTCATTTTATTTCATTTATGAGGACTAATTTTAGTTAATGTTATTATTTTAAATATATTTTTTATCAACAGAATTTTAATTTTATTCTGAAACCTATGATTTTTTATCTATTTCAGTTTTATTGATTTAATTTTTAGATATAATAGGTGGAACATTATTTTTTGATTTTTTATTCTTTTCAATATTTTATAAATTTGATTATTAATTTTTTTAGTTTTTATGTGTGTTTTTCTCATTACTTTAATTAATTTTAATTTAATCTATTGTTTATTATTCATTATTTTATTGACTAGTTTAAGTATTTTGACGAATAGATTAATCTAAATTCTTATCTTATTATTAACATCCATTTTCAAAATCTATTTAATATTATTATTTATCTGAATTTGGATTAAAGATTTTTTGATTTTATTTATTAGTATAATTATCTTATTCATTTTCTTATATTTTAGTTCTATCTGTAAATTAATATTCTAATTCATCTTATTCATCTATTTTAAATTCATCATCATCTTAATAATCTAAATTCTGAGATTATTCTATTTCTTAATAATTTTCTTATGATTCATCATAATCCTTTTATTCAGATATATCTATTTCATCATCATTAATTTCAGGTATATTTATTTATATATTGTATGTAGATGATACTTAATTTAATGTATCTTGTAAAGTGTTTTTCTATTTTAATAATTTATTAATTTGATTCTTTTTTCTTTTAATGATATCAATAAAATCAGAAACAGCTTAAGATAATTTAGATTCTAATTCTTAATTAAAATCTTCTTTTTCTAATAATTCTATTTTTTATATTGTTTCTTCTCTTTCTAATGTAGCAATTCTTTATGATAACAATTGATTTTGAGAGATAGATTAAATAAGAATATCACAAATTTATTATTTTTAATCTAATTGAGAATCTTATATAAGTTTTATTGCTTATTGTATTTGAGTTTCTAGTAAATTTTAATTTATATCTGATTATTAATTTAATATTAAAGTTACATTTTCATTATTTTGTATATCTTAATCTATTTATTCAGTTTGTTTTTCTAAATTTTGAATTTCTTATTCTTATTCTTATAATTTTTATTCTTAAATATCCAAAGTTATCATATCCAAGTCTGTTTAAATTTCTTTTTCTTGATATTCAATATCTACTTGTACTTCTTAATCATTATATTCTATATCAGGTTCTAAAATTTATTAATCTATTAACTCAGATTTCAATTATTATTCTTATTATCTAAGTTATTCAAACTTTTCAAAATTAGCATTTTTAACTCTACTTTTTTTAAATTTATATTCAGTATTAATATCTTTAATGTTTAATAGATGTGATACTATACTTTGTCCTTAAGATAAATTTACATTTATTTACTAATTTTCTTATTTTTTATCACTCTAATCTTATGTTCTTAATAACATAATTTATAATAGTAGTGAATCTATTTCCTTTTTTTAAGCTTCATTTGTTTATAATAATTATCTCATATCAGCTGTTAATAATAGCATTTTTGCTTTTGTTAAATTGAGTTCATCTACTGAATCACATGTTTCATTTTTAATTTTTTAGATTTGATTTTAGTATTCTTAATATTTAACTTTTTAGGCTTCCATTTAAGAATCATGAAATGTTTAAATTCTTTACATCTATTCAATATATGACTTCTCTGATTCCTTTTATTATTCAGAATAACATTTAATTATTTAACCAATCAATTCGACATAAAAATCCCAAACTATTTATAGTAATTCTCCTCTTTCAGTACATTCAATACTAACTTACCTATTTAATGATTATCAATTACTTAATCAATTCTCTTAAACATGAAGCATAAATCAATTGGATTCTCTCTGCTAATTCTCTTGTATTTATATTTGGGGATTCTTATTTTGTAAATGTTATCATCATAAAAAGCCATTCCTTTAAGTCTATGGCTTATTGTCTATTCGGAGGAACCATATCCTTTTCTTAATGACTTTATTGCATTTCTAGTTTTAAAATTTCTGAGAAGTATCTCTATAAACCAGTTGCTTTTTTGTTATCTTAGAAAATTTCAGTGAAATCCAATAGACGACCTGAAAAAGGCTCTTTTTCTAAATTAGTATTAAAGGGTAATCTTGAAGAGGATTTACGATATAGTGTACTATAAAATGATTACATGTTCTTATCATATTTCTACGATAGATAATATATTTTACAGTTTATTATAGTTCAGGATCCTTATAAATACTGGTTCCAAGTTTGGCAAAGTTTCTTTTAGTGGATTTTAGATATGAAACATCAGATGAAGGTACTAATTTTGATAAATTAAGAGCACCTGAAGCTTTTGGCATCACTTGAATTTTAGATGAGTTTGGCATTGATGTATTGATTAATTGATCCCATTCAATAGAGGAATTGGAAGATTAAATTTTTTGTTTGTATTTTGATTCTAAATGATGAGTTGAATGTGATTAATGAATTTCTGGTAAATAATTTTTATGCATAATAATAAGAATTTGATGTAAAATAACATCTTAAATAAGAAACATAATTAGATTTGATAGTAATTTTTTAATTAATTAATGGGAAGCTGTGGAGGTAAATCTGAGAACAAGTCAGAATAATTGAGTAAAGACTAAAAATGTAAAAATGATCGTATATATTCAAAATAGCTCTTGCTATAAATCAATTTAAAGTAGGTCCAGACATCTTTATTAACTTAAAGAAAGGAGATATAACAGATAATTATATCATGAATAAAATCTTAGGAGAAGGTATTTTGATTTTATAGTATTGAGGTTCATATGGTCAAGTAAGGTTAGTCCAACATAAAAAATCAGGTCAATAAAGAGCTATTAAACAGATTTCAAAAAAGAAAATACTAAAAGAATAAGAAGAAGCTATGTTTAGTGAAGTTTCTTTACTTAAAAATATGGATTATCCAAACATTGTTAAACTATTTGAACTATACTAAGATAGTCAAAATTACTACTTAGTCACAGAATATCTTAATGGGGGAGAACTACTTGATAAGTTGACAAAATTATAAACTTTCAATGAAAGAATGGCAGCAGAATATATGAAGTAAGTTTTATCAGCAATTGCTTATTGTCATGCTTAAAATATCATTCATCGGTAATTATTAATTCAATTAATTTAGTGATATGAAACCATCTAATATAATGTTAGCCTCTTCAGATCCATAGTCAAAAATAAAAGTTATAGATTTTGGAACTGCTAAAAGATATGTTAATGGTCAAACTTAGACTTAAGTAATAGGAACTGTAATTTTGTTATTTTATACTTAATTTAGCCGTTATATCTTGCTCCAGAAGTCATTGATAAGAATTATACAGAAAAATGTGATATTTGGTCATGTGGAGTTATTTTATATCAAATTTTAACAGGAAAATTTCCTTTTGAGTCTAAAGTTTCAAGTTTACCATAACTTTTTACCAATATAAAAGCTGGCAAATATAATTTTACATCTAAGGAGTTTACTACATTATCATATGAAGCTTAAGAATTGATAAAATCTATGTTATAATTCGATCCAAATAAAAGACCTTCAGCTTAAAAGATTTTAGAAGATCCATGGATTAAAGAGAAAGCTCGAGAAGAGAAAATTAGCTTAGATGTTATGAATGAATTAGGGAAATTTAGAGTACTCTTTTTATATATAAATATAATAGAATGAAAGTAATATGAGAGCTGCTATAATGTAATTAATAGCAGGTTCAGTTATGTCTAATGAGGAAAAAGAGTAACTTACATCTACATTCTAAAGCATGGATAAAAATAAAGATGGATAATTATCAAAAGAAGAATTAGTCTAAGGTATTATATTTACATTATAAAATAGCATATACATAGGTATTTAATGATGAGTTGAAGGCCAAACATTTAGTTAATTAAATCTTTGATTAAATAGATCAAAATAACTCTGGGAAAATAAGTTATACTGAATTTTTAGTAGCTTCTGCAAAGCAAAATATTATTCTTTCTAAATCTAAAATTGATTAAGCTTTTAAAATGTTTGATAAAGTAATATTTTAATCTTATTAATTGATAGGATGGAAATGGAGTTATCTCAAAAGCAGAGTTATAAGATATAATGTGTGGAGTTGATATTGATAATACTGAATGGAGTAAGATTATATAATAATGTGATAAAAATAATGATGGAAATATCTAATATGAAGAATTTTCATCTATGTTATTAGCAGTGGTCAAAATTTGAAGACCAATCATATCTATATTAATTGTATATTTCATTTAATCAATTTTTTCTGAATCTCCTTTATTTTCATATATTACAATATACTTAAGCAATTATCCATGTCTTTTTTAAATTAATCACAAATCAATTGTTCATCAAAATTATGTTTCAAACATTCCAAATATTTCCTCTATATTGGTCTACAAGAAGTTCTCTAAATTTTATTTAATACATTATATTCATCTTCTTTTCCTGCTTACCACCATTCTTATTCTTAATCTTTAAGAATTTAATCAATACTCATTAATTTTTATTAATGTTATTTTTTCTATCATTCATTATAATAAATGATTTGTAATTGGAACTCTAACTATATGATTATTAAAAAGGAGACATAACTTATACAGCATATTCACTAAATAGGTAAATATAAATTTAGGTTTCCATTAAAACTGTTGGTTCAAACTATTAAATGGTAATATGACAATATTAATCCTTATTCATTGATATATTCTAAAAATCCTATCAATAACTATTAATGTATTCATTGTCCATCAATTGTCTAATAATTTGATTGTAAAGAAATCTGATAGTTTTGAAAAGCTTTTGATTTCTGAATCAACTACATTATAAAACTCAAATAAATGCATCTTAACTAAAAATGAAAATAAATTAAATATAAAAATTAGAATATCATGCTGGATCAACCTTCATTTTGATAATTTTTAGATTTGTTTAACTTATGATATTTCTAATTAACAATATAAATAAAATCTAGTTATGAGTTCAACATAATTAATAGAATCTCAAAATAAATCAAAACGATTTTATTAGTAAATAACATTTTTGAATTAGATTAGAATAAAACAATTTAAGATCAATCGAAATTATAATTCTAATTATTTTAAAAGGATATTTAATAACTTAAAAAAGAAAATAATTAATTTTGATTTAACAACTAAAAATAATTATTTACCTTAGATATTATCAAAAAGATAAAATCCTATAAAAAAAAACTATTAAAGCTCAGAATTTCTTTTACATTTTTTTTCCTTAGAAATTGTGAGACTAATGGGCCTATGCTCAAAAATAGACTTTATCGATAAAATTTAAAAAAATACAAATTGAATTCAATGGATTATCAAATACATAAATCTCTAAATCATATTTTTTTAGAAAAATTAATTAAAATGTGAATTACATATATTCCCTCTAAAGCACTTCTTCAATTTTGGGAAATTAATTCGTTTAGTAAATATTTATTATTAACTATACATAAAATGGAGCAATATCCAATTCAAAAGAAAATAAAATCATAATTGGATAATCAATTAAGATATTGAAGATAAAATTAAATTTTCTAATCATTCCTTATATTGTTTATTAAAAGGTTTCTTAATGTTATTTCGATTATTATCTTTAATGATAATACTAAATTAAATTCTTAAATTAATCTTAAATAAAATATCCTTAGAGCAGCTATTGAAGCCAAAATATGAACAACGATAACCAAACCCTTTATAAGTTGTATCAAAAACATAAAATATATTCAAACCTTATAATATAGAGTTATCTACAAATTAGTAAATGGTTTATTCAAAAAGATGAAATTATTTTTAAATTATTTTTATCCTTAAATTGTAAATAGTAATTATAATTTTTGTTAATTCATATTTTATGGAGAATTTCAATGAGAGTATAGATTTGATATATAACTAAAATCAAAAGAAATCAAACTTAAACTTTATTCATAAATGTTAATATCAATAAATTATGAATTAGACTTTAGTTATTTTATTATATAGAGAAAATAAAGCACATTTCTTCTTTCATTATTTTTTCTTTGCTTTCTAATACATAAACACAATTGACCTCTTTATATGACTATAAAATCATCCATAAATTTTCTATATTTTAATAATTTTAGTAAATGCATTAAAAGTTTCAAATTTATTTATGAATTATCAAAAGATTCATAATTAAATAAAACTTCTTATATACATTTTATCAATTTGAGTAATTTAGTTTTATAAAATAAATTTAATAACATATAATTTTTCGTTTAAATAATAATAATATAACTGAATTTAGAATAAAAAGAGAAAAAAACTAAATTTTTATATTATATATAATTTTTAATAATAATTTTTATGATGAGACGCCCAAGATTTTTAAGTCCTTAAGAGAGAGTGAAGTCTCCTCTTGCTCATGTAAATTTACAAATTCCACGCAAACAGTCTCTGTTGATGTAGGTAAGAATTGTAATTAATAAGACTGGTCCTTATGTATTTGATAGCTCTTAAGTTATTGGAAAAGGATAGTATTCAGTTGTTTATAAAGGACATGAATAAAATAAGCCTAATCAAATAGTAGCTGTTAAGGTTATCACAATTCAACCTAACAATCCAATTCAAATGTACATGATCGAAAATGAAATCAACATTCTTAAGCTTTTAGATTCTCCTCATATACTTAAATTACTATATCATAATCAAACCCATAAATAAGTATTTCTAGTAACTGAATTTTACAATAAAGGTAATAAATCTACTCAAATTGATAGGTGATCTTCTACAAAAATTATAACGATCTCTAATCTCAGAAGATGAAGCACTATAATATACTCTACAAATTGCAAAAGCATTGGAAACTATCCATTAACACAATATAAGTAAGAATTCAAATATCTCTAGTGCATGGAGACATAAAATCTGCAAATATTTTACTTTCTGATAAATGTGTTCTAGCAGACTTTGGATTTGCTTAGAAAATAGATTAAGCATAATAAACATTTATTATTGGTACACCTTTGTATATGGCACCTGAAGTACTCTTTGATAATCAGATAAATTGTTAAGCAGATATGTGGTCTTTAGGTTGTGTGTTATATGAGATGGTTTTTGGATAATCACCATTTTATTCTGAGAACAATGATATATTAAAAATTACTTTATCAAAGTTTAAAGAACATGGTAAATTAACATTTCCAAACACTGGTGTTTCTAAAAAGATTTAAGCTTTAATCTTGCATTTAATAAAAATAGATCCAAATGACAGACTGACAGCATAAGAAACAGTTGGATTACTTGAACCAAGAAGTGTAGATGAATAATTAAAATTAAATGAAAATCAAATAAAAATTAAACAAGAATTATTGAATCTAGATGAAAAAGATACTCAAATTTAAGTGCCTCAATAATAATAAACCAACATTAATGATAGCAATGCAAATTCTAATTCTTAATCAAATTAAACTCCTATTTAAGATATCCAATCTACTCCTGATAATTAAAAAAATGTTGGTGATAATAATTCATAAGATGAACATAGAAGAAGCACAAAAAATAGTAACTCAAGTGCCAAGAGAAAAAAACTATTATAATAATTAAATAATATTAATTAAAGGAAAGTTAATTCATACATTAACAATACTCCTTCTTAATAAACATAGTAATAAAATACTCAAAATTCTGATGTGAAGAAAGTTCTTCATAAGAATAATTAAAATCCATAATAAATTAATGTTAATAATAATAATAATAATAATAATAATAATAATAATAATAATAATAATAATAATAATAATAATAATAATAATAATAATAGCTCTAGTAATAAAACCATTTCTTTATTAGATTTAGTCAATTATTTTTATAAAGTATATTAATTAATACTAAGTGGAAAAGAACTTAAATTAGCTTTTATTTATCTAAAGCTTGTAAATATCTATTATATGGCATATTTAGAAGAATAATCTAAATAATAAAAAAAAGTGACTTTTCTTAGTTGTTAGAATGATTATTTTGAATTAGAAAGAGAAATTAAGAATAAATATCCTCATTGGTTTAAAGAGGAAGAATTTCAAAAGATTTTTCATAGCAAATTTGTCCTTACTTAAGATTTTCTGAAATATTCCTTAAATTATTTGAATAAAGCAGCTGTTGATCAATAATTAGATGAAAAAATAACAGAAAAAATAAAAAAAACACTTCAAATAATATCTATACTTGTGTCAAATGATAAAAACAGCACAATTTAGTTAGATTAATAAATTATACGACTTCATAGACTTAATTCCAAAGTTTGATATAAATATAGTTTCTCATTTTTTAAGTTCGTCATATTAAAATTAATTATTAAATTTCAAAGTTATGATTTATTTATTAATGATACACAGTTTATTTTCCTTAATCTGTGAAAATATTAATTATGAAATGGAAAGGTGCATCAAAATTTTAATACAGAAATATATTGATATGTAATATACATAACAATACAGCCAGACATTCTAATATACATAAATTAATTAAATTAAAAATGTTAAAGCATGCCTTAAGGGTGATGTAAGTCTTTAGACCTAAATTATTGCATTGTGTGCCTTTATAAACATTGGCAATAAGAGGACCTCTATTTACAAATATTCCTGTTAGCTATTTCTCCACTTCTTTGCCAAAACATAAGAAATTAGAAATGCCTGCTCTGTATATGAGTTTTATTAAATTATAGCTCACCAACTATGGAGGCAGGAAACATTTAGAAGTACTTAAAGAAAGTAGGTGACCCAATTACGGCAGGTGATGTATTATGTGAGGTTGAGACTGATAAAGCAACTGTGGGATTTGAAATGCAAGATGAGGGATTCTTAGCCCAAATCCTTGTACCTGAAGGTAAATAAAATTGAATAAATTAAATTAGGCTCTAAGGGAGTCAAAGTTGGATAATTAGTTGCAGTAATTGTTCCAAAGTAATCAGATGTAGCATCATTTGCTAATTTCAAAGATTCATCACCTGAGTAAAATTCTGCTGCTTCAAAACCAGCAGCTTAACCCTAATAATCTTCAACACCTTAGCGAACACAACCTGCAGCAACAGGAGGAGCATTCCCTAAACACTCGAAATTAGGTCTTCCTGCATTATCTCCAACAATGGAAAAAGGAAATTTAATGAAATGGCTTGTTAAGGAAGGAGATAAAATAAGTCCTGGAGATGTGATTTGTGAGATTGAGACAGACAAGGCTTCAGTTGGATTCGAAGTTCAAGAAGATGGTTACATTGCAAAATTAATGGTACCTGCCGGAACTAAAGATATTAAATTAGGAACTGTAATTAATAATTTTATTTAAGATATTGGCTATCTCAACACCAAAGAAGGATAATGTGCCTAGTTTTGCTAATTATACTCTTGAGGGTGCTGCAGCAGCTGCTTAAACCACTTAAGCATAGCCAGCATAATAATAATAATAATAATAATAATAAACAATAATTAATGAAACACCAATTCAAACAGTGTCTCAATCTGGACAAAGGATATTTGCTTCACCACTAGCAAAAGAATTTGCTAAGAAGAATAATGTTGCATTAGAATTTGTAAGAGGAACTGGTATAGATGGTAGCATTGTCAAAAAAGATGTAGAAAGATTTCTTTCATCTGGATCAAAGCCTGAAGTTTAATAATAACAATAAGTAATTTCACAACCTTAATAATAATAATAAACTTAAGCTCCAACTTAAGAATAACCAACTTAACAAACACCCCCTCCTACTCAAGCTAAATAATAAGCTAAACCAGCAAGTGCTTCAAAATCTGTTGCAATTGAAGGCAATCCTTATGTAGACACAGAACTTACTAATATGAGATAAACAATTGCTGCAAGATTATTAGAATCAAAAACAACTATCCCTCACTATTATTTAACTATGACAGTTACCATGGATAAAGTATTGAAGTATTTATTAACTTAATTATTAAAAGAGTACGAGAAGAGTTGAATAAATTATAAAAGGTGAAAATTTCTGTCAATGATTTTATTATCAAGGCAAGTGCTTTGGCATTAAAAGATGTTCCATAAGCTAATTCTTAATGGCATGGTACATTTATTAGAAAGTTTACCAATGCTGATATTTCAATAGCAGTTGCAACTGATGCAGGTTTAATAACTCCTATTGTTTTTAATGCAAGTAGTAAGGGTCTTGGAACTATTGCTTCAACAGTAAAAGAATTAGCTGATAAAGCTAAAGCAAATAAACTTAAACCTTAAGAATTTATTGGTGGCACTTTTACCATTTCAAATCTAGGAATGTTTGGTATTGATTAATTTATTGCTGTTATTAATCCACCACAATCAGCTATATTAGCAGTTGGTAAAACAAGTAAAAGATTTGTCCCTGATGAAAATGGATAACCAAAGTAATTTTTATTATTTAAATCATAGGGTTGAAAACTAAATGGATGTTACATTATCCTGTGATCATAGAGTAGTTGATGGAGCTGTCGGTGCATAATGGTTACAAAGATTTAAATTTTATATTGAAGATCCTAATACATTATTGCTTTGAGCTTTATTAAAATTTATCAATAAAAAATTTATTTATATGAGTTAAATTAATATAAAATTGATTTTATTGTAAATTAAGAAGATTTGATTAAATCTTGATCTTATATCACATAATAAATATAATTGATATATGAAAATAATTATTACAAGATAGATGATATTAAAAAGTATAATATTAAAGATAAGAATATTAGATCAATTTTATAGAATTTATTTTAGGAATATTAATTAATAACAATTTTAGAATAATATATTTTGTTTTAATAAATTTTCAGATATAAAAATATATTAAATTATGTAGATTATAAGAGCCCATGAGATAATTGGTACCTGAAATATACAAGAAGAAGTATAAATAGTAAAAGTACTAAATCAAAATTCATGAAATTAATATCTGAAAGGGTATATAATATATTTTTCTATTTTTTTAAAATAAAGAGAATATTTATTAATTTGAATATATTCACTCTTTTTAAATTCTAAACTAATTAAATGTTATTTAATTCAATAAAAATTGTTAATTAAATAGTTTAAGATTGTCATAATTGATTGTATTAACTTTTATCTAATGTGTAAAAATAATTTAATTTTTGTAAAGTAGTGTTTGATATATATGATTTTTAATACATTTATCATTTATTATATGATAGAGTATTTCTTATTTTTATTGAATAAACAATTTGTGCCTTTGTTAGCTATCTGTTTATTTAATTAAAATAAATATGTCTTCTAAACCAAAATATTTGCTAAAAAAAGTAACAAAAACCAATGATTAACAAAACAATATGTTTATGACATAAACACTGGATTAAGATGAGGCTTAATTTTACAAAGATGGAAAGATCTGTTCCTATTATATAGTTGGTAATCCAGATCTATTTAAAAAAAAAAGTTTCATTCTAAAATAATCAGAATAATCGAATATACCTTCTAAACCTTCTTAAAGAGTTATCTAAAAACATTAACGTCATAATCAAGACTCTGATTTCATCTATGAAGACATGGATGCAAGTGATGTAGAAAAAGAAGTGGAAAGAGTAATCCAGTAATAAAAATAGCCAGAATAAGGAGTGAAGATGGCTCTTACTAAACCAGATCAAATATATGCTCATAGAGAAAACAAAATAATGGTGGCCTTTGAATAATAATAACAAAAATGGTAATAAAGAGTAATCTAATCAGCCAAAGCATGTGGAAGAGATCCAAAACAATCACTTTTTCATCATATTGATGCTGCTAGATAACGTTATGAAGATCGTAAATTATTAGACTTAATATAATCAGACTCTGAGAAATATGGAAATCATTTATGGGTATTATTATAAATTCTATTCTAAGGAAATGTAACTAAGAGCAGCTCCAGGTGAATTAAATAATAAAAATGAAAAAGCTGTATTTGAAATTGTTAGAAAGAATAAAGCAGAATAAGTTTATGAAAGACCTGAAGGTTTTAAGAAGAGATTTGAAGAAAAAAAAGATGTTATTGAAAAAATAATTCCTAATTTATCTGTTAAAGAATTAGAAATAGTTGGATAAAATAAATTAATTAAAGAGTCAATATCCATGTTGAATTTAGCTAAAAATTAAAAGAACGTAAAATTCAATAATGAAATACCTCTAAATTCTAAAAGAAAAATTATTTTATCTGCTCCTTTTGAAAAAAAGAAATAAAAAGAGGAACCTTTATATTATTAAGATGTGCTTGAAATGAATTATAACAAAAGAGATCTGCGTTAATCAGGATAATTAGATATATATAAATAAATTTTTTGATGATCTTATTAATTTATTTTATGGAATTGTTTTATTTTCATAATCATTTAATAACTAAAAATTCTAAAATATTTCATTTCTATTACGATTATTACTACTATATAAAAAATCCTATGGTTATATTATATATGTAAATGTAATACTTTATTAATTATTATGTAATCATCAACAATGGAATTAAATATTAAGAAAAAAGTAAGATAAAAAATAGAATTGTAAAGATTGACCATTATTTTATAATAAAATAATTTAAAGATTTTTGTTAATAATAATCAAAATTGAATGAGAATTTAATTTGAAAGTTTACTATACATTTATAATTATGTTTTATTCCTTTTTGCTTTTAGAATTTAGTCAATAACTGAATGTTAAATTATGTATGTTTTATAATTCAATGTATGACTACTCTATAGATGTTAATATATCAATTATAAAATAAAACATAACTCATAATATTTTCATTCTTCCCTTTGAGTTTTTTCTGTTTCTGCATCTTCCTCTGTATATTAAATAGGAGGATCCTCATCTGGATATAACCTTTTAGTTAGGATATAACAATGAGGAGGCTCAATATCTGTATAATAATTTTTCATGAATTTAGTCTTTTCAAATCCTTAACTTGAGTAAAATTAGAAACCGACATCATTATTCGACCACATATGTAAATAAATTCTTTTAACTTCTTTATAAGACTTAATTCGATTGATGAGTTCATTTAATAGCTGTGAACCGAATCCCAGACGACGATATGCATCAAGGACACCAAATGTCATTATATATGCTATTTTAATATTATCCTGGTCTTCTATTCTTGCTGTAATAGCTCCCACTGCAATATCATTGTAATATCCTGTAATGAGGCTAATATTTACCTAAAGCAGAAAAGTCTTAGTAAGTGAGAATCCTATGATAAAACTTATCGCTGTAAGTTACAGGTAATGTCTTTTATGTAATTATTTTGAATATCTCTATATTCTTGTAATTTATTTCTCCAAATGTAAGCTTCGGTTTTTATTCCATTAATAAAACTAGTTTTTTTAAAGGAAAATAAAATAAATTTGACAAATAGTTGAAAAGCTAAAGTTTCTTTAAATTTACAAGTTGAAAATATTTACTCTTCTGTTTTAGTACTTAATTCAAATTATCAGATTCTTTTTGAATATATATTATAATTTATTTAATGTTTCTTTAATAAAAAAAATTATGATTAATGCTTTTTCTAATTTCTATTCTTATTAGTTTATGAAAATTTGACTATAACAACTAATTAAATAAATTTATATAACATACTTTTATTTTTAACTTAAATTATTAAATAAGATCTATTTTATTGATCTAATAATTAGCTTTTAGATAAAATGATTTTTAGATATTAATCTAAAATTAGAGTTTGAAAAGATCTAATAAATTATATTGTTTTGTTTTTAAAGATGTATAAGAATTTATTGTGTTATAAATAATCTGTTAGAAATTGTATTAAATAGTTTCTTCATCTTTAAAACTTTAAAGGTTAGCGGGAATATAAAATAATTAAATTAATGTCTAAAAGAAAGCCATAATTTGATATAGGAAAGGAAGGAGATGATGAGGAAGTATTACCTGTTGTTGGAGTTATTAATACTGCAGAAGAAATTCAGGAAAGAAAGTATTAAAAGTGAATAAAATAGAATTTTGAAGATCAAAGGACCAAAATAAAAAGAGAATAACTAAAATACAAAAATAGTAATAACTGCACCACCACCATCATTTGAATAAGCAGGATCTGATTAAAAACTGTCAACACCTCCTAAAAAGTTCTAACCAACGAATATATTTAATTGTCAACAAGAAAAATTATTTTTCAATACTCAGCCATTAAATAGTTTATAATTACCTAAGTAATAAAACAATAATATGGGATTGGTGAGTCCAATAATTGAATTTAAATCAATTCGAAAGAGTGATAAATCAATTTCATCTCCAAATTAGGAGACTAATAAAAAAATAGGGATTTTAGAAGTAAATTTAAGATTAAGACATATAGAATAAATTAAAAAAAATAAAAATAGATGATCAAGAACATTAAAATAAAGAAATCACATTAACAATAGAAAAAGTAGGAGATAATCATAAAATAAAAATTGAGTATAATTATTGTAATTAATATAGACCTGATATATTTGAAGGATTAGTTGAGAAATAGAAAACAAAAAAAGAGAATAATATAGTTAGATTAGAATGTAAAAAAGAATCAGATATACATTAATTACAAATAGAATTTGTTAATGAAAAAGACTATGAATAATTTAATCTATGATTTAATTTCAACCAAAAAAATCATCAACTAAATCGTCCTTTTCTTCTTCTTATTATTTTAATTTTTATGTAGTTTTCCTTTCCAAATATGTTTTTTTTCTCTCTTCTTTCTCTTTCAATCTTTATTCTTCTTCTAATCTCTTTTTTTCTTCATCTAATCTCTTTTTTTCTTCATCCAATCTCTTTTTCTCTTCAATTGGATCCTATTTATTATTATTTCTTTCTTGACCATTATTACTTGAAACACTTATGATATCTTATTCTTTTGGTTATTTTTCAGGAACTATTTATGCAATTCCAACATCTGGAGGTTTTTCATAACCTTCAGGTACTATTTAAGGATTATTTTAACCATCTTCAGGAGGTATATAATCCATAGGAACTATTTAATTATTTTTAAATTTTGGTTCTTCTTCAATTTCAAAATCATCTAATAAATAATTAGGTGACTTGACCTTAACAAATATTAACACAATATTCCAAAGTGTATAATTAATAATTGTAATAAGAATTGCCATTAACATATACCATCCATTAGATACCTTAATCTATTTAGTATCATCAATATTTAAATACAATAAACCACTAATAAAACATACAGTATCAAATATGGCTTATAAAGTTTATCTATATAATATAATTCTGGAAACAAAAGGATTATATTTGTAAAGTGGAAAATAAATGATAATTCTAAGGATACTCAAAGTGATAATCTATATAAATTCAGAAGGTAATAGGAATAGGAAAGCATATATTAATTTTCTAATATATGGAACATATATAAATAATCTTCCAAGCCTTGTTCTAATTTCATATCCATCATATAAACAACTAAGATAAATATGTAACCATTCAAATGTATAAGCATCATTATGTCTAAGTATAAATTTGTATGCTAAAACAAAAGTAATTATAAATAAAATTATGAATATTGCAGCAATTACTATATTAATGATGTCAAAAATTGTATAGTAAGTTTAAAATGTCTAAATTGAAGATACCATTAAATCAAGGAACATCATTTCAAACATTCTAATAAATGCTTAGAATTTCATATATTCATCAATATCTTCTAATCTATTTAGAATAGGTTCCCAATGAATTAATTTAATCAATATTTTTATTATTACCCAAAGAATTAAAGCATAAACAACAAAACTTATATATCTTCCACCAGCATTCAATAAAAATTGTGAAGGATAGTCTTCAATTTAAAATTTAATTGTATTTTATTTTGGCACATCAAACATTAAAATAAATAAATTAGGTATGAATGAGAAATTGCAATAATTCAGCACATCTAATACTTTATCAATATGTAAAGAATATCTTAATTTTATTAATCTCAATAAAGAAATCAGTTATAATGATTGTATAATTTGCCATACTTATCCACTTCCAATTTTATATGAATAGATAAATGCTGATATCAAACTTAAAATAAGAAATGATAAAGTAATATAACTTAATGTGTCACTAAAATAGATTTCATCATCAGTATAATAGATATAATAATTGAGTTTAGTTTTGATCAATCCAAATTTGGCTATTTTACTATCTGAATCATTAGCTAATCCAACAAGTGACCAACCAAATTTATCTTCAATATTATTTGGTTATGTAAAATTTAGAGAAGCAAAGATATTTTAGACAGTTTCATAATATGTAAAAGTTATTTCAATGATAAACATGTCTAATTATTTGATTTCATATTAATAATCAGGCAAATCAGGGATATTAATTAATAGTAATTCAGTGTAATTATAGATTTATGATAATGGTCGATTGAATTCTAAATAGAGTTTATCAAAGTGTATTTCATCAATGAAGGCTAATACTTATACAGGTTTTAATTCATAACAAATATCAGGACCTTCATTTTATTCGAGAATACAATTGTATCCACTTTTAATCTTACAATTAACACATCCACCTGAAGTATCAGCATCATCACATTATTCTGAAAGTGCATGTAAACCATCTCCACAATCAGGTTCAATTTTAACACAATCTTAACCATCAGGTTAATAACCAACTTAACATTCAAGACAATCATCAACATCACATCTAATACAATTTTTATCAAAATTACAAGGAACACATTAATCATCTTCAATTCTATATCCATCATCACATTCATCACATATAACTTCATTTTGACAAATATTACATGGAGCATAACATTTAATACAACTATTACCCAAAACACCATTTTATTATTCAAAATAACCATCTGTACATTATAAAATACATTATTCTTTAAATAAATAAGTACTCATACTACATTAAGTACATACATTAGCATAACATTCTAAACAATTATCTGGACATGCTAAACAAATATCATTTTAATAAAAGCCTTAAGGACATTATGAATAACATTCATAATTATATAAAGAATATCCATTAAAACAATATAAACATTGTTGACCATCAGAAGTACATGAATCACAATTATTTGGACATTTATTACATTTATCAACAGTACCTCCTTCAATTAAATTACAACTGTAACCAGGATCAGGAATACAATAAGTACATCCATCCATATCAATTTCATTTCCATCATCACAAAATTCATTTGATTCTCTAATTGCATTACCACAATTTGTTTCTATTTTACATATTCTACTACATCCATCTCCATCTATTAGATTTCCATCATCACATTCTTCACTATCTTTTTTAATCCCATCTCCACATATAGGTTGGCATATACTTAAAGAGTATCTATACAATCCTTATATACAATAATAGCCTGTCTCAATTTAACATATTTCAGAACAACCATCACCAATATCAAGATTCCCATCTTCACATTGCTCACTTGAACTCTTATAGGAATCTCCACATGTAACTGTTATAGAATCACATTAAGTCAATGTTTCATCACATTTATATCCATAATCAATTAAACAATAAGAACAGCCATCACCTAATAAGGAATTATTATCATCACATTATTCTAAATCATCAATCAATCCATTTCCACATAAATTTATACATACATTATTTGTACACTAATATCCAAGTTAAATTCTACAATATCCACATCCATCATTATTATTTGTATTATTATCATCACATTATTCAGTCTAATCTAATTATCCATTAGGACACTATTTTGAACATGTATCTTTATTTGTTGTTGATCCTCCATTACAAATATATCCAAAATCCACTTTGCATTATGAACATCCATCATTACTTACAGAATTATTATCATCACAATCTTCATTTACTCTCTTACCATCTCCACAAAGTAATTTACATGTAGTGCCAGTGCAATAATAACCATCTTCTAATTAACAATTAATGCAACCATTAATATATAATTAACCAATATCACATTATTCACCAGCATCCAAAACTGAATTACCACATTTTAATTTACAATTGCTTGGTGTTCCACTACAAGAATAGTCACTATCTATATTGCAATTTGTGCATCCATCATCATTTATAAAATTACCATCATCACATTATTCAGCTCCTTATAAAACACCATCACCACATTATGTACATGTTTTTGATACAGGATCAGCCAAATATCCAACATTACAATTTGATGCTAATACACAATTTGTAGTTTATAAATAGTATCCATTATTACAACTTGTACAAGTAGCAGCACTTGAACATTCATTGCATTGATATATACAAGATCTACACAATGGCAAAATTACTGATTAATATCCAGTAGGACCAGCAGCACAACTTGCAACACATGAACCATCTTATAAAAAATTAGTACATTTATAACATTATTATTGAGTATACGAATTAATAGAATGTAAACAATTACTCTTACATTTAACAGATCCAGCACTATAATAATTTACATAAGCAGATCTTATATCTAAATGAGCTAATCTCATAGTTCCAGAAGTAAAAGAATTTTTGAGATCTCCAACAAAAATAGCATCATTAATACTCTCATCATATTTAATGGCAAGTGTAGTCTAAGTGTGTGTCTAAATTGCTCCATTAATATAAGCACTAAAGTAGATTTTACTAACTCCAAGATTAGCATCAACATATGCAGAAGCAATAGAAATATATGTCCAAGTGGAACCAACAACAGTAGGAGTTATTGATATTGGAGATTTGACTGTTCCATAATTCAATTTAATAGTATAAGGAGCAGTTTCGGTAGACAAAATCTGAAATTAATCTTGAGAACCACCATAGACTCTTCTTAATATTATAGCTTCTTTAGTTGTATCACCAACTGGTTCCACAAAGGCATCGGCATTAACAACTATATTAGACCAATACCAGAAACTAATAGATTAATGTGTGCTTTCAAGTAATGCACTGGGAAGAGTGACATATTGAAATGAAGACAATTAAATATATTATCCAGGTGTTGGGTCATTAGAATCAACTCCTCTGGTTAATCCTAAATAACCATTATTTTAGGATCCTTTTACTTTTTGACCAATTTAATCTTCAAAATTATAGTGATATATATTCTCAATGGAATTTCCTAGGAATGCTAAATTCAACCAATTGTAATTATTATCATTTTCATAATAACCATCATAAAATAGTACATTATTGGCTCGCTAATTTTAAGATCAATATACCCCACAATAAATTGAATATGTATTGAAATACATTATATTCAATTTAGCATCACTGGTTATTGGTGTATTAAAATTAACCCCCACCATTGTTGGAGCTTGAGTTATTCTTAAGTCGTTCATTGGTAACCATACATAAAAATTAACATAGCCAGTGCTATAACTAAGTGTGGTTGCTGCTAGAAACCATCTTTTAACTGTATAAACGAAAGGTTTAGACACAGTTGAAGATTCATACAGGAAGTCAATAATTTCATCATGTACTACTAATCCTATTCTCATTCCATTCTATTAAACACTTAATAATCCTTATTTATCAGTCCCTTTATTATCTAATTGGAACCAGCCACTATGATGGTATTTCATACATACCTGACAGTAAATTCATTACCATTTGATATGGTTAAAGGATAAGAATAGGTATCAACAGAATTGTCTGGTGAGCAGACTCCAATTATAGTGCTGGTAATAAATGACTATGGAGCTGAACATGGTTAAGTTCGTGTGAGTACAAGTAATAAAAAAAGAGTTATCATTAATATTTATTATTATATATTTGTTTGTTCCATCTCTACAATTTATAATTCTTTAAATTCAGTAATATTCTCTATTCTAAACCTTTATTTATTAGAAATATTTCTCTTTTATCATAATGGTTTAGAATCAATATAATTTATAAATGTAAGATAAAGTTAAAATTCTCATGCTTGGTGAAAGAAGTGTTGGAAAATCCTCTCTCTTAAATCGTTATATTGATGATAAATTTTATGATACCATTCAAGCTACTCTTGGAGTTGAATACAAATAAAAAATAATTACTAATGGTGAATCATAACTTACTGTTTAAGTATGGGATACTGCAGGTCTTCATATAGCTTTTCATTTCTAGGCTAAGAGAGATTCAGATACATAGCTCCTATTTATTATAGAAATGCTTAAGGAGTTCCTATGGTCTATAGTGTCGTTGATCGAGATTCATTTAATTAAGTACAAACATGGATGGACTATCTCAAGGATTAAGTAGATAATCAATTAATATCTATAATTCTGGTTGCCAATAAATGTGATCTTGAGAATAGAAATGTCACTACATCTGAAGGTCAATAATTAGCATAACTTGTATTAATATATTCTAGAATAAGTACTCAGTTAGATATTTTGAATGTTCAGCTAAAACAGGATCTTAAGTCAAAGAAATGTATTCAGAATTAGTTTAATAAATTCTCTCTAAAAGAATACAAAATAATGATTAATCCCAAAGACTAAGAAATTTTCCTCAAGATTAAGTAGATAATACATAACCATAAAAGTGTTGTTGAATAAAATCTAATCATTATCCCATTGATGAATTCATCTTTCTAAATCCATCAGATTACATTCTCTTTCTTTTTTCATAATCCAACATAAACAATTTTCTTTTTTCTTCAGCTTCCTTTCTTATTTAATCTGCCTATTTACTAATCTATTCTCTATCCTTTCTCATCTATTAACATTTCTCTTCATCCTTTGTCATTTTCTATTCTAATTTCCCTCTTTTATATCCATTCAATTATTCCATTCTTCTGAGATTATCTTCAGTATCTATTTCTTTTATTATTTATTAAGTAGTTCTAGTCTTATTCTATATACTTCTACCTGTACTTATTTTCAAAATCTTTTTTACTATTCAAATTGCCCAACTTCTCTTAAGTTCTATTCAATTTTTATTATAACTCATTTCTCTATTATTCTTACATAAATTCATTATTAAATAATATTAGTTTTATTTTTTTTTCCTTCTCCTCATATTTTTTGATCTTTTCTTCCATTTATTATCTTTAAAACTCATCCATCAATTCCTTTTTTTTAAAGTATTCTTATTACTTAATCTCATATTTTTTTCTCTTCTCTTCTTCTTTAGTGAAATTTATTTACTTAAAATTATACTATTTTTTACCATAATCTTATTTATTTGCTATTACTTATCCACATTTTATTTTTACTTTTACTATTTCACATAATCTAAGAATTATTCAAAATCTTTTTTTTTTGCTTCTACTTAAGCCTCTTTTTTTAAATAATCTTGTCTTTTTCTTTCCATTATTTCTTCATTATATTTTCTTACTTTCTCTAATTTTTATTCAAATTCCTTTCTCTCCATATCTGCAAATTTCTTTCTCTCTTCATTCTTGAATTCAATTATTTACAATCTTTTTCTTTCCTTATCTTCTATTTGTTTTTATTTTGATTCCTATAATTTTTATTATTCTAATTAAAATAATTCTTATTCTCTTAAAATTGAATCTTACTTTTATTTTCTATCTTTCTCTTTAAACTCTGCCTCTAATTTTGCTCTTTATAGATTTTCAATTTCTCTTTATTTTCTTTTTTATTCTTTAAGTTCATTTTCTTTTATCTTTTAGTCTTATATCTATTTCTCTCTTTACTCTTTCTTCAACTTTTCCATTTCCAATTATTATTTTTTTATTTCATTATATTCTCTTTTCCTTTTTAATTCTTCTTAAAACTGTTACTCTTTTTATTGCTATTTAAACATTTTTATTTGCATATCCTTTTCTTATTATTCTTTAAGTTATTCCTACTCAATCATTTTATCAATTTCTATTTGTTGTCTTCTTTTAATATTTTCTAATAATTTTGATTATTTTTCTGCATAACTTATTGAACTAAAATTTAATTAGGATTAATTATGTGTGCTTTTACTTCTTGTTCCATTTTCTTATAGTATTTTCTATCTTTATGCTCTAACCAAATCAATCTTTTCTTTTCTTTTATCTTCCAAATGTTTTTCAATTTCACATATAAATTCATCAGTAAGAGAAGCATCTTTTGATTTTACAATCTATGTAACTTGAGCTTTTGATTTTTTTATTAATTCATTTTCATGAAATCCTTCTCTTCTACATGCTTCCAAGAACCTTGGAGTTAATATTTCTGTGGTAATATCATATGTATGCATTATTTTTTTATTGTTATATTAATTTAAATTATATTTATTTGATTTTTTGTTTAAATTATATTTATAAATACAACATCCCAACAAATATTTGATAATTTCAAAATATATTTTAGTATATTCATTTTTAAGGATAAACAATTCATTATATATTAAATATATCATAACTAAGTTTAAAAATTAAAAAATAGAATCATAAATATGGAAAGTGCTACATGCTTCTGATTTAAACATTTTTTATTTTCGATTTATCTGTTAAAAGTATTGGAGATAAAGATTTTGTATTTTTTTAATTAATTTTATAAGGTGAAAGGTTGAATTTAACCAAAAGCTTGGCACTTTTATTAGAGATGTTGCTTAATGATGAATGATTTGGCTTATTGTTTTTTAAAATACTTTTTAATTCAAGCTTTATCTACACTGGCTTTTTTAATTATTTCTTATTCCTATGTTAAGGCCTTTTCTCTTTCTTTTTTTTTAATCTTATGAATGCCTTATTTAGAGGATCATCATCACTTAGGTTTAGATTAATTTAATATTCAATTTATGATTCACAAACACAACTTTATGTTGGACATTACATTATAATTTGTTCAATATTATCTAAGCTTTCTATTTATTTTTTATGAGAACAATGATTTGTAACATCATCATTTATGAAATCTAAAAGAAATTCATTTTAATAAAAGTCTTCTTCAAAAGTATCTAAATTTTATGATAAATTCTAAATTGGCTAAAGCAAAATTTGTTTGTTAGGAAGCTTCAATTTATGATAAATAATTATGCTAATCACTTATTCTTTTAAATTTACAGTCTTATTTGATTACTAACAATTATTACCCATAATAATTAATTTAGAAATTATCAATTAAAGAACTAGAGTTATATATTCCTAAGAATTCTTAATAATTATGGATTAAAAAATATATATATTATAAATTAACTTATGATAAATAAAGAATTAAATAAATGAAAATTACATTATGATTAAGTACTATTCTATAATTAAAAATGAGATATAATGATATTATTTAAATCTTTTTACTTAGATAAACAAAAAGAAAATTCATGAAAATATGAATATACTAATATTGTAATATATAGTTAATAAATAAAATAATCAGTCATCAATCAATAACTTAATCATTTTATTATAGGTTAATTTTTCATTGTCATTAACTACTTATTGAGCTAATTCATAAGAATTCTTGAAACAACTAGGATTCAATACTGTTATTGTTTTTTAAATGTCTTCTGTACCAATTAGTCCATCTCTATCTTAATCCATAATTCTTGTCAATAATGTATTTTTATCACCAAATTAAATGGCATTTAATAATCTAACTAATTAAATGAAATCTATTTCTTGTTATTTCCTTCCTATCAATTATTAAATTAATAATGGACTATATTTGTGATGTTGAATAATTTTAATGAAATCTGTTGCACTTACAAATCCTTTGTTATTAGTATCAAGTTATTAGAATTTCTTATGTATTCTTCTTATCTAAGCTGGAGTGACTTTAATATAATAATATAATACTTACATTATGTTTCATTCTTGTATAAAAGAATCTATTGATCCGTTAATTAAGTGTTACCCATTTTTAATATTAAATTACTTTAATTATTATATTATTACAAATTCCCGCTTAATTTTATAAACTGCTATATACATTTGTAAGAATATAAAGCTAATATATAGGGATTAAAAGAAACTTAAATCTTAAATAAAATTATGAAGAATTTCATTCAATTGAATCTAATTATTTATATTACTATTGAATTTATAAAATTTCCAAAGGCAGCAATTCAGAAAGACACTATTTGGTTTAATATCTTGAAATATGTTGAATATTTACTTAAGATAGACTCTCAAAGATTATTCATTAAGAAGTTTATAACTCATCCATAATACATCTAATAATTATAATAATATTATACTTTAAATCTCTTTTTTATCATTATTTATTAAATTATCTAATTCTTCAAATGTATGTTTAACTTTTGAATATTATTTAGCTTCTAAAAACCTTAGTTTTATAGTGTTTTTTTCAGTTTTCCAATGTTCTTTTATTTTCTCACATCCTTCACCATATTTAATAACTGAATCTTTTGGGAAAATAGCTAATTCAATTGCCATTTCAGTAAATCTAGGCAAAGTTAGATACTTATCTCCTTAATCATCGGCAAAGTCAGCATTTCTTACAAACATCTAAAGTAAATTTTCTGTTTCTATTTATTAGGTGTGGATTGCTCTATAAAGAGTTTTAAACTAAATTTAACATATATTATTTACTTCCTAATACTCTATTAGTTTATTTCCATCTAAATCTGCAGCTTTAAATAATGTTTCCAATATATTTTAATAGTCTTTTTTATTAAATATATAAAAATCTAAGATTTTCATAATAAATTAATCATAATTAATGCAATATTTATTAGATCCATATTATTAATTTTAGACTTTGAATTAATTTTATAACTATTATATTTGATTTGCTTATAACCAAAGTTAAGATTTATCATTTAAAAATTCATTTGCTGATTCATATGTTATTAAAAATTCATTTTTATTTGATTCTATTTTATTATTAAAAAACACAAAAGCTTCTATCAATAGTTTTTGAGCAACTTCATCAATTTCATTTTTTAAATTACAATATTTTGAAATTAACAAGACTTTTGTATTATTTTCTTTTTCAATAATAATAAATTCATAAATCTTCATAATAGTTAATTAATTACTTATTTTATTTTTTTTTCAGCCACCTGTTTAAATCCATATTTATTTTTTATAAAATCATAAATACAAACATGAAATGGAATTTTATATCCTTCATTCTATTTAGAAACTTCAGTTAGTATTTAATTAATTATTTTGTTGAATTAAAGAAATGATAATGTTTTAGTTATATTTTTACTATTAATTACTTATTTAAGTAAATTATTAGCTACATCAGTATTTTAACTGTAAACTCTTCTAAATCTTTTTGGTTGCTTTGTTTCTTAAAGTAAATTAAAATTGAGTGTTTTATGAGCAAATGAATCTATATATTTGATATTAATATTACATTTAGTAAATTATTTATCTTTATATTGTTTTATGACATCTTTAATTCTTTAATCACAGTTTTTATCTTAATCTAATTCCATTCTTTCTGACTCTATTAAACTTTTTTAACTTTAATTCATATAAGAAATTTCATCTTTTTCTCCAATAGGACTTTTACTTATATTATTTTTAGAATTTCTGTTTTCAATTTTATTTTCTAATTAATTTTTACTATTTCGCATATGATTTTATTATTAATTAATAGATTTTCGATCTCCTTATTATTATTAAGGTTTTTAAATGGATTTTTATTTTTTTAGATTATTTATTTTATTTTTGTTTACAGTAGATGATTTCAATGTTTTACTTTCATCTAATTCTTTATTTTAATTCTTTTAATTTGGATTAATCAAATAATCTGATTTTGAATTTTCAGATTATATTTAATCTCTAGTTTCTTTATAAATATCTTCATCATTAATATTTACATGTTATGATTATTTTTTACTATAATCTCCATTCTTTTAATTATTTAATTCATCTTTTGAATTAATTTAATTGTTAAAACTATTATCAAATTATTCTTATTAATCATCTAAATTAGTTTCTGATATAGCTTTCTTATAATCATAAGATTTTTAATTGGGTTATTTTTAGAATTAAATTGAACCTACCATTTTAATTGAATGTTTAATAGATTCATCTTCATAAATTTATAAAGATCCTTCATCATCCATATTTTAAGATCCTTTACCAATACTATATACATTTTCATCTCCATCTACTTCATTCATTAAATTCATGATCCGACTTTCCTCCTCTTCTATTGGTTTTACATCATTAATTACAATTTCATATTTGCTTTCAATTTATTTTAAAGTTCCAATCAACTATGTATTTTTTGAAACAAGCTTCTTTAATTTCCTTTTACTATTTGAAATTATTGAAATAAAATCTTATACTGTTTATTTAAGTTTCATTTCCAATTCTTAACATAATTCTTCCTTTTCTAATAATTCCATTTTATTCATTGAATCTAATTTATTCATTGAAATCAATTTTTATGATAATGATTTATTTTATTCACATACTTCTTTACTTTCACTTAATGTTTAATATAATAATAATTTTTAATTATCATCTAATTTTTAGTCTCCTAACAATTTAAAAACCTTAGATATTTTTGATTCTAAATCATCAGATAAAGTTTTATTATTATTCTCTTAAATTGAAATATTTGAATCATTATTATTAATATATTATTCTTCTTTTTTAGTATTATTTTAATTATCTTAAACATAATCTTCTGTCTATATAGCCTTATCATCTGTACCACTTATTTATACTATTTTACTTTAAGAGGGTTGATAATCTTTATCAAAATCTAAGTATTTTAGTGATATTATCTATGATTTTAATTAATTTTCTTATTATTTAAGCTACTCCCATCTATCAAATATCATGCTATTTTTTTTAGGTGATCTGCATGGAGATTTGCTTCCTTGAGATTTAAATGGAGATTTGATTCTATACTTCTAATTATTATCAATTTTAGCTTAAAAATTCATTAAATGTGATACTATAGATTATCCTTATTGAACTTTGATATTTATTTTCTCACTTTCTGGTTTAGAATCATTAACTTATTCAGTTTTTAACATAACAATTTATAATTGTAATTCATCTATTTATTTTCTATGTGAATCAATAATTTCTAGTGCTTCTCTATATTCTTATGTTAACTGTAATATCTCTTCTTTTTGTTATTAATCAATATCTAATGCTCTATCATAATCAAATTATAGTTATTTAATTTAATTTTTGCTTTCATTATAAAGAAGTTCCTAAAAATGAAGTTGTTCATTATAATAGTTTTATTATTCAATCATTTTATTTTTCATTTCTAATTCAAAACCTTTCATTTATTAATTTGAACTTTTAATTACCTAATCAATTAATTAGATATAAAAATCCCATATTATCTATAATAATTCACCTCTTTCTACACATTCAACTTTAACTTATCTAAATTATCATTTATGTTTACTATATAATTTCTTTGAAACATGTTGTATAAATTAATTGAATTTCTTCAGCAATCTATATGGCATTTAAGTTTTTACTATTATCTTTTGTTCTTTAAATCATGAAGAATAACCATTCCTTTAAATCTAAGGCTTATTGTCTATTAGGAGGAATAGCTTATTAATTTGGCTATTATTTTATTTCATGTTTTAAAATATCAAAGAAGTATTTTTATAACCCATTCTCCATTAAGTTCTTATCCTTTAATAAATCTTCAAAATCTAACCATTAGCTCTTAATAGTAGTTTTATCAATTTTATTATTGAATTGTAATTTGTTTTATGATTTTCTATACATTGTACTATAAAAACTTTGTAAAGATTTATCATATTTCTATAGTAGTTATAAAATATTATATTTACTGTTTAAGAGAGTTCTGGATCTTGATAGATAATGCTTTCAATAGATTGAATTTTTTTATGTTTTGATTTGAGATAAGAAACGTCAGAATTGGATGAAAAGTTTTTATTAGTAAAATCAGTTTTCATCCTGTTTGATGACATTTCTGCTCTTATTGTAAGAGGAATGCTGGAATTAATACTCTAATCCCAATCTGTCTTTATTATAAGTTTTGCCTATAATAATTTTAAATTCTTTACTGTTGATTAAGCCTTTTGAATTTTAGGAAAGCAATTAGTTTTATTCATTATAAAATAATAATTATATTATAACCTATCTAGTAATTTTTATTAGAGACTAATTTATCTTTATTCATATAATATTAAAAGAATCACAATATTAATTTAATGTTCATACTAATTATCTACAGAATATAGATATAAAATATATATTTACTGGACTTCAACTACTTCTAAAATTAGTAGCTTTTATAATCAATAATATATATATCTAACTCAATTATATAGATTTCATCCCTTTTAAATGTTTACAATTAAATTAAATTGAATATAATATATCAATTAAAATAGAAAAAGAACTTTATTTTAAAACTGTAGATCTATTCTTAATATATTAGATGAATATTGGAAAATATTAAATTTGTTATGATCAATCATATTATTCAAATTCAGTTGTATTGAATTTCATCACCATTTTTGGCATTTAAGGTAATTATGGCACAATATCATTTGTTATAAATGATCCTTTATAATCTGGTTTTTCTTCAGGAGATGAAAAATCCACAGTCAATGTTGCTGATCTTGTCTATGCAAAAAACAATTTTTTATGTGCATTTGAAGGTTTCTCTGTTTGAGTGAAAAAATCATGGTTTAAACACTCATTTGCAGTTGGTCTCATTTTTGGATCTTTGGATAACATTTTTTATACAAGTTCCCTCAATATATAATATAATTTACTATCACATTAAGTGGTATTTTCTTTAATGTTAATGGTGAAAAATCAATATGACACTTTTTATTTAATTATAAAACATAATTGAATCCAGTTCCTGGAAATAAATCTCTACCTGTTAATAATTTAAAAAAGACAGATCCTGCACTAAAGATATCACATGCAGGACCATATGTTGTATCCTTATCAGTTAAATTAGCTATTTCAGGTGCAACATAACCAGGAGTTCCACATTTAGGATATTTAAATCTAAATAATATAAATATTATATTACTTTTTTAAATTATAATATGTAGCAAGACCAAAATCAACTAATTTAAGTGTTGTTAGATTATTAGTTTTTTATAATACTATATTCTCAGGTTTAATATCTCTATGTATAATGCTTTTTGAATGCATATAATCAATTCCACTTAATAAAGCCTATTTAACTATTAATTTACATGCATAATTTTTTAGGATTATTCCAAAGTAAGACCTCCATGTTAGTTCTTTATTAATTATTATAAATTCTTTCCTGATAATAAATCCATAACAATATAATAACTTGTTTCACCTTAAAAAACTTCTTTAATTTTTACAAAAGCTGGATGATCTAATTAATTATTGATCTCAATTTCTTAATACATTAATTCATTTTTCTCTACACATTTTGCTGCAAAATATTAATCTCCAATCTTTGATTTCACTAAAAGAACTTTGGCTGAACTACCTTATCCTAAAACTTATAAGGGAGTATAGAAATCTTAGATTCTTGAAAAAAATAATTTTCCATTTAAGAATTCTTTTAATTTGTAAGCTTAATCTGTTAAGTAAGTTGTTTGATTAATTTTGAATCCTACTAAACTTTTATTGTAAACCCAATGAATTAGATTAGGAAATGAAATTGGTAGTGAGAATTTAGGTTCATTATCTTGATATATATGTAAGAAGTCCTTCTTTAGAATTGCTTTAAATGGAGGTTATAAATCAAGGGATAAGAGAATTTCATTATCTATGAAATTTATCTATGTTTTAAGCACCATTGAATAAACATTAGGACAACAAGTTAAAAACATTTTTAGTATTAATAAATTTAATTATGATTATCAAAACAATTTAATATAAAATCATAATAGTATTTATATATATTAATTGTTAAATATTTAAAATGAGTTTGATATAATTTAAGAGAGAAAAATATGGAATTAAATTAAGAAGAGATGCTCTAGAGAAAATATTTAGTTTAAAAAGAGTAATCAATTCTCCAGACATAGTTTAAGTATTTTAAAAATAATTAGAATCATATGAGACTGATATTTTAGAAGCAATTGAAATTTTAAAATAGTACTAAAATATTAAGCCTGAATATGTTTAACTATGGTTATTCTTATTATATGATTGTTTTATATATTTGGATCAATAGTATAAAGGAAATGAAATACTAGACTTAATGCTATTAAGTGTAAATTAATATCCGTAAGTAATATACATAAATAAATTAAAAAGAGCATAATCCAGTTCATAGAATATCAACTTTTTGAAATCTTACTCAGATATTAAGATATTTAAGCACTATAAATAATTGAAATAATTCTGAAATCACAAATCATCCGATCTCGTGATGTTTAAATTGAACCTCTTGTTAATTACATCTGTTCCTATATACCAGAACATACATATAATATTTTAAATATTCTTAATCTACTTTCTCATAATATTGAATGTAAACCAATTATGATAGCAAATGATCCAATCATGAATATGTTACTTATGGAAAATAATCAATTTTAGGATGAACGAAGTAGAATTTTAAGTCATTTATCAAGAGGAAATGTTAAAATGGTTTATTATTTTTATAATTCTAAAGATAAATTGCAATCTTTATTTTATTTAAATACTAAACATTGTCTTAAAATAATAATGCGTTTGATTTTTTATGATGAAACCAAAAAGATTTTATCAATCATGAGAGAATAAAGAATCAATCTATAAATTGAGAAAATATCCTCATAAAATTATATCATATATAAAAATGAAATAGAAGATATTCTATAAGAGTTTTAATAATGATTAATTATAATTATATATATATATTATATACACTTTTTTAATTATAATGGACTAAAAATTTGAAAATTGGTTACCTTTAGAATCCAATACAATTTTATTAAATAAATATTTAGTCAATTTAGGAGTGAATACTGATTTTGCAAATTTTGTAGATATTGTAAGTTTTGAACCTGAATTTTTAATACCAGGTAGTCTTGGAGCATTATTTGTATATCCTGATTCTCCAGCTATTAATAATTACTTTTTTGAATAAGGGGATAAGATGTTTGAAAGATAAATACCAGAATCTATTTATTATATGAAGTAAATTGCAGAAAATGCTTGTGGCACTATAGCTATATTACATATTCTAGCTAATATTCCAAAAGAATATTAATTTATTATTAATGAAGAGAGTTTTTGTCCTTAATTTATTTAAAACACATTAAATATGACACCTGAATAAAGAGCAGAATATTTAAAAAACTGCAAATTAGAAGTCAAAAAAAAAAATGGTTAGGTTTAATCATTATAAGATGCTCATAAAGAAGTAGCCTAGGAAAATCTTGAAGATCCAAATATTGAATTAAAAGCTGGTCATCATTTTATTGCATTTGTTTGGCATAATGGAAGTGTTATAGAATTAGATGGAAGAAAAAAAGCACCAATCAATTATGTTGATTGTTAATAGGAATTATTTTTAGAAAAAGTCATAGAAATATGTCAAAAACATTATATTGAAAAAGATTTAAAAGAAATTGGATTTAATTTAATGGCCTTTTAAATAGGATTTGAATGATTATTTTATTTAAATCTATATTTTAAGAAATTGAATTATTATTCTTTATTTAATATAATATTAATATGAAATGACAATAATTATTGAGATATGAAGACAAATTATAAAATATTATTTGTATATCTTAAAAATAATATTACTTTATTTATGAGATTGGAGGAGAGCAATAAAACCAAAAGAGAGATTAACCATTCTTTAAGGTATTATCTATGTGAACTTTAGAATGGTTATAATATATAAAATGAATGGAATATATTGGATTGAAGTCAAATATAAGATATTATTTTAATAAAATTAACTTCATAAAATGCTTTCGTCTTAAAATAATAGATATAAAATTATGAAGTCGTTTGAAACTGTAAGAACATATTTATCACTCAAATAATCACTATAATATTAATCCAATAAATAAGTAGAAGATAATTATATAACAGAGTTATAATTATCCTCAACTTATATTAGTGAAACTTCCAATAATAAAATCGATTAATTTATAAAATCATCTGGATACATAAATATTATCTTCGTAATCATAATTATTTTAATTATTATCAGAAAAGTCCTACAAAGAAATATGATAGACTTAAATATTAATCGATTCTTATTACTTACAGAATAGATATTATAATACAAAAATCATTTATTGTTAATTATCATAAAAAAATTTGTGAGGACTCTGATAAATAGTAAGAATTTGTAGATTCTGATAAATATAAAAATAATAGTATTATAATGAATCTAATATGATAGAAAGTATCCTAAAATTATAGATATGATTATTAAAGTAGATATAATTATCAACTATAGAATCCTCCAAGAATTTTTAAGCCAAAAATTGTCTCACAAATCAAAAAAGCTTAGGAATAATTATTGAAAATAAAATAATTAATAATATCTATTATTAAATTTAATCTTTTTATATTAGGATCTCTTAAATACAGAATACATTTAAAGAAATTGAATAATTTAAATAATATAACTACTTTATTTTACTTATTTGATATTCTTAAATCCAAATATAAAATAATAATAAATATATAGAATTAAATAATTATTCAATAAATTCAATTAAAACAGTATATTTGCGTATTATACTTAAAAATAATAAACTTCGATATAAGCTAATAATAATAACATAATTATTGAAAAATATGTATAAGATCAATACATGATACTCTAAGTATTTATTGACGATGAAAATAACTAAGCAGCTTCAAGGTTGAGTTTTAGATTATTTTCATAATATTATTTTTCTAAAGATTTTTTCTTTAAGTTATCATATTCTATTAGTGAGTTTCTTAAAGCTAATGCCTTTTTAATGTCAATAGACCCTAATTACAAATTCAAACCCAAGAAACATGATTCAAGAATTTCTAATTTAATAGAAATATTTATTTTACCTATTTTTGAGTTTAAGCTCACTAATTACCAATTATTCATTTCTCTTATGAATGATTCAAGTTTAATTTTACTCTATTAATTTAAGAACTCTTAATTTCTATTATCTTTAGAACTTATTTCTATGTTGAATTTTCTATTTAATTGAACTAATAAAGGTTCAAATGATTGAGATTCTATTTAAAGTTATTTTTCTTTATTTTAATGTCTTCTGAGAATGACATCATTTTATAAATTATTAATAAAGTTCATTTCCATTATTTCCCTACTTGAAGCATTGAAGTCTAAATCAACTGCATGACTGGCAAGCAAAAAGAATTGCATGCTCAGAGGTGACATATTTTAATTTTGATTGTTGAATTCTGAAGCAATATAAGTAGCTAATTGAGGAGATGGAACTGCTAAAATGTTTCTTTTTTAAGTCTTTATACTTTTTCCATCAAGCTAAAAATAATACAATTAAACTAACCTTAATAATCCATTAATGGAAAGGGTTGGTTGGATTTGTAGCCATTTCTACACTAGCTTCTTTATAACATCTTTTAATTGAGTTTTAAGATGATAAGGAGACTAATTCTGTGAACATAAATTGTTTTACAAAAGACCTCATTATTTCTAATTATTTTTATATTATGATTTCATATGAGGATACTTTAAAAAAATTTATACTGTTCCAATGACGTATTATAATATATAAATATAATTTTAATAATCTGAAGGTTACTATAATTTATGAAGAAAAAAATAAACTTAAATATATATTTTTAAAGTTCATAAAGTTGCAATTCTGTATTCAAATGATGATCATTAAAATTTCAATTATCTATTTGTAAAAATTAAAATAAATTTTTATGTCATATAAAAATATTAATTGATACAACAAAGCATACATAAAATAGAAAATTAAGTTTTATTTTAAACTTATTAAACTCTTAGGTTACAAGTGCTACATTTAATTTCATAATATCAATTAAATTTAACTCAAAATATTATATTAGTACATATGATTTTTTAATCATTTTTTATGATATTTTAAATGATTCAAAATACATTTTAGATTCCAATCATTTTCAAATTCTTTATAAAATATCATTATTAGAATCATATTATTTAATTGGAATTTGGAAGCTTTTTATATTTTCTATATATATATATAAATATGCAAAAGAAAATAATAAATTATTTTTAGAATTTTTATGGATTTAGACTTTATATTTTTCCCAGCTCCAAAAGATATATAAAATGATCATGAACATGGTCAAATATTGTGGATTCCAAAATATCCGAAACTCTATCCTACTTTTCAAAATTATGTACCTAGAACAAATAAGAAAAGGGGAGTATTCTTTAAATAAAGTGAATTAGATTTTGAAGATGATCATTTTTTAATTGATGAACCCACGTAACAATTTAAATTCTTATTTATTAGAGAATCTTAATTGCAGCCAATACCAAATTTTTTATGGAAACCAATAACAAGTAGATAAAGAAAGCGATAAACTACTGATATAAACTCACCAACTTTTGATTCTAATGAGGGTAGTCCAGATGTTCAACAAAAATTACAAAAATTAAATATGCAGTCTGTTTAAATTGTTACAAAGAAACCTTAATTGTGTAGAATGTCATCAAATCTTTACCCAATTAAAAAGACAAGAATTGATTAAAGTATTTGCTTTAGTTAACCATTAATAAAATTACCTTAAGAATTGATTGATCTCAAATAAAAAATTTAAAATGAATCTAATGATGAATAACCTCCACCAAGATCAAACTCGAGAGAATCCAATTAAATCAATGGTCATATTCCATGCATGTATGTGGATTCAAAAAAACATTCCCCAAATATTTTATTATATTTTCATGCAAATTGCGAAGATATAACATAATCCTATAATTTTTTAGTTCATCTTCGTGAAAATTTATAAGTATTTTATTCTTTATTACTGTTATAAGGTATCTGCTATAGCTGTAGAATATCCTGGATATGGCAAATATAAAAATGAACAACCTTCTGCTGAGGCAATACTAAATGATGCTGAATATGTGTTTAATTATCTTACTAAAAGATTGGGATATGCTGAAAATAGAATTATTGTATTTGGTAGAAGTATTGGGAGTGGACCGGCAACTTATTTAGCAAATAAATATAAACCTGCATGTTTAGCTTTAATGTCACCATTTACATCACTTAAAGCAGCTGTAAGAGATTATATTGGTTCATGGGCATAATTCCTAATTAGATAAAGATTCGATAATTTAGATCAGATTTAGAAAGTAAAAGTACCAACATTTATATTACATGGCAAAGCAGACAATATAATACCATACTCATAAGCATTAGAGTTATATAGTATATTTTTTTTTAATTTAGAATCATGTAAATCTGATAAATGTATATTACATTTGGCAGATGATATGGATCATATCAGTTATAGATTATACAAAGACTTAATTAATCCATTTACTGAATTTTTACTTTAAATTAAATATTATCAGAATAGTTCTTAAGGACCAAAAATGCCAACAGTTCTCTTTTATGACCCTACACTTGAATGAATTTTACAATAAACTCCTTTTATGTTTATTATGATATTTTATTAATCAAAACTAATAATAGTTTTAAAATTAATATTAATTATTTTTAAATTTATTTGAAAATTTAGAATTATGCATAAACTAAACAGAGTCTATAATATCAAAAATAATATGACAATCTCTATTTTAATAAGGAAAGTATGTGAAAAAATAAATGTTACTTACTTTATGCAACTCTCAAAAAATATATAGAATAAATCTCTAATTTAGTTTATAATTATGAAAACTGTTATCTTGATTATTAGATTTATCTCAAAACCTTATTTTTAGAAGGACAAAAGCATCGATAAATCAAAGTTGATTTATTTTAAATGTATTATTAATTCTTTAATTTATAAATTTTATGCGTTATCTTATAATAAGACATCATTGCCATATTATATTTAAGCAATTCACTCATAAAGAAATATAACTATAAATTTTATGAGTCTCCTTGTGGTTTTACAGATCAGTTTAAAAAGAATTATATCCCAAAATTTTAAAAAATAATATAATATAAATATTTTAGGTTATGTTATGTTGTTTTAATATGTTTAGGATCTAACATATATTATTAGATAATCAAATAATCATCATATGGCTAGAGAAATAGAGAAATATTTAAGTGAAATATAAACATTGAATATATTTACATCAAAACTAAATGAATGAAGTAAGTTATTCTTTGGCCAGTTCATACGCATAAAACCCAATAGCATTAGCGTAAAATGCCCGAAAGACACAAACCGAGTATCCCTTCCAAACAGATCCAAAACCTTCAGTTGATATTTTCTTAATTAAACAATCAAAAAATCCACCGTCATAGCATCTCACTTTATAAATTCTTGAATCAGTGCATGTTTAACATTAGAGAATTGTTTTAATTGTCTTGATTTTAGTTATGTTATTTTACATCTTAAGGATATCCTATTGTCCAACATGATACTCCTGCTAAACCTCCTGATATTAATAAGTTTGCAGTTGAAGGTTCTGCTTTTTAAGATAAATCACATAGTATATCCTTGATGCATTCATAAACTGCAAATTAAGCAGAATACCCAAGAATTTCTCTTTATTAAGTAGCATGCATACCTCTAAAAATATATTTAAACCCCTCTTTTTTGTAAATCTATGAAATATTTGAATAAATAATTACTTAGATAACACAATCTATGGGATTTTTGTAAATTTTTTCAGTTTCTTACATTTATAATCGGCATTTTGTTAATTCAATTGGGCATGAGAAGAAAGCAGCTGAACTTCCTGCAATGCTTCCACAAAATGCACTTATATTCACATATAAATATATACGTTTGGAAATAAGTGAGTTATTTATTCGAATTTCCTATGAAAAATTTTCTCCAGAATTCATAAACCGAAAATACAACTGCATTAGTTATTGGTATGGAAAGTATAGGAAATGACATTCCTTTATAAAAACCTTTTAATCCTTCATTTTTTATAATTTTTTATAGAGTTTTTAAGACACCATCATCTGACATTTGCATTCTTACTTTAACTGTGTCTAATGGATGACTTGAAATACAATTAGCTCTAATATTTAAAAAATGAATATTACATTCCACTAATAGAACCAGCTGCTAAATCAATAGAGATTTAATATCTATTTTCATATGTCCATTGAATAAAATCTGACATTTTAAAAAAAAAAGTATTTTTACTATAATCAATTTATGTAATTCATATATTGCATACGTCATTATAAATTAATCTTATTTATTATATTACTTATTTCATTGAACCAAAACTTATATACTATTATAAAATGTTAAATTATTGATTTTCTTATTGAGCAAAAATTACGTATTATATAATATATTAAAAATAAATATGAATTAAATTAAAATATTTATTGGAAATGACCATGCTGCATTAGATTATAAAAACATTTTATTAGATTATTGCAAAAAAAAGGACTATTAAATAGATGATAAAGGAACATTTACAAATTAAAGTTGTGATTACAATGATTATGCAGTTAATGTATGCAATGAAGTAATTAAATCTAATGGAATTGGAATATTAATATGTGGTAGTGGAGTTGGAATTTCAATGATGGCAAATAAAGTTAAGGGAATCAGATGTGGATAAGTTAATGATTATGATTCAACATTAAAAGCAATAGAAATTGGATGTAATGTCATTTCATTTGGTGCAAGAACTGTTGGTATTGAAATTGCTAAATAAATTGTTGATACTTTTCTTTCTAATTACCATAAAATTGAAAACAATCAAGTAGATAAGGAAATTTCAACATTTGAGGAAGAAAACTATAAAAAATGATTAATAACATAAAAATATCAAATTCAAAATTATGTACCGAATGAATTCATTTCTATGTAATTGATGTAAAGAAAGCCATCTAAGTCTTTAAATTATTCATGTAATTCTTTTAAATTTTAATCTTTAAATTATAATTTTTTATACCTATTCTCAACAATGTTTTACCGCAGTACAAATTTATTGAATCATATTAAGATAATTTTATTTTGCTTTTAATATATTATAGGACATTCATAATTGTCATTGAGTTTGGCATTTTGAATCTATTTAAAAAATTTAGAATACTTAATAAAATTTTATTTTGGGAGTTTACTTTTGCTTGATTGTTCTACCACTACCAATACATCATTAGGATAAAGTTGTTTGCAATTATCAGATTCATTTTTCCTTTCATCAAAAGATCTTGTATTTTAGAAATTCAATGTCTATTTCATTTAAAATAGAAAAATATAAATAATAATTATATAATTATTATTGAGAATATTTACTTGGTAATTATATGGATTTTCATCTTCTTTATAATTTACATTATTCACTTAAAATATACTAGATTACAGTCAAGCAACTTTTCATTTCTCCTCTCAATTTCAAAACAAATTCATCTTTGAATTCCTAAAATATTAAAATTGCTTAATTATACTCTGCTGCCAGCTTAAATATGAACTCCTTCTTCTTTTCCTATATGATTTAGTTTTTTCTAAATTTCTTCAATTAAATAGATCGGAACGACTATTTTCGTTTGAAATGGTTTTTGCTTGATTTTTCGCTTATTTGAACTTTTTCTATTGATTAGAAGTACCTAGTTGATCTAGATTTCTTTTATTTTTTATGTCTTTTGTTTGATTCTGATCTGGATCTTTCTCTTCTAATAGAGCTGGATGATGAAGATTTCTATCTGAATAATTAGTAATATGGCTTAACCTTTTGAATTTCATATCCTGGATCGAAACTGAATTTTTGTATTATTATGCAAAGTTTTCATTTATGTACTTTCCGCTTTCAAGGATCTTTTTAATTATTTTAATACAGGTCCTCCATTTTTAAAACACTCTATCTATTCTAATATTAACACTGTTGCCTCTAACTTATGGTCCACTGATCCAATCACTTAAACCAAACAATCTAACTATATTTATGAATTACATTATCCTATATCAGTATCATCTTTATCGGACATTACTTTTATTTATGCTCCTTTGGCTTTATTTGCAAGTTCTTTTATTTGACACCCCTCTTTAAAAAGATTATATATGATAATAAATTACTAGCTCCTATTAATTTGGATGCAAAATTAGATGGCATAACTACTCTAACATCAAAATCAATTCTCTTGAATTGTTAGCTTATTCTGCGAATTATGGATTTAATTGCTTCTTGCACATTTTTCAAAGTGCCAACTAATTGTAATATTTCCTCATCTTTTTTTAATTTATTCTAAAACTCTAATTTCAATAATATACTTTGATTGGGATTTCATTACAACTTTTAGCTTTCATTTTTAATTAATATTTTTTTTCTAAATCTTTATTTTTGAGAATGTAATCCACTATTACATCCATAAAAACAAGTTAAACCTCTTTATTAATTAGAAATACCTTAGTAACAACTTTTCCAGGGTCTAAAGGTTCAGCTCGCTTTATGTAGTCATCCTCAGTAATTCCTCTTTAATGTAGTTTATTTGTTATTAATTTAATGGCATTATATATGCAATTAGACGAGCCTAAATAATATTATTAAATCAATACCAGCTATTTTCACCGATCTTAAAGAAAATTTATTTATGGCATTATTTACTACAATATCTGCTTTTGTCTCTTGTTAAATATTTTTAATTTGTTTTCCTGATGTTCCTATTAAGTATGAGACAGTTCCTAAAATTTATAGAATTTTCTACCTTCAGGTATTAGCATCATCATTTCAAAAATCGAATTTTTTTTTTATTCAATTAATTGTAGTATTTTATTGATGGCTTCAAGTTATGAATTTAATTTGCTATCATCAGAATCAATAATTGAAAATGCTGTTCCTTCTAGTCCAGGAATTTGATTATTTCGATTCATTTGAATAGACTTGATATCATATTATGACTAAACTATGTTATTTTTTGTACATTCACATCCTCTAATATATTTTTCAATTCTTCTGATTTTATGTATTTCTATTCAATAAAAAAATGGATTTAAAATTATTTTTTTCTTCTTGATTAATCTTAAGGCGATGACGATCTTGATGTTTAGGCTGATAATCCTTGTTCGTCCACTAGATCCTTAGACATGTAATTAATTAATATTTAATTTAATTCAAATATAAATTGTTTTATTGCATATATTGATATTCTATGTAAAATATCCTTACTTTCCTTAAATAATAATTTAATTAGATTTATTTTTGTAGAGATGCTTGAGAAACTTAGTTAGAAGATAAGCGGCAATACAACATCAAAAAGTGATGCTTGTGAAATATGTGGAAAATCATTTGATTGGTACAATTCTTTATTAAGCGCTAGGAAAACTAAGTAGAATTAGTGTAAGCGGTGCTTTAGAGGTGTTTGTTCAAATTGTAGTTAAGACAAAGCCATTATAATTACTTAAGATGCAAAAACTCCACATAGAATATGCAAAATTTGTAAGGATGATTAGCAGCAACAAAAATAAATAGTAGAGTTAGAGAATTGCAAAGTTGGATAATTATCTAATGTAGGTAAAAGATGGGTATCAATAATTTTTGGAGACAAGTAATTTTTTATTAAAGCTAGAATTGAAATCAAAAAGATTTAAGAAGAATATTAATAGGCATTACCAAATTTTGTTTCCAATTCTAATTATGAAATTAAATAGTAAATTTAAACTAATCTGTTAAGAATCTTTAAAGAAGTAAGAAAATTAATATGCTTTTTAGAACAGATAAGCATTAAATTATTCTTTAGCTGATTGGCATTATCGTTGCTGTTCAAATGAATAGGACAATATACTAGTATAAAAAATAAGCAATATTTTAACATGCTTTTTCTAAACTAAGCCAGTTAGACTTACAAAAGGCTTAGTCTTTTTGACAACTTATATTTTATATTTTTGTGATGAACCTATTTCTTTGAAGGTGCTTTAATTTTTTCATGAAAAAATTATACCTCCGAGAATGCAATATCATAAATTAGAATAAGATGAAAGTAAACCAATTTTAGGTGAAATTGACCTTTTGCTAGAAATGGTTAATGAATAAAATAAAATAGAAAAATCAGTTTAACAAAAAGTTAAAATGATTCTAGAAACTTATTCTACTTAAATGTTGACAACATTTATGATAAATTCATTTGAATTTTATCTTGGCTTTTTCATTTTTAATTAATTAGTCATCAATCATAATGTATTAAAAAATGATTAATATATAGTTCTAAATGAATGAAAAATTCTTGGCATTTATTTGTCGGGATTAACTAAGAGCAATCTAAGATGTAAATATAGATGAGTTTTAGCGGTTAATACTTCGAAATATTTAATTAGATAAGTTTACTGCTTTCTTATCCTAGGAAGATGAAAAAAAAATTAAATATCGGAATTCAATTGCATAAAAAGAATAATAATTATAATAATAGTAATAATAAAATAATAAAATTGATGATAAAGAAATTGAAAAACTATTTGAAGGTATAATTTAATTGGTTGATGAAAATTAAAATTAAAAATTAGAATCCTTGTAATCTACAAGTAAATTTGATTGGAATAAAACTTAAATTAAAGAATTAGTTAAATCAATATAAAAAAAAAATTAAGTTTTATAAAATAAAACACTTTTGGAAGATTAATTAAAATAATATTAAGAGAAAAGCGCTGAGCAATTATAATAACAAAAAATTGGATCAGAAATAAATTCAAGCACTATTGATGAAAAAAATTAATTGATTAAATAATTATAGGATAAAATAAAATAATAACAATAATTAATATCAAATTATATAGAGTAAACTAAATTATTAGAAGAAACTCATTCATAAAGCATGAAAAGTTAAGAAAGAGAATATTTAAAGTTAATTGAAGAATTGAAAAATAATATTATTTTAAAGTCTAATAAAGAAAATTAATATGAAGAAAAAATTTCATAGCTTTAACTAGAGATGGAACGTAAAATAAAAGAAAAAGAAGATTTGATAAAGAATAAAGAAAACTAATAAGAAAAGGAGATATATTTAATTTCTGAATAATATGACAAAATAAAAAAGGATTTGGAGAATAAAGATATGTTGTATAAAAAATAATAAAAAGAATAAGAAAATGTATTTGAATAATAGTTAAAGTAAGAATGTTAAAAAATTGAAAATAATAAAAATATCTTGAATGAAAAATATATATAATAAATTGAAAATTTAGAAAAATAAATAAAAGAAATTAATTAGAGTAAATAATTAATAGAATAAGAAGCACAAGAAAAAATAAAAAATTTAGAAAGTCTACTTAAGAAAAATTAAGAAGAATCTTTAATTTTATTAAAATAAAAATAAGAGGTATATGAAGAAGAGGTTGTATAAATGTAATTAAAATAAAAATAGGAAATCGAAAACATTCGAAAATCATTTTAAAATGAAAAATAAGAAGAAAATTAAAAAAATGAAAATATTTATTAATAAGAAATTGAATAGATAAGTTAAGATTATAAATTATAAATAAATGAAATTAGTTAGAATTTCAAAGAAATTATTCAATAAAAAGATGATTCTATAAAATAATAGGAATAGAAAATATAAGAATTGGAATTAAATCATTAGGAATAATTAAAATCTATGTTAGATTAACATAAACAAGAACTAGAATCAAAGGAATAATCAATAAAGTTATTAAAAGAAGAGTCAAGTCAATATTTCACTTAAGAATTATAACAAAAGGAAGAATCATATTAAAAATAATTAGAATAAAAGGATGAAGATTATAAATTATAAATAAATGAAATTAGTTAGAATTTCAAAGAAATTATTCAATAAAAAGATGATTCTATAAAATAATAGGAATAGAAAATATAAGAATTGGAATTAAATCATTAGGAATAATTAAAATCTATGTTAGATTAACATAAACAAGAACTAGAATCAAAAGAATAATCAATAAAGTTATTAAAAGAAGAGTCAAGTCAATATTTCACTTAAGAATTATAACAAAAGGAAGAATCATATTAAAAATAATTAGAATAAAAGGATGAAGATTATAAATTATAAATAAATGAAATTAGTTAGAATTTCAAAGAAATTATTCAATAAAAAGATGATTCTATAAAATAATAGGAATAGAAAATATAAGAATTGGAATTAAATCATTAGGAATAATTAAAATCTATGTTAGATTAACATAAACAAGAACTAGAATCAAAAGAATAATCAATAAAGTTATTAAAAGAAGAGTCAAGTCAATATTTCACTTAAGAATTATAACAAAAGGAAGAATCATATTAAAAATAATTAGAATAAAAGGATGAAGATTATAAATTATAAATAAATGAAATTAGTTAGAATTTCAAAGAAATTATTCAATAAAAAGATGATTCTATAAAATAATAGGAATAGAAAATATAAGAATTGGAATTAAATCATTAGGAATAATTAAAATCTATGTTAGATTAACATAAACAAGAACTAGAATCAAAGGAATAATCAATAAAGTTATTAAAAGAAGAGTCAAGTCAATATTTCACTTAAGAATTATAACAAAAGGAAGAATCATATTAAAAATAATTAGAATAAAAGGATGAAGATTATAAATTATAAATAAATGAAATTAGTTAGAATTTCAAAGAAATTATTCAATAAAAAGATGATTCTATAAAATAATAGGAATAGAAAATATAAGAATTGGAATTAAATCATTAGGAATAATTAAAATCTATGTTAGATTAACATAAACAAGAACTAGAATCAAAGGAATAATCAATAAAGTTATTAAAAGAAGAGTCAAGTCAATATTTCACTTAAGAATTATAACAAAAGGAAGAATCATATTAAAAATAATTAGAATAAAAGGATGAAGATTATAAATTATAAATAAATGAAATTAGTTAGAATTTCAAAGAAATTATTCAATAAAAAGATGATTCTATAAAATAATAGGAATAGAAAATATAAGAATTGGAATTAAATCATTAGGAATAATTAAAATCTATGTTAGATTAACATAAACAAGAACTAGAATCAAAGGAATAATCAATAAAGTTATTAAAAGAAGAGTCAAGTCAATATTTCACTTAAGAATTATAACAAAAGGAAGAATCATATTAAAAATAATTAGAATAAAAAGATAATGATTACAAATCATAAATTAATGATTTAAATGAAAATTTCATAGTGATGTTTCAATAAAAAGATGATTCTATAAAATAATAGGAATAGAAACTATAGGATTTGGAATTAAATCATTAGGAATAATTAAAATCTTTGTTAGATTAACATAAACAAGAAATATAACAAAAAGATGAATCATATTAAAAATAATTAGAATAAAAGGATGAAGATTATAAATTATAAATAAATGAAATTAATTAGAATTTCAAAGAAATTATTCAATAAAAAGATGATTCTATAAAATAATAGGAATAGAAAATATAAGAATTGGAATTAAATCATTAGGAATAATTAAAATCTATGTTAGATTAACATAAACAAGAACTAGAATCAAAGGAATAATCAATAAAATTATTAAAAGAAGAGTCAAGTCAATATTTCACTTAAGAATTATAACAAAAGGAAGAATCATATTAAAAATAATTAGAATAAAAGGATGTAGATTACTAATAACAAATAAACGAAATTTCTACTAATTATTAAAATTAAATTACGAATGTTTCGTAAAATCTTTAAGATTAACTTAATTCAAATGAAACTTTAATAAACCAAATTTCATAACTTAAATTAAATCATGAATAATAATTATTTTAAAAAGATGAAGAATATAAAAGTATAATTCTTGAAATAAGTGAGAATCATTTGCGTTAATTATAAAATCGTGACCATTCATCTTAAATTGATAGCAAACAAAGTGAACTTAATAACATTTAACTTTAATAGTAATACATTTTATAAATATAATAAAAAGATGAATAAATCTTAAATTTAACCCAATAAAACGAATAATTAATGTAACAAATTGTAATAGAAACTGAAAAGTAAAAATATTAAGTTTAGCCGTAAATAAAGGATGGATTGAATTAAATAGAAGAATAGTCTTAAATCGAAAATAATTAGCTTATAAATGAAGAAAACACTAATTAAGCAAATAAGAATTAATAATTCTCGGAAGTAAATCTTTTATCCTTAATTGACTAATAAAATTAGCAAATCTCAGAATTAAAATAAAAAGATTAGGATAGTTTAAATACTATAGAATCTCTTAAATAAAATTTGCAAATTCTACAAATAGAACTAGAAAGCAAATATTAAGGATAACTTGATGCATTTTTGAAACAGTAAGAAAATCAAAAAGATGAAATGTAGAAGTCATTTAATAAGGCTCTAAGCGAATAGGAAGAAAAATAAAAATTAGAAATATTTGCACATCTTGAAACTATATCAAAATTAAGATTTTAGATTTAAGATATTGAATGTAAATTGTAAAATTCAAATGCTGAATTATTTTAACAGTAAACAAAATTAAAACAAATAATTTAACTTGAATTTGAAGAATTATTAAAAAAATAAGCAACAGAAAAAGATGAAATTATTTCAAATTTTGAGAAATTAAGAGATTAGTATAATGAAAATCTTTAGTTGAACTAACAAAAAGATAAAGAAATATTGGAGTAAAAATAATTTATAGAGGATTTGAAAAATAATATTGATGAAACTAATCAATTATTAACCTAATAAAATTTATAAAATGAGAGATTAAATCAACATATAATAATTTTAAATAATTAAATATTAGGTTTGAAAAGGAAAAATTTTGATCAAACTAGTTAAACTTAAAATTCAGCAAAAGAACTACAAGATAATATTTTATAATTAAGAAATCAACTTATTCTTAAAGAAAGCGAAATATATTCATTAAGATTGCAATTTATTGATGCAAATTCTTAAAGGCTAAATTATTTTTATTAAGTATAGAACTATATAAAAGAGATGAAGTTAATGTCTGAAAAGCTATAAACTTATGATCAAAGTGATGTTTAACAATTAACTTCATATTATGAAGAAAAAATTAAATTATTAGATCAATCTTATGAAGAATAAATGAATAGATTATTTTAATAACTGAAATAGAACTAAGATAAAGACTAATCAACCTAGCCAGCATAAAAATTGAATACATAATAAGTCAATTCATCTTAGTAAAAGGATACCAAAATTACAGGGAGAGTTTAAATGTTGGAAATACAGTAGGAGTCAAGAAATGAGTAAACTGAAGATTGCACAATTTTTTGATTTGATCTATTAGAAAATGCAATATAATATAATTTAGAATATAAAAAAATGATGTATTAATTTTTCATTTTTTGAATCAAACTGAGGATTAATTGATTCAATAAATTATTCTAGCTGTTGTTGATTAATTCTTAATCCTTTTTTTCTATAAATTTATTATTTTTGTTAGTAGTTTTTCACCAATATAGTATTTTAACTTTTTGAAATATAATGAATATTTGAACATTGATTAATTTTTAATTGCAATTAGAAAAAACCTTGTTAAAATCTTTAAGAAGATAAATCAATTTTTGGGAATAATACTTGAAGAGTAAGACCTTATACATTTATATAAATAAATTCGCTTTTTGGTATCAAATTTTAATTAAAAAAGCTACATTATGTGACTCAATCAGGAATATCAAAGCTATTTGTTTCAATTATGATATTAAAATCTCAATAATCATAATTCTTCTTATAAATATTGAACATAGATATAATATAATAATACAATTTAAAAGAATTATTAATTTCTTATGTAATATTAAAATGAATCTGAACAAATAAATAGAAAGCAATAATTATTGAGGAGGGAAATATATGATAAAGGGTATGATTGCTAAGCTTTTTAAGATTATATGGAATAACTAAAAGTTAATGGTATTCATAACTTACTTAATATTTAGGTGGATAGGATGTAAACATATGGACTTATCAGGAGCTTTAAGAAGCAATAAGTTTATTTTAGACAACAAATCAACCATAAATGGAAACTATTGATTTAGACGATGTATCTTGCAGATAATCAGAATTTAATGATCAAGTATAATTCGAGGCTTAGAGCTAAGATGAATAATTACCAAAAATTTAACAAGATCAATAGTGGCAGAATTAAAAATAATAATGTCAAACAATATAAAATGATATACATGAAGAAATTGTTGCTAAACCATCTGTTGATAATGACAGATTTTATTAAAAAATCCATTTATGTAAATTATAAGATAAAAAAATGATACTTACTGCTAAGGAAATTAATGTCTCAATCACAAAATTTGAGAAAATTCAAGGAGGTTTACTATCAGCTTCTTATTATATATATATTATAAATACAGAACCAATTGGTTGGAATGTTTAAAGAAGATATAATGATTTTTTGTGGCTAAGAGAAGTGTTAAATAAAATATATCCTGGTCGATATGTATCATATTTTATTAAATAGATTCCTCCCTTACCAAAAAAAACTGTGTTGAAAAATGATCAAGAACTATACTTAATTAAAAGAATGAAATTTTTAGAAGTAAAGAAGTTTAAATTATATCATAGAAATTTCTTTAATGTTTGTTTCAAAGTGAATTGATCAGACATGATAAATGGTTTTATGCTTTTTTATCAATAAAAGAAGAAAAAGATTTTAAACATATATAAAAATTGAGCACTCAATTATCAAGAGTGACAAAATTGGAATAAATTATTTCTTTGGATGGATAAGTTTAATTATAAATTAATGATAATCTAGTTACATATAATCATGAATCGACTTCTTTGATAAATTAGATTGATTTAAGTTATAAAAAATTAAGAAAGGAGTCTAAATAATTATTGTTAGATTTTGATCAACTATCAAATACTATTTATAATATGGGATAAACCTGCACAGATCTATATTAATTTTCAAATAAGTTTAATTAATCAATTTCATAAGGGAAAATTTCAAAATTGGATATTCTTTATATTTCAATGAATAATATGTTAGTATAATGGGGGAATAATTTAACAGCTTAAATTAAAATTGTTCAAGAAGAACTGTGTTCTTTTTTCAAATTTCATCATCATTCAATTACATCCTTAAAAGAAGTAACTAAAATTATCAAAAATAGTTCATTAAATAAAAAGAGTAGGCACAATAGGAATATGAAAAATTTAAATCAAAATTGGAGTTAAAGAAACATAAACTATTTACATAATAAGATTTTAATAGATGGGAAGTACCATCGATACAAATTAAAGCCTTACAGGATAGCAATTTAACCTAAAACAGAGAGGTTTGTTTAGCTATAATGTTGCCTTAAGAAACTACTTTATAGGAAGAACTTAAGAACATTTTTGCCTTTTATAATTATTAATAATTTTCAGAAATTGATAGCCATCTTGAAAATACAGTGACATTTTTTTCAGAACACTTCATAAAATTTTGCAGTTTATAAAAAGAAATGCTTGCTGAAGTACTACATAAATATAATTATTTAGCAAAAATTAGTATGGGACAAAAGCATTGTCAATTTTAATAATTTACACTATCCACAATAAATTATATTAAAGAAAACTTGATTATATTTAAATGATCCATTAATATATTATCAAATTCATTTAAAAAATGATATAGATTTTTCAATTCCAAACATCGTCATCATTTAAAAAATGAGTTACTATTTTTAATGATGCAATAGGCAAATTATTTGGAGCCATATGTCCTGCATTATATATTGTGGCATAATAGAAATTTTTATATTTTTTAATCGTTCCTGCTGTTTCTTCTATATCAAAATCTTCTCTTTTGGCTTTAAATGATTATTTTGGTTATTTTTTCCATTAGTAAATATCTTTCCAATCCAATTAGTTTATAACATAATTCATAGATGGTGTATTGCAAATAATATCTCTAGATCCTTGATATATCATAACTTTAAATCCTTGATTTAATAGAAATTCTACATTAGGCTTTTGTGAAATTGATATATCCACTTCAAAATTTTTTTCAACTTCAGCATTGCAAGGTTAATAAATAAGATCATTGGGAGCACCAAATTATTTTCTGTACTGATTTATGAATTCTGTGTACAAATCTTCTCCATAGCCTTGATTTAAATAGTCTTAATAATCATAAGGACTTATTTATCCTGTAAATTTAGTTAGAATATAAAATATTCCTGCAAATCCATCAAAAGTAGACTTTAAATATTATTCATTTAAGACATCAGCTTATGCTTTGGCCATTTAATTCTCGGTGAATATTTTTTTTTATTCACTAAAAATACCTAAAGAATAAAGCATTGGAGCATAACTTTAGTATTATAAGAAAGCATCTGTCCAACCATTTCCAATTGCAATACCCTAAAAATTCATTTCTAAATTTGATTTTGCTAATGCAGCTCCAACTGCTGGAACATAGTGACCACCAAAACTTACACCAAAGACATAGAATTTAGTTTGTTTAAATTGTGGTCTTTATTAAAAAAATATTCTAAAGAACTCCACTAGGTATAATCCAGCTAAATCAGAACTTCCAACATTTTAATGTGGATTTGAATAACTCAATCCTACTTCAAAAGGTTAATCAATAAAAATAACATGAGCTACTTTATTCCAAGTATTTAATCCTTTCTTAACTGAGTAATCTTTATCTCCTTTTTTATAAGCATGATATGGTCCTACATTTTGGAATATATGCATTAGAGATGCACATCCTGGTCCACCATTCAACCATAAGATAAAATTGTCATCTTTTTTTACATCTGCTAATTTTGATATGCCTTCCTTTAAAAACAAATGATAAAAGAATTAATTATTTCCATTTTTCAAGTCATTTACTCCTACATATCCTGTTTCAGAATAAAAATCTGTTAAAGGTTCTAATTGTTTGTAGAAATCTTAAATATAAATTTATTATCATACTTGTTTAATCTATGAAGGTGAAGGATTGCTAAGAGATAGCTATTAGTAGAGCCAAGAAAATACAAAATTTTCCCATCTTATAGATTAATAATTTAATTATATATCCGATGACTTCATCGTTTTTAGAATAAATAAAGAAATTGATCATTGAATATGTCATATTGTGCAATTTTATTTTAACAACTCTTTTACTTTATAAATTAAATAATAAACAATTTAAATGTAAATCAAATACTTAAGCTCAGTTTTTTATAATGATTTCCTTAAATATCACCATAAATAAGTATATCATTATCTTTATCCAAATAATAGCAATTTCCAAGGTAAGGGATGGTTTTTAAGATAATACCAGATTGAAAATCAACCAGCTTCAAATCGATATAATTAATTAACAGTATAGCTCTATCATTTAAGCAAAACTAAGCATCTATGAATTCTCCCTCAAATTAAAGTACTCTTAAAATTTTTTATCTATTTAAACTAATTATCTTTATTTTATCATCAATTTAAACAAGAAACTTTTCGTTTTTCATTAAATTTTATTTAATTCCACATATCTCTTAAATCTTTGCTTAGACTCTATTAGTAAAATAGATAGTTTTTTTATTTTGCAAATTATATATACATGTATATCCCTCCTAACTTATGGTTGTAAGAAATTTTTAGTTATGAAATAATATCTAATGCTAAATTTTTCCTTTCAACTAATTAATTTAATGAATCACTTCAAAAGTATTTAAATCCCAAATAAATATCATTTCATCATGGCTACAAGTAATTAATTTCTTTCCTTATTCATAGAATATCAAACCTGTTATTTTATTAAAATGAGCAGGAGGACTTTAAAATACTTTTACAATTTGATTATTATTATGAATTTGAAAAATCAAAATTGAATTATCCTCGTAATCTACTGCAATTTTAGAAGTATCCTCATCAAAAGCAAATTATTAAACCATTAAATATGGTTACTAATATTTTAGTTTAGCATTAGTTTATTTGTCATAAAGTAAAATCTAATCTGTATTACAAACAATAATAAATTGATTGGTTTAAGAGATATAAGTTATTTCAGGTTCACAATCCATTTTTAATTAAAAATAATTATTAAAATGATATTTCATATAAATTAGCTAAGAATAAGCAATTAAGATATTATTTTTCAAGGAAAATCTAATTAAACACCAACAGTATTTAAGTCTAAATTAATTTGATTAATACTATAGTAGATTATATAAAAATTAATTTTCTTATTCTAAAAATCTATTACTTAATTGTCTCTAAGTTAATATATGATTCTAATAACTTTAACAAAAAATTAATTATTAATAATGACAATTTGATAGATATTCATTCTATAAGTGTATAAAAATTATAGTTATAAATTTCATTTAGAAGAGTAAAAATTTGAATCATTTTTTATTAGATTTTGATTTAAAAAGGAATTATTTGGGAAAAATAATGTTTATGTAACTTAATTTTATTGATTAAAAAAATTTAATACTTTAGATGATAATTTCAAAATTTTAATTTAGCAATAATATTAGAACTAATTAAAGATGGAAGATAAAGGAAAAAAAAATATTAGTGTAGAACTGAAAGATAAAAAGAGAAATAAAAAAAAGGATATCTTAATTAGAATAGATGAATTGTTTCATTAAGTAAATAAATTTAAGAATGATTAGATTAAAGAAAATCACTAAAAGGAGTAAGAAATTGAGAGTATGTTTCCAATAATTAATAATGTTTAAAGAAGATAATTTTAGTACTCAAAATACAGAACAGAAGTATTAACATGTAATAAAGATAATTTAATATTGACAAAAGTATTAAGTTCAATGCCTCTTTATAAATAAGAAAAAATATATGAATTCAAAAAAAAAGGTTTAAAAGACTTTGCTGATAAATAATTCTAAAAAATTAGAATAAAACCATTACCATAAACAATCTTGAAACAGATGGGAGATTCTTTAGTTTAATAATAAACAAAAATTATAAATGAACAAAGATTCTAAACAGAAAATTCAATCATTTATCATAATGATTCTGATAAATTAACTAAATCTAATTTAAGAATGAGGAATCCTGATGAAACATTGTCATTTTTGAAAAACAATTTTGGAGTTTTTGTTAATACTTCATAAAAGTACAGACTTAGAGGTAGAAAAGAATTAGAATAAGAAGAAAAATAGATTGAAAGAGAGAGAAGGAAATTTTATAATGTAAAAGATAAATTGGAAATATATTATACAAATATAGATACTTAAATCTCATAAAAAAATAAATATGAAGATCCAATCAAATTATATTAAACTTCTCCAATGATTGAAAATACAAAATCAGAAGAAGTAAGCCCTACAGTTGACAAAGAAGTTAGAAATAACATCTTTAACCGTAATCTATATTATATAGATCACTATAATAGTATAAAATTAGGGTATAAAAATGAAAGGGAAAAAAATATGAGATCAACAAATTAAAAATATAACATGAACATTATGAATGATACTTATGATTGATTGTAGATTAATTTTTACTGTTATTATAATTTGTAATTCTTTTTTATTTATTATTAAATTGAAATCATATAGTTATGAATTAGATTGTTTATTAATGATATATCATTATTTCTTAGGTAACAATCCTACATATACACTTCTATAAAATTCAGAAGCTAAGGAAGCTCCAGAAAAAGGACCAAAAATGTAAATCCATATGTTTATTAATCTATCCCAATTACCATCTTACAAAGACTCAAAGATTCCCAAACCTACACCCATAGCTGGATTTAAACACCCTTTTATAATAATAGTAAAATTAACCTCCAGTGTGATAAGTGAGAATTCTTCCAAAGTATAATGCAGTGGCAATAATTCCTATTCCAATTAGATTATTATCTGTTAATTAGGTTTATTGATGAACTTAGATGTGTATAAATAAACAAAAAATAAAAGTTCCAAGGGCCTATATAATTTATATAGAGTCTTACTTCTCCACAGAAATCTGCAATCATCCATTCAATTGGTTAAGTTGCTATATATGGAGATGTAACTCTTCCAACAATAACAAATGCTGCTAAAGCTCCAGCTATTGCACCACCTACTTAAGCAGCCCAATATACTCTCATAGTGAAAGCACTAATTTCATTAGAACTATAAAAGGACATTGAGACAGCTGGATTCACATGTCCTCCTGTAATTTTACCAATTAAAAATATTGCACCAAATAAATAAACACTTAGCATTACATCATTTCCTCTAGAACATACAATTCCATAAGCAAAGAATGCTGTTCCTAAAGCTTCCCAGATTAAGATTCTAATTAATTCACTGTAAGGTTTGTCATCAATTGTGTTTTTTAATTTATTTTCTAAGATTTCGATCTTTTTTAATAATTCTTCTTTTTGTTAGTCTTTGACTTCAAATTATTATTCTTCTGGTGTAGGGGTTTAAAACTTAAGTTTTTAATATTATTAGGCATATGATTGAGGTTCCTCTTCAGTGTGTTACAATAGTTTTTCTTATGACATTATTTTATTAATTAAAAATTATTTATTGTTAAAATTATAAACTCAAATCATGGTTTTAATATTTTCTGTGTCAAATTATTTTTATTCTCTGTTAGAATATTCTTCAATTTATTTTTCTTCTTAATCACTTAATTTTTAGTAAAATTTATTTCTGCATATTAATAAGGTAATAATTAATATCAATATAATTGATATTAATATTATTATTAATAATAAAAAAATTGATTAATGTTCTTCATATATCAAAACACTAACTCCTTCAAAACTAAAATTTGCCTATACTTAACAAAATTTAAATTGATTTTATACTTAATCTCTTAATGATGGACAAATAGTAGAATTTAATGTTAATGAATAATACTAAATAAAATATATTATAAATAATTACTTCTTTTTTTTATTCTAAGGCTGTACAAAGTACCCAAGGAGGTATTAATCTTAATCTAAATAAACTAACTTCATTTTCTGATATACCAATCAAGAATGTTTCTGTATAGGTTAAATTTACATTGCTCAAAATTCCATCTTCAAAAGCTTTACCATTATATAATTATTATTTCCAAGGAGGATTTAATTCATCAACTTAAATTAAATCAATATCAGAGAAAAAGAATGATTCATGTTAAGCATCAAAATCTTTATAAACAGAATGATATATAACTTAATGCAAGCGATCAGAACCAACAAATAAAACAAACAAATCACCAACATAAACATCATAAACATCTTATCCAAATTAATGAATTTAATTGAAGTAATATTATTATCCTTAAAAATCAATAAATATTTCTAATGCATATTATAATGAATCTTCTGTTTAAGCTAAAATGAACATAGTATTTTTGTGAAAATCAAATGTATCTCCTCCTTTTATATAAATATACATTTTATTTTCAACAAAAGTTAATTTTTATTTATTGAAATTATAGATATGAATTCCCAATTTTTCATTTAAGATAAAGAGGTGATTAGAAGTTTCATCCATTTTTGCTTACTTTAAATTAATTTAGTCACTTGGAATAATATTAGTTAAGAAATCTAAATTACCATTAGGATTCATTTAGTAAATATCAACTCCTGCTGTTGGATATGTTATAAATAATAAAGCATTTTCATCACTAAAAAATATATGATTAATTGTTTCATTTTTCAGATTAAATAATTTAGAAATTGAAATCATCTTTTCCCTAAATATTTTAAAATAATTTACTCAATTTAATTATATGAAAATTATAATACTCCATATTCACTTATTATAAAACAAAATATTTAACCTCCTTATTTTAAATATTAACTACATAATAGTTCTGAATTTAACAATTAAGACTTTTCATCAATATTATCAAATTCTTTTGTTAAATTTATTATTTAATATTATGAAAATCCATAAATACCATAATTTTATTTATCGTAATCTATCTTCATGATAAACAATTAAAAATCACTTCTCAAAACAAATACAAAATAATTTGCAGCATAAACTGATGTGATTATTCCTTAAAGTGTATCTGGACTTTCAAAAGGCAAATGAGGAGTAGTATTAAATAATTATGTTTGTGCTATTTTTCTTGAATATGGATGACAACCTTAACTGAAATTGCCATCTATTGATTATGCTAAAGGTATCTCATTCTTGCTTCCTTATATCAGTTACATAGAATAGGTGCCATAATAACTAATTATTCTTAATAATACTTAGCATATTGAAATAAGATGGATTAGTTTAAATTAGCCATGTAATTGTAATCTTTTACTGTTTCATATATGACATCTGTTTATGGATTGATGTATCTATTTGATTTAGCACTTAATGCAGAAGACACAAGAAAAATAATATAAATCATAAAGATAAATAATTATGATTATAATTATATTATTAGAACCTTATCTTGATTCAACCAAAATTTTCATATTTTATCACTTAAATTAAATTTATACTTCATTAAAATATCAAATATTTTCTTTAAATTCTCTCCATCACTTATAAAATCAAATAGAAATATAAATTTATTTTATCTTTACATATATATATATATAGAATATACACATTAATTCTGTTAATTATTAATAACATATGAATAATCATATAAAATTAAGTATCAGAGTATATTAAGAAATTAATTTAATTGAAAATAAAGATAACGGATATACTTTAATAATCTAGTTATTTTAAAGTTTAATGAGATTCAAACTATTTCTTTATATAAAACTCATTCAAAAATTTTGAATTAATGTTATATTTATACAAAAAAATAAAATTTTGTTAATTAGAGAAATGAATTATTAGAATTCTAATTCTTAAACTATTAATTATCTTTTTTTAAAGAGAATCATTAATAATTTATTTTTAGATTAATTTTGATAGTTTCTAATCTCTTAATGAAAAAGAAATAAAAATAAAAAGAATTCGTTTTTGTAATGGTTATTCCAAGACTATTTTATTTTGAAATTCTAATTAATACATAAGTTATATTTCTGTCATGTTAAATTAAACTTTTTAATTCAATTAACGTATTTAGGGGTTCTTGGTCTAGCTTAAGGAGCATTTCTTTTTTCTTAAGACTTTAGAATTTAGAATGAACACATCAATGTCTCATCAACACTCATTAATGCACCTATTCTTTTATCCCTTTTTATTACCTGAATTATCAAATTCACCACAATAATTGGGAGCTGAAAATAAGGTTACTAATTATCTTTTTGCAAAAAATTCATAACCTTCTTCGACTACTTAATGTGCTCTACAAACTAAATCCATATCATTTTTCTTTAAGAAATTAGCTATTACATCTGGACCAAATATATAAGATACTCCTCTCTCATTATCTATTGAAAATAAATTAATATTATACCTTGCCAACCCTACATGTCTTTTTCTGGATCTGACCATAATAGATCACAAAGGAGTCCAGTATCTGGAACTTCTATAGGTCTCATAATTCTATGTATTTATTCTAAATTTGTTAATTCCGGTGATAATCCTCCATGCATACAAATAATTTTTTCATCTATTACAGCACATACAGGTAAACAATTAAAACAATCAGTAAAGGTTTTCCATAATTTTATATTATACCTTCTTTTACATTCATCATAAAACCCATAAATACGGTTGATTTATGAACACTCATGATTTCCACGTAATAAAAAGAAATTTTCAGGATATTTTATTTTGTAAGCAAGTAATAAACATATTGTTTCAAGAGACTATCTTCCCCTATCAACATAATCTCCTAAAAACAAATAATTTGCCTCAGGTGGAAATCCACCATATTCAAACAATCTTAATAAATCAGTATATTATCCATGAATATCACCTAACATAGAATATAAGTTATACCACAAATTTTTATTGGAGCCTCTAATTCCAATAACATTGGTTAGTTTAAAAAAATCTCTCTACTTTTTACACATAATGAACGTATTTCATTCTCTGTAAGATTTACAGCTTTTCCTTATTTTGCTCCTTTGCTTTCTAAGAGTTTTTCAATGATCTTAATTAATTTAAAATGCTTACTTTATCAACATCGATATCCATTTTTATTAATATTTATATGAAAAATATAAATAAACTCAATTATTTCTTTTATAAATCAAATAATTTTATAATCATAAGTGATTGACAATTTATTATTATTATTATGGATAATGATTATTAGATATCATTCTAAAATTATTGTTTATAATATATAAATCTATTTAAATCATTATAATTCATATTAAAAAAAATCAATCTATCTTTAACTTATTAAAAATTATCTTTTTTATTATATAAAATAAATTAAATTTATAGTTTCTTTAAGAAGATTATTAAATCATCTATTTATTGTATTTGTTAGAAGTAGATATAGAAAATTCAAGACTGATTTTAATGTAAATAATTAATTAAAAAATGAATTAAGAAGAGATTATATAAATATAAAACTTATTAAGAAACAAATAAGAGATTGTTTGGTATTATCATATAATATAAATCTTATAATTATTTTGTAAGAATTTAATTATTTTTTGTATTTGTTCTTTTTAATATAATTTTTAATAATATAAATGGCAAAAGAAATTGAGGAGTATTTTGTAAAGCGGCTTTAAACATATCTATTAGAATATTTTTAAGATTTTTCACAAAATAATATGAAAAAAGTAAATAAATCAACATATGTTCAAAGTTTTCTTTAGGCATTTCTTCAAATATTAAATTGGAGAATCTATAAATTAAGAAATAAGCATTACTAAATTTTTCATTTCCAATGTACATAATAGATGGAAAAATAAATAATATTACAATTAATGTATTTGAGAGTAAATATTTTAGATGCCTCTTAATTACAAGGCCCAATAACCAGAAATGATTATTGAAGGAATAAATTTAGAAGTATGTACAATATAAGAAGCAAGTCTATTTGTTTAAAATAAAGATTAGTAAAGTTAATAAGGAGTAGAGAATTTGAAATAACATAAATTAAAAATTTGGGAGGAATAAATGGCAAAGTATTTTGAATAACTCTCTCCTCCTAATTGGATTTAAAAAATAGTAGATGGAATATATAATAATATGTCAGTATAAGTGAAATCGTTTTAATTACGATTTTATAATTATTCAATTTTTGGTTTTGAAACATAATTAAAAATTAGAGCTGATATATATATAAAAGCAACTGACAAATAATTTTAATAGAAATTTAATGGTGATGTTAATGCAATTTATAAATTAATAGAAATAAAAAAGTTAGGAATAATGTATGTAAAAGTAGCTAAAAAAAAAGAAGAAGAATATTAATTATTAAGTCCAATAGATATTTCAATTAAATTAATAATCAATAAGAATTAAGATGAATAAGGTAAACCATTATAAAATTTAACAATTAATATAGAAACTCCTGTAATATTTTAGTTAAATAAGGAATCTAAAAATTATTTGTTAAAATTAAATGAAGTACTTTAAAATTTGGAAATTGTTTAAGATAATTTTCATTTTAGACCAAAATGTGAAGTAAAAAATAATTATGGAGAATGGTGGAAATATTTAATTAATGCAGTTATGTAAAATTAGAAGAATCACAAATTAGATTTAGGATATTCATCAAGAAGATTAGTTTTAATGAAGAGATATATAGAATTATATAAAAGAAAATAAACAATAATTTTAGTACCTTGGTTGACATGTTGGACTATTTAAGATGAAAATAAATTTAAAAAATGTGAAGAATAAATGTCTTTAAAAGATTTATTAAAATATAGAGAATGGGCATTTTAAGAGATTAGAATAGAAGCTAAGAGATATTATAATTCTTCTAAAGAGGGATAGAATAAATAAAATGCAAAACCTATGCTTGAAATATTGAAAAATACTATAAATGATTAATTTGCTTTAAAAGATTAAAAAAAAAGGGATGATGATGTACCAGTAGAATTAGAAGCTGAAGAAAAAATTAATTTATATGAAATACTTGAAAGAGATAAAACATAAGTTCTTTCAAGTTATTTAAAAGGTTAGAATAATGATCCAGATTAAATAAAAACTTAAATTTATGTAGGTGTTCATTCAATATTTTTAATTATTTTAGAATGTCGTCCAGCAAATGTTGCTTAATATTGTCCTAAAAATACTAAAATATTTTCTTTTTGTTAATGTAAATTATGTATTTAATTAATTAAAAAGCCAAAAATTGATAAATAAAAACCATCAATTTTTAATTAAAATAATTCAATATCTGAAGTTGTTAAACAAACTTAAAGATATAATGATGATGGATCATTTCATACTGCAAAAGAGATAGATAGTTTTTATGAAGAAATTGAGGATTTATAGAAAGATGATTTTTAAGAAAGTTAAGAATAAAAAAATATTAATTCATAATAAAAATAAAATTTTGATTTCAATAGAACAAATAAATTAATTTTAATTGTTAGTTTAATAGGAATTAAAGTTCCAGTTTCTATTTATCAAAATGGTAGATTAAAAACAAATGAAAATGATAATTCTACAATAGTAATAGGTGAAATTAAAATATTAGCACCAGGTATGGTATCAAAATTAATGGAATTTTAAAATAAATATGATGAAAATATTGAAAGTCAATCACCTTTATTTAAAAAGAAGGATAATTCTTAGAAATAATAAAAAGGTAATGAAAATTAAAAATAAATTAATGATTCAAGAATTAGAATAAGTGAATTTGTAAATGATATTTTTGATGTATCAGTAACAAAAGATTAATAATATTTTTAAGATAGTGGTAAGTGTTTTGAAACATTTTGTGAATTTTTAAATTAAAATTAAATGAGAAATGTTTCAAGTTTTTTAATAGATTATGAAAATGATAAACATGGATTTTAAGATTTTGGAATTGAATAGTTTAAAAATTATGATTAATATTTTGTAGTAAGTGATGATTAAGATGAAACTGATCAAGTTATGTTATTACATGTTATTAAATAATAAAAAAATGGAAATAAATGGTCCTTTCTTAAATAAGCTGCTTTATAAAATTATGATAAATCAAGTTAATATGATAATGATAATTAATGGATTGGTTGTTCAAATAAAAAAAAATTTTTAGATGAAGTTCATAATAAACTTATAGATATAATTAAAAAATCATTATTTGCTCCTTTTTTAGAAGAATTTGGTGATAAAATTATTCCATAATGTATAATAAATTTGAAAGATAAATTTACATTTCCTGTAGATTCAAAAAGTTATAATTTATCTATTTAATTATATTTAGAAGGAGATTAATCTAATTATAAAATATCTCCTTAAATTGATAAAAAGAAAAAAGTTTCATCTTAACAAACATTAGATGAATAATCAAATGAATAAATATCTATAATACTAAGAAAATTTTCAATATTTATTTCATCAAAAAGTTTGAGTTCTTTACTTGATTTTACATAAAGTATGGATAAGACATCTTTAAGTTAAGGATAATTATATGTTACTTAAGATCATAAACTTTTGGAATGTATTTTAAAGTCTAAACCATTAGGATAAGAAAATACTAAACCTCCTGGAATGAAATTTTCAATTTAATTTGTTGATAAATTAAAAATTAGAATTGTATCTGATTAAATATCTAATATTATTAAAACAGAATTAAAATTTTAAATTAAAAATCTTAATTATTCAACTGTTAAAATTGATGATTTATTTTAAAATATTGTAAATAAATATGGATAAACTTTGTATTAATAACATTATAAATATTTTTCTGCTTTTAGATTAACAATTGAATAATTTAAAATTGCTCATAAATATTTTTCATAAGATTACAGAAGTAAAAATGAAGAATTAAGAAATTATGAAAAAGATTAATCTGATGACAAAAAATTAGGTTAATCATAAAGTAAATTTCCATTTTCTAAATAAACATCATCATAATAATAATCTTAAACTGCTGATACTAAAAATTAATAAAAAAGTTAAAAAAATTAATAATAACAAAAATCTAAAGATCCTATGTTTCATATTAAAGGAATCAAATAAACAATATTAAAAACATAAATAGTAGCACTTAAATTTTAAGCTAATATTGAAAATCATGCCTTATTGACAGATTCTAAATTATATGTATAAATTCCATTCTTAAATTTGAGAATCAATGATTCCTGTATTTCTTTTATTGAATTTCTTTAAATCTTAAAAAATAATATTAGAGTTAATTAAAATCCATAATAGAAACATAAAATAGCATAAGATAGTCTTTTAAAAGCTGAATTAGATACTTTATTTCATGATCATAAAGAATAAAGTTCAGATTGTAAACACTGTATCTTAAAATATAGAAAAACTGTAGAATTAACAAATATCTTATTTGGAGTCATATCAGAAATTACAAAAAGTTCAGATGTTCCTTGTTGGTTTCATATATTACATAATGAATGTCAAAAATTAGGAAATAATTCAAATTTCTCTGTTAAACGTAAAAAAAATTAAGGAATAAAAATTACATTTTAAAGTACATAAAAAATGACTAATATTGGATTATATAAATCTATTATAGCATTTCCAATACTTGTTATTACTAGAGATATAGGATATTTCAAAGATAATATTATGATTCATTGTTCTGCATCAAAATATAAAGAAAAAGGTGTAAATATTAGTAAATAAAGATTTGATTAAGAAAGTGAATATAATTAATTTGAGAAATAAAATTAAAAAGATATATCATTTTAAAAAGGATAATCTGCTTAAAAAAAGGATATTAATTAAGAATATATATAAGATGATACAATGAAAGAAACAAATTATGTTTTGATTTAGCCTGCTTTTAAAGTAAAAGAACCTCTTTTATTTTGGTAAAAATTAGATGATAAATTTATATTTTATTGTAGAAGCAATGAAAAGGATATGTTTAAGTTAGATTATTAAAAAGATTATGAAGATAAATCATATGAAATTAATAGTTTAATTTAAGATGATGATTAAATGAGATAAATTGATCCTAATCTTTATATATTACTTTATTATAATAAACCACTTAGAACAGAATTAATCTAAAATAAAGAGAATATTTAAAGAAATGAAAAGAATTCAAAAAAAAAAATATTTTTTTCTTTATAAATGATTAAAGCTATTTTTCAAAATTAACATGCTGCTTGTACTGTTTTAACTACTTTATAAAATATTAATAAAATTTAATCAATTATAAAGAAAGTATAAGATATTGTTAATTATGGTTATAAATTAGATGAAAATATAGAGAAACAATAATTATAAGATAGTCCAATTAAATTATTAGATGAAATGATTATCTCAGCTAATATTTCAAATATATATTTAAAGTCTAATGAATCATTCTTTTAATTATCTTAATTTAAAATCATATTAAATCTAGAATATATGAGTTAAATTTATAATAATGCAAAATCAAGTTTTCATAACAAAAATTCATCAAGTATAATTAATTAAGAACCATTATCAAAGATTAAAAGTAATATTACTTAATTATTTCCTACTGATGATTTAATTATAGTAAAATGTCATTCAATTAAATTCAATTTTAATTTAGTCTCAATTATTGATGTAAAATTAATACAAGTTTAAAAGTTTTCAGATGCATTATTATTATAAGTAGAAGATATTTAAATAAGTATTACAAATAATTTAAATAAATAAAAAGAAAATTTATTAACAATGCCTAAAAGAGATAGATAAACATAAACTAAATCAGGAATTCAGTTTGAATAAAAGAAATTTGAAAAACCTTTGGCTATATGTATAAAATTAGAATTTTAAAATCTAAATCCAAAAATAAATATCTCTGTTCATTAAGGTTAAATTTAATTATCTTAATAAAGGGTCTAAGATTTATTAATAGGATTGAATAGTTTTTATCTTTTAAACATAGAAGAATCAATTTATTTAAGGCAACATCTTTTAAAATATATTTTCTTATAAGAATTAGAAATTATGGGATCTGATCCACCTAAAATTATTAATCTATTTATATAAGACAAAGTATAGAGATAATAAAGAATGAGTTTCATATTGGAATTGAAAATAGAAGAATTTTAAGTTGTGCTTTAGGAAAAGGATAAAGAGTTTTTCTTTTTTGAATTTCATAAAATTTAAATGAAAAAAAAATTAAATTAAGAATTAGAATTAAAAGTTGATGATTTAGAATTGAAACCATAACCTTCTAAAGGAGAGAATGTTCATTATCCTAATTTAATTAAAAAAAATGGAGATTAACCTATGAAGATTTTATTAGAGAATAATATAATTCATTTAGAAAATGTGCAATTTTATATGATTTCAAGATTTTTAAATGAATTAGATGCTTTTAAATCAGAAATTGAAAAAATAATATAAAAAAATAAAGATGAATTATCAGAAAAATATCAAAGTGATTTTGAATTTTAAATGCAATTAAAATAATAAGAGAATTTTGAACTTAATAAAGAGTAATTTAATTATTAAATTTTAATAAAGAATTCTTAAATAATAGTTCCATAATCTTCTTCAGAAAAAAATTAAGTTAAAATTTTATTTTAATAAGCAGATGTAAAGGTTAATAAGGAAAAACAATTATCTAAGATACCAGAAATATAAGATGATAAAATTGAAGTTTTAGAATAACAAAAATTATTAGTAGATTATGAAGATAAATATACAAAAATTTCTGAAAAATAATTAGAATTTTAAGAGATTTATATAACTGAAATAAAAGCAAATTTTAAAATGGTTGAAGTTGATTATGAAATGTATTGTGATTATGATGATTAAAATCCTATTAAGGGAAATCTATTAAATGCAGGTAAATATTATATAATTTATGAATTTATTTAGAAAGTGTTGGAGTAGAAATGAATTTACCAAGTTTTGAATAATTTTTAGGAATTAGTGGATGGAAATATAAAGATAGTTGTATTATAAAACCTGAAAATTTAAAAATGAAATTAGATTTAGGTAAATTAATGAAAATTTAAAGCTATATTGATTAAAATTTATCTGAAAAATCAAGTCTATTTGAATTTCATAAATCTTCTCTTTAAAAAATAAACTTTGATGTAATTTTTATTATTAATTAAATAAGCTTGATTTAATTTAAACAGAAGCATCTTTAACTAGATATGGTTAAGTAGAATAAGAAAAATTAGAGAAACATAAAAATGCAAAATTGTATGAAACTACAAAACATAGATAGAGTAAATAATTTAATAATCATAATCAAACAAAATAAATTAAGAAATAAAATTATGATTCTTGATTATGAATTATAAAATATTTATTTAATAATAATTATCTTATATTAATATATGCCAGAGTTGTTTATTCCTGTTTATTTTGGCTCATTTGACTTTTAAAATCATTTTATTACAGCATGGGCTGATGATTTAGATAAAAAAAGAATTGCCACAGGTTCAATTAATGGAGACATCATCATATGGGAATTTGACAATTTCAATTTAAAACCAATTATAAAATCAACACCACATTTAATATATAGAGTAGGAGGAGTTACAGCATTATAAATAATGAGAAGACCATTTGCAGAATTTTAAGATAGCAATATGAATTGTGCAATAGCAATACATTAAGATAAAAGGATTAGAATATTAAGTATGTTAGATGGCAAATAAATTTTGATTTCAGATCATGATTAATTTCCATATACAAAATAAATAACATAAATATATCCAATAGGTGATCGAACAAGTAGATATATTAGTTGTTTTGGTGAAGGAACAGCACTTTACATATATGATTTATGGAAAATGTGTTGTAGTAAAATATTTTAAATTCAAGATGAATTTGATTAACCAAGATTTACTATATTTACATCTATTGGAGCAGACTTTGCTGTTATTGGTATAATTTAATCATATTAAAGATAGTAAATGTAGAGTTTATAAAATTGATACATCAGCCTATAAGAAAACTGAAAGATAAAATTATTTAAAATATATTGAAAAGAAATAATTAGAAAAAAAGAAAAATGGATAGAAAAAATCTTTAATTAGAATGTCTTCTAGTTTTTCTTTAAAAGGATTACCTTAAAATAAAATAATTAATACTGTATATAATACTAAATCATAGATAATGTATATTGTTTATTCAAAATCTATATATGTAGTTAATTCTCCTTTTAAAGAAACAGAATAATAAAGGGAAATGTTTTTAATTAAATCATCTACAAATTTAATTAAATTTAGAAATATACATTTATTTAAAAGTCAAAATAAGACAATGATAATAATTGAATAATTGAATGGACATACTAGTTTCATATATGAGAAAGATATTTAAGATATAATAAGTTTAATATCTAAAAGTTATAATTAGTGTATAACACTAGATTTTAATGGATTTAGTTTTTCTAAATAAAGTTAATCTTATTAAGGATAACTCTTATTATTACTTAATTAATAATTGACACCTATCTAAGTTTCTAAATACTTTTTCTAAAAGATAATTTATACAATCAATAATTTATTATTTAGATAAAATGGATGCATTATTGAAATCTATATACCAGATTCAATTAATTATGATGATTTTCGTATTTGCAGTCTTTAATAAGATAATTTATTTGATATAAAATTAATATCAGAAGGATTTATGCTTTATTTACATTCTTAATCAAGATTTATAAATGAATCTAAATAATAAGAAATTACAGAATTACCAAAAAAACTTATAGATTTATCTATATTTGAATAAAATGATATTTTAAAATCTCTAAATGAAAATTTACCTTTTGAAATTTAAGAGTAATTAAATTAAATTAAAAACATTTCTATTTATACTATTGGTTTATATAATAAAACAGATCTTTTTGCTATATTTGGAACAGAATAAGGATAAATATTTTTAATACCATTTTTCTATGAAAAGAATAAAAGATGGAATATATATGTTAATAATGAATTTGAGAAAAACATAATTTTTTTGAAATTTATTAAAAATTCTATTTTTGCTGTTGATCAAACATTAAAATTAAAAGTCTTTAGTCTATCAAGTATATTTGGTAAATTTGATAATTAATCTGCTGATTTTGTTTCAACTTATTAAACAATTTTACCATCAAATATAAAATAAGTGATTTAAATTAGATAATTATTTTAAGAATCAAGTAATAGTACTTTTTCAAATAATGATGCTCTAATTGTTAAAAGAAAGTTAGCTAAACATTTTGTTGCTTTATTACTTGAAGATGATTCTATTGTAATATATCATACTATATTAAATGTTAAGAAATTCTCATTTCATAATTAATTTAAAATTAATAAAGGATAAGTGAAATTATATTATGTACCACATTTATTGATATTTTTATTTTCAAAAGGAGTTGAAGTTTCTGTATGGTCAATGGAAAAAGGATCTTTTGAAAGAATGATTAATATACAATAATTGTAAGAATATTTGAATATTGATACACTATTAACATAAAAGTTGTCTTAAATGATTAATTTATATGATTTTAAATCATTCAAAACTGATTAAGTTTCTTAATTTGATTTATTAGAATATTCAAATAGAAGTTATTAGATTTAATATAATTATTCATAAGAATTGAAACAATAATCTCCATAATATTTTTATGATTTTTTGGGAACTTTAAACAAAATATAATAAAATACTTTTGAATTTGATGAAATTTTACATATTCTTTCATATGAAGATTAAGCAATAAGTTATAGAAATAAATCAATAACAATATTTGAACCTTAAGAGATGGGTGATATGTTCTTATTGTATAAGATTTATTTAAAATAATTCAAATCTACATTATAATTTGATAGAATAAATAAATTATATAAATAATAAAAAGAACAAAGAGGATCAGATTCTAATTCTTCATATTATTTAATATGGTTTGATTGTAAAAAGAATATTGAATTAATTAAATATTCAATGGAAAATACAGCATCTTTAAAAATACCATTTACTTATGTTCATTTTTATCATACTTTGAATTTAATACCTATATTTAAATGTTAATTTGGTTTATAAGGAATGGCAGAAGGATTTTCAAGATTAATTCAATCTAATAATTATTAAATTAGTGGATTAATGTCTACTTAATATAGTATAGCAGCAGCATTATGTTTAAAACAAATAAAAAGTAGATTTTAGATTTCTGAAATTAATAATTCTACAAGTTTATTAAGTTTATCTAGATATAGTCTTGATAATTCAAAAGATATTATTGAAATTTCTTGTTAATTAATATCTTAATAAATAAAGAAAATGGATAGTTTTTGTAATGACATTGTTGTATTATAAAGAACATCAAAAGAATTCTTATAATTATTTGAAAGAAGTAGTTCAAATGTTTATTTCTCTTTAGAAATTATGTGCTTAATTATTTAAACATATTTAATGTAATAGATGATGAGTAATATTGAAATGATTCATTATGTATTTAATAGAATAATGTCTGGTTTTACTCATTAATTATGTTTGAAGAAACCAAACATTTTGTTTGTATTTATTAAATTATTAGAAGATGGAATGAAAAATTTTCATAAATGTATATAATAACCTAAAGTTTGTTTATAAACATTGATTTAAATTTACTATTACATATATACTACTTATAAACATGGTTTTTCATTAAAAGAAATAATAAATGCCCCTTAAAATAAGAAATCAAAAGATAAAGATAAATATGAAATTTTAAGATAATATTAAACAATGAGTTTATTAGATTTATAGAGAATAAAATAGAGATTACGTATTTTAATTATGGCTTTGTCAGAATATTTTTTTGAAGAATTTAAGGGGACTATTAAAGATATGATTAATTAAACAGATAATTATCCAATAATTGCATGTTCTATTCTTGATTTATTACATTGTTTATCTAAAACAGATATTAAATCTAATGAAATTTTATTTATCTTAGATTTATCAATTAAGTATTTATTATATTAATAAAATTAGATCAATAGATTAGAATAATCAATAATTAAGAAGATATACTTACAAGACTTTTGTTAAATTAATATAATATTTAGATTAGAGATTCGAATTTATAAGTTTCTCATAAAAGAAATTAAAATTAGCATTTGCCTTTGAAGGATTAGTGTAAATTTATGATTTAAGATATGGTGTAAAATTATAACCATTAGATAGATATTAATGTAATTATAAAATATTATATATTAGCATAAATAACAAGTATAGCATTTGATAGTAAGGGTAATTAATTAGCATCATTTTCTTAGAAAGATTAAAATTTAAAGATATTTCAATTAAAACCAACTAGTTCTTTTTTATAGGGATATGAAAATGTATACATTAAATTAACTCATTAATTTAATTTTTTATAACCATTTCATCATACATTAGAATGGGATTAAGATTGTGAATATATTTATTTATAACATGAAGATGAATCACAAGTATTTAAAATTGATTGAATTAATATATATTAAAAATATAAAAAAAATTATTATAAATAAATGGATAATTGCTGTGGAATTATAATGATGTAATCATCTCATCCTTCATTTATAAATCAGTATAAAAATATGGTAATAACAACTCAGATTACAGAATCTATATTTCATTCACAATCATGTTCTTTTCATCCACTTACAAAAAATCATACTTTAATCTTAACTTCTGGATATTTATTAGCTAAATTTGCTGAAGAAATAAATACTTATGATCTTGATTAAATCAAAAAATATGTAAAATTTGGTTTACTAAAAGAACAAAATAAATTTATTGAATTAAATCTTCTTTGTTTAACTTATGATAAATCTATGATTGAATCTTTAAATCAATTTAATATTGATAGACATATTGGATATATTATATTTTTAGAAATGTTGAATCAAAAAGACATTTAAATAATACCAAAATATATTGATGGTCTTCTTAAATAAGGTCAACAATTAATAACAATTAGCTCTCCATTTGCAATCTAAGGATAAGAAATGTATAAAAACTATTATAAAAAAGCAATAATATCTTAAATCATTACAAATGATAAATTTGAATAATCATTAATACTTTTAGATTTAATTAGTTAAACTGGATAAGAAGGAGGAGCTATATTTAATTAAAATGGATAATATGTAGGTATGATTCTCTAAAATGTATAAATTGGTTAAAATTATAATCGTTATTTCACTTTTTGTATGAATTGGAAAGTTATAAATTCTATTTTCTAATTAAATTTCAATTTACCATCAATTAAATAATTGTATTTATAATCATAAATTATTGATTAAATGATTTTGGCATCAAATTTTGTTCAATCTGATTTTAATCAAATAGGCAGTGCTGTTATTATTAATGATAAGAAAAATCATATAAGTTACATATTAACAGCATAAACTTTCCTTATATCTAATGAAAAAGGCTCATAAATCTTGGTTGGACAAAATTAAATAAAAGCTTATCTTTTAGAAAACTTTTAAAAATCTTTAAATTTTACTTTAGCCAAATGTTAAGAATATTTATAAAGTAGTTTAAACATAGAAGATTTCATTTATTATAAGGAATTAGAAGTTGGATAATCTGTTTATATGATTTCTTATTAAGAAGGATTATTTCAAAATAAGCCATTTATTTCAAAAGGACGAATTTTGAAATTACTTAAGAACGATTAAAATGACAATTTTACAATAATAACAGATTGCTACATCAAAAATAGTTTGAATGGAGGAGGACTCTTTTCAGAGTAAGGAAAACTTATAGGAATATTATAAAATATTGTCAATTATGTAAGTGAAGGAGTCTTTTGTGAGTTATCTATTTTCACTCCAATTTTATTATTTGATTAATTATTCAAAGATTTATCTAATTAAAAGTAATAATATATAATAAAATAGATAATTAACAGATAAATCAATAGAAAAATTTGGATTAATTTAAAAATTGAACAAACTTCCTTCTTATGTATAAAGTTAACTTGGTTAACAGAACCCTAAATTATGATATATAAAATTTAATAATCAAAAATATCTATGAGTTATTTTGACACTATATATATATCTCATATTGTTTTATTAAGTCTTTTATTTATTACTAATCTATTATAGAAATTGTCACCAAAAAATCTAAATTAAACAATAAAATTTCTGATAATAAATTCAATTTTATTATTTATTTTCTTAATTCTCTTATCTTACATAATATTTATAATTTGAGCAAGAATTAATGGACTTTTTAAATTTAGAATAAAATGAATTAATATGTATTTATAATTAATTATATAAATAGTTAAATTATTATTTTTTACTGTTAAATTCAAGCTATGGATCTCTCTCAATACAATTTAGTATTAATGATTATTAATTTATATAGGTTGACGAAAACTCAGATTATATAATTCTATAGCATAATTCAAACAGCCTATTATATGTTTATAAAGAATATGAAATACCAAAATTTATTGGGAAAAAATAAATACTCCCCAATTCTTAATTGATAGAAATTTTAGAAAATAGGAAACAATTAGATTCTCTAAATTTGCTATAATTAACAGATTATGTCATAACTTCAAAATTATGCTTATTATATGAATAATACATTAAAAATTTTGAAGAAGAATTGTCAAAGCGTAGAAATACAAATTAATATTGGTCAGAAGAAGAACTTTATAATACTTTTTAAGCTTGCCTTTCTGCGATGAAATCATTTCATGATGTAAATATATAATTTTCAGAATAGTTTGGATTGTCCCATAGTTGTATTAGTCCAAATTCAATAGTGTTTAGTTAAGATTCACAAGTTAAATTAGCAGATCATTTTGTCGTTACATAATAATTTAAAAGGAATTATTCACATATTCCAGATAATGAAGAGTATGGTTATTGGTCACCTGAAATAATTAATGAATTTGAAGGATGGAAATAGAAATATGAAACAATTGAAGCAGATATTTGGGCATTAGGAATTGTATTTTTAGAAGCTATGACTTTAAAATCTGGTTACGATTTTTATTTTATTGATGATAACAATAAATTATACATAGACTACTAATTACTTTAAGATAATTTTGATGCAGCTAAAGAATACTATTCATAAGAATTAATAACTTTAATCTAAATAATGCTTACTATAGATCCATAAGAAAGAACTTGGGAAAGCATAATTGAATAAAATATTAGAATATAAGATATGTAATAATAATAGATTCATCCTTAAATATAACCTATTCCTGAGGAAAGTGAGGAAGAGAGTATGATCTAAGAAAAGGCAGGTTGTGATAAAACTAAATTATTGAATATGTTAGAAAGTTGTCTTATTAAATCAAGACAATTAATTAAAGAAAATGAGAGCAGAAAATCTAAGAGACCTAGTTAAGATAATATAACTTGCAGTTAATCTACACCTTAAAAAGAGAAGGAGGATGTTAATTCTAGTTTATTAATGCTTATGAAAGGAAAACATTCAAAGAAAAATTCTACTGATTCTGGGGGTTCAATTCTTAAGGAAATTCCTTAGAACAAATAAAAATAAAGACAAAAGTCTTGTTAAGATATTTTTGAGAAAATAATTTTACACAATCCAATTGTATAAGAATAAAGTGTTATGGATCCAAATGATTTATCCAATTTGATGTAAATCTATAAATCATATACTGGTGAAGGAAAAAATAAAATGATGCATGGCAAAGGTCATCTTATATTTTAAAATGGAGCTGTTTTATAAGGGTAAATTTTATATTTTTGATTTTGATAGAACTTTTCAAGATGGTAAAGTAAATGGTTATGGAATCTTATTAATAAATGGTTAAATAATAGTTGGACATTGGGAAAATAACATTTTGATTTAAATTATGTGAAATATCTTAGATTTATATTTATATATAAATATAAATAAATTTATTAAATTTGACAAATTAATGCCAACTTCTTAACCACTGAAATGTGTTTACTTAATTTTATTAATTATTTTTATTTATGCTACCTCCACAAAATAATACTGTAGAGGCTTAAGCAAATCTGTTTGAAAATGAACAAAATTAACAATTATAATAATGCTTTGAATTAAAGATGAATATTATATTAATGGCTACAGAAATTGAGAGATTACATAAAATTTTAGTAAACAAAAAGGATTATTATGAAAAAAAGATATAAGATTTAATTGATAGAGGTATTATATCCAAAATAAATATTAGAGCTTCAAGACAAGGAATAAATTGCTAAATAAGAATAAGCTATTACTGAATTAAATCAATAAATTCTATAGAAGAATGACTTTATTACTTAAATTTTACAAGAAAAGTAATATAATATATCTATATTAAGGTCTCAATAAGAAATGAATCTATTAATAAGTTAGTAATTATTTGTTATCAATACATAATATAAAAATGCTGAAATTTACATTCAAGAATTATAAAAAGAAAATTAGTTGTTAAAATAATAGTTTGAAGATGCTCCATCTTTAAGATAAAAACTTTATGACTTGGAATAATGGTATGCTAAATTAATTCAAGAAAAAAATGAAGAAATCAATTTATTGAAAACACATTAACCTCACATTATTTAATATGCACCTCAACTAAATATCATTAATTAAATTTTAGACTAAAAAGAAAGAGAATTGCTATAATGGTAATATAGTTCATAATATGTCAATTTATACCGTGAGAACTAAAAATTAAATTAAGAGCTCAAATTTTTAAATGACAAATTGAATTTACTATTATTCGACAATGAACATTTAAATAAAAGATTAGCAGACATTTAATCTCAACCCTCTAACTAAACTACTTAACCATAATATGCAACTCTTAGGGGAGACTCTCAATGCACAGCTCCAATATTATACGATTACTAGAATACCAAAACACCTAGAAGATATAAATAATAATACTAATCAATCATTCCTACAGACTTTACTAATACATCATTATTAAGTTATAGAATAATAAAAAGACCTCAGTCAGTTGGATCAGGAAGCTCATTACACTTTTTGGGATAGGCACCCTAAATAGGTTATCCTCAATATTAACATTCTCCAAGATATTCTAGGAAATCACTTTAAAACAATTCTGCTTAATTCAACGAATTATTAAGATAAATTTAGATTATTTAAAACTAACCTATCCTTACTATTTAAAATATTGAAACCCAAATTTAATTTTTAAATCATTTGTTATTAATTAAAAGATAAGAATTGCCAACTCAAACAACTCCTCCAAGATAAATTTACCAAATTTTGAAAACTTAAGAAAATGAGAGAACATCAAGTCCAAACTACTCGCCTTCTCAATAAATTATTATGAAATAACCAATAAATTACTTATAACAATCCACTTAACAACAACTTATTCCCTAAACAGTTAGATTGCTCCCTCATAATCAGCTATAATATCCTAATAATATTATTAAATATCGATCTTTTTCTGCTGAAACTAAAAGAGAGCTCTCCCCTAATGCTGTCTAATATTAATAGTAACTAATCCCACAAACTTCGCTATAATTTAATTAATCATAATAAGTTCATCAAATTCAATATAAATGTTCCCCAATTTAAAAATCTATTCCATAATCAAATCTATTAAATACAATCCCTAAATAAATATAACGAAGTTTTTCTCCTTAAACTGTTTAATATATGCCTTATTAAACGTAATCTTAAGCACCTTAAACTATTAGATTTTAAGATTTGAAATAATATCATTCAGTTAATCATTAACAATATTAAGATCCATAATAATAATATTTCACCTAATAATAATAAAATCTGGTTAATTAGAATTTTATATCATAATCATATCCATCCCTACCTACCTAATATGGAGCATATTCATATAACCCAAGTGATTAAAATAAATCCCCCATCCATATATTAGCTTATCCTTATGATTACTCTCCACAAAAACCAGAAGATTAAAATAAGACCAGGCAGCTATAATAACCTATATCATAACATCCAAATGAATTATTTATGACTCCAAACACTGTCAGAAAACCAGTCATATCAAGTAGCAATTCTTCTTTGCCTTTTTCTTAAGTTAGAAACCCCCTCAAAAGGGAATAATAAGAACCTTTAAGTATACGGAAATAAAAGGAACCTAAACATCAGAGTAATAACTCTCTCCCTGCTTAAATATAATAATCAGCACCAATAGATAGTTCTTAAGTTGAACCCTTTGAATTATGCAATGCACCATAAGAACCTGAAGATTAACAAAAAGAACCAGAAGAATAATTTAAATAACCTGTAAAGCCAGAAGAAATTAAAAAATCTCCTTAACTCTAAGATCCTGCTGAATAAACTAAATATAAAACTCCTCAATAATAATAGCCAAATGATTAACCTAAATAGGATGAATAATTTTAATAACCTTAAAATCCTAATGATTAAAGTAAAAACACTCAAAATCCAGACAATTTATACAAACAACCATAAAAACCTTATATTCACTTAAATAAATAATAGGATCCAAACTCTTTGAGTAAATAACAGTAAAACTCTTAATTGTAAAGCAGACAGCCTATTCCTTAAAATTTAGAAAATCAAAAGAATGAATTATCATAACCTTAACAAATAAGAAGAAATCAGCCAACCAGTATTAGAAAAAGCTAAGAAAATTAAGAGTTTGCTCTCCTTCAAGATCCTGAAGAGCTAAGAAAATATCAACAGGAATTAGAAAGACTAAACAATCTATTAAATTAGGCTAAATTAGAGAATGAAAAGCTTAAATAACTATTTCAATAAAATGATTTGAATTGGTAATAGTAATTCTAATAGAAATATACAACTGCATTAAATTAGTTGTAACTATTTGAAAATAAGTTGACCATCTAAAATAGAGAGTATAATTAAAATATTGAAAAATAATAAACCAATTTTAATTAACTGCAATAAAAGTATGACGAACAAAAGTTAGTCATAGAAAAGTAATTAAATGAAATAAATCAATTGAAGCAAAATTAAAATGAAAAAAGTAAGATGGTAGTTTAAAATGAAGTCTAAAGAGATGATCTATAAAAATAATTAATAGATCTTTAAAAATAATATGCTGATTTATAAACCAAATTTAAAACCTAAAATGATGCTCAATTATAAAATTTAAACAAAATAGCTCAATAAGGTGAAAGTATATCAAATTATGAAAAATAATTAAAATAATAAACTTCAAAATACTCTGAATTGAGTGCAGATTATATTCAATTAAAACAAAAATTTGATTAATTGTAAAAAGAATCAACTTCATCTAAATTATCATAATCAAAGGAGATAAATTAATATTAACAATAAATTACATAACTCTAATAGTAAATTAATGAAACTACAAAATAACTGAAAGATAAGGTGAATTCACTTTAATCTCAATTATTATTAGAACAAGAACAGCATTTAATCCTTAAAAAGTAATATGAAAACTTTTAAAGAGATTTCAGCATACAAAAAACTTAGAACATTGAAATTTAAAATTCAAATAACACTTTAAGATAGTAATTGATTGAAAAAGAATAAAAACTAAAAGAAATTTAGATAATTCTTAATTCTAAAACATAAGTAATTCAATAATTAGAAATTTAAGTAAAAGATGCATAAGTATAAAATATAACTACTTCTTAATAAACTTAATCATTAAATCAAATTTAGGTTGAAAATTTGAAAAAATAATTATAATCAGAACAATAAAGAGTTAAAGAGTTAAATGACTAGATTTCTAAACTTCAATAATAGATTTTTTCATAAGAACAATAATTATAAGTTAGAAAATAAACCAATATTAAAGTTACTGAAGAAATTTAGAATACTAAAAATATAATCTAAAGCGATTATTAATAAGAAAAACAATAATTATAGGATGAAAATAGAGATTTATTATAAAAAATTAAGAAATTGGAATAAATATTATAAAAGGAGAGGGAAAATTACAATTAAAGTTAATAATATATTAAAGATATTTAAAATAAATATTAGACGAACTTAACAAAATCTTCTTAAGAAAATGATGAATAATTAAAAAATCTCAAATCTTAAATTGAATAACTCAAATCATAAAACCAAAATCTTTCAAATTAGATTGTAGATATGAAATCTAATTATGAAATGTAAATTTCAACAATCAATACAATGACATCTTCTAAAGTTATAACTTTAGAAAAGTAATTATTCTTTGAAAAAGAGTAAAAGGAAAATTCATCAACTAGAATTCTCTAACTTGAAAAACAATTAGCTGATTTTTAGAATATTATTAAATCAGACTAAACAGAGGAATTAAGAGGTAAAATAAATTAACTAGAAAATTAAATTTTGAAATTATAAAAAGAGAGAGATACAATATTATCTAGTAAATAAAGAGGGGATGAAGAAATTAAAATTCTGAGTATTAGAATCAGTGAATTATCCAATAAAAACAATCAAAATGAATTAGAATTGTCAAGTCTTAGGTCTAAATAAAATAATTATATTGAATCTACTTCAAATTTGACTACATTAAATTAATAAATTTTGATTTTATAACAAGAAAAGTAATCCTAAATTAATGAAATGACTTTAATGAGATAACAAATTGAAAAGAATAAATAAGATCATGAGTTCTAATTAGCTAAAATAAGGAGCGGTTTCAATAAAGATCTTGAGAGTTAATAAGACATTAATAGAAAATATTAGGATGAAATTCTTAATATACAAAATGTATTATAATTTGAAAAAAGAGATAGAGAATTTGCATAAAAAAGTAAAGTTCAGGCTGATGAAATGATCTTATAACTTAATCAAGAAAAACAGATGCTTCAAGATTAAATAATCAAATAAAAGAGTTAAATAGAGTAACTATAGTTGGACATCAATAAATTACGTTTGAGCTAAAAAAACAGCAATGATGAACAAAATTTACTTTTATAATAGTAAATCTTAAACAATAATAATCAGATAGATAATTTAAAAATTAACATTTAAAAATTAAATAAAGAAATTGAAAGACTAAATTTATAAGTTTAGTAAATGAATGTTATAAGGGCTGATTTAGAAAGTGAAAATTTCAATCTAAAGCAATAAATTTAATAAGTTAAATAAAAAAATTAAACTATTCTCTAAGAAAATGAAAATAATGTTATTGAATTAAGATCAGTAGCTAATAATTCTGAAGATTAAATTCAAGATTTGACTTTAAAATTAGAACAATAAATTAAAGAAACTGAAAAATATTAGAATGATGCTCTCAATAATGATTAATTAGCTTTATCTCTCCAAAAAAAGTTATCTGATGTAAATCTATAAAATTAAAAGATTAAGTAATAATATGAAATGTAAATATAAGAACTTATCAAAAAAATTAATGAATAGGAAAGGTTAGATTAATAAACACTACAAAAAACATAAGCATTTCCATAGATATAAAATATTCATTTAATTTAAGAAAATGAAGAATTATTAATGAAGATTGGATAATATGAATAAATGATAAAGTCCTTATAAGAAGAATCTTACAAATAATAAAGTGAGCTTTAAAAAATCACAAAAGAATATAATAATATTATAAATCAGTCAGAAAAAACAGTAGTAACGATTACTTAATACTAATTGTAATAAGATAATATTAAAAGGAAAGAAGATCAAATAAAATAGTTGTAATAATAAATCTAAGATTATTAAAAAAAATTAGACTCTGAAAGGAATAGATACCAGGATGAAAATAATAGATTAGCAGTTAAAAATTAAGAATTGTCAAACTAATTGTAAAATAATCTTAATAAATAAATAATTGAAGAAAATTTCAATTTGAAAAATTAGATACAATAATTATAATAAGAATTAAAGAATACACCAATTAAGGAAACTATTATTTATTAATCTGCTTCTCCGTCAAAAAAGAATGAAGAAGAAATTGCTAAATATAAATAATAAATTAACTAATTATAATTTAGAATGAATTAAATGGCAAGTGATTATAATTTATTAGAGCAGCAAACTGAAATGGAAAAGCTTTAATTAGAAAAACAAATAAAGAATTTATAAGAATACTAATAAAAATTATAAAACGAAAATAACCAATAGTAAAGATAGATTGAAACATTTTAGAGATAAATTCAATAATTATAAATGAATCGTTCAAATGATTTGAGTCAAGAATTAGAATTTGAAATAAAAAAATAAAAATCATAGCTTGAGATTAGTTAGTTGTAATGCAAGCAAATTTAGGAAGAATTGATATCGGCTAAACATCAAATTAAATAATATAGAGATGATTTAGCAGATGAACAAAATCAGAAAAATTAATTGAATCGTCAAATTCTATAGTAAGAATAAATTCTATCTGAACTTAAAATACAAAATAAACCTTAATCATCCATCATAAGTGAAACGACAATAATAAGAGAATAAAAATAAGACTAATTATTATAGTAGAAGATTAATCAATTAAATACAGAGAACATTTCTCTTAAAAATAAATTATAAAATTTAGAGGAAGAATAGATGTAAAAGTTTAGATTGCAATAAATAAAAATTCAAGAATTAACTAATAGATTAAATGAATAAATGGAAGAAAGTATTCATAAAGTAAATATACTTGAAGAAACAACAATAAATAGCATATCGAATGATTAATCTTCAGAAATTAGAAAATTAAGAGATGAAAAATTATTTTTATAATAAGAATTATAAAAATTACAAATTTAACAAAAGAAATAAATTGAGGAAGTAATAAATGACTATGAATTTAGAATTGAATAATTTAAGCTTACAATAATTGATTTAAAAGAAAAAAAACAGGTTGAGACTAATAATGACAAGAACTTATTAAAAGAAAATTAAATGTTAGCTGATTAAGTTAAAAACACATAAAATTAACTTGATTTGGTTAGATAGTAAATTTAAGATTATTAATTATCCATATCTTAAAATAAAAATGAATCTAATAAATTGCAATTATTATAAAAGAAAAATGATGAATTAACTTATTAATTAGAAAGATCTTAAAAAATGTAAACAAATAATGAGTAAAGTTTAATAAAGGATAAATAATTATTGAATGATTAGATTAGATAATTATAAAATGAATTTGCAATTGCTAAAAATAATGAATAAAGTTTAATAAAGGATAAATAATTATTAAATGATTAGATTAGATAATTATAAAATGAACTTTCTATTTCTAGAACTCAAATTTAAGATTATCAATTATCCATAACTTAAAATACAAATGAATCTAATAAATTGCAATTATTATAAAAGAAAAATGATGAATTAACTTATTAATTAGAAAGATCTTAAAAAATGTAAACAAATAATGAGTAAAGTTTAATAAAGGATAAATAATTATTGAATGATTAGATTAGATAATTATAAAATGAATTTGCAATTGCTAAAAATAATGAATAAAGTTTAATAAAGGATAAATAATTATTAAATGATTAGATTAGATAATTATAAAATGAACTTTCTATTTCTAGAACTCAAATTTAAGATTATCAATTATCCATAACTTAAAATACAAATGAATCTAATAAATTGCAATTATTATAAAAGAAAAATGATGAATTAACTTATTAATTAGAAAGATCTTAAAAAATGTAAACAAATAATGAGTAAAGTTTAATAAAGGATAAATAATTATTGAATGATTAGATTAGATAATTATAAAATGAATTTGCAATTGCTAAAAATAATGAATAAAGTTTAATAAAGGATAAATAATTATTAAATGATTAGATTAGATAATTATAAAATGAACTTTCTATTTCTAGAACTCAAATTTAAGATTATCAATTATCCATAACTTAAAATACAAATGAATCTAATAAATTGCAATTATTATAAAAGAAAAATGATGAATTAACTTATTAATTAGAAAGATCTTAAAAAATGTAAACAAATAATGAGTAAAGTTTAATAAAGGATAAATAATTATTGAATGATTAGATTAGATAATTATAAAATGAATTTGCAATTGCTAAAAATAATGAATAAAGTTTAATAAAGGATAAATAATTATTAAATGATTAGATTAGATAATTATAAAATGAACTTTCTATTTCTAGAACTCAAATTTAAGATTATCAATTATCCATAACTTAAAATACAAATGAATCTAATAAATTGCAATTATTATAAAAGAAAAATGATGAATTAACTTATTAATTAGAAAGATCTTAAAAAATGTAAACAAATAATGAGTAAAGTTTAATAAAGGATAAATAATTATTGAATGATTAGATTAGATAATTATAAAATGAATTTGCAATTGCTAAAAATAATGAATAAAGTTTAATAAAGGATAAATAATTATTAAATGATTAGATTAGATAATTATAAAATGAACTTTCTATTTCTAGAACTCAAATTTAAGATTATCAATTATCCATAACTTAAAATACAAATGAATCTAATAAATTGCAATTATTATAAAAGAAAAATGATGAATTAACTTATTAATTAGAAAGATCTTAAAAAATGTAAACAAATAATGAGTAAAGTTTAATAAAGGATAAATAATTATTGAATGATTAGATTAGATAATTATAAAATGAATTTGCAATTGCTAAAAATAATGAATAAAGTTTAATAAAGGATAAATAATTATTAAATGATTAGATTAGATAATTATAAAATGAACTTTCTATTTCTAGAACTCAAATTTAAGATTATCAATTATCCATAACTTAAAATACAAATGAATCTAATAAATTGCAATTATTATAAAAGAAAAATGATGAATTAACTTATTAATTAGAAAGATCTTAAAAAATGTAAACAAATAATGAGTAAAGTTTAATAAAGGATAAATAATTATTGAATGATTAGATTAGATAATTATAAAATGAATTTGCAATTGCTAAAAATAATGAATAAAGTTTAATAAAGGATAAATAATTATTAAATGATTAGATTAGATAATTATAAAATGAACTTTCTATTTCTAGAACTCAAATTTAAGATTATTAATTATCCATTACTTAAAATACAAATGAATCTAATAAATTACAATTATTGTAAAAGAAATATGATGAATTATTTCAATAATACGACAAATAAAGTCACCTCATTACTTAATATAAACAATAATTATTAAATATATAAAAAAACTATGATAATAAAGATTAAGAATTAAATTCTTTAAAAGTCAAATTTTAAAATCTAAATATTTAATAAAATTAACTCCAAAATAAATCCTCACCTAATTTTAAAAATGATTAAGAATATTTCTCTCAAATTTAGAAATAAATTGACATAAGTACTTAATAAACTAAATAATTAAAAGAAGAAAATAACCGTTTGTAAACAATTATTTTAGAAAAGGGAGAAGAAATATAAAGTCTAAATTAAATTTCCAAAACCTTAGAACTTTAAAATTAAGATATAAATTTACAAAATTCTAAGTTAATTTAATAATTAAATGATCATGAAAAAATATGCTGTCAACAAAAAGAATGTTTAAAATATACATCTTTAGATCACAACAAGGGCCTACAACAATAATATAATATTTTATAATATGAAAATTAAAAATTAGATGCTGAAAATAAGAAATTAAATAATAACTTATTAAAATTACAATAAGATTTAATTAATTAGGGAAATGAAAAACAAAAGTTATTAGAGCAATATCAATAAGAATCTTCTGCTCTGTAGAACTAAATAAAAAGACTCAAATAATAAATCTTAAATCAACATGAAATATAAATATAACAAGAGTAAATTTCATCAAAAATTGAAATTAATTAGTCTAGTCAAACTATGAATTCCCCAAAAGTAAAGAATATTAGTAAAAGCTTAAATAAATCAAACGCATCTTGTAAATCAACGGATGATTTAAGAGGCAAATATTATAACTGTTCACTTTATACTACAAATAACAATGGATAAAATTATTACGCATCTTTAAGAGCCGTAAAATCAAAAGGAGATATATTGATTTCTCATGAAAAGAGTTAATCAACTTCTGAAGAAGATTTAAAGAAATAAATTAACCTTTGGCAATAAAAATATGAAGAATTACTAAGGGAAAGATATTCTAAACCATATATGATTACATCTAAATAGGAAAGATTAATTTAAGAAGTTGCTATATTAGATGAATCTGTGAATTGGAAATTGAAATATGATGAATTATAAGAATAAATTTCAAAATCAAAATAAAATACAAATGAAAAAATTATTCAATAATTAAGATTAAAAAATGAATTACTATGTTCTGAGTTGTATTAAATTTAAACTGACTATTAATAATTAAAAACTGAAATTACTATTAGTCAATAGCAATAAACTAACAATATGAATTTTAATAATTAGAACTAATAAAAAATAATAGATTAATAGAATTAAAAGATTCATAATTTACAAAATGAAATCGATTAACTAAGATAAAAGCTTAAATAACTAGTTGAGAGCCAGAATAATTTAGAAAAGAAGTCTAATAATTAATAGAACTAGTATATTTAATAATTAGAAGCAGATAATTACGATTATCAGTAAGAAATATAATCTTTGTAAATAGAAATTAAGAGGTTATAGGAAAGTAATAATTTGATAAAATAATAAATTAATGATTAAGTTATTAATTTATAATCTGGACAAGATAAAAATGAAATAAATATAGAAGAATATTTATAATAAATTGAAGTATTACAAAGTGAAATAGGTATTTAATAAAATTAAATATTTTAATTATAAAATTAATTAAAATAATCAAAGATTAAAGAATCAGAATTAGAATAAAAGTTTAAGTTTGCAATTGAAGACTTAGAACATGTTTAGTAAATGTATAATGAGCAAAGATAATCTTGTTAAGAACAATAGAGATAATTATAAAACTGCTAATAATAATTATAGCAATAACTATAAAAACAATAATTATCATAATAGCAATAGTAATAAGTATAATAATAGCAGTAATATTCATAAAGGTAATAATTACAAGAATAGTCAAGAATAATTGAAACTTAGACTGAATAACAACCAAATAATCAATATGAGGATTAATATAGAAAGATCTTATATGAACTCAGTTTGATAAAATAATAAAACTTGTCCTTGTAAACTTAATTATAAGAATCAACTCAAAAGTAAATTACATTGATGTAAGAAATAAAATAATTGCAAATTTAAAATGAAAGATTAAATTTAAGTAATGTTAGACTACATAATGAATAATAGAAAGTGACAACATAAAGTGATTAAGTAAATAGAATAAATGAGTAGCTCAAAGAATTATAATTTGAAAACTAAAAATTGAGAAATGAGATTATTTATTTGCAACAAGAGAAGTAATAAATTATTACTTCTTTCGAATCTAAATTATAATAATATTCAGCTAGTGCAAATAATAAAATTAGGTAACAATAAATAGAAGATCTAAAAAGAGAATTAGCTCTATTAAAGAGAGCAACCTTAAAATCATCTGGAATTGACATAGATGCAGAAAGATTGAGCTACACAACTTAAATAACCTAATTGAAGAAATAACTTGAATATGAACAAATAAAGAATAAAGAATTACAATAAAAACTATAAAATTCTTAATAATATTAAGTATTATATTTAAATTATTTTAGTCTGATTTTGGACTTGTAGAGAGATTGAACAAAGAATTGTAAGATAAAATTGTTGAATTACACTAAGTTAAATCAGAATATAGAAATGCTATAAAAATGATCCATTCCTTAGAAGAATAAATAATTGAAAGAATGGAAAAAGAATAATACTCTTGAAATTGAATTATTTTGTAGACTGTTATATTAGTAAATTATAAAGAATTAAATTTTATCATTTTTATAATTATTAATGTTATTGCCTTACAATCTATAGTCGCTATTATGATTATGATGGACTAATGGATGTATTAGTAACATTATTCAAAATTTATTATTTTGAGTTAGATTAGATTAGTAATTTTGGTTATTATGAAATTTTAGAGTTTGGAGACTTTTTTTGAACAACAACTTCACATTTATCAGCAGATTATAAACAAATTTATTTCAATTTGTTTTTAATTTAAGTAGATGAAGATTTATTGCTATTTTAAGGTTGCTTTGAATTGCTATTATGTAAAGTTGCTGTTGCTGTTTTATTAACACTTTTTTCGATATTAACAGTTGAATTACTCTTCATAAAGGCACTTTTTGCGAATTGTTAATTTAAAAACTATTATTAACTTGATTACTTTTTTAATGCATCAGATCTATTGCTTTAAATGTTTTATATTAGAGATTTTTATTTGTTTACTAAAGTTAAAATTTTCGTCAAATCTAAATTTTGTTTATATAATAAATCTCTATAGGAAGAGATTGGATACTGTTTATCATCTTGTAACTTTAAAATCAATTATCCTTTAAAAGTAATTTCCTCTTTTGGGTTATAAAATTCTTTAAGATAAGGATGCTTTAAAGCATCTTACACAGAAATTCTTTTGTTTGGATCATATACTAAAAGTTTTTTGATGAGATCTAGCTCATCCTCATCCGAATTCAAAATTGTTTTCAAATTAGACTTATAATTTCTAGGATATTTATCAAATAATTAATTTTAACCTCCTAAACTCTAAATTTCTTCTGGTGTTGGTATTCCTAAAACTTCAATTATTTTTTCTAATTGATTAATTGTCGAAGTTCCTGAAAATAAAGCCTTTCCTAGTATCATTTCTCCAATCATACAACCAATAGACCACATATCAACTCCAAATGAATAAGATTTTGATCCTAATAAAATTTCTGGAGCTCTAAACCATCTTGTTGCCACATAATCTGTTAATATATCTTGCTCTAATGTACATACCATTCTAGCTAATCCAAAATCTGCTAATTTTATTTTACATTCTGAATCTAATAAAATGTTTGCTGGTTTTAAATCTCTAAATTGATATAAAATAGAATTTTATACCTATGAATCATCCCAGAAGAATGTATATATTTGAGGGCTTTAAATAACTAATAAATGATATATCTTCTGTGAAGTGGCTATAAAATTTTGGCTCTAATGGCAATGTGTAGATCTGTTTCCATGTATTCAAAAATCAAATATAGATCATTTTGATTTTCAGCAGGGTATGTATCAATTAATTGAATAATATTAGGATGATTTAGTTACTTTAAAAAGCTAACCTAGAATAACATATTAATTTGTACTTCTCTATACGTTCGTTAGGCATCAGTTGGATTACTAAAAGCGTCAAAAACTTTCTTTAATGCAACAATACGTTTAGATTTTATATCTCTTGCCTTCCAAACTATCCCATAAGCACCTTTACCTATCTTAGTCATTATTTCATATTTCTTTAAAATATTAGAATCAATTTTTTCACTCATAATTTGATAATATTTATATTTTAATTGCTTTCAAAGAATAGTAATCCCTCAAGCAAATTTCTAATTTCAGTATAAATATAGTAATAAATGTTTTCAATAATATACATAACTAATTCAATTATTTTTATTTATGAGGAATTAGTTAAGAATTATACTTAAAATCAAATAGTTCAAACACTTTAAAGCATCTTTCTTTTAATATAATATAATATTATAAAATTCTTTTGAAATAAAACTTTAAACTTACTATTTAAAACCAGTATAATTTTTTTATGAATTTTAGTTTTTATTAATTAATATATAATTAAAACATAATATAAATATTTACTGTTATCATACTCATATGATATCATTTCAATAAAGTTAATTTTGTCAAATATAATTTATTTGTCAAGAAAATAAAAATAAAAAGAATATATCAAAAAATATTTTAGTCCTGAGCTTTGGTATTCAGTTGTCATCATATATTAAAATAATTTAATATATTAAAGTTTTGAAGTTTTTTATTTCTAAAGATTTTTTCAATTTAGGTGTTAAATCAAAGTAAATATTGAGTATTTTGTTATTACTATGAATATATATATAACTCGATATAAATAATCAATAAAGAACTTCATTTAGAGTGATTTTTAATGTATTAGTTAAAAATTTAAGTTCGTGTTTGTTGCAAGAGAGATTCCATCTAAGTAATTATTATTTTTAGTCTTTAACATTATTAAAGTTTCAAATAATCGCTATTTGTGATACGTGATTTTGATTTTTTGCTCTGTGAAACTTCAGTTTCTGAATCTGTCTTTTTTACTTTTTTTGATTTTCTGTTAATCAGCCTTGATTTTTTCTTTGGTGCTTCTTCTGCAAAATTAAACAAAAGGACAGGCTCCTCTTATAAATATCCATCAAATGTATTAAGTTATTCTGGTTCATGCTATAGACTTTGATCATAATCATAATACATTAATTATTCAGCTTATTGAATTTATGGTTCTTAAACCAATTCTAGATATTATAAAATAGAGTACCTTATTAATCCTATTCTTCAAAATCTATTGAGTAGAAATTCATTGAAAATTATCAAATGTTTTTTTATTATTTATTAGAAAATTTGTTATTTCAACTTTAAAAGGGAATTTGCGTTTATTGTGATAATTCTCAGTTTATTTATGTTGATTAAGTTGTGATTTGTAAAAAATATATTTATAAATTATCAATCCAATACCACAAATATTAAAGTCATTAAAATTTATAATAGTTAGATGCTTTTGCTATAATTATCTGTTTTATTGGTAATTTCAAAAAAATATTTTAATTTTTTTATTTTTGAATTATCTTAAAGAAAGAGAACTAACATAAGCTTTAGTCATTCCTTTTGTAACTTTTAATAATTTATATACCTTATGAAATTAATAAAATATAGAAAAAATTTAAAATTGATTACCATAAATATTATTTATGAATTTTAATGAATTATTTTCATATATTATATAAGAATATCAAAATTATATAAGCAATCCAATAGTTTATTAATTTATTAAAGGATTGCTGTTTATAAATCTTATATTTAAAAAAAAAAATTAAAACATAATTTTTATAAGCTAAAACTTGTATTTTATTCTAAGACTTTAAGTGGAAATTAAAAAATAGGAAGAGTAAGATAATACGTAAAATGAAAACATTAAAAGTAGCATTTTAAAGTATATATATTAAGTTTTTAATGTGTGTCTTAACAAAATTTTAGATAGTTATAAATTTAATTAATTAATATATTGACAGAATTATTCCAGATTAATAATCCTTCATATTTTTAATAATATATATATATGTCTTTGAATCTAGAGAAATTAAAGTAATAAATAATAAATTAAAAATATTGAGGTCTATTAATATTTTAATAAATTATCTTGCTAAAAAATTGCTTAAAATTAAAAATAGTATATTTTCAGAAAAATAGCTTGCATGCAATTTAATTCAAATAAAAATATGATATTATATTCATCTATCAAGCTATGGTTTTTATAATAGATTTGTGAATGTTGGAATGTTTTTAAGCCTTTCAGATCTCTTTTCATTTTTTTCTTTTTTGATTTGCTTTGCTTAAAAAATTTCTTATGAAAATTTATCAATGAGATTTTGGTATTCTTAAGTAATTATTTCCATAGATTCTTTTTGAGGAAGTTAAGAATGTTATTATTTCTACGAATTACTATAGCTCAGTATTTTTTGATTTATTTCTTATGCCATATTTTTAACAATTAATTTAATGAGTTAAGAAAATAAAGAAGAAATTATTAATCATATATTAAAAGCAACAACATTTTGCTCAAAAAAGTGTGAAACATTAAAAGTTGATTAATTTAAAGGAAAAGAGACAGAATGCTTAAGTGCTAATATTTTTTTTAATATAATCTAGTTTAATGTGGTTATGGGTTTGCGGCTTCAATACATTACTAAGGACAATTCATGAAGTATTTAATGGAACAAACAGAAGGTATGAATGAATGAATATCATTTCTTAAAAAATTAATAAAATTATCCTTTCAAACTTAAATCTTATATTGAATTTAAGAACATATTCATTGAACAATAAACATCAAATAAAAATGTATTTATGATAATTAACTTTTGCTTTCTTATCTTCTAAGAATATGATTTCTAATAAAAAAAGGGAATTATTTTAAGAATAATTATAAATAATAATTGATATATATTCTTGAAACAATTTTTATAAATATTTTTAGATCAATAGCTAAACAAGATACATTTATTTAAATAAAAGAAAAAACTAATTTGCAACTAATATTAAAAGTATTATATATAATCTATTGAAATATATAAAATCCAATATTTCTATTAGATTAATAGCATTTATGAGATAAATTTATAAATCATCTATAAGTTTTTGAACTGATAGAGAAGAAACTCCTTGAATAATTCGGTGTTGATTAAGTTTTTTAAAGAGATTTGCAATATGCACTTTATTTAGGTGTCAGACATATATTAGATGATGTTGATTAGTTGGAGTTGAATTAGTGTCTATACCATGTATTTACATCCAAAGTATCATCCTCAATCATTAAATTAATTAATAATAAAGTCTACTCACTGCTTAATCTTTCGAGAGGATTTTATTTAAGCATAGTTTTGACTAAATCAAAAAGTCTTCCTTATTCTTTAATTATAAATAAACAGTTTTTATTTTTCTTTAAAACTTCTACTGATGTATCAGCATCAAATAAGCCTTTAGAAGTTAATATTTTATATAAAACACATCCAGCACTGAATACATCAACTTTATAATCATAAATTACTTGATTATCAATATTTTGTAAGATTTCAGGAGCACAAAATCCTGGTGTTCCACATTTAGGAGTTTCTTAAAGTTAATTACCCATATAACATGATAATCCAAAGTCAACAATTTTAAGTATTCCATTTTTACTTAACATTATGTTTGCAGGTTTGATGTCTCGATGTATAATTCCCATTTTGTGAATATAAGAGAGTCCTTCAAATAATTACTAATAGAATAATTTCAGAATATTACTTTTAATAATTAAAGAATAGTTAATTCTTAAAATTCTGATTTCTCTTAAATTAATTTCTTAAGATTCTTTCCTTCAACAAATTCAGTTATAATAGAATATGTGAGATTTGTTAGAAATACTTCTTAAATGGATAATATATTTGGATGATTTAGTGTTCGAAGAATCTTTATTTCATTTTCAATTTATTATTATGCTGATTTATTCGAGTTAATTAATGTTTTAATAGCAACTAGTTATTTACTTATATAATTTGATTATAAAGAAATCTATAAATAGAACAATAAAATACTTAGCCAAATGTTCCTGAATCTAAATATTTAATTAATTTATAGTGTACTGTAAGAGATTTAAAAAGAATTTATTTCCCAAGTCTTTATTTTAACTCTATGAGATTATTTGAGTCTCCAAAAAATTCTTTCATTTTATTCTAATAAGGAAATAGGAATCCAATTAATTGTTGATCTCTTACTATCCATTCAAATTATGTCTATGGGTTCAAATCTAAAATATACTTGGTTTTTACAAATTAGCACTCCTAATGTTTCAATATAATTATAACTTACTTGACTCATCAGTATTTATTTTTTTGATAATTTTAAATAATAAGATTAGTCGCGAAAAAAATGTTTTCTAAAAACTGTAAAGAGTAGAATTTATTAATCATTTTATTAGCAATTAATTTACATTAAATATTAATTAATCATCAAATTGTAAAATCAATATTTAAATCAACTATTTTTGATCTATTAATAATCAATATTATTGAAAATTCCTATAAAATAACAATCTTATATAATGATATATATTAAATGAACCTCTAAAAAATCAAAATAATATTAGTCAAAACAATCCTAATAATTTCATCTGAAGATTCTTCATTTAAATCTAATGGATTCGATTAATATTCAAAAATAAAAAGTAAATTATATATATATATATATATATCACCATTAGATTGATATGTAAAAATTTATTTTATTTAACATTTTAATAAATTTGCTCATTTGTTTCTTCTTCTTTAAGCTTATGCTGATGCTTATTCTTAAGCTTATTAAACAGTTTCATTTAATTTTTAGGGGTCAGCCTGTGAAGTAAAGAAAAACACAATAAATCCAATTATGATATACCATTTCTAAGGATAGAGGAGGCAATTACATATTATAAAATTAATCCAAAAATGCCTTAAGGTTTTTACTATTCTTCTTCTTCAGGAGATTTTTCTTCAAATTATGGTACTAATCCTTATGGAGCTACTTCCAATTCTTTAACATTAACTTGAATATAGGTTTCTGCATTTTTCCTTACAGGTTTTAATCCATAATCAAAAGATAATAAATCATTATTGGATAAAACTAAAGTGATAATTTCTTAATAATTGAATTTCTAATTAAAAAGAGATAATTATTTTCCATCAACATGAGCAATATATGATTTTTCATCTTGCTAATTCTACAATTTCAATAAAGCATAATTATTCTAGATTAGCGATTATATACATTACTTCATTAATTTTTTTGCGATCAATTATTTACTATTTATTTTAATTTAAGATGATCTGGGCATTTTAAAAATTGGACCTAGATACTTTCATATCACCTATTCTTTCCCAAGATTAAGTATTTGAATTTTTTAAATACAAAGCAAAATCAGTTGATTATGATAGTGTTGTAAGGGCAAGAATCAATATTAATATAAATTACATTTAATTATTCACTATTAAAAAATAAAACAATGAAGAAAAATAAATTTCTTTTTATTATATTAAAATACAATAATACATATATTGAATAATAATTATAATATATATGAATCTATACAGCCATTAGACTCTATTATACTATAGATTTAATATATAAAATTTCTTAATTAATTAGCTAAAATTTATTAAAAGCTAATATGGAAACCTAGTCTATGTCTTTAAAAGAATATTATTTGATATCATATAATTTATGTTAAAATTTTTATTATTTTATATATATATATATATTATTTTAATATAAGTAGAATAAATCAGAAATAATGATTTTCTTTGTCATTCCATTTTTATGAAAAACTAAATGAACTTGGTTATTCTACTAATGAATTTTGATTAGTATTTGAGATTAGGTTGTGATATAATTGTTCATTCTTGTTGACTTTTTAATCGAGATCAGTGTTTAAGCTACTGAATAAACTATACAACTAATTGGCTTATTATTCATCAAGTTAATGTAGAAATGTCATCAATTGATCTTCTTTCTCTTCATCATTTATTATTGAATCTTAAGTATTCATTGAATAAATAGATGATTTTTTACGATGATTTACTTAATTCTCATATTATATCACTTCTTCATTAGCTGTTAAAGGACTACTAAATTATTATTAACTGGCTGATGGAATTATTGATGTTTAACGTTTTAATTTTTCAATTTATTCATTCAGTTCATTAACCATAATTTCAAGTTGAATATTTCTCTTTAGATAATCATCTCTTTATTTGGTCATTTCTAATAATGCATCAACATAATGATCAGTTTATTATTTTTTATTTTGATCAAATCTCTTTTTAGCCTCCATTAAAAAACCATCTATTTGCATAATATACATTTAATCCTAACTTAATTTAGTCTTTCATACTTTTTTTTATACTTTCTCCATTTCTCCAATTTATTTTAAAGCTTTATGATATTTTTATATAGTTTCAAGGTTTTATTCTTTTAATTTGGCAATTTCTACTCTATAATTATCATCTTTTGCTAGTAATTTTTGAATAATCTACTATTATTTGAATGTATACTTCTCTCAATTATGATTCATTATATTGTTTATTTAAGCTGATTTCTCCTAACTACTATTTTTTTTATTTCATTATAAAAATAATTAATATAAAAATTCAATATATATATAAATATATATATAATATTAGAATTACTTAATTAGAGATAGACCTCTCATAAATACAATATATTTAATTAGGCAATAATTTGACTATAATTATTGTTACTTTATTAAAATACAATTTCATAATATAGACTCAATATATTATTAGAGTAATTTAAGTTATTCTTTAATAAATTATCTACATTCTTAAATAGAAATTTCTTTTCTTTCTTAACATTTTGAGATTAAATAAAGAATTATTTTATTTGGCATATCTTGAGAAATTGTTAGATTTAATTTCAACGCTTCATTAATCCATTTAGCATTTGTATTCATAGATTTAACATCTTCTTAATATTATATATATTCTTGTCTTAATATTCTATGATGTTTAATTACAATGCTTCTCAATTCTTATACTAATCTTTCCTTTTCTTAAAATAATTTAAATTAATTTAAATAACTTAGTGCTTCTATGATAATTTCATTTTAAGAAAAATAGGAATCTACTGAAAATGAACTTAACTCAAAGTTAGTTTATGATAAATATGATTGAAATTCTTATTAATCAAAGATTCCATAGATTTATAAACATTTTTAACATGCATTAGTAACAGTATTATCATTAATACCTGGCATTCTATATCGAATAGGTTAATGATGAAAAGGACATTCTTCAATTTAAGATTAAGAATCATTTGAGTAAGAAGGTAACTAAAAATTTTGAGTTTATTCACAAAGAGTTGATTAAGAAACTAGTGAAATATCTGCAAAGACATATCTATCATTATTAGTATTTGTTTGTATTTCAAAACTACTTGGACTTTATAAATAGTATTCAGTGAGTGTTTAAATAATCCAATTTAGATCTTTTCTTAATTTAGGATCTTTTTAGATGGAATTTAATAATAAACTTTTAATGACATTTTTCTTATGATCAAATATAGTAGCTTGTGCATATTATTGATCTCTAATAATATAATTAGTAGTTTTTATCTTAAAGAATACTTCTTCCTCAGATAATCCATTATAGAATGGAGTTTTATGAAGTAACTCATCAATAATAAGTCCAAGTGCCCAAATATCAACAGATTTATCATATTATTATTTATCTAGAATTTCTGGGGCTACATAATAGGCAGTTCCAACTTTAGTTGTTGTCATTCTATCTAATTTGACACTACTTAATCCAAAATCAGTGATTTTATAAATTTCCATTCCTTATTCATCAATTTATCTTAGAATATTTTCTGGTTTAATATCTCTATGAACAATATTTTTACTATGCAAAAAGGCTATACCATTAGCTACTTAAAAAGCAATATTAACAATTTATTCTTCAGAAAATGTTTTAGTTGTCATCATTTCATATAAAGTACCACCAGAACAGTATTCTTGCACTATAAATAAGGCTTCTGGTTAATCAAAAATATCTAAAAGTTAAACTACATTTTAATGCCGATATTATGAGAGTTATTTTAGAATCATTTTCTCTTATTAAGAAATAGCTAGATTTCTATTGCTAATTTTGACAGCAACCTTTTATTTATTTGATTTTTTAACACCTAAAAAGACTTAAGCAAAAGCACCTTAGCCTAGTAATTAGTTTTTAGTTTCATATAAATCTTCATAACGATTTTTCATTGATTATGGTTAAATAATTTTTTTATAATATTTATCGAACAATTTCGTTATTATATATTATTATTTTATATTTGATATATTCATTATACAGTTTATACAGCTAAGCGAATAAGATGATCTGTAAATACTTTAAGACTTGCATCATCTGTGATGTAATTACCACTTTCTACATTTTCATTTTAAACTGTATTGACTGATGGATTCACTCTACTTTTTAAATATCTCTCTTATCCATGACCAAAATATGTCTTAATTAATTTAGGAACAGGGAATCTATCTTCTAAAATATACTTAAAATATTAAGAATAAATGAATACCTATACATCAGAATTAGGAGCATCTATTAATTCTTTAACATATTCATATTCAGGATTATCATAATATCCTTCTTCAATCCATTTTTGAACATTTTCACCATTCCATACAACAACATTAAAATAAGTATCCAAAAGTAATACAACATCAGGTTTCATACTTTGAATGTCTAAATTTACAGCATTAGCAACTGGATCATCTATTGTATATTATAATAAAGCAGGTTGAATCATAACTAATGCATTTTGAACACTCTCTCTAGATAAAGAAGCCTAAAAATAAATTAGATTAATTTACTCTATAAAAAGTAGTTTCATCAGGTGAAGCACCAAAAGTAGTGATAAAATGAGATCTTCTGAGATGATACATAAATTATGGATACATCATCATTTCTTATGGAAATCTGAATGAACTTACATCATCTTTTCTATATGAACCAAATCTTGCAACAACTCTTATTAATGATCTATCTAACCACTTTAAAACTTCAATTGATTCTTCTTATTCTGCTTTCAAAATTCCTACTCTTGCCATTGTAACACAAGCAGCTTCTTAATCAAATCCTCTTATCATATCCATTATATTATTGTGATCTGCAAATCTTCTTTATATTGTGGTTACTCTTAATCTTTATAATCTGCTAGAGTGTCTATACATTGTAACAAATTGTATGTAAGCACATTATGAAAATGATGTATCCTTTGTAGATGATAAATCAAATAAAAATAATATTGTTGAGTTTCTATCCAAACCTCCAGTATACCAACTTGTTGTTCCACCTTCCCCTAAAGATACTTCAGATACCATAGGACCTCCTTTTTTTAAAGAAATGCATGGTCCTACTCCTCCTTATACTTTTATATCTTTTGATACAAATATATCCATTTTTGATCCAAATCCCATTTTAAGAAAACCAGAACTATCTTTATCAAATACTTTTTTATATGTTTCTTTGAACATGTCTGAGTCAAATTTTTCTTACATAACAACTACTCCACCTGTTTTCTCTGCTAATTATTTCATTTCTAAAAGACCAAATTGATCTAAAGTAAATGCAAATATATCAACTGTCAAATTTGCTTTTATGGCTCTCTATGCAATTTCATTATAAAATTTCTTTGCTTTCTATAAATATTAAGTATTTGGATTTTCTTTTTATATATCCAAATATGATCTAATAGTTTCTTCTAATTTCAATCCTACTACTTATCCTGGTCCTATTGTACAAGGTCCCCCAACAAAATATAGAATTTTTGAGAATTGAGTGGCACTTTCTACCAAAGTTGAACCAATTTTTAATGCTGACCCATTTGCTCTAACTTCTCTCTCTCCTGGTTATGTTGGCCATGGATCACATTAAAGATCATCCAATATAGAGTTGAATGAAAATTCACATTCACTTAAGGGTACTAAAAATCTTTTCAAAATTTCTGGTTTTGTACTCACTTATAACATTTCCAATATTTATTAAGTAGTATAATCTTTAGATCCCTTAAAACTATAGCATTTAGGACATTCTTAGAATCCTAATTCATGTACAAATACATTTCTTCCATAAGTGATAAGTCCAACTTGAGAGTCTGGTGGAATGATAGATAGACTCTGTTAAATAGAGTCTCTAATTGCTTATAGATCCTCTTAAGGTATACAAGTATCAATTATATATAAAAAAGTAGTTGGTGCTGCTTATTAATTAGCTAAGATATATTCCATAGTTGTGCTAGTTTTTTTTAATTCAGCAGGTAATTGAGTTTCTGTAATATGATCAGCATAATGTTTTGGAAACATATTTTTACAAGAGCAGAATATACATGTCCATTATTTATTTCTGAAATCTATTTAATTGTATGGATTCAAAATAGCACCACATTTACAATAAAGTGGTGAATACTAAACTAAGACAAGTGATTCCAAATCCTTCATTGGTGCTAATATTAATTATATCTATACTATAGAGACATCCCATAGGAACAATTGCACGAGTACTCTACAATTTTGTTGCTGGTAATGTATTCCAAGATAATCTCACAGCATCTTTGTATTCTTCCTAATAAAAATCAAGTGGCTATATTTGCTATTACCCTTATGGTTATTGCATTGATTAATTTTTTTCAATATTTTTTTTAATAATTTACACGTAATTTCGAATTAAAAAGTTGTTAGTCTTTTATTTAAATATATATATACATATGTATTATAATATTGAAAATATATATACAATTAGTAAATTTTGTGGATTATCTCTATTGTTTATTGTTCAACTTGATGACGTAAATTTGAATTAAGAGGATTTCCTAATATCATTCATTTAATTATTATTAATATGATTAAGTGTGTGAAAAAAGTGGTTGATTTTAGTGCAAGTATCATAGCTCTACTTGGTTTGGCTATTTTATGTTTTGGAATATATGTATTATACAAATAAGTAGGATTAAATTATTCAGGTATAATCATATATTTATAATTAGATCTCTATTTTAATACTGCAGATTGGTTAAAAACATTATAAGAATATGGATTTATCATATTAGGAATTGTGATTATGATAATTGGAATGGCAGGTATTGATGGAGCATCTAAGAAAAAGAGATCATGTAGAAAGTTTTCATTGTTAATTTATCAGATTGGGGCCCTTATATTTTTTATATTATGTTCAAGTTTAGCTGTTTTCACTCTAGTATATTCAAATGATGCTTTTGGAAAAGGTAGTTAATCAATTTATATCTTATAGAATGCACCGGAACTCCTTATTTTGAAACTATTGATTCTCAAATCAAACTCGCAGATTAATTATTTTGTTCTAACTAATGTTAATGTTATATCACCTAAGAAACATTTGATCATAATTAATCGGTATTTGCTGGTAAAAACTATACAACTGATAAAAATGTTATAGAAAAAATAGAATAGATTTAAAAATGTCCCTAATATGAAGTTGATTCATATGCTGCTGCTGCTCAAATGATGTAGGCTGCAGAAACTATATTACATTGCACTGGTTGGTGCACTCCTACATCTTATTATATATTTAGTGATATTAATGATGATTCATATGATGGATAGAGTTGTTTCAAGGAAACCAAAGAGTTTGTAGAATCGACTGGAAAAATATTGGGTTATGTTCTATTAGGATTAGCACTATTATTTGGTTTGAATGTTTTATTTGTGATCCTTTTATGTTGTCAATCAGAGAGAAAACATAGAACTGATTATCTCATGTATGAAACCTGAAGAAAATTTTTGTATATATATACTTTTTAATTATAATAAATTTATTCTAATATTATTTTAATATATGAGAAGCTATTTGAATTTTATTCGTTTTTTTACTCAATTAAATTATTCATAATTTTGCTTAGAATACTAAAATTATTAAGAAATTTTAGCCATAATGAACTGAACAATAAACAAAAGTATAAAATTTATAAAAAAGATGTTAATACAAATTATATATCATCGTAACTCTATATTTTACTTTACTATCCCATCATATTATTATAGTTTTCTTCTTTAAACTATTGTATTGTAAACTTGAATAATTATTTAATATGCTTACTTGGTTATCTTAATTTTGGAACTTTTACTTACTTCTCTAATGATTAATCATAAATTGATAGTTCATCTTGATCTCCTAAAGTATCCTATTATTCTTAAATTATAGATTAAGATTTTACCTTATTATTATTTTTATACTAATTCTTTAATCTACATTTAAAGAATGCTTTCAAGATTATTCTACTAATATCTTTCATCTTTTTATTTTTATACTGAACAACCCATTTTGTTTAATTATAATATTTAATACTCAAAAATTTGATAATTTCTTATCCAAAAATTACAATTTTGCCTAAACACTTTTTAAGTATAAATCTGTAGCTTCTATTTGTAAATCATCATTTTGACTTATATGAGCTAATTATTCTTTCTTTTTGGCCTCTTCTTCTAGTCTTTAAAGTAGTCGCATTTCTTATTAGGGACTCATCTTCCTTTAATTAATATTAATAATTATAAATACTTATTCAATCCAGAAAGAGATGGGAGAGCAGATTGATGCATAGATTTTCTTTCTCTTTCAAATTCTCTTAAATAATCTGGTTACTTCTTTGTAGAACTTTATTAGATTATTATTTTTTATGGTGTATGTACACGTAAATGAAAATATGTATTAGCATCAGGTACTTTTCCTTATTAAAGACTTTCTGTAATTTTAGTTTTTGGTGTTATATGTTCTTAACTTAATGCTGATTAGATTTTCTTAACTAAAATCTTTTAATTATAATTTTACTATTTTTTTAAATTCCTTAATTTACTAATTGATCAACAAATTAAGACTTATTTTAATATCTTATTACTTATTTAATTCTAGAATCTCGAGATTAATTAATTGAATAATCATCTATTGATTATTAACCATCTATTTTACTAAAATTTGATGGTCTATGAAATTCTTAAATAATTTCAGAATATTTTTATTTCCTTACTTTAAATTCCTATCTTTTCTTTTATTCTAAGATATCTTTATTTTTCACTTATTAATCAATTTTCATAACTTCTTATAATACTTTTTAATCTTTATATAATTATTTAGTTTCTGATTTAATTTTAATTTCCCATTCTAATTTTTTTTAATCTCTTTATAATTTAAGCATTTCTCTATTTTCTAAATAATGTTCCTCATGTTAATTTAATTCTATTAATCTTATAGGTTAAGCTTGCTTTCTTTTTTCTTATAGTTTGAGCTATATTAATAAGAATTATAATTACTTTTGCTTCTTCAAAATATATCTATTTCATTTATTCATCTTTATTTTTAAGAGAATCCTATTACTTTTTCATTCTATTCTTTAATTCATTTATCAATTATTAAGATTATTTATTAAATTATCTTTATAATTCATGATTTTTTTAATTTTCATTTAATCTTTCAATAATTCTATTTCTTTTATCCTAAGTAATCTATTACATTAAAATTTCTCTTTCTTATTTATAATGTTCCAAACTTAATTCTATTTTCTCTGCACTATTATCTAAATTCTCTTATCTTTTTAATTTTAATTATTCTTTTTATTTTTTCATCTCTTATATAAGCATCTTAGCTTTTTCACTTTAATTAGGATCTTATAATAAAGATATAGCTTTCTTTTTACGAATCAAATATTATTCTTATTATGGACTTAATTTAGGAGTTTTATATTTCTTTTTATTAGATATGAGTTGCATTTTATGATGATTTCCTCTTTCATCCTTATTAACCATATTATTTAAGATATTTAATACAGTGTCATTATTTTAATTTCGAACTTAATCATCTTCTTACATTTTAATATGACTCAACATTGTTTATTATTTCACTCTATCAGAAAAATTATTAATCAAATCAGATGTCTTATTTTTCATTAACTTAGGTGCATTTTAAAAGAATGATAAGATTTTAGTAACTTTATCTAAATCTCTTGTCTTTTATTATCTTTGTTCCTCTAAATTATCTATAAATTTTATTGTTTATAAAATAGTCTTCCATAGAACAAGAGGTTTAGCTCGATCATAAAACTATTGGAACTTTTTTAATTGCACTTTCTCTTTGAATTTAAGTTCAAGATAATCTGTTTTACAATTATAAATAATCTTATTAACAGTTCCTTCCTCCTAAAGGAGTTGATCAAATATATATAAATCAAAACCAGCTGAAATCTACTTGAATAAAAAAATTACTTATTATTTCTCTACTATTAAGTCTTTCAGTTCTGCAATTGTGGCATTTTTAGATATTTCAAAATCAAATGTCTATCCTTATATATATACTTAAAATTTTAACATTAATAAATATGAATCACATTAAAGCTTTTGCATTAGCAAAATGGGCAACTGGTGAGAAATTAGAGCTTATAGAAATGGAAGGAGAAGTTGGCATTGTCTAAGATTTATCCGACACTCTTATGATTATTAAGACCAAAACAATTAGTTAATTTCAGAAGATGTATAATTATTGTAATATTGAAAGAGACTCATTGCCATCTAAAAAAGGAAGATGGTATTATTTGCCTTTTAATAAAGAAATCATCTAACTTGTTTTAGCAACAACAGATTGCAATCAGTATAATATTGAAATGCTTATTAGTGCCATTTAATCAAAAATTGTATTGATATCAATATAATCTATTTAGTTGAATGGAAATATAATTCTTAATGATAATCAGAAAGATAACATACTACAGTTATTGAATTATTTTGAGAAACAATATAATAAAGATCCAAAATAAATCAAATAAATCATGTAGATATTAGACAATACTAAATAATCAGTATAACAAAATATAGAAAAACTAATCAATAATAAAGATTAATTAAGCTAAATTGAAAGTATATCTTTTCTTATTTGAGTTAAATCTTTGGAATTGGAGGATACATCAAAAGTCTTTTACGATACAGCTGCTGCTGTTCATAGAAAAAATCGATTAAATAGATTAAAAAGAAGATTATTTATTGGTGGCATAGCACTAATAAGTATAAGTTTTATTTGTTATTGGATTTTTTATTGATCATATTACAAAAAATTAGCAAATTATAAAAATAAGTAAAATCAATTATCTAAATGATTGTAAATGAGACATTATAAATATCCCCTCTAATTTTTATTTGTCGATTCTTCAATTTAATATCAGATGATTATAAAAAGAATAGATAGTTCCTATTTTAATGTTTTTGAAATTACTTAAATTTAATTAAATACAAATGTTTATGATTAAAAAGAATAAATATCTCAATAACTTAGATCTTTATGATTAAAATATAAATATGATTCTTTGTTATTCTACTTCAAAGTTTATTTCATTTTCAATATAATGATATTTATTTTAAGTATTTAATTTACTAATATTAATAATGAACTAAATATTTTTAAATATCTTAAATATTTTCTACTTTCTTTAAATATGTTTTATTCATTTATTTATATCATTCAAAAATCTGATACTAAATTTTTATTCAAATTCATACATCTCTTTTGCACTTAATTAGAAATATAATTTAAATTCATAAATTTTTATGATTTTCCTTTAATATATTTATTTTTATAATCCATATTGCTAAAAAATATGTAAGTCCTTAACTCTAAAATTTTAAATACTAAAATTGAAGTTAAATATATATTATTAATAAGATTTATGTTCTAAAATTATTATTTTGAGATAATAACTTAATTTATAATTAAGATTATATTATTCATTATAATATGTTTACTAAATATAAATAAAATTCATTTAGGAAATATATATATTTTAATAATATTTATTCATATTATGCCTCCAAAAAAGGGAAAAGGTAAAAAATAGCATGACTCTGATGATGAAGAATCAGAAGAATCATATGAACCAAAGGCCTCAAAGAAAATATAAAAATAAGCCTAAAAAAAATAAAATTCATCTGCAAAAAAGTAATTAGATTAAGAATCAGAAGATGATTCAGATTCTTAAAATGAATAAGTTGAAAAAAAAGGTTAAAAAAAGAAAGCCTAATCTCAAAATTAAAATAAATCAAGAAATAATGCAAAAAAAAAATAATAAAAAGAAGATGTAAAATAAATTAAAATTTCATAGGATGAAGATGAGAATTCTGAGAGTGTTGAAAATGATAAGGAAAATTTTAAATTATATTAAAAAAAAGAAACTCCACCTGAAGATGACCCATGCAGAATATATTATGAATCATTATATAGAGAAAAACCAGATTCTATATTAGCTCTTAAGTATTGTTTGGATTATGGTCTAATAGAAGAAACCAATATTTAAAAAGCTCATAAATTTTATGAAAAATATAAATCTAAATAAAAATGATATTAAATTCAATTTTAATTATATTTTATCATAAATTCTCATAAAAGAACACCATTATTATTAATATATGAAGTTTTCAAGCATAATAATTAAATAAGTTCTATAACATATCAATATTTTGCAATTAAATAATAATGAAATTTATTTACAAGATAAGTTTTACCTTTTTGAAATGAGAGATATACAATATATTCCTAATAATTATCAAAATTTTGTTTTGTATGAATATCATTTTTTGAAACAATTTGAAAAACTAGATTAAAGGAAATTAATTGTTCTAATTAATTAATGAATTAAGTCTTAATATATGATTTTATATTTTATTAATTTTTTATGTCAAGACGCAGACGCTGTGCTTTTGATTCTGATAATTTAGAAGAATATATATAGGTATTTAAACATAAAAATATCAGCTTGCCACAATTGGATAAAATTAGACTAATCTCTTTTATGATGACAAAAAATTAAAATGGGTTAATGGATTGAAATAAATTGATGAAAAGGAGTACTCCACAAAATAAATAGAAGGATTTGAACATGGTCATAGTCAAAATGATTATATTGATACTTCTGAACTTCCACCCGATATTCATTTGAAATCAAGTGATGAAGTTGTTACTCATCACATTATGATATTAGGAGATATCAATGAATGTTTAAAACAATCTCTTACTATGTTCTGTATGTAGAGTCGTAAAAATAGTAATGAGGATTTCAATGAGGAATTGATATCTCCATTAAAAAAGTAATTAAACATTTTTCATAATTTTTTTAGTAAACTATGTCTTGATTTAGCAATAAAAAGAATCTAAGAAAGAGATGGAGTTCATATGGTAAAGTTTCTTATGCATGACACTTCTATTTAGAATTATGCTCCAATTATCAATGGTAAATTATTGTTATAAGTCTTATTTAGTTTATTTTCTTTAAACTGCTATTTACATTTTAGCTTTTGATGTTGATTAATAAGATTTCTAACCTTAAAAAGAGCAAGATATGATTTCTTACATAAAATAACGAGCTGTAAATGTGAAACACATCTATTCAGTCTACCTTACTGAATCAGATATTTCTGATCAAAGAACAAATAAATATTATTGTAATAGGTGGAATATAGGTGCTATACTCTCCTAAGTATTTTATATAAAATTTAATCAAAGATTATTGAATAAGTTATTAGTTAATGAAACATATACTTTTATCTTTTTTATTAATATTTTATTATTTAAAGTGCATACAAAAGAATAGAATCTTTATAAAGTATTTATAATTTTCAAAAATATTTTTTTATTAATAAAATACAATAATACAATATTATACCACAAACTTATTATAATGAATGATTAAACAATTAATTAATATTTATTTAGAATCATATTATTTAGATATTATGTATTAAATTATGATGAAATGAAATTTTGAAATAAAAAATAAAATAGAAATGATGCTGAGAAGTCTTTGGAGATCACCAGTCTTTTCATTTTCATATTATGCTAACTTAGATCTTAGTTGCCCTTATCCATCATTTTAAGTAAATTAATATAGAAACAAACTAATAGTCTAGAGATCTTACAACTACTCATACTATGCACTATATTACTAAACCTCCTTGTGATCCTAAAATCATGACATTCGGAGCCTTCCATACAGATCATTTATTAGAGATTGATTGGTCAGAGAAAATGGGGTAGATAATTAAATTATATTTTCAATTAGTTGGAGCAGACCTTAGATTGTCCCATTCAAAAGTTTCAGTATTCATCCATTTTCTGCTTGTTTACATTATGCTATTGAGTGTTTTGAAGGTGCAAAAGTAATTGAATCTAATAATATTTAAAGGCCTATAGAGGACCTAATAATTCAATCAGAACATTTAGATTAAATTGTAATATGTATAGAATGAAACAATCTGCTAAGAGATTATCATTACCAGATTTTGATGGTGCAGAATTAGAAAGATGCATTGAATAATTATTAAAAGTAGATAGAGATTGGATTCCGGATAGACCTGGATTTAGTTGTTATATTAGACCAACATTGATGGCAACAGAAGAGGCATTAGGAGTAAGAGCATCAAGTAGAGCAAAATTATTTGTTGCATTATGTCCTGTAGGTCCTTATTTCCCATCTGGTTTAAAACCTGTTAGAGTATTTTGTAATACATCAACAGTAAAATATCTATTTAAAATATTAGATTCGATCAGCTCCTGGAGGAGTAGGAGGATACAAAGTTGCTGGTAATTATGCACCAACAGTTTTGCCATTGAAGGAAGTTTAAAAGATTGGATTTCATTAAAATTTATGGATGTTACCAGATGGTTTAGTATAAGAAATGGGAGTTTGTAATTTGTTCTTCTTTTGGAAAAATAAGTAAGGTGAAAAAGAATTAGTTACACCAATTCTAGATGGAACTATCTTACCAGGAATTTTAAGAGATTCAATTTTAGTATATTATATGGAAATAATATTTAGGAACTTACAAGAAATATGGGAAAGTTTAAGGTTACTGAAAAGAAACTCTATATTTAAGAGGTTGTAGAAGCAATAGAAGAAGGGAGAGTATTATAATTAGTATAAATATTTTAGATGATTGAAATGTTTGGATCTGGAACAGCTGTTAGTATTTAACCTATTGAGGCTATTGGATATAATGATAAAATCTATGAATTATAATATGATTCAAAATTGAATGCAGGAGAACTTTCACATGAATTATTTGATATTTTAACAAAGATTTAGGTAAAATATAATTAATATTTTTAGACTGGTGGTGAAGAGCATAAATGGGTTAGATCAATATGATTTAAATTGTTCTATGTTATAAATTATATTATAACAAATAAATATTAATTAAATAATTAAAAAAATCATAGCTTAGCAAAATAAAAACATTTTTAAATAAAATCAATAACCTAATTTTTTTAATTAATCTCTAACTTGACTAGCTTTTTTGAAATTCATTTAAATTTATTCCTTTTATTAATTATTAGGTGAATATATAGATTAATTAGGTGATTATTTATAAGCTATTTATTGTAATGGATTAAGTTAAATAAATTTTTATGTATCTTTTCTTGATTCAGGAGTACTTAAAATTGAAAATTCAGAGTCTGATGATTATTCTTATTAAAATTAGGGAGATCTTATAATTTATTTAGATTCCTTTTCATTTAACCAGCTATCACAAGATGCTTTTATTGGATCATATTCTCTTGTTCCCATAAAAGGAGTCTATTAAACCAATTCATTTTTTTTTAATTTAGACATTTTAAATCTCATATTATTTTGACAAAATTTCTTCATGTTTTCAAAAGCACTATAATTATCATTTGGTAAATCATCTAATGGAATATCTTCCATACTATTAATTTATCTTTTATATAAACTAGATATAAAAGGATGAGATAAAGCTTCTAAAGATGAAATTCTATTCTTAGGATTTGATTCTAATGTTTTATATAATAAATCTAAAGCATCTTTAGATACTTTTAAATCTTTAAAATTTATTTAACAAGCTCTATTCTTTTCTATCACATCATCTAAACTATTACCATAAAATGGAGCTTATCCAGTTAGTCTATTATTTTTTAAATTATTTACAATATATAAAATATAATTCCAGCACTGAAAACATCTACTTTTTCATTATATTTTTAATCTTATAAAATTTCTGGTGCTACATATCCTGGTGTACCACATCTTTTGATAAGTAATTCACTTTCAGTATAAGATGCTAAACCAAAGTCAGCTATTTTTAGATCAAAATTATCTGATTTATCATTTAATAATATATTCTCTGGTTTAATATCTCTATGCATAATATTCTTTATTGGATAGAAGTAATAATACCTTCGTATGAAGATACTCCAATGCATCAAATATTTTGAACATGATTAATGCTATTTTAGATTCTAAAAATTAAGGAGTCTCAAGTATCAAATCAAATAATTCACCTCCCTCTAACAATTCCATAACTAAATAAATATAATCTCCACTTTCATAAATTTCATAAAGTTTTATTATATTTGGATGATCACATGATCTCAATAAATTAATTTCATTTAATAATCCTTACTAAAAGATTATTATAATTAGAAAATACCCGTTGAGTATTATTTTTATCCATCAATGCTATTTTTTGAAAAGTCTTCACAGCAAATTTGGATTTATTTACTATTTTTTCAGCTAATAAAACCTTATTTATGAATTTTATTACCTTAGCAAATGTTCCTTTGCCTAATACTTTAATATTTGTGTAAACACCTCTATAATTATTCAGAATGCATGTCTTTTTGAATTATTCAATCCATTTTGTTTGACTTTCTTAAGAGCGAGCATTCAACACTAATTTTCGATTTCCGTTTAATAAAATTATAGGAAATTTATCTTTCTCATATTCAATCAATAATTTTAAGTCTAAATATACATTTGTCAAGAATAAGGCAGCTATTTCCTTTTATTCTCTACCATTCTAATAATTAATCTCAATTATATCATCATACTTTATAAATGTTCAGCCTATCAGAAAATAACTTAAAAAATTTAGGCTTGAAAGCATCCTATTTTTTACTCTTCATAAATAAAGTCCCTTCAAATAATCTAATAGTAGAAATGGGTCTTTTAATAGAGTCAAGTTTAACCCATTAATTCTTATCATTCGTATTTGAAGAATCAAAAAAAAATTATTCTGTTTACATTAATAAATAAAATAATTGTATTAAACAACAGCTTGTCTATGTATTTATATAATTATCAAATTCTCTCTCTTAATGATGAAATGAGCTTTGTACCATTAGTCATATTTGTAGTACAAATGATAACTTCCTTATTAAATTGTTTTCCCAAAAGACGTAAAGATGCAATCTCTCCATAAGTGGCTCCACCAAGTATATATATAATTACAATAGGCTTTTTACCAGGTATATTTAATTTTATAGGTCTTTCTGGTTCTAATTGAAAACCATTAATCAATTACATTTGAGTTTTGAAAGGTTTCCATGATCCCTTATCAAATATCTTTTCAGTCAAACGAGCCCTAAATCATTAGAATCAAAGTACATTAGAGGACAATGACCACTATATGTGTAAGCAGGATCTTTTGGATCTGTATCATCAGATCTGATATCCACATTCAATAATTTAAATTATTCCTACAATTTAAAGAAAAGTTATTTGGCATCAGATTTGAATACCATTCCTGCTTTCTATAAATTATTTAAAAATGCAATAGTTTTAAATCCATATACATGAACAATCTCTCTTCTCATATAATCGAATGGTTTCTATTTCAATCCACCATCAACTAAAGATCTTAAGGTTAACAACCTAACAACTTTATTTAAATCCATTTCTAATTGAATCATAGCTTCTATATAATCTAAAGTTCTTTCTGTTTTATCTCCATTAATTATTCCTTATTCTAAACTCAATAATTTATAGAATGATATTGTTTTAATATTCTCTGCAATCTTACCACTTATATTAAGATCTATATATAAATATTATATAATACGTCTTGAATTTGATTCCTATTCTAATTTAATCTTCTTTGCTTATTATACAATTCTCTCATTTAATGAAGCTTATTTTTCTTTCTAAAATTCAGTCTTCTCCACTTCCTATTGTTTTGCTTACTCATATAAATATTTAGCTAAGGATGCCACTTACAATCCTCTTACTTTATACATTAAAGGATCTTTCTCTGAATTTAATTGTAATGTTTGATATTCCTCTCCTTCTTAACCTTCTTTTCCAAATACCTTTTTTTGTAGACTTACTAAGTTTCCATTGATACCAAACTATTCATCTATCAATCCTTCATAAACCAATTATGTTAACATAGGAGTAACTAAATCAATACTTCTGTCATATATAATCAATGACTCTACTTCTTAAGAGTCTTGATTTTAATCAGATTATGAGTTTTCTACTTTTATAATATCATAAACCATCTTGGCTCCATCTCCTTTACAATAAATATTAGGAATATTGCCCATTACAATTTATATTCGATTGATACTATCTGCAACATAATTATAAATTGATAAATCTTAATCAATCATCATATCTCTAAAAGCATCTGGCATTTCTAAACTTAATACATCTAAATCAAGTGGAATAAGATCAAATGAAAAATCCTTAATTTCTACACTACTCAAAACTCCTTCTTATTCTAATAATTCCTTGGCTAGTATTGTTCTTGAAGGCCAAAAGACCAATTTGTAAGTGTTGTTTGGACCATTAGCAGCTTTAATCATTTTTGCAATCTTCCTTGTTACATCCAATTTTGGTGGAATTATTATAAAGATCTAAGTAATATCATTTTCTATTTAATTTATATTCTCTATTGTTAATGTCTTTTTGACTCCACTTTCTTATAGTAATTTATTTTCAATGCTTAATTTAAGTAATTGTAAGACTCTCTAACTCAAAATTAGTTATTTATTTCCAGGCATAGTTTCCAATAATGCAATAATCTTATTCTTCAAGTAATCCTTATAAATTGTAATATCAAATTCATATTATGGAATATTTGGATTTTACATTTTTATTAATAAAATATAAAATGTATTAGTGATATAATATATATATGATAATAAATATAAAAGATATTTAAATCTATGTCATTTTTTCTATTTTTTTGTTTAATTAACACTATTTGAACGTAAAGCAGGCATTTTATTTTTTGAATTGCTCTCTTTCATTTAGTATTCTTCAATTGCCTAATTAATTTCACTTAGCTACTTAGGATTCCCTTTGCAGCTTTATCATTTCTTCATATTATTAATTCAAGTCATCCATCAATTTCTCATTAATCCCATATCCCATAGATTTCATCGAGTCTTACATCTATGAAATAGTTTTTTTTAAAATGCACATACTCTAAAACTATTCATCTAAATCAATATCAGCTATCATTATACATTTTTTAAATCTTACTTTAAAATAACATCTTATTCAATTAACCAACATCACTATCATCTTCAAAATTTAACATAACTTTTTTCTATTTATCCAATACTTTACTCCTTTATAATAAATCTTCAATACTACTATCACTATTATTATCATCCTAATCATTATTTGATTCCTCTGATTTTGCTTATTAATTATGAGTGAGAAACACAGTGTCTTATTAATGTTGTTTTTATTAAGATGATTTCAAATCTTTAAACTTCTCTGTTTAACTATAATTTTTCAAAGTGTTTGATTTTCTTGCAAATGATTCCATTTCATCATGAGAATTCTCTATTTTCTTATTAGACTTAATCTCAGAAACCTAAATCTTTTTAGTATCAATCTTGTTTAAATCATCATATTCATTAAGTTTATTAAATAAATTCTTTTCTAAATTGCTTATTGCATTATTACTCTACCTTGGTGGTAATTATCGATTTGCTGATTAAGCTGATGTAGGTTTATTAATACTTGGTAATTTCATTTTATAATTAAATTCTTAATTTATGAAAATTATTCAAGTTAAATTAAATTAAATATATTTTCTTTTTTAGAACAAACTTTCCTTTCTCATAATAATTAATATTATTTTGAGATATTTTTATATTCTAATTAATAAATTATAATACTTATATTTAATAAAAGAATTATTAAAATAAATAAAAGTAAATGAATATCAATTTTATTATTTGTTTGAATAATGAGATCCACGATTTGTCGAAAATCTTCCTGGTGCTTCATTAGATTATGCTAAAGAAGTGCCAATTTTATTATTATTAGTTTTAGTAACATTAACTTCTTTGACTTGTACAATTTATCTCTTTTTCATTGCTTCTAAAGATGTTTCAGCCATTATAAGTTTTTCACTTAATTCTGAAGCCTCTTCATTTTTTTCTTTGAATTTCTTTCTCCAAACATCAACCTCACCTTATAAAGATATTAATGTTGTTTCAACACGACTATAATTTTCTTGTATTATTTAGAGTTCTTATATTTAATCATTTAGTTAATCTATGATATCATCTTTTTCATTTAAGATAGTTCTTAATTTTAAGATTTCTTAATCTTTGTCTCTTAAATGTAATTATAAATCATTATTATCTTCCTCTAATTACAATATTTATTTTTTCAATTAACGCAATTCTTCATTGAATCCATTTTGATTTGATGATTATTTTTGTAATTAACTATATCTATCTTTCCAATTTTATAATTCTTCTTTTAGTTATTTTAATTCAATTCTTTATTTTTCTTCTTATGTTCTTAAATTCTGATTGATTCTCTCTAATTCATTAATTTTAAAAGTATTATCAATAGGTATAGATTATTCAATATAACCCCCATTAATTTTAATTCTTTGATTTTCGACTTGTAATTAATAGATCATTGATTCTAATTGTTGAATTTTAAATTTATATTTGTATTCCATTTCTTCTGCAGCAACAACTTAAATAGGCCTTTCAAAATGATGTACTTCATGAATTTCTTATGGTTATTAGACTCTTTCAGTTGACAATTAAACAACACGAATAGGGGAGATTGATGAAGATTAATGAGGTAAGATATTTATAGGCGGTCTTGAAGGAGTGGGTATAATCCTTCTATCTGTAGAGGGTGTTCTAGAATGTAAAAATTAAATACATAGTAATATGAGTTGATTAATTTTATAACTTTTAGACGGCATAGTTAGTTAGATATTTGTTGGATTGAATAGTTGAATTTTGGGTTTGTCTGGTGAAGGGGGAGACAGCCTATGGATTTTAAGGGATGTAGGAACTACCTTTAGATCTAAGGAGACGTTACAACCTTTCGTTTTACATAATAAAATTTATTAATATGGTTGTAAAAGTTTTGTAATAACAATGAAGTTACGATTCTTAAATACATTAAGTTTAATAAAATATGGGAAAAGGGAAATATAATGTTGAATCTTCAGAAGAAGAAGGAAAAAATGATTATGAGAAGGATGATTTTGTTGTGGACTCATCCTAAATATCCTCAGATGAGGTATAAGAGGAGTAATATATAATTTAATAGTTTAAAGTTAGAACGATTCATTTAATGAAGAATTATCAGATGATGATAGGAGTTTGATTGAAGAAAATAAGATGGTGATAAATTAAAGGTGTCTATAGAAGATAGAAAAGGAATATGATAAAGTAGAATTAAAAGATACTCCAGTAGATCCATTTTCACAGGAGCAGTTTGATGAGAATGAGTAAAATGAGAAGTTAATAAATAAATTGTTTGATCCAAGTTAAAGAGAAGTGGCATTCTTGAATGAAAATGATGAAGAAATACTTAAATAGGATGTGCCTGAATCAATTTAAATTACTTATATGAAGATGACTAAGGGTTAGATAATGTAAAATGCAAGAGAAGAAACTTCTGAATAATAATTTAAATGGATTGGAGAATAAATGTTTACTCAGTTCGATTACAAAAATATAGTTGATATTTTGGTTGGAATAAAACTAATTTTGGAATTCTATAGATAAAAGAACTTAGATATAATGTATATTTATACTTACAAACGTCATCTCATAACTTCAAAATTGCAATTGGAACATTATTGGAAAATAAGGGAACTGGATTATGAATGGGAATACTTTAGTAATTTTAAGAATAGGATATAGAAGTTAATAGACTCTATTCCTGATGAATATTAAAAATAAATAGACACAGCCAATATGTATTTAGAGAAGTCTAAATAAATAGAGGATTTGTAGAATTTAAAGGATTACATAGATTATATAATTATGAAACATAATTGCAAGAGGATAGTATATTTGGAATAGGAATTATTGAAAGAGAATTAGGAGAAACAATTATTGGGTTAGAGAATGAAATAAGATTAAGCAATGGAATTAGAATAAGAATAGGTGAACTCTAAAATTGATAATATTCTTAAAGAATTAGAGAATCTTAATTTAAATAGTAAAAAGAATCCTCATACAATGGAGAAGGATATGTTAGAGTGTATTAGATAAAAAGTGGATTAGGTAGCATTGAAGTTTTGTTATATTTCAGATGAATTCTTCATCAAATTGTAAGGAAAGAGTGTATAAGTGGATAGAAAGTTCATAGAAGATTTGGAGGAATTATGGAATCATCAAATAGAGACTGCAGAGTTTTAATCATAAAATTCCATTTCTCAATATATCAAGTTATTATAAAGGTATTTGATGATGGACCTCTATCATCATCCCTTCATTAGAAATTTTATAAATTAACTATATAGAGATCATCTACTTATTTCAACAGAACCAACTTAATTAGGTAATCGAGAAATTACAGTTATCAATTACTTTTATCCAGTTAAGAGAATTAAACATAGATAATATATATATATGGAAGATCAAATTTGGATGTAATGTCTTAGAGCAGAATAATTGGGATACATTAAAATTAATTTTTCAATCTCAGAAGATAAAGTTCACTAAAAAGAAAAGATTCCAAGAGATGATATAATGGTTTTATTGTGTGATTAATTTGCCAATATACATGATTCCTAAAAAGAGCCAGAAAATATTATTAGAGTTAGAGATCTCATGCTTAGAGGTATTTTAAAAGAAATATTGTATCCTATTTTAGAAAGATAAATTAAATATAAATTGAAATCTCTTTCATCCAAACATATTGTGAGAATGTGTTAATAAAAATTCAAATAACTTATTAATAAACAACCTCATATGAGTTAAGTTGGAAATAATTAATAAATGTTATAAACTACTAATCCTGATGTCAAAATCATGTCTTTAATTATTGGATAAGAATAAACAGATAGCAATGTATTCAAAGCTGATTCTCAAGATTGTCCAATCTAAAAGAAATATATTGGAATGTCAATTATAGATTATAAAGGTGAATAATAGACTCTCCAAATCTTTAATTATTTGACATAAGATGAAAAGAGAACTGAAATGCTTGAATAAATCAGAAAAGAATAAGCTTTATTAGATAATTTCTTTGAAAAGTATAAACCAGATAATGTTGTCATCTCTGCTAATCACTCTGATTGTTTGAAATTAAGAAATAATTTACTTAAGAAATATTAATAGACATCTTCTGTTTGGATTACTTTGGCAGATTCATAAATCTCAAGAATTTATAGTATGAGTGAAAAGAGTAATTTATAATTACCAGACATACCTTAAATTTTGAAAGAGGCTATTTCTTTGGCCAGATATAAACTTAATCCAATGGCAGAAGTCTTAAATCTATGGAGTGATTCAATTGATAAAAATGGTTGTTTACATTTCAATTAACATCCTCTTTAATCTATGGTAAGTTAATAAGTTTTACTTGATGCTTTAAAACAAACTGCCACTGAGATTGTCAATTAAGTTGGAGTTGATTTAGTTGATTATACTCTATATAAACATTTGGCAGATTAAATGTAATTCATCAATGGTTTAGGAAGAAGATAAGCTAAACATTTATTAACAACGGTCAAAGGAAGGTAGAAATGATAGATAAAATACTATTGTTAGAGAATTGATGAAATAACCTTAAAAGATGGAAGATCTCTTGATAGAAGAATGGGCTAAATTAAAAGAACTGAAAGATGGAAGTGAAAATTTTACTTTAGTAGCTCAATTCATGAAAGAAGAATTGGAAAATCCTTTCTTTTATAAATTTGATACTTCAAATACGGAGATGAGTAATTCTGAGATATTCTATGCTATCACTTAAGAATCTCCATATACTTTCCGTAAAAACAGTATTGTTTAAGGATCAATTATTAAATAAATAGAAGGTAAAGAAAAGTGTGAGATTAGTGATAAATTACTAATAAAATTATCACATAATGGTTTATATGGTGCTCTACATTAAGAAGATATGTTAGATTAAGAATTTAGAATTGGGTAAATTATTAAAGTCTATGTGAAGAGGATACCAGCTACAGAAAATAATGATCCTAATTTGAATATCCTTTTTATAGAATTATCATAGAAGCTTGATTGGTATCGATGGGATTAAGAGTATCTAAAACCATCTGAATATGATCCATGGCCTTATTCCAATATATGTTATGGGGATTATTGTAATAAAGTTATGCAAACCTTTGATTTAAGTAAATTAAAAGAGTTTGATCAACCAATTATTCTATTGGAATTGCCTAACATATAACGAGAAAAATTGATTCTCAGAAATATTAACCATCCATAATTCTAATTAGTACTTCTTAAAGGAGCTCTTGAATATATTGAAAGCTAACCTGTTGGGGAATACATTATAAGACCTAATTTTAGACTTAAAGATCATTTAACAACCACATGGAAATTCCATGAAGGTATTATTGTTCATCTCAATGTTTAAGAATTAAAATCTGTCTAAAGTTATAAACCTCAACTTGTTTTGAAAGGCAAAGCTTACGAATCTTTGGATGAAATCTATGAAAACTATATTACTCCATGCAATCTACATATGGAAGCTGCAGTTAATAATGAGAAATTCTATAATTGTACAATGGAATAATTAGAAATAAGTTGAAAGAAGATATAGAAAAGAATGAAAAAATTATACCATATGGTTTTTGTGTCACTGACAAGTTTCCACAATATATTGTGTTAATGTATATGAAATAGAAGAATAAAGTAGAAAAAGAGTTAATAAAAGTTAAACCTGAAGGTCTAAGTTTCCACTTTGTATTGCAAAATAATCTAAACGATATAACCATATGGTTAAAGAAAAACTTTAATACTCAAGAAAATAAGGATTATATCAAAAGAACTAAACAACCTATTCCTGAAACTGATGATAGATTAAATTAATTAAATTCATAATGGGAAGTTAAGAGGGAGAAAACTAAAGAAGAAAGAGTCAAACATGAAGAATCATCTTGTAAATATATAATTTATTATTATATAGATAATTTTACATGTTCCAAATGTAATAAAAGAGGTCATAATGCAAATGATTGTAGACAAATGAGAGATAGAGGAGGTAGAAATGGATGTTATAATTGTGATTAAAATGGTCATTTTAAAAAGAATTGTCCAAAATTAAATAACTATAGAAGCGAAAGAAGTAACAGCAGGGAAAGAGAGAAGATGTCTATTAAAAAGAACTAATTCTAAACTATAGGAGAAGATAATTAATAAATAGATTAGTGATTTAAAATTGTTATTATTATTATAAAATTACATAATTAATGATATTCATCTATTTTTTAATCTTTTTTATTCTTATTATTTTATTTCAAACCTTAATATATTATCTAACATATCATATTTAATGTTTTAATAAACTATTTCTAATAAATAGACATATTTAAAATATATATTTTATATGTGTTTGGTTATTTAATAGGAATTATATATATATATTTTATATGTTCATCAATATATATATTTAATAAAATAGAAAGAATATTAGAAATGGAAAATTTATTGGATTGTAATCTATTTTAACTAATTTATAGCTTAACATATTGAAGCAATGATTAATGCAAATATAAAAAATATTATGAAGGATAATTCATTAAATAAGGAAATATTCAATCTATTATCTGATTAATAATAAGAAATCAGCTAAACTATATTAGTTGATGACCCTGTGTATATAAATGGTCATTATTATTACCCAATAAAAACGGGCAATATAATAGTTAACAGAAGATATGGAGAATTTGTGTTATTAGCTGAGTATTTATTTAAGACATAACCTGAAATTCTATAAAAACCATTACCTTAAAAAGAATTTGGGGTTATTTATTTATTTAGCTTTATTTAAGAAAATACGTAATTATTGAAATTAAGAAAGTAAAAATTTTAAATCTATATCAATGATATCAAGAAATAATTACCTAATAATTAGATTGTTATAAAATTTTTAGAAAACCCATAATCATTTTATGAATAAATTGTCAATATAGATTATTCATTAATATAACAATAGCGTTATATTGAGAAAATAAAGAACTTTTATGAAACAAAATGGTTAAAAAGTAATAATGAATCAGGAGAATTAAATACTAAAAAAGAGTTATTATAAACAAAAATAATTCATTTAGATTAAATGTATAATTAATATATATTTATATAGATAAACTCATTTAGTAATTTTGTATTTAAATTTGTAATATAAAACAAAGAGTTCTGAAATCTATATCTAATAGAATGAAATCTAAGAGCTTGTTAATAAAATTATCAAAAATTAAGAACTATATTAAGATGATTTGAGTGGAAATAAATTGGAAAGATTAACAAAAAAGATTGGAGAAGTTATAGAATTGTATTAGAATGTCAGAACAAATAAAAATCAATTTGATTCATTTGAGAAACTATTAGATGATTGCTTGAAATTAGTAATATTCACACTTAAAGAATTATAAAAATGAGTATTATAATTAATAAATTATGAGACCTTAAACAGCCAAACCAAAATTAGCAACAAACGAATATACAAAAGAAATTGAATTCTTAAAACAATAAAAATTAATAGCATATGGTGGTGATCCATCTAATTTGCCTTAAATATTTTAAAAAAATCCAGCATTTCTAGTTTTAGATGAATTATAAGCAGAACTTTTTAATGCAAGATGTCATGATACAGGTGAAACTGTATCAATTGAAAGAGTATATTATATATAATATATATAGGCAAAAATCTTTAAAGAGGAGTTCAATAAAATCAATTCAAAAAAATTTCCTGATGTATTGAATTTATATTCAATGAGATTAGGAGTTACAACTTTAATTGCCTTAGCAAATTAAAAACCTATCTAAACAACAATCAATCTAGCAGATAATACATTAGGAGATTATGCAGTTCATGCCATAAAAACATTATTAGCTAACTCCCAAATAAAAAATCTCAATTTAGCTTCTAATATGATAAGTCATATAGGATTGGGATAGATTATAGATGATCTCTGCAAGAATCAAACATTAAAATCTTTAGATTTGGGAGTTTTGGATGGTAGTATTAGAAAGAATGCTCTTGGTTTTGAAGGAGCAAAACATATAGCTTAGTTATTATTGTCAAATAAAAAGATTGAAACATTAAAACTATAAGATAATGTGATAACTACTGCAGGAGGAGAATTTATTGGTTAAGCATTGAAAACCAATTAGAATATTAAACATTTAAAGATAGCAGAAAATGATTTGAAAATAGCAGGAATAGAAACTATTTTATTAAATGGTTAAAATTTAGAATCTTTAGATTTGTCTAAGAATAATATAAGACCAACAATTAAATTTTAGGAGTATTTGATGAATAATAGAACATTAAAGAGATTAAATTTAGAATTTAATGATTTAGGTCCAAAAGGAGTAGAATATTTAGCAAATGGAATAATTTAACAGTAATCTGGATTAATTTCATTAAATTTAAAAGGAAATTAAATTAGAGATGAAGGAATATAAGTTTTATCAGCTGCAATATATGAAAGTGAATCTTTATAAGAATTAGATATATCTTTGAATGATATTACACCTGATGGAATAAGATATTTAGCTGATGTATTACCAAATAGTCAGATTAAAATCTTAAATTTATCAAAGAATTTATTGGGTGATGAATCAATGATTATGTTATGTAATAATAGGATAATGGAGAAATTAGATGTATCATCAAGTAGAGTTGCAGATTAAGGGGTATATAATGCATATATATAAATTAGTTTATGACATTTTTAACATTCATTGGAGAATCAACAAATTTCACTCATTTAAAGGCTAATGATAATTATATAAGTGAGAAAGTTGAGAAGTTGATTTTGGAGATTATAGAGAAGAATTAAGTTATAATAGATTTATAAGTAACAGGTAATAGATTATCATTGTGTTGTTTAAATAGAATTCAGAAAATATTATTGAGGAATTAAAAGATATTAGAAGAAAAAGAACCAAGTAAGATTAGAACGGAAATATATAGATTGAAATATGAATAGAAGAAGATATAAATAGCAAAAGATAAGTTGTCATAATAAGAGAAGGAAATACTATAAATTGAAGATAAGAAATCATAAGTTATAGTGGAAATGGAAAGAATTAAATAATAAGAATAAAGTAAAAGAGCTGGATTGTAAGAGAGAATTACTGATTTATTAAATTAAATAGAGAAGAAGAAGAAGATAATAGAAGATAAATAGGCTGACTTTGAAAGATCAAAATAATTAAAATAACAAGAATTAGATGCTTAGAGAAATGATTATTAAGTTGTATATTAGAAAAGAAAGGAATTAGAATAAGAGTTTGAAAGATTATAAAAGGAACTAGATGCTTAAGAATAGAAATTTAAAGATGAATAATTTAAATTGGAAGATGCAATAGCAGATAAGAAAGCAAAAGGAGAGGATATTGAGAAATAGACTGCATAATTAAGAGAAGAGTTGATGAAACTTTAGAAATAATAATTTGAATAAAATAATTAGGCTGAGAAAGAGTAATAGATACAACAATAACAATAAGTGATTAATGAAAAAGAAGAGAAGGCTGAGAATGATAAGTAACCTGAATAAGTTAATAAAAATGATGAAAAATTAAAACCCAAAAAAGCCACTAAGAAGGGGAAGAAGAAGAAATGAATAAATACTTATATTTTATAATTTATGCAAAACTCTTAACTAAGTAATGTTTAACTTAGGTTTAATTCATTTGTAATGAGATAGCCATTAGATTACAGTCGTCTATGGTTGCAGAAAAAAAAGAAGAAAAAATTGAAATCTCATATAGCCTTTGGTTCATCTTAGGACAAACTTAAAGCCAAATAATTACCTACATTACCTGATTATGATATCAATTACACTTCAGTTGAACCAAATTCAAGAAAAGCAATAATAGCTAAATCAGACAAGACCAAAAGATCTTTAACAGAAATATCCAGATCATACATTACACCTTCAAGAATGAAATTACCAGAATTAGTATAGTAATAGAATTAATGCTTTGTGTTAAAGCCTTCTATCATTCAAATTAAAGAATATACTCCAAAAATGTATGAAATTTTACCTTATACAACCAATGAATTAAAGGAATGTTTCAATAATCTCTTGTAATATATATAAAATTGATCTATTAGATCTAAACACAAAGTAAAAAAACCAGATTACAATTTCATAATATGACTAATTTGTTATTTATATTAATCAAGCACTTCTAGTAGTGCAAGCTTCAATTTTTTGTCCTTTATAATTTTCACAAGCCCATGATACTAAATCTTCCAAAATAAGATCTTCATCAGTTACATTATGTCTCTTGTTTGTTGTAATCCAAGGAACATATTGATGTGCTGGTGAAAGACCGTCTGTTTCTTCAGCTGCTGCTAAATGTAATTTATAACCTTAATCACCCTTAATTTTTTAATAAATAATACATTAGCACATTCTTTGACAGCAGTTCCTGAAATACCAAAATCAGCTGCACATAGACTAGCAGCTTCATCAAATCGAGTATTTGTATAAGGTTTGAATATTCTTCTGTCAATACAAATAGCCCATTAAACTTGTAGGATTTCATTGTTAGTAGGATATTTAGATGCCAATATGTTCTATCCACATAATTATACATAATTTCCATAACATTCCACAGCTCCATGTTGACATGTGAATTGCCATTTTCCTGTAACTTAATTAAATACTCTTTTAACATTTCCATATGGAATTACTCTAATATGAACCATTTCTTCAATATCTGGAGTATCAATTGCTTCAGTCAAAGAATTCAATAGAAATTCCATACAATCAGGACATAATGATTCTGTATATACATCTACTGATAATCTGCTTTAACATAGTGTTATTGTAAAAAGTAGGGCTATTTGTAGAAATTTCATTATTATAATAATGACGCAATTGTGAGTTTCATACTTTGATAATTATTTGTTCGTTAAATAAAAATGCAATCAATATTAAGTTAATGTGCTGCTCTTGATGAGGAATTTGTAATTTTGGTTCCAATAATAGAAACTATGGTTTAGGAATTGTCTGTGGTAAGTAAAGAATTCGTTAGTTCTAAATTGGAATTTCTTAAAAAATACTCAATTTCTCTTAAATCAAGTTAGATTGATGCTCGAATTCATCGAAACCAGCAAACTCGCAATCTCATTGAATATATAAAAATGCATAGACAATCAAAAACTAAATCAGTAAGTTAAATTTGTACAAATAAACAAAAATAGAAATTTACTACTGATTCTGGATGTTATTCTTTACAAAATTGCTATTCAACATCTTGTTCAACTATATAAACAACAGAATTTAATACAGTCTCATATCAAAAGAATAATAAAAATATAACAATAAAGACACTTAAGCAACTTATTACAAAATAAAAAAAACATTAATAAAAGACAAATGAATAACTTTTTAGATTAATTAATAAATGTATGAATTTAATATAGGAAAATTCACATCTTTATCCCCAATACCCAAGCTTATTAGAAGAGTATAAGAATATACGAAAAAATAATTCAAGTTTAGAAAAAAAGTTGAATTTAGAGAAAAAATCCTAGTAAGTTAAAGAAAATTTCAAGAAGTTAATATAAAGCTAAGAATCATTCAAATCTTACTTAAATTCAGTAATTTGATTATTTTTAATATTAATTCAAATTTCAGAACCTGAAGAATCAGAATTCTCTGAATTACTAGATTTCTTCTTTTTCTTTTTATTAATCTTTTCCATTTCTTTTTCTTTTGCATTCATTATCATTAATTATTACACTGCATCAGCTAATTACCCTGTTTTCTTTAAAGACCTATTTACTCCTTTATTTAATTATAATTTAAATAAAGCAACAAGATCCTCATCTAGTAGTTTTACTAATTTAGGTGTTATTTCATCTTCCTAATCTTATAATTATTAAAATGCTTTCTAAGCTTCTAATGCTTTATCTAAATCTGATTATTCAGGTTTCAATATTGAACAATATTCATTTTCACTTGCTTTCATATGCAAACCTAATTTAGGTTTAGGTAAATAATCAAATAATTTTATTTGATCTGAGTTCAACAATATCAATTTTAATTTATCTATTTCCTATAATTTCTTTATTATATAAGTTATATCTAAAGTATGTGTGATCTTTCCCATTGAAAAATTTATAAGATCTCTTTTCCCTCCTTTTCTACATTAGCAACATCCAAAATAATCAAAGAATTAAAGTTCAAGACGACTTTCTTGTTCTTTAAAAAATTAAGTTATATCACTAGAAATCTGATCTAACAACTTTGATTTTTATTATACATCATGTTCAGCTACTTTTGACATTCTATTAAATTTCTCTAATTAAACTGATTTATTTAAAATTTCTCTCACTTTTGCTTTACCTTTATTCTCAGGATGTACTTTATTATCATAATCCATTTCAAAATTGAATAATTCATTTAACAAGGATACTCTATATGATAAATTATTGAAAGGCATAATGAATAATAAACTACACAAATAAATAATTTCCCAAAAACCTCCAATATCTCCTAAATATTAATATACTCTAGGATACGACCTCTATGTTACTTAAGTTTTTTGATCTAAAGATATATTTATTTGAAATATTTATTAATCTGAACCTTTATCTTGAATTGTTTCATAATAATTAGAAATGGACAACACTGTTTATTCATATTAATCTTATACAATATAGCCATTATCAGTTTAAGTTAATTAAGGCTATAATATAATATTGAGTTTCTTAGTATAGTTTAACATTGTAGTAATTGCAAAGGACTTTCCAATTAAAGTAACAGGCTTTTTGAAATTTGAAATGTCTGTGTTGGCTGATGTCATTTTTAGCAAAAACTAATCACTATCTTGGAAATTAGGTATAATGCATTAGGTGCTTCTGATAAATTTTATAATTTACTCAGATGTGCACTATTTAACTTTGATTTATAATGATTTATCTTTGGAGGATTCTAAACCTCCTTCTAAAACAATTGAATTTAGAGACTTCCAATCTATGCAATACCAAATCTAATCACTCTTATCAAAATAAGCATTTAGGGTTGGATCATCAAATTCGAAATCGATACATTTAGACAGAGGGATTTCTTGAATAGTAAACCTATTATAAAATCAAATAATATTATTACCCATCTATTTAACCTATTGATCCCTCTATGATGTATGAAGCCATAAGGTCATTGCCTTTTTGAGCTATAGCTATGCTAAAATTTTAAGGAGCCAAATAAAATGGTTTCTGATCTTCAGAATAGGTTGTATAACTAATTGCGCTAGGGTTATTTCTTACAATAAGTGATACAAGACCACTATAATAAACCAAAACTACTAAACTCACTAATATTGATGTAAGAAAAACTCCTAAATAAGTTCTATGACCTTATTCTTTTAACAATAATAAACTGACTGGTCTAGTGTAAACATTAAACTTTTTGATAGCATCACTTATAGATTGAAAATTTGGCATTCAAATGAGTTTAAAATAAATTAATATCAAATGTAGTAACTTAGCAAACTTAGATTTTATTGAATTAATTTCTAAAATTATCTAATAATTAACAGGGTAAATTATAATACCAAAATTATTATTTCTAAAATATTAAAATTAAAAATTGTAATATTCTAAGAGCTCTTAGAGATTATAGTATATTTACAAACATATAAGGTATATTTTCTTTTAAAAGATAAAGAAAATAGTTTATTATATAAAAGTAAGAAATAATGAGCGATAACATATAATAACTTAATCAGAACTGAAGTATAACTGTTATAGAGAGAATTAAAGAAATACTACTTGATAAATCTATTACTAATGTACTATGAATAGAGAAAAACTCATTTCTTCTTTTATTCGATCTTTTTAATATAAAATTCTAGTTCCTTTCCTTCAAGAATATAACCATCGGCTCTACCAGATTGTCCTGGTCTTGATGTAACTCTGACTAGAAGTCTTTGATTTTAGAATTATTCAGCAACTAAATTATCAATAACTCTATCTTTCAATCTGGCTTCTAGTTTCTTTTTTAATGAATTTGATTTCTTAACTTCTTAAGTTGCTGGTTAATCCTAAAGGTAATTTTATAAAATATACCTTCTTTTAAGTCTTTTTAGCTCCCAAATCAATATTGTATTTCTTTAAATAAAATTATTTGAATGGTGTAGCATCAACTTATACAATAGCACCTTTAGTGAGTGTTTTAGTTCTGACTAATTCATTATTTGATGGATGATAAACAACTTCGACAATCTTTCCTTTTTTTGCAACACCTTCACTACCCCAAGAGAAGTTTCCATCTGATAAACGAAGAGCTCTGAATTTAAAGTTTCCTCCTCTAACTCTCAATCTTCTAACTCTCTTTTCACCAGATACTAATTTAGTCATAGCAGCTTGTCTTCCTTTCTCGAAAGCTCTCTTCTTTTTATGAATTGGCATACGACCACCTGTAAGTCTTCTTTTGTGTCTGCTATCTCTTGAAATACCCATGAATAATAAAAAAAGATTTTATTTAATTTCAAATAACCACACATATACGCTTATTTAATATAATTATTATGAAACAGAATATGGCACACACTTATTAAATAATGGATCGAATAGGTTTCATCAATCCACTCATTAAAAAACTAATTATTAGACCCAAACAAAGTTCTTAATATTTAGAAACATCTTTAAACTGAAATTATTAGCCAATGTAGAGATTCATTTCATAAATAATAAAGATATGATAAAATTGAAAGATGAGAATAAAGAATTAGAATATCAATTAAAGAATGTAGTTAGAGAGAAGGATAATATAATCATCTCAAACAATTGACATATATGTTAAGAAGATAGAGTATTTCAAGAGATTTTGAGATTTCAGAAATCTCAAAACTAAATGCTTTGCTATTTAAAAGAAGCAAGAGAAGTTATGTATAATATAAGACAACATAAGAATGAAATTGAGATAAAGAAAAATTAAATTAACTTCTATTTTTCATAAATTAGCTTTTTAATGATAGGCAGTAATTTGTAAAAGACAATCTAAATTATTAATACTCTGACAATAATTATATATTGAAGTTGAAAATATTCAATTCCTAAAAAATAGAATTACTTAATAAGATAATAAGATATTTAATGTTTAATAATAAAAATAATATCAATTAAAAGAAAAAGAATAATAACTTTAAATAATGTTCATCTTGTTTAAAATAGAAGAAAAGTATATATAAAAAGATGAAATTGATTAAGAATTATTAATTTTGGAAATGTATGAAGATAAATGGAAGGAGAGAGTTGAGGAAAAAATTACAAAAATTAAAGAAGTATAATAAAAACTTAAAATAATGAAATGACAATTTACTAAATTATTATTTTGGATAATTAACTTCAAATTTTATATATATTATTTTTTATTATCATTTTTGTTTTCAAATTAATAATAATACTTATTAAATTTTACAATCCTTCTAAAAATTGTCTTTTTTCTTAATCCTCTTTTTTTTTTGCCAAATTCACCAAAAATACACTTGAAAATTATTTTCAGGAAAAAGGAGAATTAAAAGACCTTCCACTTTTCCAAAAAAATCATTAATTAAATGAAATATATTCCTTTAACTTAGCATTTTCAAACAGTTGCAATGCTTTATGAAAAATGTGCTGATCTCTCTTCATAAATAGATTCACTTCAATCTCAAATTTCAAACAATGAAGGATAAAATCGATAAATGGAAAATGAAGAAATTGATAGATTACCTTAAATTAACTAAGATCCACTTTCTAAGGCACCAGAAAAGACAAATACTCAATCATAAATAGAAAAAAGAGTATAACAAATTGATGAAATTGAAGAAGAAAAATAAAATTAAGAAAAAACTGTTTTGAAAATTGGAAAATCCATCGAAAAATCAAATAAAATGAAAGTATCCTTAACTTGTGATCATTGTGACAAAATATTCGAAACAGAAAAACAGTATAAAAAACATAGATATCGTATCAATTATAAAGGACCTAAAGATAAATCAAAAAGTAAATCATAAAAAGATCACAAAAATAAAAAAGAGAATAAAGAAAAAAAGGACAAAAGAGAATCCTCAAGCAAAAAGTCATTTGAAACATTCCAAATATGCCTTTGATTTTTAAATATCAAATCAAAATATATATAAAATTATGATTTTTTGGAAATCAAAAAAAAAAAGGTTTTCCCTTTTCTTTCTTTTGATGTCCTTTGCATTTTCTAAGAATTATTTGAATATATTTTTAATAAAATGTCTGAAATTTAATAACAAATACCACATAGTTCTAAATTAGATTAAGAATCAGCTACTAATGCTAAAAATCACTTGTTATTAGTTAATGTAATTAATCTTGTGTAACTAAAAGAATGTTACAGAGTTATCTAATGAATTACTGTAAAGCTACAAACAATAAATTGATCAATTAAAATAAGAGTTACATCTAATGAAGTAAAGGATAACAAATAATAATGAAGAAATTAAGAATACTACTTAACCAACTCTAGATGCAATGCTAAGAGATTTAAGATAAGTAATTTATATATTTAATTAGGCAATTAATACTTAAAAAGATGAGAATTCTAAATTGTAAAGCTAAATCACAGAATTAAAAAAAGAAAAGAGTCAAATCTAATAATTGATAATAGCTGCAACATAAAAATTAGCAGAACTTGAAAATTAAGTTGGAAATTATACATCTGCTTGATTTTTATTATTAAACATAAATTATTAATCTTTGAAATCAAGATTCATATTTATATCAATATAATTAATAAATATTATACATCAAATTTTTAATAGCCATTTCTTATATAAAGATTATCATATAAGTTAAAATTGGAAATCAGAATATAATATATAACCTAACTCTCAATTTTGACCCTCTAAAAGTTTATTGATTAAAAAAACCCATCTTAAACTTTAATTAAGTAAGTTACTAATAAATAAAACTGCATCTAAAATTTGTTAAATTTATTATTTAATTTAGTATAAATTTTAGTAATTTTGCGATAAACTTCACTAAAAATAATCAAAATAACTAAGTTAAATTCATAATCCAAATAAGCTTTAGCTAAAAATGACTTATATTAAGTATTTAATTCCATAACATCATTATTATTTAACTATTTACTATCTACAACTCTAATTATTAATTTCCATAAACATAATAATAATGGAACATGATTTTGTGCTTTTAAAAAAATGATTACTAATTTTATAACTCATTTAAATTCTGAAAATATTAAATTTAATAAAAATATTAAAAAATTAATAAAGTAAATATGTAAGTCAATATTAAATAGATTTTTGAATGAGAAAATAGTGTTTTTAAAGCATCTTTTGTTGTAACTAAAAGAGTTTTAAGAATGAGAGAGAAAAGAAAATATTTATTGAAATAAAATTTAATATTTATTAAATTAATAGTTATTCTTAAAATTTTTATTTTTTAGATTGAAGAATACTAGCAAATTCAATTTCAGGATTTACTACTTAATTCAATTAGATTTTCTGTTTATAATTAAAAATTTCAACACAAACTTTAAAATAAAATCGTTTAAAAAACCACATATATATATATTAGATTATTGTAAAATATTAAAAAAAATAGATTTTAATTTTTCTCTCAATAGGTATATCATTTAACTAATAATAGAATAATCGAATTAAATTAAATAAAAATATAATCGTAATGTCAATAATATATTGATCTTTGTATTCCCTTAGTAGTGGATTACATATAATTTTTTATCTTTGCTTTTGATTTGTCTTGTTCTTTACCTTACCATTAAACAATTAAAGGGTATTGTCCAGGTCCAGGTAATAAAGATTATTTTGATTTACTCTTTTTTGGATCTTTAAATCTCTCATCAGTTCCAAAAGTCTAAATGAATAATTAAGGAAATACATGTTTATCTACTCTTTCTTTTTTTTTGGTATTTACTTATAATTTATTAAATGTTGTAAATGAAAGAGGTTCAGGATTATAAGAGCCTACATCAGGTAATGCTGATTTTCCTCTTTTTTTGGCCTACTCTTAATGTTTAGTTATAAAATCAGAAGGTTTGGTTTCATTTTTCTTCAATTTTTTGGATATTGGCTTATATAAAATAGAGATAATACTCTTGGATTATAATTACCAGGACCTGGATTAATTACTGCTAAATGTTATATTTCATTTAAGTAAGTTGGTCTATCAGAGGCTCTAATAATGATTATAGATTGAGAATACTCAATTTTTTTCTTTTTTTATTCTTCTACTTATTTCAATACTTCATCTAATGGTTTTTCTATATTATATTTTCCAGAACCTGGAACACCTCTTAATTTTGCTTCCTTAAATATTTAGTCAATGAAAGTTGTTCTAATTATTACCAGATAAAACTACCTTTTAGGTGGAGCTGACCTTGATCGTGTGCTTTAAGCCTAAATCACCCAAGGCTTAACGATATCATACTTATTGGGTGCAGGCAGTTTTTCATAAATTTTCTTTTGATCTTCTAAATAATGTCCTCTTTTAGTCACATAACCTAAATTTTTTTAACCTTGTAATGAAATTTGCAGTAAATACCTTTTTTTTATGCTGAAAATTTTCTTTCCTCCATTTATTTAAGTGGATCGGCATATTTTTTTGGAACTTCATATCCTTCTATACCAAAAGCAGATGTTTATTTTGTAGCTATTTTAAACATATCTTCCATTGAAAATTCTAAAGAATATAATAAGTTATCTTTACCTAAATTTGGGGCAGCTGATTAAACTCTTCTCATATTTGATCTATTTAATTATTGTTAAAAATACTGAAATAATACAAATATTAAATATTAATTTCTCTTGATATTTAATCATAAAAAGAAAGAAATATAGATATGAATTAAAACAAATATTTTATAACTAATTATATCATAAATGATTTAGGAATTCTTATTTCTATAAATTTAATTATTTTTATTTAATAAAATATTAATTATAACATTTGATATAGGTTTTATTTAAAGAGATGAACATTTTGTAAATATTGATAACAAATATGAGATATATAGATTTTGAAATATAATTAGAAAAATGAAAAAATATATATATAATTCATTAAGATTTATAAATTTAATGTTATTTTAATATTTAGAAATGCTTTAAACTAAATGATATAATTTATTATTAATTTTTATCATGTAACATGATTCAGCAACCTTAAAATTGATAAAACAAGACTCTAACTAATAATTTGAAGAGAAAATAAATAATTTTAAAGAATAGATCAATAAGTAATTTAAGTATTCTTGTCTTTTTTGCTTTATAATACTTGTAATATTTCTTGGAAACTTTAATGATTTAGAGTCAAATAACCTTAAATTACATTTTTACTACAATGTATGGATAATTTCATTATTCATTTTCCACTTACTAAATGCTATTTAAATCAACTAATAAATTCGCCTTATGAATGAAAACCATATAATAATTGCACTTTGGAAAAATGTAATTTAAAAATAAGAAAATGATATAGAACTATAAGATTTGACAGGAATTGAGAATTAGACATAAGTTAATGAAATAACTCATATAAATGAAGGAATTTTATTTCCAGAAATATTTACTAAGTTAGATTTCAGTCAATAAATTTTCCAAAAAATTGAACATTTATTAGACTTTATTCTTTTATTTTCTGCAATTTTGATATTGATAATAAATTGTTAATAAAATTATTTTTAGATTGACGAATTAATAATAATGATTGGATTTGTTGGGTTTTCAATCAAAAGAAATATTTAGTATATAATAAAATATTCATACATATTTATCACACCATTTTTATTTCCGTTTATCTTAATACTAATATCAATAGGAAAATTATCTAAAAGATTTAGAAGACATAATCTCTAAAAGCGATTATAAAAGAAATAAATGATTTCTGATTAAATTTATGAAAAATGCTAATTATGTTAACATCCAATTTAGATCAAAGAATTCATGATTTAGTTAGAATGTAAAACTAACCATGTATTTCATTATGAGTGCATAATAAATCATTTATAGCATTCTTTTATCTGTCCTGTATGCAGCATGTTAATAAAATGATATCCATATATTTATATTAAATCAATTGATTAATTATTAAATAGATGAATTAAGACCATCTTTAATTTGATTTCTAGTTGAAAGCCTTATTTATGTTTAATCCTTTAGCCGTTCCTACAGTTCCAAAACCATCTGAATAAGTAATCTGATTAAAAATAAATCAAGGATCAATAAGATGCAAAATTAATTTACTATTTCCCTTAGAATGCTAATATAGAAGAAAAAAGAATATAGACAGGTATGGCTGAAGGAATATTTATCTTTTTCAAATAGTTTAATCCAAATGAATAGATGATGCAAAAGTAATGGTAATAAGATGATAAAGAGAATGAATTAAAGTTTTAGACAATTCATTTGGAATCATAAACACATATCATATGTTAAATTAGAGAAGATCTCTTTCTTTTTATGACAATAGCTCATTAAAAAATACCTAAAGTTAAAGTTATAGTGGAAGATTACTTTTTTAGCGAATGCAATAAATTTCATTATAGTTTATCAAAAAACTTATATACAAATGTTGCTGAGAATTTTATAAATAATTTTTCTTTGTTTTATGGATTTGATATTTCATAATTAGATTAGTATACATGGAGATGGATTTAATGTAATGCAAGGACAAGTTCTTAATTAAATTTATTTTATTTTTAAACTTAATCCTTTAAATATGCCTTTGATGCAAGTATATTTTTATTACTTCAATTTCTATTATCAATGATAAGATAAATTGAATCATAAATAACTGATTTTTTAGTATTTTATAATGGATATTTTGTATATTCAACTTTACCTCATAAGATGGCATTATTAATAAAAGAACATTATTATGGTAATGGATTATCTTGGTCAACAACAGAATAAAAAGTTGCTTAAAAATAATTTTTATCATATGAATAATCTTAATTGGCATATCTAAATTTTAATAATCTTAAAAATTTACCTAAAGATTCATCTTTTAGTCCATAAATAATATATTTAAATTAATAGAAAAAATATTTTTTTACATTTTTAGAAAAATAATTTTTTGTTATATTAATTTCTGATATAACAAAAGATCTATCAAATATGACAACAGTTACAACAGCATTATTAAAAAATGTTGATAAAATATCAAGTAAATTAGAATCTTATATTGAAACAAACTAAAAATAAGATAGTATTAGATATATATATTTTAATGGTATAAATTTGGCATCAAAAATTTCAAGTTAATTAAATATATAAAAATTATCTTAAGAAAATTTAAGAATTTTGTAATAAGTTTATGAAAAATTAAATCATTGTAATCAATATGTAATTAGAAAGTATTATTTAAATTGTTTAACAATAGTGCTGGTATGTGGTTTTTTGGTATAAAAGTAGTAGATAAAAGAGTTATATATTTGCAATCTGCAACAATAAGTTTAAGTAAAATAGAAGAAGAAATCAATAAATTTGTAGAATAACTCTTTCCTAATTTCCTATTGTGAAATATATTAAAAATATATATATATTAAATTGTAATATTACCTATAAGTCTAAAATATATTATATAATATTATTTTCAATAATATTCATTGTATTATATTATATATTATTTTATTAGAAAATTCTTAATTAAATTTTACAGTTCCATTAAAAGAACCATACTCATTTTAATTAATATTATTTTTATTGATGACAGTTTATAAATCATACAAAACGTAATGGTAACATGTTTTCAAACATAACACAAATAGGTAAAGATTTATTATTACTGAATATTAATTAAGATTACCAAAAGCTGTTTTTTTTATTTTATTTAATCAAATATATTTAGAAATTCAGAACTAAAAATATATATATGAATTCAAAGACCATGTGTTTATAAAAGAGTAGAGTAAATTCAGAACAATGGAAATTATTACAAAGAGATGTACTTTATGTTCTAAATTTATTTTAGCCATAATTACTTAAATTAGCATAACAATTAAATAGGAATAGAACTTAATCAAATATTACAACATCAAAACAGATTAAAATAGGTAATCAAACTATCTCAAGGATCAAATTGGACTCTATAAAAAATGATTAAAATGATGTTACCTAATATTAAAGTGAAGAACAAGCAAAATAAAAATAGACTATTACAAGTAGATCAGCTTAATTTACAAGAAAAATTAACTTGAATAATCATATTTAATTAAAGAAAGTACATCATGGAAACTATTTTTTTGATAAAATAAAAGAAATTTTAACAAGTGACCTTAAAGATAATTCACCTTTAAAAAAAATGAGTAGGGACGCTCTAAATTAAATACATATGATGATAACATATTAAGAATTTATCCCTGAAGTTTCTCTATTATATTAAGGGAAATCATAAAAATAGTTGAAAATTGCTTTTGATCTCGATGAGACTCTCATTCATACAGAATAAGTACAAAAAGATAAAGTTTATGATTTTTAAAATAATGAATTTGGAGTATATATTAGACCTTATTGTCATCATATTTTAAAAGAATTGAGTCAATATGCTGATTTATTTATTTATACATCTGCTAATTAAAAATATGCAAAAACAGTAAAAATAATATAATTGATTAATTTATAGATAATCAATCTCATTGATCCAGAAAATAAATACTTTAAAGGACATTATTACAGGAATAATTGTATTACTTTACAAAGTAGAATCTAAGTAAAACATTTAGGAATTCTATCAAATGATTATTCTAAAATTGTAATAATTGATAATAGTCCAATATTTTATATGTAATTTATTTAAGAATAAATAATTTAGGGGTTAACCATATAATGGAATACCAATAGCTCCTTTTATTGATGATATTAATGATAATGAATTAATGAAATTACTAAATTTTGTGACTGAAAAACTTTTGTAATCAGATGATGTTAGAATTACAATTAGAAGATTCTTCTAATATGATATGTTTCGATAATTTTCAGATGGAATCTAAGCATTCAACATCTTATATAATTGAAAAAAAATGAATTATAACCATTTGATATTAGAATTAATTCTCAATAAATTATTGTATATTAATTTTATAATATTTTATTAATATGAGATATTTATAATAGATATTGAATATCAAATATATATTAATATTTATTAGTATTTATATTATAAATATATAATTTAATTGTTTAGATTAATGGTTCATAGAACACAATATTAAATAATATATTTAACAGCTTTTTTAATTTTTGTTTTAATTAAATGCATTTCAATAATCACAATAGCAAGACATCTGATGCAGAAAGTGAGATCTAAAAATGGAAAGATAGAGCATTGAAATTAGAAAGTGGATTTAAAGTAAAAAATATATTTGATTTAGGAATTACAATAATTAATGGAGGAAACAGATGATATGAGGAATAATTTAGAGAAAAAGATAATGGAAAATTAATAGTTAGTGATTGAGAATAGTAGATTGAAAGAAAGATTGCAAAATATTGATGTTTCTGATAAAGTATTCTCGAATAAGTTATTTGATGATCATGATATAAAAGAAAAAGAATTCATAATTTAGAAATTAGAGTAGGAGATAATTGATAAAGATAATCAAATTTTAAAATTTAAAAGAGAAATAGAATCAATAAATGTATATGAAATTTAAATATTTAGAGAAGATCAAAGTTAAAGGAAGAGGAATTACATAGACAATATTAAGCTAAGTTAGAAGATTTATAAATATTATATAAGAATGATACAAGTGATAGCTAATAATAGAAATTTCTAATGACTAAGAAAATGTCTGAAATGGAATAAGTATTTGAAATTTTAATTTCTTTTTAGATTTTAAGTTTCAGGACAGAAGAAAATTAATTATTAATTAATGAATTAAATCTAAAAAATGAATAAATAGTTGAATTGAATAATCATAATAAATTGATTGTTGAACTAAAAAATAAAGAATTTAAAGATTCATAAATATAATATCAATTATAAACTTAACAGCATATAAAATAGATGGAAGAATCTATTATATAATATAAAAAAAGTTAAGATTCAAATTTAAGTGAAATTGAATAATTATTATAATTTAAGTAATAAATGACACTTAAAATAAATGATGTATAATATTTATATATATTCTTTTTAGCTTTCATCAACTAATTAACATTTATTAATTGAAAATGAGAGTTTGAAATCAACACTATTGTTATTTCAGAAATAGAAAGATTAAGATGATTATATGTATGAAGATTAAAAAAAGAAAGAATCATTACATATAAAGAGATACTATGAAACATTATTAGAATAAGTAGAAAAAGAAAATAGAAGTTTAAGATTACTATTAGAATAAAAAAGTAGAGAATTGGATGATTTATGGAATTAAAGTAAAAGATATTGATTTCATTTTTCAATTACATATAGAAATCAGAATTTTATCTAAGTTAGTTTATATCAGCTTTGAAATAGCTTTTCATAATTTTCAAACTAATTTTTTATAAATTATGCTTTAATATAACCTCGACCTTTTCCATCCTTTCTAATTGGCCTAATTATGTATAATGGTGGTAAAGATGGAACTGAACTATTATAAAATCTCTCATGTTTCAATCTTAATATTGAAGGGTCATTTTTTTATTAATTTTTATCTGTTATTTGCTGATTAAATAGTGGTTGAGCAGGTCTCTATATTTTCAGTCCTTATAAATCCAAAAACATAAGATCTTTTTGATATTTATTTTTTTCGGTTAAATCCATATCATAGATAGGATTCAATAATTTTGGAAACATTTATTGAATAAAAATATTAAATATTTTCTAGTATAACTAAATTACTGTATGAATTATTTAAACACTGCTGAAAATATAAAGTTTTAATTGATCATATATTCTGTTTATAATTAAATTATCTATTTAGCTCTTTTGATTAGAAAAAAAAAATTAAATTTGTTGATTATTATTATATCATTCTTCATTTATTTCAATATTCCTATTGCTAATTTCATTATATTATTATTACCATTTATAAGTTTAAATGAGGGGACAACTTATAATCTTGAATAAGTTATTGAAACTTTTAATAGACTATCAAACTTTATTGTTTACTTTAATTTATCTAAGTAGTTATACTTTTCAAGTTAGAATACTATGGTTATAATTATTTTGGTAAAATTAAACTGAAATCTATAAAGTTTTCCTTTTAACATATTACAATATTACACAGTATACAAAATAAATAAAATTAGTGTTATATATTTTGATAATTGAATTTTATTAAGAGCATTCTTAATTTATCATATTCTATCCTATTGTAAGATTTAAAAATTTACTTGTATTGATGAATGAATTTTGATAAGATTACTACTTTTATTCATTTTTAAATTATTTAACTATTATCATTAGATTTTATTTAAGTATCTTGTTATACTTATACTTCTCTATATGAGTGATTTCTTTGATTTAATTAGGAAGTATTAATGTGATGAAAATATTGAAGAAGATTTCACTCATCTTAAAGATCCTTATCTAAATATCAATTTAGTTGTATATCTTATTATAACTAAATTTTAGATGTCATTAAAGAATTTATATAGAAATTTAATTAATAATAAACAAGATTATTTAAAATTATGTCTTAAAGAAGATATCATTATTCTTATTTTGGATCAATCTATTTATTTTATAACCTTAATTATAATAGATAAATGTATCAGATAATTAAATTATATCTTCCTCTTATTTCTACTTTAGAACAAAGTAATTATTGTTAATAATTCATTTGACTTTTAATTGATTCATTCTTTTAAATATAGTCAATCATGTTTATTTTATTTATTAATATATTTTATATATTCAAAAACTAATAAAATTACAACATGAAACTTTCCTTTAATTAAATAATAAACATAATCTCTTGGTTAAATCCATGGCCTTTTTTGATTATATCATACCTGCTAAAAAAATTAAGAAGATAACTAGATTTCTAATGATCTTAAATAATAATTTATTAAATTACTAATTCGACTTAAGTTTAAGCAGTGTCAGATCTCAAACTATAATCTAATCTTGTTGAAAAACCAACTATTATTATTGTCAATAATCCCAATAGAAAATCAAAAAACATAGCTAAAGTTGAATATTCTTTTCTAAAATATCTTAAACCTATGTAACGTATTACTAAATCTATCATCCATAATCCCAATCTAAATGGGATCAGTATATATAAGAACCAAATGGCAATTAATTCTTCTTTCAAATCATGTAAAGTTTATCTTAAGTAAATTAGATGTTTTATACTCATCATTAGCAGTAGGTCCTGTAGTATTATCATATTCATTCTACACAGAATCATGTTTCATAACTAAAAGATTATATAACATTGAATCTAAACAAACTTATAACAAAAATAAAGTTAACAAAATTAAACTAACAAAGAATGACCAAGTTGGCACCCCTTCTACCATTTTTACAGCTGTATCTATTAAATAATGCTTTCTAAAATCATCTATTTAAATTATGAAAAAACACTTTCAAGATCTAAATTCAAATCTATTATTTATTTTATTATGTATCTCTTTGAAAAATCTCCATTCAATAAACTTGCTCTATTTATAAGTCTAAATCCTCTGACATTGAAAGGTAGAAGATCATAATAATTTTCTAAATGATCTAATCTACCTAATATCCCAGGTTCAACTGTTTTAAGTTAAATCTTTCCAGCCAGAATAGCTATTAAATTTTTAAAATCATCTTCCCTCTCATCATCAGGTACTCTATCTTGATCAAACTATTGCATCTCAATTTAACTCATATTTCAAAATTGTAATATAAATAAATTATTATATAAATCAATGTTTTAAATTGGATTCTGATTTTTTAATAAAAAATTAATGAATTTTATTATTAATACATTCTAAATTAATTCATGTTCAATTAAAGCATCATTCTTTAAAAAAGTTTGTCTATTAATAATATATTTATATATATTGTATATTTCACACTTATTAATTTATTACAAAGATATATCATTTCCAAATCTAAATAAATTAGAAAATAATAAGGTTTTAGTTTTTTGATAGTTTATTCAAGCATTATTCTATTTCAAAGTTAAGAAGAGTTTTATTTATAAGTATTGCACACAATTATTATTTTTTGTCAATTAAATGCAAGCTCTATCTAATGAAATCGATTTAAATTCACTCAATGAATTTGAATAAGCAAATAGATTAATAATTAGTACAATTACAGGAAAGCATTGGTAAAAAGCTTTAGCTTTAAAAGAAATTACTTTATAAGAATTGTAAAATATTAATTATGAATTTATTAATATTATTAAAAATTCGTAATTTAACAAGCAAAATAATTAATGATACATACATATTATACTTAAAGATTTAAGAGAGATATTAACAGATCCTGTATAAATGGAATAATCAATGCAAATTATTAGATCTCAATTTGATTTTGTAAATCTATTCTAAGGACAATATCTGATTTTATAAAAAAAGAATAAATTTATTACATTATAAAATTTTGGAGTGATTAATTTGTAATTAGAATTTAATATATATCAATTAATTTTCATTCTATTTTGGCAGATTAAATTCATTTACCTATTTAAAGAGCTCAATTTATAATATTATTATTAATATTTTAATATTTAAAATATCAATATATTTACAATAATATTAAATTTAATCAAGTTTTCCCAGTTTAATTTTATTAGATTATATAAAAATATGGAAAACAAACTTAAGTTTAACTTTTACAATAACCACTAGTAAATGGTGATACAGGAAATCTGTATTTGTTCATTCTATCTTCCATTTCACTTAATCTTTATGTAAATTACCAAAATTATTCTGATGTTTTTGAATTTGAATTCCATAATCTATTTTAATTAAAGATTTAAATACATATCCCCTAAAATTGAGGACCTTAAGAATAATTTTTAGAAATGTGTATTTCTAGTATTTGTATATCCCCATAAAAGGGCTTCAGCTCCTAAAAGTTGTCCATTAAAATCCTCTGCTAATTTTGGAACCCAGCTATAAACATCTTTCCAACTCTAATAAAAATCATCTGGATCTCCAAAAGAATCTCCAATACCAATATCCAATGATAATAAATCATAATCACTTAAAATAATTGGATTTGTTTTCAGTTTTATATCTTAAAGTTCATTTGATTAACCACACCATTATATAATATCCTCTTGATCTGCAGGAAGTTAATGTTATTTATTATACCAATAAATGATTTTCTTTTATGATTTAATTTAATTTTTCCAAATGTCTTTTTATCTTTTTCTATAGAGAAATAAATGTTTAATAAAATATGTTATTTATTAAAAAGTTAATTTATTAAATAATTTAAATACTCCAATATAATAAACTTAAAGATCAAAATAGTTTTTTATTCCATTTTAATCCATAAATTCTTTAATTGATGGTTTTTATTCAAAACATGATATACTAGCTTCATTACCACCAAAATGAATAAATTATACTTTAGCAAACATATCATTCAAATCTTGCATTACAGATTTTAAGACTTCATATGTAAAATCTAAAGTTGGATCTAATTATCCATATTATTATATATCAGAATCACATGCAATTATAATTTATGTTAATTCAAATGATCTTCCCCAAGAATAAATATGTGCAGGTGTGTCTATTTCAGGAATGATTTATACTCCTCTTATTGAAGCATATTCTATAATATCTTAAATATCTTCCTTTGTAAAATACCCATCTTTCCAAAATTTAGAATTATTTGTTATTTAACTATAATTAGTTAATAAAAGTGGAAAACTTTCATCATCTGTAATATGCCAATGTAAAACATTCAATTTATTAATAACTAAAGCATCAATAGTTCTCTTTATTAATTTTACAGGTAAAAAATTTCTGGCTGTGTCTATCATTACTCCTCTATGAATATACTAAGGTTCATCATTTATATAAATAGGTAACTAAAATAATAATTATGTAGTTTACATTCTCAATTTAATTATTTATGGTTAATTGATTTACAGTATCAAGAGCTCTTGCTAAACCCCAATGATTTGATGTCTTAATCCTTACATTTAAATTCTCATCTATATTTAATTCATAAGCTTCTTCTTTTGTTGTTTTAACCCAATATAATTGCTCATTGCTTTCTAAACTAATCTCAAATTTCAATGCTCCATCAACTTTTATATTTATATTCTAAATGGACTCTTCAAAATCACAATCCTCATCATATGTTATTAATTAATGATAATGAAGTAATAGTTATATAATGTGATTTGGAAATTCTTATTAAGAAAAAAATTTGATTTAGCAAATGTTTGAAATTCTTACTGTATAATAACCATATATTATTTAATTAGGCATAGGCATAATTGCATTCACAACAAGTAAAAGGAATTAAATATATATCATTAGTCAAATATTGTCAATATATTTAATAATAAATTTTCAAAATAAACATATAATAATTGATTTTGAAATATGTACTTTTTATTAATCTATGGAATTTATGTTTTTATTGTTAATGTCCATCAACTAATTTTAATAAATGAAACTTTAAAAAGTTGCCAACAAATCATAGTCTGATATTATTATTAAAGTCAGTATCTTATGTAATCTCCTTTAAAAATTGAAATAACTTCTATTTATATAAGCAATGCTTTAAAAACATCTTAAGGAATATTAAATAACCTTAAATAATTCAATAGTCTTTTATAATTAATTAATATTTCTTAATTTTTGTTTCTTATTTATATCACTCCTTTGTTTCTTTATTTTAGTTTGAAAATTGATATTAAAATCTAGCTTAAAATATATTAGGAATACAAATTCATATGAATATTTGTTTGCTGAGATATTAATTCAAAACTAATGATCTTATAAGAAACATTATTAACAGTCAGTTTAATAATTTAGGCTAATAAATTGTAATTAGAGTCAATAAAAACCAAATCTTTCAGACTTTTCTTCTAATGCATTCTTCATCTTCTCTTCAAAGTAAATATATCAATAAGGCATTTTGAGGAAAATCAAATACTCTTTTGTTTTTTATAATCAAACTTTAACAAATTATCCACAATTAATCATATTCACAAAGATATTTGGAAGCAAACTTTTTTTTCGATGGTGATACTCTTTATCCATCTCATTGTTAGTTGGTAACATAATTAAATGCATAAAATTTAATTTAAAAGATAATTAATAATTATAAAATAAATCTATTACCAAATAATTAATTAGTGGATGAGATTTTAAATAATATACTTACTTAAGTTATTATAATTTTATAGTTTATTATAGATATAAAAAGGAGAAATCTAAAAGTAGAATAATTTATTAGATTTATATATATTTTAATTTACAATTATTAGATTAGAACTCTTCACAAATATTGGATATTCAATAAGTAGATGTGAAAATAATTTATATCTGAAGAAAAATAAACTAAATTCTCATCGCTTTGATTTCCTATTTCTAGATTTTCTTTTATCTTTTTATATACTTTTTATTATTTATAAATATATAGCAAAAAAACAGCTTTTTTTCATTTTTTATATATATTGGATTAAATTTTATTTTTTAAGAAAATTTACTTCTTAATGATTTCCAAACGATTGAATTTAATGAATAAGCTACAAATGGGTTCAACCTTATGAATAAATTCTTTTTCTAACATTAATAGATACTCATTATCTACTTGTTTCTATAATCTAATGCATTTTTTTATGGTTAATTTTAAAGAGTCATTCCTGAATGAAATTTTAAATTAGAAATTAGAGCTGAATGCATAAATAATGAATTTCTTACTAATGTATTTGGTAATGTTCTTATTTAATATACTTTCTATATATTTTGACATATGTGTAAAATATTGTATTTTATATTTATTTAATAAGACTTATATGTTACTGTTATATATTGATATATGTTTAGAAATTGGAAGTTGATAAAAGTTTGAAGAAATAGGGAAATAAAAAAATACAATTAAATATATAAGTTTATTTGCTTTACTTTAAATATTTTCGATAATTTAAGTTACTTATATGCTATGGAGTAATTAAATTAATTATTTTGTAGTATAATTTGGAAATTTAAATTAAACAACAATAAATTTTATTTACTTTAATAATTATAACAAGATGTACTCATATGCTCCATTAGGTGTTTCTTATGCTTCACCCTTAGCAACATCAATAGCTAGACCAGTTCCAGGTAAGAATCCATATAAATAACCTTTAGTTGGATATGCAGCTCCAGTGTCTTATGCTGCCCCAGTGTCTTATGCTGCTCCAATTTCATATGCTGCTCCAGTTTCTTATGCAGCACCTCAATACTCACCAATCAGAGGAGAATCTAGAGTTGAATATGTCCCTTATCAAAAGCCAGTGGTTGAATTAGAAGAGGAAGTCAGAACAGTTTAAGTATAAAGATGGCATAAAACATTAGGTTCCAAGATAAAAGTGGGTTACCGATTATTACCCAGTAGAATATTAAAAGGAATATGTTCCATAAGTTTCTTATGAGAAATAAATTGATTATGTTCCTGTTGAAAAGAATGTCCCAAGAGTTGATTATTTAGAATATGAAAGAGAAGTATAAAATTTATTCAATATTTTATAAAGGTTAGAAGAGCTCCTCCTGCTCCAGTTTCTTATGCATCACCTCTTTCTTACAGCTATGTTGCTCCAGTAGCCCCAGTGAGAACAAGTGTAGTTGCACCAACATATAATTATGGTTATGGATATGCTCCAGCTTACAGTTATGCAGCTCCAACATTTGGTTATGGATCAGTTTACAGATATTGATTTTTACAATCATATAATCGATTAATGCAATTTTTAAATAAAAAATAACAATAAAATAAAAGAGTTAATTGCAAATTAATATTTAAAACGATTTTTAAATATTTTTATGTCATTATTTGTCAATAAATTACATTAATATATTATTAATTGGTTGATTCTATATATTATAAATATTGATTTTCACATTATAATTCATTATATTCATATATTTATTTATAAATCAATATATTATTAAATATCATATATTTAGGTTTATGTTAATTAAATAATATAAAAAATATTATAATAATAATAACAAATAATTTGTGTAATAATTAAATGAATGCTAATTCATTTCTAACTACAAAATGCACTAGTTTCAGTTTCACTTAATATAAGATAAGATCTCATTCAATTTAACACAAATCTTTTGATAATAATCACTCTCATCCAAGTTAAAAAGATCTGTTAGAGAAATAAAAATAATAACGTAGAAGTGTCCATGTAACATCATAATAGCAACAGAATGTTAACATTAATTAATTGTTTACAAAGCCAATAATTGAAGAATTAATGTGGAGATAATCAGAACTTTATATGAATTGTAACATAATATTATATAGTCTAGAATTCAAAATACAATTAAGTTATATTGTTGATAATGGGAATTTATAATAATTTGGAGCCATAATATGTATGACAGCTGATATACTTTTAAAAATCAAAGATTATAATAATGCTTGTTACTATTACAATTAATATGTATTGAACTTATATAATTTGAGAGAATTTTGAATACACTAACCAAGAATCATGCTGAAAAAGCAAAAGCATTAATTGGTTTAGCTAATTGTGCTTAAGAAATAAAAATGAATAGTGAAGCTTTAACATTATTAAAGAAAGCATTACAATATGCATGGCTTAGCAAAGAATATGAATTACAAATTTATGAAAAACTTGCCTTAAATTATTATTATTTAGGATAAAGTGAAGAATAATATTATTTTCATGAGAGAGGATTATTAGGTATTGTAGAATCTGATGAATCTCCTATTAAATAATTTAGTTGTGAATCATTGAAAGATTAATTGAAAAAGAATAATATAGAAGTTAAGACTCTATGTCCATAATTATTAAATTATATGAATCTACCTATATTAAGTAGAAATGAATTATTGAGTAGAAATCCAAATTCAATTAGAGGAATCTAAGTTAAGAAATAAGTTATATATACAGTTACAGAACAAATAGAAATAATATTATAGAAAAATGAAGAATTTTAATATTAGATAAATACTCCTAAATATTAAAAATTAATTAAATATCAAAATAATAAAAAAGGAGATGATTTTAGAGTTGTAAATTCATCCTAATCAACATATTCTAAAGAAAGAAGACAATATGATTTAAATAATACTACTATTTATAAATTACCTTATGAAGTTTAAGTAAGTAATCGTATTCGAAATCCATACATTCCAGAAGACATTAATGCTAAATTACATGAATAATTAAGAAATGCAAATAGAACTCAAAAATTTGGATTAAGAAACAAAGTTATACTCAATCATTAGAATAGAGAAGACATGCATTATAGGAAGAATGGAGCTTGTTTGTACAGATAATTATATGCTATATTTTCATATTATTCTCATTTATTTAATTGAATATATATTTTCCATAATGGGTATTTGTTTTCAAAAAGAAGATAATAAATAAGCCAATTAAATTGAAGATTCAAAAACTGGTTCTAGTACTACAATTCCAGGAGATGCAAAACAAATAAAACTAAATGATTAATTGAATCTAGTATGTTTGGAAGATTTTATATTTAACAAAGTAAATTAATAACTGATAATTAAAAAGGTTGTTGGAAGAGGATCATTTGGAAAGGTCATGTTGGTTTAACATAAAATGACAAAACAATATTATGCTATGAAAATATTAAGAAAGGATATTATTTAATAAAAAGGATAATAAATTCATACAATGAATGAACGATAAATTTTAGAAGTAGCTTAACATCCATTTATTGTTAAATTACATTTTGCATTTTAAACACCTGAAAAATTATATTTAGTTACAGATTTTCTTGCTGGAGGTAAATTACATATTTTATTAATAGGCGAATTATTCTATCATCTAAGAAAATCAAAAAAGTTTTCAGAAGAAAGAATGAAATTATATGCTGCTGAATTAATATTAGCACTTGATTATCTTCATTAAAAAGGCATTATATATAGAGATTTAAAACCAGAAAATATTTTAATTGGGGCTGATGGACATTTGAAATTGACAGATTTTGGTCTATCTAGAATCAATCTAAAGGAAGGTGAAAGAACTTATACATTTTGTGGTACTCCTGAATATTTAGCTCCTGAGATTTTACTAGGCTAAGGACATGATTAATTAGCAGATTGGTGGAGTCTTGGTGCACTTATGTATGAAATGATAAATGGTGCTCCTCCATTTTATTCCAATGATAAAGGTATTATGTTCAGAAATAGACTTGAGAAAAAAATTGAAATGAAATCATGGTTCTCTGAAGAAGTTTCTGATCTACTTACAGGACTATTGATAAATGATGCTACAAAAAGAATAAATATTCATTAAATAAAAGCTCATCCTTTCTTTAAATCATTATCTTGGGAAGATGTCTATGATAAAAAAATTAAACCATAATTTATACCTAAACTTAAAGATGAATTAGATTTATAAAACATTGATCCAGTATTTACAGAGGAAGAAATAACTGACACTCCTATTAATACATTAAAAGTAGGCACTTTTGATAAATTTACATATGCAAATTCTTAAATATTCAAATAATGATTGAATTTTGTTTATTAAATCTATATCGATTAATAATAACTTCAAGATGTTTCTTAGAATTCTTTCAAATTGTTGCCATTCTTTAATTACACTTAAATTTAAACATTTGAATTCATATTCTTTTTTGATAATTCCCTATAAGGATCATCATCTTTATCACTTTATTTTAATGATATAAAAGAGTTATAAATAACATATGCATATTAATATATTATTAATAAATTTAAACAATATTTTCTTTTTTTGAAAATTAAATTTTAAGTTGCAACCATTAAATGAATATTAAATATTTATTTCTATTTATTTTATCAACTTAATTGATTTAATTATAAATATATTTTTTCAATCTTCTTAATTATCTTAATGATTTTCAGTTTTTCTTATTTCAATTATTTTTATAACAATTTTTAAATCTTTCTTTTGCAAATTCAGAAATCAATTAAATTAATTATAATAAGTATTTTTATGTTGAAAATTTCACATATTATAGGTTCCGATTTAAAATATTAACATATTATATAAATTAAAATTTATGGGGTTGTGTTCATCTATGCATCATGAAACTGATTTATCAGCATCTTTGAGATTAAAAGCTATATAAATATTCTAAAAAATTGATAAAGAGAATAAAGGAGTAATTGACAAGAAAACCACACAATAATTTTGGTATATATTCACACATTTACACTTATAAGGTAATCTAACTTTGCTAAAATTAATACTGAAGCTCTATTTAAAGCAGTAGATTTTGATAATTCTGGTGATATCACTATTTAAGAGTGGTTGACATTTTGGAAAATTGTAAAGAAAACTGGTTATACTGAATAGGAAATTAATGAGGAGGTATACCAAAAGTTCTATAAATAGCTTGATGAATTAATGTAAGGGAAAGCTTGGGTTTAATTTAGAGTAGTAGATCAATTTATTTAAGTTGATAAAAATAGGAGAAGATCTCAAATCCCTTAAATAGTAATGTAGGAACAATTAATGACTTTAAGAAAAACTAAAACAGTCGAAATGAAATGATTATATATTCATATTTGTACTAAAACATATTTTTGATATCATCACTTTACTTTAAATAAATAATCTAATATATTAAATTACGTATTATCAAGAGATTATATATAAGTCTGAAATAATATCATTATTGTGATTATATAATAATATATAATTAATAATCATGATTAATTTTTAATTACACAAACTGACTTTAATTATAGTTATTAATATGATATAATATAATATAATATTTAGTGATTTAAACTAAGAAATAAAGCAATATATCATTAAATTTTAATATCTATTCGTAATTAATTATATACTCAAAATAAATATTAAAGTAAAATTTAAATTGTACTAAATCAAAAATATAAATTATTAAAACTTGATTAATATATGTTGATGATAAAAAGTTTAATATAATTAACTTGATTAGAAGTATAAAGAAATAATTAAATAATTCATTCAAATAAGAATTTCAAATGAAACTTTTTATCTTTAATCTTTCTTTGTTTTGAATCTTAATGCACTTTAATTAAATGCTGAATATAGGAAATATTAGCACATAATTAAAGTAAACAAAAAAATATCTTAATTTTTTTTTACTTTTTAGGATAAAATTTTAATACATTCCAATATATTTTATTTATTTTTGATCCAATCATTTTCTTCAAAATCTAATTATCTTTTTATCAAATTACTGATTTGATTTGGAAATAATCCCCTTTTTGTTTCAAATTTAAAAGTTAGATGTTTAAATAAAATTTAATTACTCAATTTTATTGTTATCTAAAAATCTGAATCTACAAATTAAGTCAATCCAACTAAAACCATTTATAATGCTCTTAAATTTAAATAAAAAGAATCATTAAATTCAAAACTCTATTTTAATCTAATCTGTCTTGATAGTGTATTTTATAATTGTTTAATTAAATATGGTAGTTTCATTTGAGTTCTTTATGTAATAAATTATTTATTATCCATCCATATTCGATAAAATTATAAATTAACTATTTATTATAATACAAGTAATTTATTATTATAAGTACAAATGCTCTACAGAATTTTTGAAGAAAATTAAATAAATAAGCTTTCTGATAACTTTTGATTCGATAATGTTGATTTTATTTCCTTTCTAGATTAACTGTCAAAAGCTAAAATAACACATTAAACATCTTGAAGAATGTATTAAATTAATTTCACTCTAAATTCCTATTTCAATATATTCGAAATCACATCATAAGATGGTACTAGCTATTCAAAATTATGGCAAAACTAATTTCGAATTGCCATTTCTAAGGATTCTTTGTTAAATTTACTTTGAGAAGTTCCACTATTTATTATTGTCATCTAAAATAATATAAAATTATAAACATCTCTCAGTATTTTTCTTAAATCTTAATTTTCATTAATTTAAAACTTAGATTTAGTTTCTTCATTAATTTATTTGATAATGATTTGATCTTGCCTTTTATCAAACTCAACTACAATCAAATGGTAATCTACTATTTATTCTATAATTTTTATCCATTTGTTTCTCTCTCTATTATCAATAAATTGTAATCGTTTTAACTTTAGATTTGTATATTTTAAAAATAATAATCCTAACAAAACACTAAGTTATGTTAGACATAAAACGACAAATTCTAATGAATTTTCTAAATACAATATAATAAACCATATATATAATCCTAATATGCATAGGGCCTAAGGTAAAATTTAATACCCTTGCTACATAATGGCTATTGTATATAAAATATGTACCAGAATGAAAATAAAATGATTAAAATCCATAAAACCAAGAATACTTTGAAATATAAGGCTATGACGATATATAATCTACGCTCCAAACTATTGCAAATAATATTTATAGAATAGGTAATATTATGTTGACACATTTTGGATAATTATCTATGACCAATTTGAAAACAATAATTAGCCCAGCAATAATAAATATTATCAAAATACTAGTCAAATTAAAGTATTCTAATTAAAAGTATGTCGATAAATATAAAGGAAAAAATAGCTCAGTTAATATATTATATATACCAAACATTATATTGTGAATAAAGTAAACTCTTCTTTTACATTTTTTGATTGATTTTCTCTAAACTACTGTTCAATTGTATCCGATTTAAAACTAAGGGTTAATCTATTTAACATTTTATCTTATTCTTTTGTAGTAAGATAATATTTATATATAATTTAGTAAATGAAATAAAAACAAAATATACCACTAAAACTGATTTAATTTTCATTTTAAATATATAATATCCCTCAAAATATATAAAATTATATTAATTTATAGTTATCATCATTGATTTATAAATAAATTGAGTTGGTCGTACTTAATTTTCCTTTGATTTCAATAATTTTGTCTTTTGAGTTCTCAGATTCAATAATTTAAATCTTATTAATCAGAGAAATATTGTATATATTAAATATTTATTCTAATTAAAATTAAGACCCATTAAAACTAAATAACTTTATTTACAGATCAGAAAGTAAAATTAACTTTGTATCATTACTATAAAGTCTCGCATTTAAAAACCTTTCTTCTTAATAATCCAAGTCAATATGTAAATTTAACAGTTCAGATTTACTGACAATATCATATAACGTAAAAATGAAAGATTGTAATAAGTAGAAATATTTGCTATTTTCTGAAAATTAAATATCAATCAAACCTCTATTATTTTATTTTATTTAATAAATAATTTCATTTTTCATTAAGTCTTTTAATTCTAATTATATTTAATAGTCATCTCCTCTAGAAGTGATTTAAAGTTGATTATTATGCGAAACAGATATTTTAGAAAGTCCGAAATGATCTTTTTTTTCAAAATTTTGATTAATAATAGATTAAGCATAAACCGAAAATTATTGCAAATATTATATTTCAAAATTATCAAATTACAATAAATTTATTTTATCATTGAAATTTTACTAGATTTATTTGCTATTTACATTAAAATCAATTAATTTCAATTTTGGTATTTTTTAAGCTTTCAAATTTTTAACATTATACTCCATTAGCTTATAAAGTTTTCTTTCTTAAATGAATAATTCCTTTATTTTATTTAAGGCCATTTTTAGTTTATTATAATTCTAATAACAAATATATAGACCATTTTGTTAAAACTTAAGATGAAATGAATAAAAGTATTAATAGCAAAGCTAATATGGGATTTTACAAATTTATTATTTGTGATTATAAGAAATGGAATGCCTTGATAATGAAGATTTGAGTTTCAATTCTTCTGGATTTTAAAAATCTTTATCTATCTACTCATTTAACTCCAAACTTTTTAATTTATTTGTTAAGTTTAATAATTTCTATACTTCTTATTCTTAAAATGATGTTGATTCTAAAATCCCTGAATATATTTAATTATTAAAAATAATTGGAAGTAGGTAATAATAACATTTCATATACTCTTAAATTTGTTTATCTCTCTAGAACTGTTCTAAAAGATCATAAAATTCTAATAAAAAATTAAATTTTGAAAAGTATTATTGGGCTTACTTGATTTGTTATTTTAGTGTTTTGTAGATATTATAACAGAATTAAAAGTTATTCTTATCATTATCTGTTAGTTTTGATTAAAAATGAGCAATTTTTGATTAAAATTCTGAATATTCTGATATACTATACATTATAATTAATATTTATAATTAATTAAGTAAATTATATAAATAAATATAAATAATATCAATTGACCATTATATTATTATTTTGATTCTTGATATTTTGCAAGTGATGTCTAAGTATAGAATAAGAGATACATTTAGAGGATTTATGATTTTAATTAATTGTATCTTTAAAATAGGGTATCATTAGCATCATCTTAGGAAACATAGTCTTGTTTTGAATCATAATCATTTGCAATTTAGCTAAGCTCATAAGAGTTTTAGATGGATTTATTTAATTCATCTTATAATAACACTAATTATGAAGTATTTTATAGAGATCTTTTTCTGTCTTATAAAATATCAGAAGTTGAAGGTACTTTGAGTGATTAACTATAATATTATGGTTATAGTATTACCATTTATTTTACATAACTCTTGGAGATCTTTCGAATTGTTGTAGAGAAGATATTTACTTAATAGTAGTTTCTTATTTTGAATTATTTGCTGGTATTTAATTCTATGATTAAGTCCAATCATAGACATCATCATATTCAATTCTTCGAGATTAACCTAACTTTCTAAATAGTTAAATTAAATAATCGTAATCTGGGTCACTTTAATAATGAAGTGATTTTATGTATCTATACTATTACTATTTATATTAACTCTAAAGCCTTTGAAAATTCTATCGGTAGATCAACACAGATCTCTGATGGAGTCATTTTCATTTTCTTTTCACCAACTTATTTCTATCTTTCTTTATTATTTTAACCTAGCATGTTCTACCATGGCAAAGTTCTTTATTCTAAGTTAATAAAATGATAATACCCTTTTAATAATAGAATGTCAATATAAATTATTGATTCAAGATCATCCTTTCTTCCAAGTTCCTAACCTTTATGTGCTGCTATTGAAGCATATCTTGTGGTTCCTACAAAAGATCGACCCTCTTTAAATGGACTATATTTATATATTATTTTTACACATGCTTTAAATTATTATCTCTATATAATTTGCTTATACCAAAATCAACAATATAAATTTGTTTTTAATGATACATAATATTTTCTGGTTTTAAATCTCTATGAACAACTGATTTATTATGAATTCTCTTTATTATTTATAATAGATAATCCGTTATTATTAAAACAGTTTTTAATGAAAATGTTCGATATTCTTTTAAATATGCTCCAATATCCTTTGTTAACAGTTATTGAACAAGTACGTTAGAATTGTTGTCTATTCCACTCCAAATTAATTTTGGAACTCCTTAAGTACCCAACAATCTTGTAAGAATATGTATTTCACGATCGAGTGTTGAATTTTTCTCTTTTTTCTCAATTTTAACAGCAACCATTTGTTTCTTAAGTAAGTCTTCAGCTTCAAAAACTACTCCATATGACCCAGCTGATAATTTCTTCTTCAGTACAAATTAATTATTGATTATTTTATTGGGAGTGCTGGGTGAATTCATTTTTTTGATAATTAATTTTAATTATTCAATATATATATTAATAATTCAAAATTTACTTATTATGTTAAATTGCTTCTTATAAGGAAATTTAAATTATATTTATTCTACATAGCAATTAATTGTGCAATAATTGAATTTTCAAGTTATTTTAAAAAATTAAATAAATAAATTAATGTTCTAATAAACTAAAAAAAAAGTATAATATTAAATATTAAATTTTTACTTTAAATTCATTTTTATTAATTATGTACATATATAAATATGATATTATGTTTTAGAATTGAATATATATGTATATTAAATATAGTTTTATATCAGGATTCAATAGGATCAATCAATTCGTCTTCATCATTATTCTAATCTTCAATTTATAAAGCTCTTCCAAAAGGGAAAAATGCCGTTTCTTTTCCATCTATACATCTTTTTACAAACTTCTCTAACGCATTACAATCATTAAGATCTTTATTCTTTATATAAATGATATAGTAGAGCATATGATAGACACTATGTTCTAAATATATATGATAATGCCAGCCTTTTGATCCACTATAAATATAAAAGTTATCTTACTTTGTATCAATATCATTCTTTTCAAGACTACAAACAAAACACTTTCCCTCTATTTCCTTCACTAAGGCTTATCTTTCATCTCTCAATTCACCAAAAGTATCTAAAATTATACCAAAAATTATTTAGATGAACAAAATATTAAATATTATGAAAAATGAGAAGTCAAAAAAGTATCTCCCCCAATATAATGTAGGATCTTCATAAGGTTAAGGATATGTTTTCATTGAATCTCCTAAACCACTACGAAGACCAAAATTAATTGTAGATGTGACAGCTAAAATAAATGTTTAACCATAAACACCATCCTCATCATTAAACATCCAACTAAAGTTTGAAAATGCAATTATAGCATAAATTAATAATCCAATAAAACCAAGAAAAGAGAATATTGCTAGATTTCTACCGTTAGATGTAATTGATTTTATAATATTCTAAAGATCTTCAGATCTCTTTATGATATCTAACAACAGTACTGCATATATATATGGATTAAAAAATGCATAGACTGTTAGTCCAAAAATACAAATCTATTAAAATTAATATTATTATTACATTGTAAAAATTATCAAAATCAAAAAATATAACAAGTATAAGTTTTTTAATAGTGCTTTCACTTACTTTTTATCCTTAAAATTCCTATTCAAAATATCCAATAATACTATAATATTTCATTGTCAAAAATGCTATTGAAAATCCAGCTTCTTTTTTTAAGATCTGAACTTTTTTAGCATTTGTTTCACCTCTATTATAAGTAATTGATATTGGATATCTTTCTATTGCACAGAAAAATACAATAATTAGATTCAATACTAATTAAATTATTGTAATTATCTAAAAAAATTAATATAAATATTACATTATTAAGATAACTTACAAAGTTCTCTCCAGGTACTTTTGTATTAGATTCAGGAGCTTCTTAATTAGAGCCTAATTTACTATTGACAACTATATCATGCATAAAAATCAATAGAATTACTATAACGGAACAGAGTATAAAGGATATATCTTTTAATAATCTCCAATAAACTGCTCCAAAATGCATTATAAAGCTATTATTAATTTATTAGGAATGTCTCATTTAAACCTGATAAAAATCAGCTTAATCTATTAATCCTTACATTCTATCTTCATCTGTATCTCTTTTGATCTCATAAATTAAATGTTATTTAATATTAGGAGTAACAAAATTGCAAACAAAAGGTTTTTAAAAGAAAATCTTTTCAAGTTCAGATTATTCATTTTAAATTTCAATTCTACCTGTAAATTATCTATAGAATTTAAAAAATTATTGTTTTCTAGTAAATTTATAATTATCATCATTTTAGATTTCTTCAAGAATTTATTTAAATTCATTAAATGAAGTTTATCTTAATCTATTACTTAATAGAGCATTTTCTTCCTCTTTTTCAGTATTTTGATTTTTTATAAAGATTGGTACTATTTTTTAAGAAGAAACAGTATTTTTTTTTTGTAATTCTTCTTATAAGGGATCACTAAAATCAGTAAAATCATCTTATTCATCATACTCTTCATCAAATTTAAAAATTTCTAATTATGGATCATTTGGAAAATGCTCTGATAATTTTAGACAAATGATAAAAATATTGAAACCAGTTTATATCAATAGGTTATCTTCATCAGTTCTTAATCCAAAATGACATAAATTATTAGAACAATATTAATGTTGTCCAGTTTTTGATTCATCACAAATATTATCTAATATGATATTTCTCTATTTAGGTTTAATACGATCTTGATAAATAGATCTTGATATTCTCATTAGAATAGTAATATTTACAGTTTCTATTATAAATTTCAAAGATTTTTTATTAAGTTTACCTTAAGTAATCAACAATAATAATTTAATAAATGATTAAAGTGTCTAATATGAGTTATATTTTCTTTCTTAATAATTAATTTAATTTTTATTTAAATTAATAATAAGATCTTCTTCTTGATTTTGTGATTTTAATAAATTTTCTTTTAATATATTACGATTCTCCTATTATAATTATTTAAATGATATCAAATCTTCTTTCTATAAAATTTAATTTAATAATGTAAATAATCTTGTATTTTTACATAATTCCTTTTTATTTTCTTCAAATCCAGTAGAGAATTCAACTAAACTCTCCAAAGCTTATCTGTAGATTTCTTACAACTTATAAAATACACTTTATCCTTTTTCCAATAAATCTGCTAATAAACTAGCAACTTCATTAACAATATTAATATTGGCTTGATATGAATCATCATCATATTAACGAACTAAAAACTTCTAGAAATCAACATTAACATTTTCACATAATGCCTATAATAATTTTAATACTTTCAAACAAAGTATTTTATATTCAGTATTATTGTCTTCGCATAATTCTAATTCTAATATTCTGGAATTAATATCAGTCAAAAAGAAACCTCTAAGGAAAACAAAAAATTTAGATTTAATTATCTAATCTTACTTAAGTATATTATAAAACTTTTTTTAGACATAATCATTTCCATAATCCAATAAATAAATTAACAATTATAATGCCTCTATTTTATGTTAATCATCAACAGATTCATTCAATATATCTAATGCTATTATATCCAAACCACCATCTACCATAGCATTTTGATATTTTATGAATATTTATTATTTCTATCTTATTATATCTTTAGATTTTTCATCTTTAGCTTCAGTAAGTGAATCAATATCATCTTAAGTGGGTCTTTTTAAGAATAAGAATATTTTACAAAATTTTATTAAATAAACTTCTCTATTTAAGAATATTTCTTAACATTTTTACAAAAATTCCTATACATTATCTTCAATTAATAAGTTTGTATTTTGTTACTCTAAAGTTTTTATTAACAATTCTATTTAAATATCATCTGATAATAAATCTTCAGAACCTTCTAACTAACCTCCATGTTTTTTATATTGTTTTCCTATTAGTTTTCGACAAGCTATTCCAAACTATTACTTAAGATTTTCTAAACCTTCTTATTATCTTTAATAAGTTTGTACTTACTAGTTTATTACATTTTAAGTAGTTTGCATTTCAAATAATTCTCTCATTGCTTATTTAAATAAATCCCATTAACTTACAATATTATTTCTATTATTTATTTATTCTTATCTCTTAATTTATTCTACATTCATTTTATAGATTTCATCAATATCCTTCTATTAGATGTATGTCTTATAAATATTGCAAGTATCTAGAATTTTCTATAGTCTTTCTTGTTCATTTGCCTTACTTTCAATATATTCATTAAATTAATTGATATTCACTTTATATCTAATCAGATACACTTTAAAGTTTCTCCTAAATGGATTTTCTATTCTTTGAACATTATCTTCTTCTTACAACTTCTTTTCTCCTGTTTAATCATCTTTCAAAGTATCAAACTTATCAAAAATCAATTTATTATCATTCTTATCTTATTGAAATCCTATTCTAAAATTCTAACCAAATTTAGTAATTTTTCTTTATGGAATAATTTCCTCAATTGAAATTATCAATTATCTATAATCATCTAAATCTAGATCTTCTTTTTTCACTCTAAAATCTCTCTCTAAAACATTAAAAATCTCCTTAATTTTTACAAAATTCTATTTAATGATTGCAAATTCATCAGACAAATTTTAAATCTCTGGATTTTCAAGATCAATTCTATCTTTTATTTCATCATAAGTATAAATTAAAAAATGAATTACTCCATTTTTTCTCAAATACTTCCAATATTCACTTAAATCTCTCAATATTCCTTATTCTTTAACAAATTTAGAATCAAATGATAGCTTATTTTCAAAATAAGTCTACTTTTATCTTTTAATTTAATCTCTTAAATCCCTTTAAATAACTTTAATATTTCTATCTTGATTTGCTAATTTAGATAACCCCTCCAAATATTTACAAATTTATTTTTAATCTAATTCTGGAATTATTACTCTAGATAATATATCCCTAACTTCATCACTTTCTATTGTATCATTAATAAACTACCCTTATTTAACTTAATTGATATATAATTCAAATAAGCATTATAAATATGCCCTTTTAACAATATATTCACTATTTGGAGCTAATAAAATAGTCTTTAATTATTCATATAGCAATATTCTTTACATTTCCTAAATTCCCAATCTATAATATTGACAACATTCAGTTATTAATGTTATTAATTCTGAATGCAATTTCATTCTATGAAATAATAAAGGATCTTTGGCATCTTCTTCATGAGTAACCAATTCTGGAACCAGTATATCTTTATAATAGTTAACTGGATCTAAGACTATTCTTAGAAAATTATCTTTTAAGATTTTTGATAATATTAAATGTTTATTTAATGGTGCCTATTTTGCAGGTTTTTCATAGGTTTTAGTCATAGATCTTAAAATCTTAAAATACTAAATCAAAGAGAAATAAGCAACAGCATTTTCATGTTAACTTCTTTTTATAAATTTAATCTCTTCATTTTCATCTCTTGCACAATAAACTTTTAAATAAAACTCTTGACTTTGCATCAATTGATTTCCTATATTGTAAATTTTTAGGAATATTTTATTTATTAAATTATCATGTTAGTTTTCTGGGATCGTAGAAATCATTTTGATTGCTAATTTTGTTATTTTGATTGGAATATAAAACTTATCTTCTGCTTATGGTTAAGGTATTTAAATTACATCAAGAATTTTAAATAAATACTGATTATCTGCTAAAATTGCAATATTAGTATCGTTATCTATTATAAAATATTCCAAAAATAGAACAATTCTTTTATAAAAAAAAACTATGTCATTAGAACTATTAATTATTTCTGGATCTACTAAAAATTTCAAAAATACTAAATGAATATTTGCATTCCTTAATATATTTTAAAATGATTTTAAATATTAAAAATCTTAAGAATTAGGTTTAAAAAACAGTTCAAATTATTCAATTATTTTAGATGAATATCCTTTTAATAAATCAAATGATGTAATTCTTTTTTAATTTACATTATTATCTTTTTAACTTATTATGAATTTTAATGCTCTTTTTGATAATTATATTGCTTCTTTAGGACTCATTAATTAAACACTATTTGAATTTCCATTAATAATTGAAAAGTATCTTAATTCTTATAAATTGTCAATTATTTCAACCTAATTGATTTCTTAGATTGAATATTTTGGTGCATGAAAACTTTGAATTATTCTTTTTAATAATTCTTCATTTAATTTATTTCTCTTCCCTGATGTTAATAAACAAGTAAATAATAATCCAGAAATGCTATTTCCATCAGGTTCTTTGAAAACACTATAAATGGATTTAGAATTTGGAGTTTTAGATTTTTTAATTTATATTTCTTGATTTAGAACTTCATCAAATCCAAATTAATCATAATCTCTAAAACTTGGAGAACTTGGATTAGATTCATTTTATTAAGATGAACTAAATAGAAATTCTAGAATTTATAGATTTAATTTTAATTATTCAAAGATTTTTAAAATAGACAAAGCTTCCAAATATACTTACATTCTTAGAATTTCATCATTACAATATTAATAAGTCCATATTAACATATATAGAATCCAATTTCTTTAAAATTGCATATATAATTTAGATGATTAATCCATTCTTTTATAGTCTTTATCTAGATTTTTATGTTTTGATTTCCTTTTTTCATATAATTATTCATTAGTAGGAAGGAATGTAACAACCCAAATGTTATCATCAATTGATTATCTTAATTTATTCAGATTTGATATAAATGATTCATTTTCTGAAAATCTGTGTATTCTCATATCTGGAATCTATTATAAAATTAAGGCAACAAATATATTTGGAAGTATTGAGAATATTTTCTAATTTTCATCCAATTAATTATATCCTAAATTTATGCTATTTTTAATAATTGTCAATAAACCTAAAAAATAATGTAATTATAAATAAGCAAGACGAGAATAATCATATTTTTATTTATTATTTTGACTAAGTTTTTTTGATTTGAAGATATCATAACTTGCTTCTTGTAAAAGATGTTCTGGATAATCTTCTTTAGTAAACATTTCTAAATAATATAAACGAACATCATTTATATGAGTTCTAGATAACATTTTTGCAGCATATAGTTTAAGTTATTAATGTTCTGCTTTAGTTTCTTTTGAGTGAAGAAAACTCTAATAATCATCACTTCGTTTTAAGGATTTTGATGCATTATTTTCATAAAAATAAAGTCCTGAAGGATTCTATATATCGAATTAATCAATATCATCACTTAAATAACATTTTATTGTATTTATTTATGTAATATTATTATAAAAGGGGTCATAATTTTATGAAATCTTAATTAATGGATCAATATCTAAGAATAAATTACAAAACAATTCAATTAAAGTTTTTTCAAATCTAAGTTCAGATTTAATATTTTATTAACGTTTTAAACATATTTCTAAGAATTTTTGATTTAAAAAACAATTTCTCATCAAACATTTAATATTTTTTTAATTTCTTCCTTTACATAATGAAGAATATAAACCCATTACATTCATTAAATAATTTTCATATTTCTAGAATATTGGTATTACTAATTTAGCATCTTCTTATTTTACTAATTAATTTTCTTTGAGTGTTTCAATTGTAAAAAAATCAATCACAACATCAATTAAACTAGGTCTTTTATTCAAAAATCTCTAAGCAATTCTTGCTTATTTATCAATAAACTTTAAATAGAGTTAACAAAATAATTAATTATTCTAACCAAATTCATTGACATATTGCATCTACAATCCTTTTTCTCTTTTTGGATAAAATTATACTATTGGATAATAATTATTATTCTCTTCTTATATATCTAAGGATACTAAAACTTTATGAAAAGGGTATTATTATTCTTATTAATTTTTTGTTCCAAATAATAATCTTCTACATGCATTCTAACATAATTTATTTGGATTCTCATAAGGATCTATCATTATCAAACTTAAGATTTCTATATATAAAGTTTAATCTTCAATATTTTCTTCCGATAGATTTTCCAATTAATTAACCCATTTTTTTATATTTTCTTTAGATTCACTCATATCAGTATACCTTACACTTTCCTTTATGAGATTAGATATATATTTTCTCTAATATTTCAATTATTGCAATAGGAAATCTAAAATACTCTCCTTATTCATCTTTAATGTCAAAATATAGTTACTTGTATCCTGATTTTTTTAAACACATAAACTTAAAACATCATATATTTCTTATATACAATTCAATTTTTATGATGATGAAATTGGAGGATCAAGTTTTGCTTTTGCAATCTTTTAAGGAGTTTTGTCTTATATTTATGAATTATTATTGCTCAAACTACCATATATCATAAAATTGCATAATCTTTAAATTGCAAAGAGCAAATTAATTATATCATTATCCATTAAAGCTTTTTATTTAAATTACTATTATTCATTTGTCTAAGCTTAACCTTCATTATTTAAATACAATTTTAAGTTTTCCAAAGTTTAAAATAATTATAAAATTTCATCATATAATATCTTTTAATTATTAAAGGCTTCAAAATAATCATAAGTTCTTATAACTTCCAAACCTTATGCTGATGTCTTTAACATACCCCAATCTTATAAAAATATATAAAATTAAATTAAATATTCTTATAAAGAATTAATTCTAAAAGCTGTCTTAGCTTACTCTGGAGTTGCTAATTTCAGCAAAAATGTTTCTCTTTCTATATTTTATTTTTAACTTTTTCTTTATACTGCTACTCTATCATCTAAACAAACAATGACTAAATTTTCTTATGTAACATAACCATCTATTTACACATTCATAACAGATTATAATTTATATGCTTCACTAAATAAAATTTAATCATCTAAAGTCTTCTTAGATCTTAAATGAAATTGACATTCCTATCTTAATCCATCATAAGTTAAATTTGCAGAATGATGAGAAATTTCCAAAAATAATCCTGTACATACATGTCTTATTAAGAAAACACTTTCATAATTTGGTTTTGAAAAGGTTAGACTATCAACATGTTAAATTTACCATAAATTATTTAAATTATTTTCTGCATCTGTTGAAGAATCTACATATAATTTATACATATATTCAATTTTTTCATTTCTAACTTATTCAACATCAAAATAAAATTAATGTTTTGTGTATGTTATATTTGTATCATAATTCTTAATAAAAACTTCTTTTTTATCTAATCCTTCAGTAATTCTAAGTTATCTTTGAATTGACAGATAACCACCCAAATATCTATTTTTTATTGTTACTACATCTCCACTAAGAAGAGCTTTTTACTTTATAATTTGTTATTTTATTTCTTATTCAGTTTTAGAATCAACATAACATGCAATTTTTAAAGGAAATCCTATTTAAGAACAATTAACTTCTAAACCATCTTTTTTATCATATTTTTAGTTTGGCTTCTATATATTCATAAACCATTTATTTGAACTTGAATTTTGAACTATTATTTAATCTCCATATAAAATAGGTTCTCCTGGATTTTTTACTTGATTCATAGATAAAATTCTAAAATTTGAATTTAAATTGGATATTTCTTCCAAAGATAATTCTCTACAACAATTTTCTTTTGCTAATATAGCACTATTAAAAGATAGTATGCATGATGAATATATATGTTTAAGTTATATTTCTTAACCATATACAATATTAGATCCATAAGCAAGATCATAAAACCGTTAATTTTCTAAAATTTCTTCGTTAGCTTTATCTTCAAGTTCTTTTAATCTACCTTCATATTCTAATTAACATTAATCTAAATCAATATCTTCATTTATAGCCTACTCTCTAATATCATCTATTGATCTTGAACGTTCTTGCTCTAGAAAATTTTAATAATGATATTTTTTGCCTGTAATTACCTAAAATAAGCTTTTCTGAAATGTCAAACTGCCAACTTTTTATTATAAACTTTTCTTTGATGGATCTATTATTTGTTGATTTTTTCCCAAAATCTATATACATTCCAACTTATTGCTTGCAATACCATCACCAGATATAACTCCTTTATAATCATCAGTCAAATAAGACTTGAAATACACTATGTCACCTACTTTTAAATTGAAGTTTCGCCTTTTATAAAAAACACTAATTACTTAAAAGGTTTTGTAGTTTCTTAATTTTGAGTTTATGTATTATAAATATGTGTTTATGATACTAAATTATCAATTCCAAATTATGATTAATTTTTTAAAATGGGAATAGGAGGAAGCTCCATTAATTGTTGTTAATTATATAATATATAAATAATAATATTAGAGATATGTTTGTAAAAAACGATTAATATTACAATATTGGATCAGATTATTAATTTCCATATTTTTGATACCTTCATTTAAGTTACTTATCAGTTAATTTAACTTATCAAATTAAAATCGGTTATTTTAATTATACTATAGTTATTAGATAACATAAATGTAAATAAACAAATAATTTAACTATTTCAAGTTTATAGATAAATTTAAATATTTCATCAAATCTTCTCTAAGAATTTTATTTTTTCTTAAACACTTTTTAAAAATAGATCATCTGCTTCTTCCTTCAGTTTCTCATCATTCAAATAATATGCTTGATGTTCTTTACGTTAAGCCTCTTTTTCATAACGTTTTCCTCTTTCCATTATTGATTGATAATCATTTTGCAATCTTGGATAACTATTGGTTTTTAATTATCCTAATTTTCCTTATTAATTCATTCTCTCTTATTCTAATTCTTTCAAATAATTTATGGGTTTCTTCTACTTTTATAGTTCTTCAAATTAAGGTTCCATTTTCATAGGTTTTGGATGGTAATAAACTGATGGATTTGGTATAAACCCTTTTTCTAATGATTCTGTCACTATTGTTTTTTGTATCTTTTTTAGATTTAAAACATTTTAAATTTTATATAGATTCTTTTCTACTATTATTTATTAATATACCTGATCCTTATTATCTTTATCTATAAAGTTTATTACGAATTGAATCTACTTTTTTTGCACTCTATTTTCCCTCTCCCTCTTTCAAAAAACTAATTAAAAGTTTAAATTTAATACTCAATATATTCTTCTTATAATGAATGGCCAGACTTGTTCGTTTATATTTTCATGTTTGGTTTATGATATTCTTTAACTATCTCAGCATATTTTTACTTTCTCAGTAATTTTTCAGCATTTTATTATTTTTTAGCATTTTCTTAGTTTTTTAATTTTTAATCTCCATGAATAACTTTTTATAATATATTCCTAGCTTTATACAGTTACTTAGTTTCTTATTACATCACAATTTCCTTCTCTAATTTTTTCTAGTCCTTTTCTAACTTTAATAGTTATTTCTTATTTAAATAATCCTCCTCGTGTTTAATTATTTCTTCTAATCTGATAGGTATGGCTAATTTTTTTCTTTGAGATAATTTTAACTTTAATAATCTACAATTAAATTACCTTTGCATCTTCATAATATATTTTTTTTAAGATCTGATCCTTCTCTTCTATTTGTTTTCTTTTCTCTATTTCTTAGATTTTCAATTCCTTTATAAGTTGATTCTGCTCTTGTTTTGTTTATTTTTTTAAATCTTGATGTCTCTACATTTCTTCTAATCTTTCCCTTATTTTCATACATTTTTATTAATTTTGATACTCTTTTTATTATTCTCTTTCAATTTTATATTTCTCAATACTTTTTTACAATCGATAAGATTCATTATGTAGTTATATTTTTTTTCTGTCTTCTTATTCTTTTCTTTCTTTATTTAATTCAGCAACTAACTATTTAGCTTTTGCTTATTGAAATGGATCATTCAAATTCTCTTCTGCTTTTTTCTTTCTTTCTAAGTAATTTTTATCTTCTGGACTTAGTGATTTAGGTTTTATTTATGTGCTATTATTTTTTTGATTAAAATTTAAGTTATTAGACTCAATAGAATGATCTTGGTTTATAATATTTTTTTGAGGTTCATTAAAATGATCTTGGTTTATATTATTTTAGCCTTTAGGTTCATTAAAATGATCCAATATTCCTAAAACGGTATCATTATTATTTTTAAGAGGATCCTCTTCTTGTCCTATTAGACTTGGGTCTTAACTAGTAGTTTAATGTCTCCCTTATTCATTTTCTTAAACATTCTCAACAAAATTCAAAGATTTTTATCTAGACACCAAGACGATTTTTTGTATGGCAACAACCAAGCATGACAAAAACTTCTAAACATTCTTTTCCTAATTTGTTATTGGTAATTCCTATAAGGTTGAACTTTTCTTAAAAGCCTTTTCAAATCCAGCTTTTGTCTTTTATTCCATAGCTTAAGTGACTATTTTTTGAAATTTCTTGATTATTTCTCCTTTCTTTACTTTCAAAGTTAAGCTATCAGTGTTATGATTACATATAATTTTATCAACTGATCCATCTTCTTTGAGTAATTAATTAAATAAATATAACCCTAATTCCTAATTATTCCAATCCTTATTTTAATTCTACTCCTTCAAGGATTGGATAAATTCCTTAACATTTGAGTTTTTAGAGATTTGATATTCTCCTACAACTTTATCTGGTAATATGACTTTAAATGTTATCATATATCAATAAAAAGTTTATAATTAAATTATTATTATCAATTAATATTTTAATTCCTTTATAGTTCATGTCTTAATGATATAAATATATATTATAATTATAATCATTCAAAATATATTGATAATCATAAATAAATTCACTGTAATAGATATTTTGCAGTATCTGTAAAATTCTACTTATACTTATATCTTGAAAAATCAAAACAATCACTCCTTATTTTAGTATTATCATCTGGTATAATCTCTGGTAATCTTATTTATTATTAAATTCATTTACTTATGCTCATCTTTATCTCTAGCTGCTTCAAGTCTAACTGCTTCAATCATAAATTCTTTTGCTTCAGCCTTCTTTCCTGCATTCAATCTTCTATTGAATTCCTTATATTTTTCATCTATTTTCTTTTATAATAATTCTTCAGGTGCCCTTTAAAAATCTACATGATTCAATTAAAAACAAAAAGAGTCCCAAGGTAATGGATCTTCTGACATAATTTCTTTAAATTTTTCAAAAGAAACAGCTGGTACCTTACCAATATTTGCTATATCATTAATTAAATCTCCAAATAATCCTTACAATTTATCTTATGTAATTAATCCTTTCTTTTCTAATTTAAATTTATATATATTACCTTTATCATATGATTTAAATATCTTCTTAAGTTTCCCCTTTTCCCATTCATTTACTATACTCATTGGATTGTCATGAAGTCTTTACCTTAATTATTCTTTCAATTCATTTGTTGGAAATTTATTAGGATCAAATGTTTTTTCTTTCATTTTAATTCTAGTTCTTTCTCTTTATATTTCATCTGCCTTTTCTTATTCTCTCTTTGCTTTAATTTAATCAACTTCCTTATAAAGTATTTTCTCCCCAACAGAGAAGATTTAAGATGGAAGTAACTTTTACTTTTTCTATCCTTTCTTTTTAATTTTAACTTCTGCTTTGAAATACTTGTACCATGCTTCAACCTTAATCTTTTCTTATACAGTTATAATTGATCGATCGAGTAATTGTAATTGAGGAAGAGCTGATATTACTCTATTTCTATAATAAGGTTCTTCTGCCACTGGATTATTAAATAGATCTAAGACAATATAAGCAAATTAAGTACCCAAATTAGAAAGTCCAGGAAACTCCTTTAATATCAAAAGATTTTTTTCTAAGTCTCTAAGCTCATTATTAAATAAACTTAATGTTTATAAATGCTTCAAATTTTATAAACCTTCAAGTGTACTAATTTTATTTTTTTGTAAATATAGATGTTTAATTCTGAAATTTTACTCAATTCCTTTAATATTGGTTAACTAAATAAATGTGTTTGTTTACTTAATTTTCATTAAGCCAAACAACTTCAAGATTCATAAATTTATCAAATTAAGCCAATTCATTAAATCCTTAATTAGACATATGAACTTCTGTTGTATCTCTTGCTTGTTTATCATTTTTAATAGGAATGCATTACCAAGGTGTTCCAACTTTAATAATGGGTTAGGGAGTTGCTCTTTTTATTAAATGATTAAAAACTTAATCCATTTTTATTAATATGTTAAATAAGTGTAAGTATTTGTTTATTTGTGGTGCAATCGCATCTGGAATTGGAAAGGGAACCATAAATAGTAGTATAGGAATGCTATTGAAATAATACGGTTATAAGGTGTCTTTTTTAAAAATTGATCCATATTTAGTATGATTTATTACAAAAGTAGAATATTGATGCAGGTACAATGAATCCTTATGAGCATGGTGAAGTTTTTGTTACAGGTGATGGGTAAGGAATAGTATTACAATATTAGAGGAGAGGTTGATTTAGATATTGGAAATTATGAAAGATTTTTAGATATTGAGTTGTCCTTTTACCATAGCTTAACTAGTGGAAAACTCTATTAAAAAATATTATAGTAATATATTTAAATTATAGTAATAGAAAAGAGAGAGAAGGACACTATTTAGGAAAAACAGTTTAAGTGATACCTCATGTGGTTGATGAAATAAAAAATTGGATTAGACACTTAACGACCGTACCATTGAAACATGACACTGAAGATAAACCAGATATATTGTTAGTAGAAGTAGGAGGAACTGTTGGTGACTTGGAATCAACTTGTTATTATGAGGCAGTTAGATAAATGATAAATGAAGAGGGAAAAGATAATGTTGGTTTGGTAATATAATTTTGAATATAATAGATAATGCTTACTTATATTTTGACATTGAATAATGAACAAAAAACAAAACCTGCATAAAATGGCATAAAGGATCTTAGATATACAGGATTAATAGCTGATTTCATAATATGTAGATCTGAAACAGAATTATAAATTTCATAAAGAGATAAATTAGCTATGTTTGGAAATATATCTAAAGATTCAATATTTTCTGTTCCAAATTCTTAACATATTTATGATGTACCAGAAGTATTACAAAGATAAAAATTGGCTGAACATATTTTAGAAAAATTTAAACTTCCAATTTAAAAAATACCTAATATTGAAAAATATACTAAATTTGGACAATATTTGAAAGAATTAGAATAATAAAAACCTATTACAATAGGAATTATGGGAAAATATATGAAAAATTTGGTAATTAATTTATTATATTTAGGATGCATATATGTCTTTAATTAAAGCATTAAAAGAGGCAAGTTATGCAATTAAAGTGAATTTACAATTAAAATATATTGATCTTGTTGAATTCCAAAATAGTTAAAATCCTGAAGAATAACTTGAAAAAGAATGTGATTAATTTGATGCTATCCTTGTGCCAGGTGGATTTGGATATAATGGTTTTAATTTAAAAATCAAATGTTGTTAATATGCTCGTGAAAAAAAGAAACCTTTTCTTGGAATCTGTTATGGATTTTAAGCAGCTGTTATTGAATATGCTTAAAATATATTAGGAATTAAAGATGCTACTTCAGAAGAATTGAAGGAAGAATAAAAAGGAACAAATTTTGTTGTATTTATGCCAGAAATCAATCCAAAATTATTTGGTGGTAATATGAGATTAGGAAATCATGAAACATTTATTGAGTAAGAAAATTAATTTATTTGAGAAATAAAGAGAGCATAGCATATCAAATATATGATTCAGAAATAGTATAAGAAAGACATAGACATAGATATGAAGTAAATCCTGAAAAGATTCAAATTTTAAATGAAAATGGATTGATTTTCTCTGGAAAAGATAAGTAAACTGGTTAAAGAATGGAAGTATTATTTTATTAATAAATTTAAGATTCTAGAATTACCAAAAAATTAACATCCATTTTATGTTGGAGTTCAATATCATCCAGAATTTACTTCTAAAAATTTCAAACCAAATCCATTATTTGTTAGTTTTGTTTCTGCTGCAGCAAATGGAGAATATAAAAAATAAAAGATAGATATCAACTATAACAATTAAATTTGAGAAAATAGTTGATTCTAAATTATTATTATCATTTAAATTAAGTATTTCAGCAATAATATTAGGATATTATCTCATTATATAAGTTAATATATTTAATACCTAATAAAATAACTATTTATTTGAGTTCTCATAATTAATTTTCTATCAATTCTTTCCTATTATTTTAGATATTATACTCTATAATTCAGTTCCATTAATCTACTGAAATTCCAAAACGTCCTTTATTAATATTTGTGATTCCAAAATTTAACATTAAAATAAAAATGAAAAATTGTAATCAAAACAAATTATTGAAGTAAACCTCATTTTCATCAGAGGCAAAATTAGTTAGGTCTTAAATTTCAATTCAATCCTAATTAAACTCATATCCAGTATTTATTTTTAAGTATTAATTAGAATTTGCTAAATCAGTTTCTTCGTTCCTCCTTCAAAATATATTCAGAAATGAAAGAAGACATAATATAATATCAATAATGTAAATTATCCTTAAGATTTGAATAAATTTATTTTTTAATGGCAACATAGAAATTATTCATGTATCTCAATAAAATGTAAGAATAATATAAAAAATTGCAAAAATAAGAAGCATTTTATATCATTTTAAGATTAGCTACAATAGATTAAAGTAATTGTAGTAGTTTTTTTAAATCTCCTCAAAGATGCAATTCTCCTGGAATAGTTTCTAAAGATATTGGGTAATTCTATATTTTATTAAAGAATGGAAAAAAAAATTCAAAATTAACAATTAATTAAAATTATTTAGGAGCTTTAATTGTAAATAGCTGGACAAGAAATAAGTAAAGCACTATATTAATTTTAAAATAAAATTCTAAAAGAAACATTTCATAAATTAAGATGGATTATAAAATTATCATAACATTTGGAAAAAATAAAATTTATTATTGAAGTCTCCAATTATAGAAATGCTTTAAATTAATTAAAATAATAAGCAATATAAATAAGAAAATTTGAGGCAGGATTATTATTGCTTAATTTGAAAATTAAAAAAATTATTTTAAGCAACCAATTTTATTTTTTTTATTCTTTTAAGGTTTAATCACTTCAATGTTAAGCTAAAAAACAAAAAAAAGTAAAAAAGAAATAAATAGAAGTTTCTTTTAAACTATAAGATGAATCTTTGAAATTAGTGAAACTATACTCTTTTTTTATTAGATATTGTTATAGATAACCCTTTGATTTACTTAGAAAGTAATTATATTCAAACTAATAATTTGATTTGCTATCTAGAAACAGCAATGTATAGTAAAGATTGTCAATTGATCATGTTTCTTAAGTATTACCATAATAATAATCCTAAATTTTGGAGTCTTTTCATGTTGTTGAAAATTAATAATAAGAATAATTAGAAAATTCATAAAATTAAGTTTAAAAACCAAAGTTTGAAATTAAATCAAGTGGAAAAATTGCTAGATCCATAAAATTATATTGTATTTTATAAATATATCATAGTGAATGAATATGAGAAGTAATAATTATAAATCCAATAATAGATAATTAAATCAAAAATATATAAAAAACCTAAAGTAAGTTAATCAATCGAAGAAAATAATAAGAAAAGATTACTCAAAAATAAAAAATAAATCATCTGCTTGATTTTTTCAATAATAATTTTTTGTATTGCATTAATCTTTTTATTTTAATGATTGTATATTATTTTTAAATTAAAATATAAAACAATTTAAATCTAATTCCTTATTGAAAATGTTATAAATATTAAACAGATAATAATAAATTTAAGTTATTTTTTAATCTAAATAAATTTGTTAAATTTTTCTTTTTAAAAAGATCCAAATCGAGCATAAAAGTATATCTATTATATTTTTAATTAAAATTTAGAAATCATATAAGATACTAGTATAATTGCAAAAAATAATTTATTCTTGGTTTTACTTTCTATATATTTTCTAATCTTATCAATCAGCATCTCCTGTTTTTGAAATTAAATGAAATCATGACATTAATACTGTATTTACACTTCCATATTATAAAGAATTCATGCTCTTTTTCTTCATTTCTACTATAATAAATTTGCATAGAATATTTCCACCTAACAAAAGAAAATATATCATTCTTAATCTGAAAAATTAATCTTTATAAAAAATTAAATTATTATTGTAATAAAACATCCCTAAAATTCCATTTTGTATGACTAAAATAATTTCAATTGTAATTATTAATCATTTTTTCTAATAAAAAATATAAAGAAATTACCGATTTTTGTGAAGATAGGTGATAACTTTAATATAACTATCAATATATATAATTAAGTATTTATCATAATATCATTTGATGAAGATAATCATTTAAATTTCAGTTAATGAAAAATTGTTGAGATATTGAAAGATTAAGAAAATGAACAAAATTTATGTACTAATTTTGTTAATATTTATTAAATTATTTGTTTTATTAAGAGCATTTCTGTAAAAACCATTTTTATGTTTGATGAAAATAAAAATCATAATAATTAAAATATTTAGTTGTGAACTAATTTATTATAATAATTCTTAATTATGAATCTAACTATTTTCCTAATTTTTGAATGAGTAAATATGTATAATGTTTAATATATTGTTTTCTAAGAGAGTGAATATTTATAATATAGAAGAGGAATCAAAAATATAAAAAATATTGAGTATAAAAATTATATTAAAAAAAGTATCCTTTATTTAAATTATATGTCTTCTTCTAGTTCATCAAGGTCACGATCACCTAGAAAGAATAAGAAAAGAGTATATGTTACAGGTTATTCTCTTAAAGAGGATCAACATGATATTAAAAAGTTATTCAAAAAATTTGGAAAAATTGAAGAATTTGCATGGAAAGGAAAATATTGTTTCATTGTAGATATTATGAATTAATTGTAGGAATTTAAAGATGCTGACGATGCAGAAAAAGCTGTTAAAAAAATGAATAAAGAAGAAGTAAAAGGATCGGTGTTATAGGTTGAAATGGCTCGTGGAAATAAGCCTAGTAAAAATAATGGCCTATGCTATTCTTGCGGTCACTCAGGACATTTGTAAGTTTTATATCATCTTAAGAATTTATTATAGAATACGATATATTTTATATCTATTCATTTACCTATTTTATTAGTGCTAAGAATTGTAGACATAGATCTTCATCCTCTAGTTCATCTAGCTCTAGTAGGTAATGAATAGATAATAATAAATTTTAGTGAGTCTAGAAAAAAAAGTAAAAAGAAACATAAAAAAAAGAAGAGTTCATCCAGTTCAGATTCCTCATCAAGTAGTTCATCTAGAGATAAGAAGAAGAAATTGAATAAGAAGCGAAAGAGTTCAAAACGGAAATCAAAGTCCTCATCAAGAGGCTCTTCAAAAGACTCGCACAATTCAGAGTCTTCCGGCTCGTACTTTTAAAGATGAATTCTGTTTAGCGTTGAAGGAGAAAAATAAGAAAGTAACAATATCAAAGAAGATAAACAACCTTAAGATGAAGAGAATCAAAAGAAGGGAGGTGATGGTAAGTAATGAAGTACCGATGATAATAAAAAATAAAATTAGTGTCCAACAACATATTTAGTATTTTTTAATTTTTGTAAACAACAATAAGTCTTTACTCATTTTTTCATTAAAACTCAAAAAATTTTTGATTTTCATATTATTTTTGGTAAGTAAATTATTACTGCTTAAATATAATATTCTTTATCTATAAATTATACAAATTATAAATATCATTATTCTAAAATATAGAGATAATGAAGAGGTTATTTATCAATTAATTTAGATCAAATTTTAAATTAAATTCTAAATCTATTTTCAATCTATTATAAATGGATGTTTCTAATATGTAAAAAAATATTAAATTACATAAAGTAGATTAAAATAGAATATAAGTATGTTTAATACTATAAAATACTCAATTAAATTATGCTATTAGATATAAAAAATCTTAATTATAGGTTATTAGTGTAATTATAAATAAGTATTATAAATTTATATTTTTAGATTAACTATTAAATACAGATTAATTTCCTTTTTAAGCTTTTTATATATTCTAATTAAGAATATCTTTGTTATTTTTAGAATATATTAAAATTACTATTCATTCATTGATTAATAGTATTAAACTAATTCATATAATATCTTAATTTTGATTTCCTTTTTTAATAATTGATTATTATTATTAAAATAGAAATTTTAAAGAAATTTAACTCCATTTCTTTAATTTATTTATTTTATATAAATTTTTTCATAAGATATACTAATTCTTGATATTCCTTTTTAAAAAGGTCATATTCCACTTTATTATTGAGAATTTGTATAACTCAAATTTATTAAATTCTATTCAAATACAATTTTAATAATATAAACTCTCAAAATATAAAATATAAAAAATGCTTTTAATTTGCATAAAGAATTTATTTTGAGAATAAAAGTACAATTAATAGATTATATTTTTAATGAAAATGCTAATGTTTTTTATAAAACTTGAATGTTGATTATGATATTAATTATAAATTTGATTAATAATATTGAATGTGAAATTTAATAAAGTATGAGTAAACTATTTACAATTGACAATCAATATTTTGTAATTAGATCATCTTATTCCTTTAAGTGGAAGTGAATTCATTTTCAATACAGAGGTTGGTTTTTACACTTAATTGTCAAATTAATCAAAATCTAATTTTTTCGACACACTTGAGATTTCCTCATTTGTAAAAGTTCTCTAAAATTTGTTGTTATATGGTATGCTAGTCAGGTATAAATCTTTATTTAATGATTTGACTTGGCGAGGTGTAAAGGACATTAACTGCTCAATAAATTTATTAATAAAAAAAAAATAATAATGTAATTTCATTCATTAATTTTAGAACTGACTAATTCTGTATTTAAATATATATAAAATAATAAAAAATCATATTATTAATCCTTGTCTTATAAGTATTATAAAATTAGAGATAAAAATAAGTTATCAAAAATCAAATTAAAGATTCTTTCATATTTATTACCTCATTAACAACAGAGATTATGTCAATTATTTTAATAGGCTTTGAAACAAATGCATCAAACCCTTTTTATTAACATTTCTCTTTCTCCTTAAGATCGTCATATCCTGTTAAGGCAATAATGAAGCTTGTATCAGTTAAATTGTCTTTCTCCTAGAATCACATAAAAATAAATATAAATATGATACCATAATCCTAATCTATTCTGTAGCTTCATATCCATTCATAATAGGCATTGTTAAATCCATAAAAATATATTGATATTTTTTTCCATTTAACCTATTAGCCCTAATCTTCTAAAGGGCTTATTCTCCATTGTAGGCTTCTTCAATATTAATAAAATCGTATTTCTTCATGATTAATCTGAATGCAAAGACATTAACTGGTGAATCATCAACAACTAAAATTGTACATGGTTATGGAAATAAGATTTTCATCATTTCTTCGATTGATTCATTAAATTATAATGGTTTACGATTTCTCATATGTAAAACAGGATACTCTAAACTTTCATTTTAGTCAACAAGTGTATTTATTGGACTTTTATTCATTTCAATATACCTTTAATTTTTATAAGCTTATGTGGCATAAGTGATATCATTATGAAACTCTAAATAATATTCAATATTTCTTGTTTTGGAATTATCAGAGTCTTCTAAATTTAAGGATATATTATTTATAGAACTGTCTCTTTAATATTATAATAATTTATTAGGATTTAAAGATCGAAATTATTATGTTTTATTAGATACTATTTTATCATTTATATCCTTTAATGTACCTAAAGATTTCTTATTTTGTTTTTTTTTGATTCCATTTAAATTACTGTTAATTGTATTAGAGTGGATGGTTTAGTTGAAAATAGTAAACTAAGAAGTTTAGAGTATATTAGCATTTTAATGATCATAGTAGCTTTATTTAGTATCTTATTTATATAAATTTGTCATTTCTTTTTAGTATTATTTAGTAGCACTATCTTTTTAATCAATATCTGTATATACATCAAAACTAAATGTTGATCCAACACCAACTTTACTGTTCAATTCAATTTTATCAGTAGGACCCAATAATCCAACTAACTTTTTACATATTACCAATCCTAAACCAATACCATGTTTATTTGAACCATTATTAGTAAAATCAAAAGTGCCATACATTTAAAATAACTTTGGTTTAATATTATCTGGAATACCTACTCCTGTATCTGAAACACTTATTGTAATTATTTTTTATTAACCTTCTTAATCAATATTTTTATAATCAACTAAAATATTTATATTGCCCTTTTAAGTAAATTTTAGGGAATTACTTAATAAATTTAATAATATCTATTTAATTCTATTCGGATCTGAATACATCATTCTATCTCCAAATGTGATTTATTTTTCAACCTAAATTCCTTTCTGACTAGCTTATAAAGAAATTAAATCTATAATCTCTTAAACAATAACTTATATATAAAATGTAGTGTTTGTTAATCTAAGAGTATTATTTTAAATTCTTGAGAAATCTAAAATGTCACTAATCATAAATAATAATAATTATGCCCATTTCTTTAATATTTTTAAATAATTAAGTGCATTTTAATCAACTACAATCCTTAAATTAAATTAAAAATACTTACTATTCTAGAAATTATACTATAGCCACTATGCCATTAATTGGTGTTTTGAAATCATGTGAAACACTTGCCAACAGTTCATCTTTATATTAATCTCTCTATTTTAATTCCTTAATCAAATTCTAATCTTATCGCTCTTATTAAGTTTTAAAAATGAGCATTGTAGCTGGTTGTTATTCCCAAACTATTTCTGAAACCTCTATATCAACTGGAAAGTAATTTTTAACATTACAATAAAATTCACTTTGAATTTCATTTTACAAAATATTGCAATTTTCCATTGTTTTTCCTCCTTAGTATATATAGTAATTATTGTCTACCAATTTTCTATTTGATAAGTAATTAATAAGACTATCCTTATCCTTTTAGGAATGTAACTGTCTTATAATTTAAGGTGTGATATCTACATATTCTGTAATAAACTAATCAGTCTTAAACAAAAATGCTAAGAATAACTAAATTTAATACCATTATTTTGAATTATACAGATTGGAATAGGTAGACTTACTTTAAAAAAATCTAAAAGTTGGTTAGTTTAGGTATTCTTAGAATTTCCATTACTTAAATTTTGATGAAGACCTTTGCATTAATTCAAAATTTTACATTTTATTACAATCATTAAATATCCAAATATAGTTAAATACGATAATGGTTATAAGTATAGATGAGCCCTGAAAAGTAAATAAAAGAGACAACTTATAAAGTAAATAAATTTCTATTTTTCCAATAGTAAATTGGCACTAAGAATAAAACGCATACTAATATAATAACATTTAATCTAGATTAATATATAATTTACATTCTCATCGGCAATTAGTAATTCATTTGATAAACAAATACTACCAATTAACAAAATCAATGATAGATTTTATCCATATTATCCTAAAAGTAAGAATATATCCAACATTAAAAAGAAACTTTACTAAGTTTAGGTAATACCATTATAAATTGACAAAATGGCGGATTATAAAATCAATGTCACAATAATTTTTGACATTTTTATTTACATTAAAATTATATTGATATTCTAAATTTTTTTTGAGCAAGGAAACATTATCATTATATGATAGCAGTCATAAAAAGAATCTATAATGTAATAATTATAATCAGAAATAATATTTATATAGTATCTTTTTGAGTCGATTTGTTTGTATTGGTTTTGGAAGGATATCTTTCATTCCGCTCTTATAAGCAATATCTATGTTTTCTTTACTATCAAATGCACTACACATTATGATGACAGTATTCATATTATTCTATTCTAAAAATTATTAAATTAGCTTAGTGGTTTAATATCCATCAATTCCAGGCATATCAATATCCATAAAAATTAATTTATAAGTGCATTAACATTTTTAATATCTACTTTTAACCATATCAATAGCCATTTAACCATCATATGCACTATCACTTTTAATATTAAAGTATTTTAAAACTGTAATAAAGGCTAAATGATTAAAAGGAATGTCATCCACAATTAATACATTTTAACAATTACATTTCTTTTTCACATAGCTCTTGTATGGTTCTTATATACATTCATCAGTTGGTATAGTTAATGTTTCATCATAAGATTACAAATCTTTTACAATAAATCTATTATTTGTAAATTGATTCAATTAACTTGTAATGAACAATTCACCATTATCGCATAATTATCTGGCTATTTAACTTGATACTTTTAAACCCAAACCTACATATTAAAGATAATCTTCTTCCCCTCTTCTTGCAAGATCCACTTCAGAATTTTATAGAATTTTATTAATTAAAAATAGTTTCTCAGTAGAAATCCCACATCCTGTATCATAGACTTCGAACTGATATAAGGATCCTACTCTTTATATATTCAACTTAATAATCCCTTTTTGTTTTGTAAATTTTACTGAATTGTTCAATAAATTAACTAAAATTTATAGTATCCTATCGAAATCACTTCTGATAAAAGCATCATCGCAAACTTATATTATAAATTCAATTTTCTTTTATTTACATTCAGCTTGAAAATAATCTTCTATTGTTTATATTAGATTAGATAATTTAAATATGGTAGGTCTTAATTGGAATGTTTACACTTCAAAATTTGCAAAATCCAAAATATCATTTATTTAATGAAGCAATTTTTTGTTAGAGATTATTGCAGGTTTTAGATATGTATCATTCAAATCTGATTTCACTTCTTATTCCAATGTTTGTAAGAGGGCTAAAGAACAATTTAAAGGAGTGCGTAATTCATGTGAGAATGAATTAATGAGCATTTATTAAAAATGATATCTATCCTTCATATCAATTTATTTCTCATTTTTGGTAATGTTTCTAATCGTGATCAAATATCCTTTAGATATCTCATATATCTTAATCTCATACGTTTTCTAACTAGTTTAATCTCTATATTTAAGAGAGTTAAAATTATTGATCATTCCTGAATTTTTGAATTTATTGATAATTTGAGCAAAATCAATAATATGGTTAAACTATTTATGAAAGGTTAGAGATATAGCTTTTTTTCTGGTCTAACTAAATGATTTCATTCTTCTCAATTAAAAGTCTGATCCATAATCTTCAGATGAATTGAACATAGATCTCTTTTCAAATCTTAATGCACTAGGATTCTATTACTGCTCTATCCAAGCTCTAATATGATAAAGTATTTTACTTATGAATCATTACAAATAGTTATTGCTATAAACTATTTTCTTCAATATTTGAACAATACTTTTTAGTCTTATTATTAGAATTAACAATTTTGTAATTCTTATCTAATAAACATATTCCTAAAGGAATATAATTGAAGAAATCAATAACATCATTAGAATCATTTTATGATGGAATTTCAGACTAAGTCAATTTTCTTTGAGATTGGCAATTTACTTTACTGTCAGATTGTTTTATATCCTAAAAATAAAAAAGTTATTACATGCAAATAAAAGTACACATTGAAGCTGATAAATAAAATACCTACATAAACCCAATCAATAATCTTGAAAGTGTTAAAAAATATTAAACTTGCTCTTAAAATATAAAATGACAATATAACGATCTTGTATTTGATGTTGTAATTAATTGATGCAATAATAACAGGTCCAAAAGGCTAATCATTCAAGCACAATTCTAAAAGTAAAATAATTCTTATATATTTCCAAATAAGTGTTTATTTCTTATGTATTGTCATTTTCATTAATATTGTAAATATATTCACTGAGGATATGACTATCAAATAAATATCATTTGAGAAACTTGCAGTAACTAGTAGTTTAAGAGCAAATGTTAAATGTATTCCTCCTTTACTTTTATAAAAAATCATAAAATTTAAATAATTCATTTACTCTTCTTAAATTCTTTCAAAGTTTAATGATAATAATAACCTTATAAGAATTTTCCATAATTATTTAAAAAGAAATTAACATAAAGAAAAAATAAACTTAAATATGATTTAAACAAAAAAGTGAAAAATACATATAATGTACTATAAAATAATATTAATTTTCTAATATGTCTAAAAAGTCTCAATTTATTGAGGACACATTATAATTCCTTTAAAATAATCTTCTTTACAATAATTTATATATAATTAATTTAATTTTAATAAATTATCAAAATGTGATAGCTATTAACTATCATTAAATAGTTATTGATAAGAATTGTAAATAATTTTATAAGAATAATAAATATTATTTATTTAATTCGAAATAATTTTTGTATATGCTATGTTATTTAAATTTCCTCTTTGCTATTTTATATTATTATTTTTTATTTTCTTAATTTCTAATTATTATTCCACTTTTTTAATCATAATTTTACATCTGTAAACTTTGAAGTTGCTCTTATTATAAAAAAAAGATATTTGATAATCAAAATGAATCATAAATTCTAAAATAATTTTTATTATTACTATTATTAATGTATTCATTTGCATACAAAGCAAAAACAGTATTCCTGTATTATTTCTTTTTATTGTAATTGATAAATTAAAGAATACTATAACAATTTAATGATGAAACACTCATTTTCTTAAATTTTATACTTATAATTATTTTACCTTAAACTCCTTCTCATGAAACTCCAGAAGGTAAATAAATCTATTCTCAATCTTCTACTATAAATTTTCCTTTCAAAATAAGTTGATGAAATCATTCTAATCAGTTAATCTTTCTATAAAAAATAATTCTAAATCATAAACTTTAGGATATTTTAAATGCTTGAAATCTTAAGTAAAAATTGAGATAACTGATTTAGTTTAGTTAAACTAATCTATTTTTATATAAATGATTCTTGTCCAAATGCAGAACGTTATTACTAATAACACAGAATAAATTAATTATGATAATTTCTTTTAAATATATTATCAAACTTTATTTATTGAAATTATCATAATCAATCAAGAATTAAACTTAAAATCCTTTTGTTTATTTATTCCCAAATCCCTATTATTTTATCTAAATATACTAAGTAATTAATATAAAAATCTCCTCAACATACTAAAATTTTATACAAATAAATATTTGTTATATAGTTTAGAAAAAAAATCAAAATTGGAAGTCTCATTAATTACTTCTTTCGGTTTTTATTCTAATCAGATCTTTGGAATTTTTAAAAGGATGTTATGCTATTATTCCACTAGTCCCTGAAAACTTTCGTAAAGGTTAAGTTATTGTTAAGGGTTTAACTATTAAGGCTTTTTTAATATCCAAATGGACTGATTTAGAGATTGGATCTAATCTATTTGATATCAGTTTATTTTGATTTATTAATATTTCTAGTTCATCCAACTGATTATTAAGATGTTGATTCTATGCTCTTAATCTTTCTGATTCTTTCAAACATAGGTTCATTTATTATCTTAAATGATTTTCTTTCTCAATTTGCTATTCCAATTAATTTTTGAGATATGTATTTTCTAATTCCAATTCATTAATTTTCTCAATCATTTATTAATTTTGACTATTTTTACTTGAAGTAGATGTACTAACAGTTTAGAACTCATCCTAATCAACAAATGATACTATTTTCATTAAGTCTATTTTGTTATTTCTTTATTCAAAATCAGACAATGATTAAAGACTACTTTAAATATTAGGTAATTGTGGATTCATAAGTAGCTCTGTTAATTATTCGATGGTCAAGGTTATTTTTGTATTACTATTCATTTTGTTAAATTAATTTAGAGATATTTCAATAATTTTCTATATATATTTATAATTAAGTAAAAAATGAATCAAAAAATTCAATTTATCCTTATAATACTAGAAATTCAATATAGAACCATATTGAATGTAAATTAAATTTCTTTGTAAATAATTCCTTTTTATTTACTTAAAGAGATTGAATATAATATAAATAAAAATTTTAATATGTTAAATTTATAAACCATATTAAGAGGATTTGAAGAAAATGGATTAAAATAGGAGAGTCTGTACAAGGCAGATGAAATATTGGCTAAATTAGATATTATGGCAAAGAAGGAATTTGATAGAGACATTGCAGAATAATTATTTTAGCAATGCAAACCAACTTAATTAAATTTGAAAATAGTTTATAGACTTGCAGATATTGGTTAAACAATCATAGATGCAATATAGCTATAATCAGAAAAAGCAAGGAATGCTGAATAATAACTTAAATAAATTTAATAAAATAAAGTTATATGTGAAAGTCAATTAGCAGAAACATGTTTGTTATAAATCTATAATTAGCTGTTTATTCAAATACTAGATACTTATTTCTGACATTATTATGTGCAAAAAACATTCCTTTATAGTTGAAATACACAAATTGTCACATTTAGTTAACTTTAGGGGTTATAAATTAAATTGCTAAACCAGAATAACAATATGATAAAGTTAATCCTGAATTTAATCAAGAATTCGAATTGTAAATATATTATTATTTAAAGTTAATATTAGTTCTGTTCCTCCTCTAATCTCTACTTTATAAATTCAATTTTACATCAGAACTGAAAACACTTTACCTATACTTTGGGGTTAAGCTTAATTAAAGATATAATAATTGGATGATCAAGTTATTAAATAAGTTGAGCTTAAATTAGTAGATCCAGTAGGTAGAGACCTTGGTTCCACTATTGAATTGGAAGCATAAATAGTATTAAACAAAGTAATTTTAAATATTTGCTAATAGATAACAGCATCAATATTTATAGGCGCAACTATAAAAATTTGAATAGAAAATTTTTACTTTAGATAATGATTTGATTGAATATAAGAATAATTTAGAAATAATTGAGAGACCATTCAAAGCTAAATAATTATCAAAAGAATAGAATAATAAGTAATTGTCATCAAATATATTTAATTAATAACTACATACTTCTTAAAATTAATAAGATTAAGATCAAAATATCTATGAAATAGATTAATAATAACATTAATTAAATTCACCTTAAGAACATAAAGAATAAATATTATCTATACTATAATCTGATAAATAAATAGAAATTTAAGATGAAACACCAGAAGCTCCTGAGATTCTTTAACATGGTGTTATCATATTCACAATCTATGGACTAATCACCTTATTTGTTTGTTCTGCCAAACCTTCTTTTTTAGATGTATATAATAATAATATATTTATATATATAGGTGTTAGTCTGTCATGGATTGATGTTCACTATTTTGATGGATAGATTTGAGCCATTTCATATTAAATTGGTTGGTGCAGGACTTCTTGCTTCAATTTTATATGATATTTTGTGGATGAAATAATATCATGTAGTGAATTTCTTATTAAATTAGTTATGGTGGTATAGTGATGATTAAAATAATCCAGAATGGGGATTGAATGCTGTTAATTTATTAAGATTTGTTCTAATCTTTACTTATATGTAATTCCTATACAAAGTATTTTACTTAAATTATTAGTAGTTTGTTGTATGTTATTATTTATATTAATTTCATAGAGAATCCATAGACCCTACTAAAAGATATGTATTTACTATTTGGAAAATATAATATAAAGTGGGTAAGAATAGAGAAAGTGTTTCTTGGTAATGATCAAATTTTAACTATAATTATGCAATTTCTTTGCTTTTATTTTTAAATAATTTAATTATGAACATCTTACGAATCGTTTATAGATATAGTCAATCTTTTTCCTATCGTTTGAGTGAACAAGGTTAAGGTTTCTCTTATAAAATTAATCTACATTGCAATGATACTATAAAATCCTTTTGGCATGATATACCCATCTATCCAATAAAAGATTAATATAACATAATAAATGTTGGAATTGAAATACCTAAAGAAAGGTTAGCTAAATTTGAAGTAAGTAAAACCATTAAATATAATCCAATTGTGTAAGATTAAAAGAAAAAAAAAAATTCTGATGAAAAAGAACTTAGATATTATGCTTAATTTGCACCATTTAATTATGGTTTTATTCCATAAACATGGGAAAATTCAACTGTTGATTTACATGATGGATTTAAGGGAGATGATGATCCTTTAGATATTTTGGAATTTAGTATTCAAAAAGAATATAAACCTGGGGATATATTTTAAGCTAAAATAATTGGAGCCTTTTGTGTTTTAGATCAAGGTGAAATAGATTGGAAGATATTAGTATTGAACACTGAGGAAGCTGATAAATTTAAAATTAATGATTTTCATGATTTTGAGAAATAACATAGTGATATAAGTAGATTGATTTTAAATAGATTTCGTTATATAAAGACTTTTGAAGGAAAAAAGGAGAATTCAATTTTATTCAATAATTAAATCTTTGATGCAAATAAAGCAATTGATATTGTTAAAGATGGTTATAAATAATATTAAGATTTACTTAAAGATCCTAAATTAAATAAAAAAAGAGAGGAATTTTAAATTACTGAATGAATATCATGTTAAATATACAATTTACTCAAGATAACAATAAATGTCTCTATTAATATAGAGTTAATAAAATTTAAAATTAATCATAATTTCTTAATTCATTATTACACTTGTTATTAATTTTCTTATTGTTCTAAGTTCTATTATTCTAATTATCTAGCTAATTCTTCTTCAGCTAATCTTTAATCTTCTATTTCTTTTAATCTTCTTTCTTCTTCTTGTCTTTTCATTTCCTCTTTTTCTCTTTTCTTTCTTGCAATTTCTTCATAATGATTTTCAATAAATTATTTTCTTCTTAGAATAGAATTAGCATGTGCATTTGTAAGTGAATCTTCTACATCAAATAAAATATCTAAATATTATATTTAAATTTACTATTGAAATTGCTTTAATTTCCATCTTCATCAATTAAATCATTCAATATATTTGAATACATCCAAGGTAGATATTCAGATAATAAAGCTGTTTCTAAAGGATCTCTATAAACTCCTAAATCTTAGAGTTTTTTGAATGTATTTTACTTTAAAGGAGATATCAAAGATTTTGATAAAGTTCTACAGATAATTTTCTAATGACTTTGTTTTTATATTTTAAGAAATGTTTCATATTATAATTTTCTTCTTGCTTCTTCTTAATCTAATCTCTATTAAACAGCTTCTAATCTTTGCATTTCTGATAAAACAGATGTCTTTTATTTTTCATGTTGCTTTTATTATAATTTCATCAATTTTATTTCTTCTTCTTCTAATACTTCCATTCTTGATTACTCCAAAATTTTATTCATTAACACCTATAAAATAGGTTCAACTTCTTAGTCAAAATCGAATAGATCACCTTCCCATATTTATGTTTCCTATTAAAATAGTATAAATTTATTATACTTTATCAATTCCATTTTTCTTTGGTACAAATAATCTATCAGGAGGCTTATCTATATAATAATCTGTTTAGGCATCCATTTCTTATTCTGGAGGTTTATCAGTTAGAATTTCAAGATACTCATCAGTTTGTATGTCAATATTCACACGATTCTAAAATGGTCTTGGTGTTTAAGGATGTAGATAAGTGGTTTATGTTTAAGGAGCCTATTTGGATAGTTTGATTATGTAACTGCTTTTTAGGTAGGTTTTTTGAATGATTTCAAAGTCATTAATTTCTTATCACCTTAAGTTTATACACTTGCATAAGTATTCCCCCTTATAACTCTCTTGTCAAACATTATATTGCATCCAAGTAATGAACTTTTTATATAAATTTGAATCTCAACCTATCCTTTTGTTCTTCTGATTACTATATTACTTATGGTCTATATTTGGTCTTTGGTTTCACTACTTCTGGAGCAGCTTTAAATTCATAATTTTCTGCTGCCAACGCTTATGCCATATTTATTATTAAATATTATATATATATAAATTGTATATTATATATATATATAAATTGTATATAGATTTTAAATAAAAAAATAACGAATCAATCATTCTATTTTAGAATTCTTTGATGCTATTTTTATGGCTTCTATCATTTAATTCCAAAATTCTTCAACCACTACTCTCCTGGCAAATTATAGAGTTGGTTCTTTTCCTAAAATTCCATGTTTATCAACTACTGTTCTCCCATAACATAATTTAGATTCACAATCTACAGCAACAAAAAGTGGTTTGGTTGTATAAAGTTCAGGTTGAAGTGCATAAAACACAGCAACAGCTATAATATATATAAGGAATATGTATTACGATCATGAATAGGAGGGAAATCGAATTCTTCAGCTTTGTAGGCAGCCTAAAATTCCTTAAGCATTTCTAGACACCAATCTGAAAATTTTGTATTGATGTCTTAAATCTTCTATTATATAGGCTCAACCAATAAGCATGTCTTAATAATTAATTATATAATACGTATGTTAGATCTAATGCAATCATCACTAGTTTTAATTTATGTTTTTTGCAAGTATCTATTACAAATTATGCTGCCTCTGGATCTGAATAAATATTATATTCTGAATTCGGTGTTGCATTACCAAATCCTGAAGTTCCTCCCATAAAAATAATCTCTGATATCTAAGGGATGAGTTCTGGATGATCTCTTAATAAAATTGCTATATTTGTTTATGGGCCTGTTACAATTATTACGAACTATGTTATTTAAGATATATTAATACCTTTTATTCCCCAGCAGTCTTTTTAATTAGGTCATTCAATGAGATATTTTATACTGGTTCAAAAGTTTGGATCAATTTTTCTGCTCCAAATAATCCTATTCATCTTATTAAATCAAATACAACCTAATTTTCCATGCACTTCAGCTGAAGCCTTCACAGATCTTAATGAACAATCAGCTCCTCTAAATACTGGTACATCAGACCTGCCTACGGAACTCAATATTCTGATTGTATTGGCTGTACAGTTCTCGAGACTAGGTCGTTATGTCAAAAATACCATGTATTTCCAAAACAGGTTGACACCCCCAATAGATTTGACTTGGGATGAAACAAAGCTAAAATGATTGCCATTGCATCATCATTTCCAACATCACAATCTAACCAAATATTAACTTTTTCAAGTTCCATAAGAATATGAATAAATATTTATAATTTTTAATATCATTCATTGTCAACATTAAAACTCCTTTTATATAAATATTCTGCCTATTTTATAATAGAATTTCAAATACTAAAAATTCAACTGGATCATCAGGTAAAATATGTGCCACTTCTACTAATCCTTCATTCAAAACTGGCACAACAAAATCCATTAAATAATTTCTAAAAGGAAATTGTTTGACTTATTATAATTCTTATTCTTATTCCTATATGTATTTTGTATACTTTGTAACCAAATCTTATCTTTTATCTTTTTTCACTTTTGTTATTTCTTTCCAAATTTAAATAGATTATTTTCTAGTATACTTTATTGTTAAATCTTTAATTTTCTATAAATTAAAATATAAAACTATTAATTCTTTTTCATTTTATAAATAATTATAAGGTCTTCCATTCTAATATGATAAAATTAATAATTACTCTTTCAATATAAATTCTTAAATCTTCAAAAGTATCATGATTTGTTTTCTTTCTTGGATCAATAAAATAAGCATCCAAATTTCTTTCACTAAAGAAATTAATCAATTTCCTGTTATAATCAAAATTATCAGTTTTGCCTAATGGTTTAATTACTATATAAGATTCAGGGAAAAAATCCTCTGGTTTTGGACCACCTTCTTATTCTTCCTCTTGTTATTCTTCTTCTTATTATTCTTCTTCTTATTATTCCTCTTATTATTGTTCTTCCTATTATTATTCCTCTGCCTATTCTTATTCAATAGGATCTCCATTTTCATCAACAGCAGGTTCTTGAGGTTACTTCTTTTCTTCTTCTGTAACAACTGGTTTTTTTTTAGGTTTTTTTTTCATTTTTAATTTCTATTTATTTGGATAGAAAATGTAATCAGCTTCTTCAAAGAAATTTGGAAAATTTTATAAAATAAATCCTCTGTTTTAACAATCATTTTAACTTAATCTCCATTTAATTACTTTATAATAAATTTTTAATTATTCTGACAATTATGCAGGAGCTTTAGTATTAATATATTCTTGAATAACAGGCCAATATTCATTAAAATCTTCTTATATTTCTGATGGAAATACATAATTTGGATCTTAAGCATCTTTAAATATTTATTCTTAATTAATCACTGGAATTCTATAATGATCACTAATCATAGTTAAAATATCTTAAAATCTCATATTTTCAGCTTTAGATTCCATTATTATTTTAATAGGTCTTAATTTATGTATTGATGTAAATTCTTATAATATTTTCTTAGCATTAAATGCAATTCCTTTTTCACAATGCCATTCAAAATCAGATGGAGTTTCTTCATTTCCAATGAACATTTAAGATGTTTTACAATCCAAATGTAATCTAAAGCAATCCATTTCTTCTGGAGTGAAATCCTTAAAAAAATCATCATTTTATTCAATCCATCCACTTCCAACTCCAGTTGCAATACCTTGAATTATAGCTTTTTATGTTCTATCTTAAGTATTATCAACAGCAAAAATATAATTTGACTCTGGAATAGATTCAGAAACCTTGACAATCATTTTTACTAGATCAGTTATATGAACAGTTGGTACTTTATTATTACCATCTGATTAATAACTTAATTTATATGGTTATTATAACCAAGCTTTCTTATTATTAAATTGAATAATTTACTTTAAAATATTTTTAAAAGAGTAATTCTCCTTTTCCATATATTAAACCAGAACATACAACGATTACTTTTAAGTTTTCTTTTTACAAACCTAATACCATATCTTCCCATTCCTTTAATTATTAATATTAAGTAGAAGCACTTCTCAATTTATAATCACTTTCCTCCCAAGGTACATATTCTATAATCTCTGGAACTTCATTTATTTATTATTATTAAATCTATTATTAATCTTATTCCTAATCTTAATTTTCATCTTCTTTTGGTTCTTGATTTTCTTCTGCTTCTGCTTCTTCCTTTTTTTATTATTGTTCTTGTTACTCTTATTATTCACCCTCTTATTCTTCATCTGCTTTTTTTTCTACTTTTGGTTTCACTTTGTCTGGCATTGCACTCCATGTTAAAACAGATGAAACTAGAATTAAAACCTTTTAATAGTATAGAATTATACTTTCTATTCTTCTAATGTTGTTTTGCTATTCCTAAAGATATCACATACAAAATCTAAATCTGTTTAAGTTGCAGAAGCTACATCATACACATAAACATCGCATTCTTCAAGCATCTTTTTTCTAGACAACTTAGGTTTGTAACTAAAATATGTAATTTTCATACCGTTTCAATATTTTCTTAAAACCTTTTGGTGGCATCTTATTTGGATCATCAATAGTATATGTTGCCATATGCACACCTTCTTCAGTATCTTCTTTTACTAATTATGAATAGAACTCTTAGCCTAATGGACTATCTAAATTATTGATAAAATATCTCTTTGACATATATGTAAATTTTATATTTTTAAATTATTTTATATTCGAGATTAATAAATAATATATACAAAATCAAGCCTTTTTATTTATCTTTAGTATGTTTTTCTTTTAAATTTTTAGTGGTAAATGTACATTAGTAATGTTATTTAACTTTTATTTTGAAAATTTGTTTAGTTTTTTATTTAACCCAACAGACTCATTTTAAATGTAATTCAACTTCTGTAAATAATTTATTTCACTCGTTTATATCATAACAAAATCTTCTTATTGAAAATATTCACCATCACTTAAGTTAGATCTAGTTTCTAATGATTCAAAATTTTCATCATTTTTAAAACTCTATTATTTTTCTTATTTTTTTATTTCAATAGGATGAGTATTTTTTTGTATAAATTGATTTAACTAAAAGAATTCATTTTCTTTAACTTTATTCCTTTTTTATATTTCATCATCATCTTTATTATCTAGAAGAATACATTTTCCAAAAAATTCTTCTGATAAAGTTTAAAACTCATCTTAATCATTCTCAAAGTAAGAGAGTCCATAATTATCTTCATCTACATTTATTTCTTTTTTATTTTCTTATGGTGACTTTTTAGTTTTTCTTTAAATTGGTTTTATGATTATCCTTTCTTAATTACTCATTTAATTTAATTTAATAGAAAAATTTTTATTTTAATAAGGCTTTAAAATAGTTATAATTCTATAAATACAATTCTATTATTTAATATTGATTATTATCTAGATTAATCCCAATGTTAGGTAGAATTTAAATTAAAAGTATTATTGATTTATAAATGAGAGATTCATTAATAAGAATATTAATTAATAAGATATTCATAAATCAGTTTTTAAACATCCCAATTACGTTTGAGTAATTACAATTAATCTTATGAGATTGTTATTTATTTTTTTGATGTTATTTTTGCATATTATTGAATTTATAATAAATTATTAATTTAATTCGTTCCTCTTTAGATTTTAGGTTTTACAATAAGTTCTGTTTTTTATATTACAGGATCAGAGCCCTTACGTTTTCCTCTTTTTTCTGGTAATAATTATTCACTCATATCTGAAGTTGTTGATTAATTTTCTTTTTTAGAATAATAAGTCGAAGAGGTCTCAACAGTTGACCATTTTAATGATTTTTTCTTTTTTTAAGGTAATTTTCCTATCTCTTCACTCATAATTTCATCATTTTCATTAGAAATATCTTCACTATCATATTATTATTCAGATTTTGTAGCTTTAAATTCTTCTTCTTAAGCTTAATATTTATCTCTTTCTTATTAAGTTTTAAAAACATAAACTTCAGCCTTTAAATTAAGTTTTTCACATATTAAATAATGATTTCCAACCTTACAATCAAACTTATATTATTCCTCTAATTTTAATGGCTTACTTTTTTATTATATAAATGTAAATGTCAATCCCTCTTCTTATTTATTTTTTATATTTAATTTATCAGTTTTTAAAAGATATAACCTACATGGAGTCAACTCCTTATTGGAAATGGTGATCATTAATTAAATAATTATAAAATATTAAAATGCTATCATTAATTTAAGGAGACATATTTCAATAATAGTTTGAAGCAATTGTATTACCATCTGATATAGCATTATTAAAAGCCCCTGGTTTATAATAATTACATCATTAATTATAATAACAATGCAATGAATTTAAAACAAACTAAACAATCTTAAGTTAAATTTAATAGACATCTGTCATTACATTATCTATAAATCATAATTAATTTAAATACATCATTCATTGTATAGTACCAAAATAAGATATAAATACTAAAGAGTTATCAATGTCACTTTTATTAGAGATATTATTTCAAAATATGTAATATTAATAAGTCTAATAGAAATTAGTTTTTATGAAATCTCTTTTCAAAAAATAAAATCTATTCTAATACCAGTGCTTGGTTGTGATAATGCAGATTTTTCTATTATTGAATTTTTGAATACTTTTAAATTAATTTATGAAGATTAAAGATAGAATTTTATAGATGTTAAATTTATATTGATTTCCTAAAGTTAATAAGAATATGAACTTATCAAAAAATATTTCCAAATTGCAAATCCAAACACTTTAACTATTAATGATATTTATTAAACAATTCCTTAAGGAAATTCAACATCTATAACTGAAAAATTTAAATAATATATTCAATAGAATATAAAAAATAATGAAATTTAGAAATCAAACTTCTCAGATGGAAGTGAAATTGCATAATATAGAAAGGAATATAATGCAAATCTCTCTAAAAAATAATAATAAGATTAATAAATTTTAGGAAATTCTTTAGGAAATTCTTTAAACTAAAATATAAATTAAAACAACATCCATTATTAAAGTGAAAACTTAAAATAATAATAAATTGATAGACTCTAATAATCAAATCAATCAATTATAATCACATCTGCTCCTCTCCTTTAATAGAATACTATGTTTCTTACTTTATTTATTTAGATAGATAATATTATATTAGAATAGAAGGATTTAATCAAATTTATGCTTTAAGTATGTTATGATCTCTATAAACTTCATTAATAATTATTTTAAAATATAGAAAATGTTGAATAATCTAATTAATTGTTTAATTACAAACTTTATTATAATTAGTCTGCAAATCTTAATGAACTTTAACCTTATTGTCCACCTGAAATGTCAGAAAATTAATATATATCGGAAACTCATGATTCATATTCAATTGGTAAATTTTTCAAAATGGTTCTAGAAATTAACTATAAATCAGATTAAGAAGACTGTAATTAAATAAATTATAATTATAGTATAACAAATTAATTAAATTTAATAATTATTAGATAAATTAATTTCTCAAGCAAACCAAAGACCATAAATAGATGATATATTTAATTTTTTATTATCACTTTAATTAGATGAATCATTAATTGAGTATTGGACTTAAGTTTAAAAGAATATAAATTATTTTTATAGAAAACGTGGTAATATGCAGAAGATTTCAGATATTAAAAAATAAATGTTAATGAAAATCTCTCCTATATATCTTAATAATTATAAAACAGAGGATTAGTATTAAGATCTTAATCAATAATTAAATCATTAAGACTCTAATTCATCATTATTCAATAATATTCAATAAATTAAATTCAAATAAGATTGTGAATATGCATAAAGGGAATAAAATTATAAATTTTGTTAAATTGATTGTGTAGTTATTCCTGTTGATAAATATTAATTTAAATAAAGCTTACCTACTTACATAAAATTTGATTCAATATTAGATAAGGTACTTGATAAAATCATAAATTTGGCTTAAAAAGATAAAGAACATTATTTGTAATCAATAAGATCATATGTACCAATTTTTGGTTGTAATTCTATTCTATTAGTATTTTGTCCAAATCAAAATTAGACTGTAGAAGGATAGATTTAATTAACCAATTGCTTTAGTGATATGTAAGTTTTATTTTATATTTATTAAGACTATTGTATACTTTAAAATGTTAGAAAATTAATACATTTTGCCTATGTTTGGATGAAATTTCTAAAAAATTGATAGTAAATCAAAATGATTTATCAATGAATATATTAATTAAATCATTTGAAGAAACTTGTAACAAGAGTCCTGATCCTATAATTTGGAATGAAATATAATTTAATAACTAAAAATGGATTGTTGTTAAAAAAAGTAATTAAAATAATTAATACTTAGATCCTTTCAAACTTAAATTGCTTGAATAATCAATTATTATTCATAATTAAGATATTACTTAAATCAAAGGAATTGATGCTATTGTAAATGTAACTGACCCTCATCTTTCCAATTAAGGGGGAATTTGCAAAGCTATCTTTCAAGCTGCAGGTGAAAATCTATTAGTTTAAGAAATTAAGATGATGTTTTAAAAACTTGGAAAAAAATAGCTTGATACTTCTGAAGTAGTTGTTACTAAAAGTTACAATCTAGAATTAGAAAATGGACCAAAATATATATTTCATACTGTTGGTCCTAAATATAATTCCTAAGACCCTTAAAAGTCAATAGAATAATTAAGTAAATGCATTTTTAATATGTATACTTTTATAATTTAAATATATTCATAGATTACAAAAATGTCAGGAATATAAAATATCATCAATAGCAATACCACCTATTTCAGCAAGAAATTGTGATTTTCCAAAATATTAATGTGCTTAAATCTTTTATTCAGCATTTCTAAAATTTTAATTTAAAAATTAAATGTCTATACATATAATTGATGTGATAGACAATATAGTTGAAATATTTTAAATTATTTTTAAAGGTGAAAAATTAAGATAAACTATTCATTCCAAAATAGATTTTACTCCCCCAACAGATTGTTTAGTTTGTCCAATAGATATTAATAATTATAATTCTTAAGCTCTAAAAAGAATTATTGAGTTAGCTGGACCTTCCTTTTAAAATGAATTAGAATATCAAATAAAAAATTACTAAAAAAAAGATGATTAAAAATAATGTTAAAGCTTTTTATTACAAGGTCATAAAATGAAATTCAATAACATTTATCAAATTTTGATGATTTCTAAACCATTAAATATCATTGATAAATAAACACTTCTATATTAAGTATTTTTTTAAATGTATTTATTTTTTTGCATAAAATAGATTGGTTGAGACTTTCCTAAAGAAAAAATTCACCTCAATTACAATATTATTTTATAGTATTCTTCAATAATTTTTGAATAATTAAGATGATTTAATAAAAAATGGAGGAGAACAAGCTATCAATATATTCCAAAAAGCAATTCAGAATTACTAGGAAAAATATTTGTAAGAATGTGGAAAAATTACAATATTATCAAATGTAGCATAATTTTGCACTGATTGTGAATTAATTTTTAAATGAATTAAATATTAATATATTTTTCATCATTCTAAAATTTAAAGTGCTCATTGAAATAAAATAATTAAATTTTAATTTATTAGATTACAATCAATTTTTGATAATCACTTCAATATATAAAGTCAATTCTCAAAATACTATTGAATAAAAATTGATTTATCACATATTATCCTAAATATAATTATATTATATTAGATTTAAAAATTTCCCTTAAAACGTATTTACTCATTACTTAATTCAAAAAAAATATACAATTATGTTTAGAAATTGAATAAATAGAGCATTTACTGAGAAGGATTATGAATATTGTTATTCCATAATGTTTCAAATGAATTTCGATGATTTTGGATTAAAAAATAAACTCAATAAATATGTGGAGAGTAATTTAAAATAAATAGTAAATCATCAGAAGGTTTTGAAAATGAATAATAATTAGTTTTATAGGCTTGAAAGGGTAAAAATAAAATAAAAATTGTTCAAAAACAAGGTAGCCAAATGCTCATAATAAATAACTTTTTCTCAATTATGATTTTTCCTAAATAATGACTTTTTCACTACTTATACCTTCATATAATATTTTTAGAAACAAGAATATAAATATTAAAACACTTATTTAAATTTTAATATTCAAGAATTTTCTTGTAATCAAACAATCTATATTTATATTATGAAGATATTTTCTACTTTTTAATAATTAAATTTAAAATCAAAAGAATGAGCATACCAGAATTGCATAATTTAGAATACTCTTAGACCTAATCTAAAGCATTATCTCATCCTATTTCATTCTCTAAAACTTCAAAAATCAAAATATCCAAAAGTTATATAGAAATTTAAGATGTATAATACAAATTTTTACACTATATTAGAAAAAAATCAATAAGATGATAACAATTAATATCGATGATATAAAATTGATGACATGGATAAAGCAGTATTTTTAATTATAAATATTATAGTGAAGATTTCTATGAGGTAACCTTTCAATATAAACAGAACTTTCAAGATAAATTCATTTTTGATATCTTAAGTGGGACATTAGGACACTAAGCCCTTGTTAAAAAGATAGCATAAGACAATTTTACAGAAAACTATGAAATGCTTGAGACTATTAAAAGAACACAAAATGGAGAGGTATAAAAAATATATATAGTCTAAAGATTATAAAATGTCGTAGACGAGAAAATAATGAAGTATTTGTTGCAAAAATACAACAAAATAATCATTTTCTCATAGAGAGAGAACTATAAATCAATTTATACCTTGCTGAAAATCCACATGAAAATGTAGCGAGTATGGTCGAATATTACTTTGAGAATGACCAAATAATACTTATGTATCCGTATTTTTCAGGTGGTACTTTAAATTAACTTGTCAACACTTATGCTAACAACATAAGTAAGCTCAAAGTAAAATCTATAATGAAAAAAATTTTATCTGGATTGAATCACATTCATAATCTTGGCATTATACATAGAGATATAAAAATGGATAATATTATGATAGAAGAAATTGATGATCATAAATGTGTTAAAATCATTGATTTTGGATTTTCAGCATTCAAAGATAATTTAAGTTACTTATCTGAAAAATGTGGCACTATTGGGTACTTTGCTCCTGAGATTATTAATGGATAGTTTTACAATAATAAATGTGATATATACAGTCTAGCTTAAGTGTTTCACATGCTTTTAACAGGAAATCCAATGTTCGATAGAAATATGAATACATAATAAATTATTAGGTTATCTAAAAATAATTTATTCGCTATTGATTATAGAAATATCAAAGAGAGTAAGGCTTAATAACTATTATTCAAAATGCTTGACTTTTAGGAAAAAAGATATGATGTATAACTATGTTTAGAGCATTCTTATTTCTTTAAAGCTGAGAATTTAGAATTAAAGTAATTTTTTTAATTTAATATAGAATTAATAATGTAAGAACCTTTGAGTTCAAGTCTCCTTTCTGAAATCATGAATTTTATGAAAATAATATGTTTATTGGCATTTTTTAATTTTCAAACTTGATAATATTTCTTTATAAATTATATATGAAAATATTTGTGATACATTTCACAAATTTAAAATTGATTAATTAATTAAATTATATTATTTAGATAATATATAACATTAAGAATATTCTTAATAGGATTCCCAATTAATATGTGGATACTGTTGTTGATCACTTACTCTATATTTCCTTTCATTAATTTATATTATTCTTATCATCTAATAATTTATAACTTTATCTAAATATTTATACTTAGATAAATTTTTCGGTTAAAGTGAAATGGCAAAAGTTTTTAAAAAAGCATAGGTTGATTTTTTTATTATTATTCTGATGTGATTTAGTTCTTAGATTCAAAATTCCCATAAAAAATAAACTTATTTGATTTTTGAGAAAATCATTATATATAAATTTTTTAATTTCAATATTCAAAATAATGTATGTTTAATTACAAATAAAAATGCAATAAAAATATTTAAGCCAACTAAAACACAAATACATTTCTAGGCTCTATCACTAGTTTCATGTTTTGTGTTTGCTTATACTAATTATTATTTTCCTTTTTTAATTCTTGTAAAAGTTTGATCAATATTGAAATCAATACGATCCAATAATGTTCCTTACTCTATGACTAATCGATTCATTTCAATAAATAATTCATTCATTTTTTTCAATTTCTCTCCTAATTATTTGATTCTATCATTTCTATCCAAAATTAAAGTTTCAATATATTCCTATTCAAAATCAACTTTTAAGTTTTGTGATGGTCTTTCTAATTGTACTTATCTCAACATTTAATTTTAATAATTTCTTAATTATGGAGTGACTTCTTTTAAAGATATGCCCAAACACATTTTGGCATTTTATTTAATTTTATATTCAAGATCATTTTCACAATCATCTGTTTCCATTATTTATAAATTCTCTTCAATATCTCTAATCATCTACTATACTCAGATTTTAACCTGTAATGCTTAATCAAGTTTCCCTTGTATTACTTATTCATTGAATTGTGCTTTTGGCCCACCATCCTTTGAAGTCTTCAACTTTTCAATTTCCTAATTTAAAATTCCAACTTTTTATATAGTATCCCTAGTTTCTTCCATTTTATCAACCCATTTAGGAGGTAGTTTGTATATTCTTATACTATTATTTAGATCAGGTGATTTGTATTTCTATTTCTTTAATTATAACTCCTTTGTTCTATTTTTTATATAGCCTATTGATCTTTGCATTATTTCAAATTACTAATATAATAATAATCATTTATTATGAAAAATAAAGCCAACTCTTAAATCCCATTTCCAATAGCCTCTAATAAAATGAACCATTTTCAATTGCCATTACTTGGGAAAAAGAAGAGAAAGGCACATACTAAAAATCCTTTCAAAACAAAAATCTACTATATTCCTGATGACACTGTTATGAGAGTAAAATGTTTAGATGGGTTTTTAATGATTAATGTAACTAATAATGATAATCCACATGAAATTATCAGAGCAAATTTATCAAGTTTAGTATTGGCATAATTTATTTAGGACTTCGTATATAAAATAGTAAACCTGAGGATTTTTAATATTTTCTAAATTTGTAAGATTTGGATGTATCTGAGAATTAATTATAATTAGAAGATTTAACCTCATTTCCAACTTTGAAAGTTTTAAAAATATGTGCTAACAACATTAGAAATATTGAAATAACTCATAAAAATACATTTGAATAATTATAACATCTTGATTTATCATTTAACTATTTAACAAAAGAAGCTATAAGTTCACTAAAACATATTACAGAATTAAAGGAATTATATTTAGTTAGAAATGAATTACTAGAATTACCAACAGATATGTCAGAATTTACAAAATTAGAATTGTTAGATATAAGTGATAATGCATTTTAATCTAATTAGACAGCATCAGTCTTATGGGAAGTGTTAGGATAGATACCAGAACTTAAAACCTTAAATATTAGTAAGAATTTCTTAAGAGGTATACATACTGAAAGATTAGTTGTTGGATATTTTAATAAATTAGAAAATTTAGATTTCTCTTATAATATTGCTGAAAATTAACATAATCTAATATGTGCTCGTAATTTTACTAATCTTAAGAAAATTATTATTACAGGAAATCCATTTGGAATTACTAGAGATCATTAAGGTTTAGAAATGGAAATTCATGCTAGAACTGGAGGTATTTTGATAAATGAAGAAATTGAAAAATCTTATCTTAAGAAACCTAAGGTTAAAAGACCTCCTTGTAAATTTGAATAATTAAAAAGAGTTGAAAATGATATTCTAAAATTACCAGGAATTGAATAATCTAAAGATGGGTTCTTGTTATAAAATGAAGATGAATAATCACAAATTGATGAGAATTAAGAGGACAATATGTTTGTAACTGAAAATTAACAAATTAAATAATAATAATAAAAAATATAATAGCAGTATTAATTGTTAAATAATAATTAAAAACCATAATCATATGAAGAATTTAAGAAATTAGCCTAAGAAATATTAGGTGATAGTAAAGAATATGATTAAAATTAAAATTCATCTGGAAGACCAGTATTAGATTTAACTAAAGCATATCAATAATTAAAAAGTGTTATTAATAAACCAGAAGTTGTAGATTATGAAGATTATAAAGAACCTAATTATATGAAACCTACAGCAAGTATTCCAAGATATAAATACTAATGTACATATATATATTATATTTATAATAGAAGTTGATGATCCTGAAGATGAAAGCATTTAAAAAAGAACAGATAATAACAACATCAATTCAGAAGAGAATGAAGATTTTAATCTTGAATTATTATAGTAAGGATAAAACTAAGCACAATTTTAATAATGATCAATTACATGATTATTTGGCATTTTAACAATTCAAATAATTTAATTTCTATATTATTTCATCTTGATAAGTCAAATTTTGTAATGCTTATCTTGAACCAAAATTATAAATATAAGTTTTATAAATGATTCAATCTATCCAAACAAGTTAAGAGATTTATATTCAATAAAGTATTCCATCATTAAAAATAAAGATAAAAATAGAAATAAAGAAATTAAATCCAATATACTTTCTTTGTTATCTAAGCATAATATTATTAAAATTTATATTAATCTTAATATTGATACAAAATTAAATAATATATTTAATTATGTTTAATTAACTTATTAAAACATAGAGGTTTTCTGTCAAAATCATAAAAGAAAATATTGTCAAATTAGTTGATGTTGATGCTATTGTAAATGCAGCAAACTAAGAATTACTTCCTGGAGGTGGAGTTTGTGGTGCAATATTCTAAGCAGCTGGAAGAGAATTAGAAAGGGAATGTTAATAATACATTTAACAATATGGTATTGTACCCACATCAAAATTGGCTGTTACAAGTAGTTGCTAACTTAAAAAAAATAACATAAAATATATAATTCATGCAGTAGGGCCAAAATATTTTGAATCTTAAAGTCCAGAAGAGGAATTGTAAATATGTGTATAGAATATGTATTTTTATTTACATAATTATTAAACTAGACTAAATCAATCATTTAATCAATTGAGATTGAAGTCAGTTGCAATTCCAGCTATTTCAAGTGGAATTTATGGTTTTCCAAAAGGATTGTGTGCATAAATATTTAAGTTTGTTATTGAAGAATATCAAAAGGAAACATCTAATAATTAGGGTGAGATCATTTTATGTAATTTTGATTAAGAAACAACAACAATATTTCAAAAAGTATTTTAGTAATAAAACTCATTTTGATAACAATATACTATTATATGCATAACAATTATTTTTTATCTCATTTTTTTTGGATTATTATGTTTAAATAGTCAATCTAAAGAAATCAATTTGGAAATTTAGAAATCTACAAGAAAATATCAAAATCTTAAAAATAACTTTGATTAGTAAAAATACAAATATTATTGTGAAAATTATATTAAAATTAAAATTAAATGGAAAATATTTTAAAACATAAACATAATCATTCAAAACACAAGTAGTGAACTTAAATAGATAACATAATGATATTAAGAAGACATTAAACTCATGAGAAGCATTTGAAGAATTAGTATTATTGACCAAGATCTGCTTCAGTAAAAATTATAATTAGTAACAATTTGAATCCATAAAATTGTTAGAAATTCTGTTAGAAAGATCATTGAGAAATTTAACTTAAAGATTTTGAGTAAAATAAATAGGTTAGTCAGTAAGTGTCATTTTTAATTTTGAATCAATATATTAATATAGAATCATTAACAGATAAATAAAATTAGCTATAACCTCAATATTGATTACTTTTGAATTTTGGACCTTGTGAGATAATCATAAGTAAAAAGGAGATTAAACTAATTAATTTTTATTATTAAGAATGAGTCAAATAGAATTATTAGAGATATTAGTTGAGAATAATGAAATAAGGAGGATGGTAGTCATTAGAGTAGACGAGCAAACTCAGTTTGAGGAACCAGTGAAAAAGTCTTACAAGATTTCATCTTATTAACATTATCAAAAAATGATTTGATATGAATTTTAGGGAATCAAATAAAAACTATTATTTATTTTTAATTATTTATATGGGCTTTTGAAAGAGAGATTATTGGATGTACTTTGAAATAGATTTTAGGCAAAAACCAAAAAAAAAATGATAGATTTATTAAAGTTTAAATTCAAATTAATACAACTAATATCAATTATAAATTTAGGGAATGGTTAATCAGGTAATGTATATTTATTTCATAAAACAATTATGAACTAAAATGAATATCATAAAGATAGATAATAACTTAAAATCTTGAGTAATATTGATTTAGGGGAAATTGACATAATATGTAACTTACTTACCATTCCTAAGATCAAATTATGTAGAGATTTTAAGAGCAATTTAAAGTAGTAAATTAATAACTGAAGAGATAAAAGAATATATATTATATTCAAATATAGAATGATCAAAATTCAGTCAATAATCCCTATAAACCATAAATGGGATAGAAATTTATTGGAATGTAATATTTTCTTTGCTAATTCTATATATTCTATTATGATATTTTTATAAATGTACAAAAAGAATTTCATTTAAATTGATCAAGATATTAGAAAAAAGAATGGATTTTTAATTAAAATTAAATAATTAAATTATTATAATTTGATAATTATTCAAAAATGGGTAATAACTAATCTTAGAAGAACTAGACCAAATCTAAAAAAAAGGACCCTCTTCTATTTTTGTTTGGCAATAACAAAAAGCAAATGTATTATTTAATAAAATATTTTATAGTATTTTCTCCAAGTTATCATTAAAAACATTGTCTTTATTGGCAAGCTTTTTGACTATTTAAGAGTACCATAACATTTTATTAACTTCAAAAGCAACATACTAATTATTTATTCAAACATCAGGTTGTTTTCAAATTGAATGCCATAGACTTTTAAATGTTAAGGGAGATCTAATAATATCATAAAATTGGAAAAAAATCATTTAAAGCATTGTATTCATTCCAATTAGAGGAATACCTTTTAGTAATGCAATAAAAAGTGTTCGTCAATAATTAAAGCAAATTCCAATAATAATAGAACAAAAAGTTAATTATAGTGGATTTTAAAAAGCCATTCTATATTTTTAAAACAAATCGAATCAATAACTGTTTCCATTTAACGAATATTAAGAATCAAAATAATTTGCTAATAAAAATTAAGAATTAGTTTTAAAGCTCAGATAAGGATTGGAAGTATATATATAATTACCATAATTGCTTATGTAAGTTTACAATTTGCATGATTATATAAAAATATATAGTCTTTATTTAGAAATTAAATTTTAAAAATGTAATTTGCAATAGTTTATTGAACTTTGGCATCATTATACAGGATGGATAAGCATATTGGAATAAGAAACAAAAGGTATTATTGCTTAATTTAATAATATAATTGATACTACTTTCCCTTAATATAATTTACCTAATTATACAGTTAGATAATTTATGGTGAGTTAATGGTTAAAAAAATCAGATAGAGGAGAAATAATAGTAATGTTAAGAGAAGAATTTAGATTAAAAATGATTGAAAGTAGAAATAAAAATATCAAATTCCAAGAATTAAGAGATTATGTTTAATACTTAATTGATATTAGTACAAATTAAACAAATATTCATTAATATGGATATTATAATTTTGAATACTCTGAAGAATTAAATAAATTAATTCATTTGGCAGTTGATTTAAGTCCTTTGTTAACTGTTGATTATAAAACTGATGAAAATATGCTTATCTATATTTTTGGTTAATACATCTATGATTATTAATTATTTGAATTGTTATCCACTTTTAGAATTGAATAATTCAAATAATAAATAAGAGAGCATTAATAATCAAGTCAAAAAATGAGTAAAATTGTAGTTAAACAATTTGAAGATTAACCATCACTCTCTAATAATAATCTCTTTGATAATTAAATATAGGGATTTAATTATCATTTATCTATGTAATATAATATCTAATTTAAAATACGATAATTGTTTAAATAATTATCTTATTTAGATGATGATATTTGCTCAACTTTAGAAAATATTTAAGTTGAAAGTTTGGAGGCATCATAAACATCTTTTGCATCTACTAATTGCAGTTCATTTTTTTCAAGTATAAAAAATAATGATTAGTTATATCATTATGTCTAATTTTATTAATAAGAATTATTCAATAAATTAGAATTATTTTATCGAAGAGAACTTACAATTAATTAATATAAATAAGATGTTGAACAGAAAAATGAATAAATATTTGATATACCTGAATTAGGACAGTATCATGAATTGCAATTTGCATAAATATTAGAATTATTTAACAATAAATAGTAACGATTAAATGCAATTCTGTAATCTGAAAAACAATTAACAATGTCGATTTTTAATTAATAAATAATTCAACAGTAAATTTGCACAAAGGAACTCTCCTAAGCTGAATAACTGTTGATAAATATTCTTAAATGATTCTTTATTTTTGTAAAATAATATATAATTAGAATATTTTTTTGTATTCTTATATTTATATTTTGTGAAAGAACCTATAGATTATACAATACTTTAAGTCAAAATAAATTAGTAGTGGACTCATCTTTTGTTTGCCAAGCATTTAATTCATTCCATTATTCAGAATTTCTTATTCTTGGTTTTAACAATGGTGTATACCTTCTTTAGAGTGGCTAGGGTGTTGCTGCAGTACTTCTATCAAATTTCTCAATAGCATCAGTAGGATATCGAAAATAACATTTTCTTAACCCACTGGAGTGCCTAGGATGATTAAGGAAGAAGGGATTTTTTTCATTGGAATTGACCATCCGTTATAACCCTGACATATTTAGTATATGAGATTCCTTTAATTCTTCTAAAATTTATTTTCCATTTTAATCTGTGAATACATCATGAGGGGATTATTATCTATTATCCTTAAAAATTCTAATTAGTTTTGATTTGAGAGATTGGATTTTGCTATGCATTTGATGTGTTTCTTTTAACTTTATTACTCTATTTTTAGTATATGCCTAAAATAATGTTTCTATTGGTTGATTGCTTTATCGACTATGAATTTTAGTAGATTTAGGTTCTTCACTGAAATTCAACTCAAAAATACTTTGCTTTTTCAATCTGAAAGCTTTATCTGGGGTTAGATTACGCATTGAATAAATTTTTAAATATAATAATATTTAATCCTTAAATCACTATCTGATAATGTCATTAAGGAATCTTTGTAATAAATTTGATTAAAATATTTTTAATTTAGGGATACATTTTATATTGTTAACAATTATATGTTTAAGAAGTTATAATGTTATTTGAGTATAAATTATCTACTAGTTACATGTATTTTTCAATGCTATTATATTTTATATATTTTAATATTAAATCTATCATAAATTTTATCAATATAAGATATTGATTTTAGATGAATAATTATAAATTTGATTGATTTTTAAATTAGGATTTGATTATAGATTTATGTTATTCAATATATTTTCAAATTTTGTGCTGGAATTTTATTTAAAATATTAATTATTTTAATAAAATTCAACACATGGCCTAACCTTATGTCCCTTAAGAATTCAATAAAGAAGATGAAGAATTAAAATGCCATCCATCTTAAAGTGGATCAACTGCAACTCCTACTCTATTTGAGAATACTAATACAACAAAAGCATTTAGTACAGCTTTTTTTGAAGATCAATTACATTAAGAAGGTTATTATTATTTTAATATATCTTATTAGATGATCTATTTGATGAAATTAACTAATAATTAAACTAAGTATTGATTAAAGACACTTAAAGACCTTCTCTTGTCTCAGCATTTTAAGCTGACATGTATTATTGAACGGTAAATCTATTAGGTCATCATACTTAAGTCATGAGAAGTTGACCAAAAATTCCAGAAAAATGTAATTGGAATACTAAAATGCAAATTTAAAAGAAAAAGAATATGTATTCAATACATTCGTAAGAGATGATATAGAAAATATAAGTTTGGATAAGTATAAGCATTTCTTACTTGAGAAAATATTAGAAGTTGGTATATATTATTAAAATTACATTTAGGTCCTCCTTCTCATAAAAATATAATACTTGATAGAATATTTTAATCAATAAATAAATTAATAAAAGATCTATATGCTTGTAAAGTAATGTAGAAGGGATTAGAAGTGATGGTCTAAAATCCTAATGATTCTCCTTAATAATTAGATAATTACCTAAATTTCATTCATTCTGATACAAATTAAATGAAAAAAATTTATGTAGACAAAATTGCAAATCAAATTATTTAAAAAAGTCTTGAAGTTTTAGAAGGGAATCATTTATATAAACTTCTTTAAGTGGTGTCAAAATATGTATAATTTTAAATGAGATGATAGATTCTGAACAATAACAACAATTAAAAATTTGAATTATCAACTGATTAATATGGATGTTTAATTGTGAATAAGATTATTGATATATATCCTAAATAATTCGATGTTTAAACTAAGACTTTATGCAATGACATCATAATTAGAGCTATTGAAAATAGTTCTGGCTTAACTAGAAGATAATATGCTAATTATATTATTTAATCAATATTGGAGAAGGGCTAAGAGATTCATAAAAGATTGTTGATGGATTAATATCTCATTAAAGATTTTCTACCAATGTCTATGGATAAGTATGGTAGCAATGTTGCAGAGAAAGCCATAGTTTATGGTGGGTCTTAATGGAGAACTAAATTATGGGAAGAGGTAACAATCTCAGAAAGGTACTAGATAACTTTTATCATTATAGTTCTTTTAAGAGATTGGTCAATGATTAGTTTGCTAATTATCCAATTTAAAGGCTATTTGAATATTTAGATTAACCATTAAGACAGGAATATTTAGCATTACTAAATAAATTTTCAGATAATAATTAATTGAATAATCATGGTTAGATTGTATTAAAGTTTGCTTAATCAAATTATAATGTTAAAAGATATACTTAAAAAATAGTTTAAACTGAAAAGAATAAGCAGAATAAAAATAATTAGAAAAATTGTAATTAAAAATCATAAACTATTAATTAAAATTTAAGTAATACTCCTTAGAAATAGTAATAATTAGAAAATGGATTAAAATCAATATAATAATAATAATTATAAGTTGCTATGATGTAATAGATGATGTATTATTAATAATAATAACAGATGTTATTACAATAATAAATGCCATAGTTATATTATCAAGATTAAAATTATCTTCATTATGGAACAATGAATTAAGAGTAATAAATGATGATGTTTTGTTGGTAATAATAATAATAATAATAATAATAATAATAATAATAATAATAATAATAATAATAATAATAATAATAATAATAATAATAATAATAATAATAATTTTATAATTTTAATCCAAATATGAATTAGAAGAATGGATAATGAATTTGACAATCTATGTTAAATATTATAAATTTTAATTTTATTAACCTTAATAACTATACCTTTTTAAAGATAAAATTATTTAAAGAATAATAATAAGACATTTTTCTTAATCCTTAACCATTCTTTTTCATTAAAAAGTTTATTCATATTTTTTGAATTAGATAATGTTTACAAATTCACAAGACTATAGGCATTTTTAAGCTCTAAATATGATTGACATTTTTTCAATGAAATTAAAAGATTAATTGAATTAAAGGATGTACTTATCCAAATCACTTTGACTCTATAAAAAGAATCAATCAAAGTATAATTTTGATTTTGTTTATTATTAGTATATATTTTATTCATTAATAATTTAGCTTAATTTTTGCGCTTGTTATTTTATTATTTTAAATTTAAATGAATTAAGAGATTTCAAAAGAAATATTAGCACTATCAATTCATGTTGCAGCTGCTGCATCTTCAATTACAGTACAAACTCAATAAAGAATGACTTTAGTAACAAACAGCGTATTAGAGACTGTAAGTTAAACAATGAAGATAATAAATTTTTTAATGTTATGCTCTTAGAAACAGTCACAATTAGAAGCAGTTACAGAGGAACAAGAAGATGAAGGTTAAAAGGATTCAAAGACAAAGGAATGTTTGAATGAATAGTTTTTAAAGACTGTATAATCAGATTGTTTTAATGATGAAGTGATTGAAAATTAAAAAGAGAAAGAAAATTGTCCAACAGACATGATCATGAGATAAGTAAGTGAGTTGAGAGGATAGAGCATATTGAAATCAAATAATAATTTATCTGAAGAATATCCAAAATGCAATGTAAATCAAGTTGAAAGTGCAACTCCAATATAGTTCAGAAAACCCTCTTTATTGTCTTAGTAACTTTCCTTGATAAAGGTAGATAAATAGAAAGAAGCAGAGGAATAGAGAGAGTTAATGAAATTAATAGAATCAGTAGATCCAATAGAATTAATCCCAAAATTGAAATAAATTGAGATTTATGATGAATATAAAAGGTCATCAGGTTTTAAGGATATATTAGTATATTCAAACAAACAACAGATAGTAATTAATGAACAAGAGGCAGAAGAATAACTGATGGATACTCCAAATAAATCAGAATGGTATGAGAATTCTTCAGTTGAATATCGTGCTACTTCTTATAATACAAATGAATCTTCAAATCTAGATCATCATTCTTATAAATGGAAGAGTAGCAGTTTTGGGGATGATAATATGATATAAGAGTGTGGATTTCAATTTTAATCTTCTGTATTTGATTTTCCATTTCCTGAAGATTTTTGTGCTAACAGTTAGAACATACAAACTAACATATAAAATATTGAAAACAAAAATTAGCATACTCCAAAAAAAAAGAGACTATATTGTAATAATAAGAAAGTTCCTCATTGGGCTGAAAATCTAGAAGTAATAAAGTAATTATATATAATTAGAGAGTATCTCAACATTAAAATTAATAATAGAATTTATCTTAGAATTAAATATTTGGTAGAATGAAATAGAGGGTTTTAGATATTGCTAAATAATTTTCTTTGAATAGATTTAATAAAAGAGGTAGTTCAGCTTAATGGCATATATCTAATGAGAAATATGAATAGATGTAAAAGTAAATGATGAACTTACAATAAATATAAGATCAAAACATTATTAAGTTGAAATAACATTAAGAAGATGTATAATATATATGATTAATATATTTCTAGTCAGTGAAAAAGAACTAAGGACTTTATGCTAAAACATAGTACTTTTTAACAAGCATCAAAAAAAAGATTCTGAATTCTTTTGAAAAAGAATACAAATTCAAAAATGTTTGATAATTCTTTATATTAATATTAATGACTTATTAAATATTTATTTAAACTCCAGAAGGCAGTCATCTACATTTCATAGGATCTGATATTAATGATATAAAGGTTTTTGTAGGTTAGGAACTTGGAATCCCAGAGGACATACAAAAGTATCATATAGGAGGAAGACTTTTATCAAATATTTCTCAATTGAGTGATTTATGCACAATAACCTTGTTTTTGGGATTATAAGGTCATGAAACTTGAATATTATTAGGTGGTAAAGGTGGTTTTGGATCATTATTGAAAAATTAAGCATAAACTAGAAGAAAGATTATAAATTGGGATTAATCAAGAGATAGAGATGGTAGAAGGATTATTAATTCTAAGAACACAATTAATTTAATTAATTATTTCTAGAATAAAAAGGATGAACCAAATAAAATAAAGAAGGAAAGAGATTAAGTTGAATTAACTTAAGCAACATTAAAAGCTAATGAAAGTAACATCAAATTGGATTAGGTATATATTAGAAGAAACTAATAAAATGAAAAAAATATTGAAAATTCAATATAATAAGCAAAAGGTAATTACAAGGCTAGGAAATAGGCAGAGAAAGTAAAGGAAAAGGTAGAACTAGATTTCTTAAATGAAATTGATTAATTTTTAGAAGAAGAAAAATAAGAATAATAATAAGAATAAATAAATAATATAGATGAATAAATTAATAAATCAGAAAATGTTGGAACTGAAGAACCTTAAATATCTAAGAAAGTTAAAGTTTGAAATTGAATATTATCATAAATTATAAATTTTTAATCAAATAAATGAAACATGTATTCATCAATATAACTTAAAGGTCACTCAATAAGAATATGGTAGTCCAGAAGTACTTAAATTAGGAGAATCAGATATACCAAAACCATTAGAGAACTAATCATTAATTGAGATTAAATCAACTTCAATAAATAGAGCAGATACTTTATAAAGGTAAGGGTTGTATGCTATACCCAAAGGAAGTACAACTATATTAGGATTGGAATTTGCTGGTTATGAACTAGATGAAAATGGAAACAGAATAAGAAAAGTTATGAGTATTTTACCAGGAGGTGGATATTCTTAATTTGTGGTAGTAAATAAAGATCATTTAATTGATGTTCCTGCTAATATCCCTTTAGAAATTGTAATGAGATTAATTTAAATAGGCTGGTGGAATTTGTGAGGTTTATTTGACTGCTTATCTTTTATATAAATTATCGGATTTAAGAAAAGGAGACTCATGTTTAATTTATGCTGCAGCATCTGGGGTTGGATAAGCAGCTTTGTAATTGAGCAATATCTTTGGTATCAATGCTATAGCTAGTTGTTCTAAAGGAAAAGTTGATGCTATAAAAAAATACACAAAAAATATTATCATAAGAGATGAATCAATTGAAGAATAATTCAAATAATTAAAAACACTTTTTCCTTAAGGAGTGAATGCAATATTTGATTGTATAGGTAAACAGAATTATAAGTTAACTGTGGATAGTTTAGCAATAGATGGAAAATGGATTTTGTATGGTTTAATTACAGGAGGATTAATTGAAAATTTCAATTTAGGATCTCTATTACAAAAAAGAATAAGTTTAATAAATACAACATTAAGGTAGAATATAAAATATATTTTAATAGATCAAGACCTGATGATTTTAAGAAGAATTTGATAGCTGAATTTAAATAATATGTTTTACCATATATTGCTAATGGGGATATTGAGATTCCAGTAGATTCAATAACAAAAATAAAATGGGATCAAAATGGAATTAATGAATTTATTAGATTACATACAGAAATGGATTAAAATAAGAATGTTGGCAAATAGATTGTAGTTTTTGAATGATTTCAATTTTATTAGATAGATTAATGTTTTATTATTTATTGGATTTATGATATATTGAATCATCTTCTTATAGCCAATAGAGCTAATGACATTACTGATGACAATCCAAAAAACAATGAATATGCTTAATGAGTCTAGGGAGTAGGTAGAGGCTTATCAAAGTTATCTTTGGTTGCAGGAATAGGATATAAATTTGCAGATTCTTCATCATATTCTTGTACTAATCTTTCAATATATGCAGCTGAAGAATCAGTCTATTTTAATTTAAATCTTTACTAAATTGAATGATCTATATAATTTAGACATGAACCATAAATCTATATAATTATAGACTCCTTCTCTTGGCCAATTTCTTCTTCCTTTTAATATGTCTTCTTCTTCTCCTCTTCTCACCATACCTACAAATTCTACAAATGGCATTTGATAATCTTCCTCCATATTGGCAATATTTCTATTGAATCCTGTCAATTAATCATCATCCTCATTATGAGGCACGTTTTCATAGGTCTTATGGTATACAAATCATTGTACTGTTGTTCCAATAGGTTCTTAACCCATTTAGATATCACTAATGTTATCCTTGGGCACCCATCCTAAATTTACCATCACTTATGATTTGGTTGTTTATTCTGGATCTTGTTCAGTATCATTAAATTGTAATGCTGTTACAAATGGTGCAAATACAAGGAATCCATCTCTACCTTCTCTTTCTCTTCTAACAAAAAATCTTTCATCCTTTTCATAATATATAATTCCTTACTCTAAAATATCCATATAATTTGACTAATTTATATTCCCATTTTCTTATGTTTTAAGCCCAAGGATATCTACTTGCATTCAGTCCATTTATATTAATAGGTTTCCATTCTGTAATTTCATTTTCAACTTTCTCATATAATTACTTTTGTTATCCTCCTTTCAATTAATGCCAAGCACAACCATAAGCACCTCCAAAGAAAACACCATAAGCTAATAGCTTAATGATTCCATTGCTTTATCTTTAAGCAAAAGAATTAAATACTTATGTTGAAAGCATTAATATTATTATATAATCAAATTTCATTTTAACCAAACACATTTAACATTATTTTACATATTCTCAAACAACTCTTTGTCATAAAAATAATATAAACTAAACACTAAGATCTAAAAATGATAAATTCCTATATATCTACATATCTAACTTTATTTTGATTCTCTGAAACTAGTTATTATATATATATTAATTTATCATTCATAGTAAATATATAAAATGATTGATAATCATACAATACATGATAGTTTTTATATCAATTTAAACTTTCTCTAACATTAATATTATGAAAAAGAAGCCATTTTTTTGACAATTTTATAACTTCTTTTGATCATCTAATAATATGATGACTTAATTGTTTTATCATATTTACATAAAAGATGATACTTCATTATTTCGAATATTTATAAAAAGATGTAAAATAATCCATCATTTTCTTAAGGTTTAATACCTATAGTTTGTCTAGATATTGGTGGAACATTAACAAAAGTGACTTTTGCAGCTAAGACAAATTTCATATTAAATTGTTAAACAAAATAAGAACTTAAAAGTATAAGACTTAAGATTATTATTCATAGTCAAAAATGAAGATCAAGATTATGAAATACATTTTCTATCTCATCCTAATTCATTAGAAGTGCTAATTCAATAATTAGAATAGATAGGCTTTATTATAGATGGAAAATCAAATATCTAAACATTTTATATTACAGGTGGAGGTTCATTTAAGTATTATGATTAAATTTCAAATTATGGAAACATTGTCAGAATTAATGAATTTGATGCCTTAAAGTTCGGATTTAAATTGTTGGATAGTATCAAATACAAAAATACATACTTTACCTTTAATAATGGTATTGAATATTTGTAATTGACGGTATTTTTAATTAAAATAAATTTTTAGGCCTCAATTTATCCATTCATATTGGTTAATATAGGAAGTGGTGTTAGTATATTAAAATTTGATAATGAAGATAAATTTGCAAGAATTTCAGGCACTTGTTTAGGAGGTGGAATGTTTTTAGGATTGAGTCATCTATTTACTGGGATTAATGATTTTGATGAATTATTAAAAATGACAAAATAAGGTTCTAATGCAGCAACAGATTTATTAATGGATGAAGTTCATTTAGGATTTTAATCTCCAACAAGAAATAAAAATGAAAAGCATGTTGCTGTTAGTATGGGAAAATTGAAATAGAATTCAAATATTAATTAATCAGATTTAGTAAAATCTTTACTTTATATGACTACATATAATATTAGTCAAATAGCATTTTTACACTCAAAATTACATAATATTGAAAGAGTATTTTTTTCTGGACATTTTATTAGAAATCATGAAGAAACATTATAATGTATAAATGAAGCTTTTTCTTACTTCTCAAAATTAGATTAATAAAATAGACATGTAAGAACATCATTCTAATATAGCCTTATTTTATAAAACATGATGGATTTATTGGAAGTTTGGGATCATTTTGGAATGGAATTCAAACATATAAATAAAATAATCATTGATTTATAAATAATTATCCATATTATCAAATTACTATTAACATAAATATTCTTATATATATATAATAATTTTAATATTAATTTATGTTATTACAATTCTTATTAGTATTAACAGAAGTTCAATCAATAAGTTTAAAATTTAAAATACCTCCTGGTTAATAATAATGTATAAAGGATAATGTTTCATAAAATACTCTTATTTATGGATAATATGAATCATCTACTTTATTATATACTTTTACATTGAGTGTATGAAATAACTAAATTTGTTATATAGATAGTCAATTAATAAGAAATGGAAAATATAATAGCTGAGTATTCAAGTCAAGTAGTATAATAATTCCATCATGTAATGTAAGAATCAGGAGAGATTTCTATGTGTTTTGAAGTGGATGATTATTCTGAAATCGCAACTATTAATTTATTTTATGAAAGTGGTAAAAATATACATATTTATTCAAAAGGTGCTGAAATCTATGATCAAGATTAATTAGCTAAAAAGCAACATGTTCTAAATATAAATGAGACATTATAATAAATGGAATAATTGTAATAAGAAATTTCTAGGGAATAATTATTAATTGTAGATAGAGAACATAAAAGAAAACTTAGTTTTGTAGATATACAATCTAAAATTATTGGATTTGCAGGCATAACATTTGGTTTGCTAATAATAGTAGCTGCTTGTTAAGTCATTTATGTAAGAAGATATGTAGTGTATAAAAAATTAGCTTGATTAATTTAAGAACATGTTAATTTATAATAATTATCTCAATTTTACTCTAATCATCATAGTCCTTTCTCTTTTTCCTTTGGTTTTTCATGTTTATTATTTAAAACTTATATAAAAGCTAGAATTCCAATAAGAACAGCAGACATTATACCATAATAGATTATTGTTTCTTATTTATATTATGAAGTTTTAGCTATCTATTCATCTGTTAATTTAACAGGTTCTTCATTTGAGACTTTTAGATTTGTGTAATTTCTAAGCATTGCNTAGCCTTATTTTATAAAACATGATGGATTTATTGGAAGTTTGGGATCATTTTGGAATGGAATTCAAACATATAAATAAAATAATCATTGATTTATAAATAATTATCCATATTATCAAATTACTATTAACATAAATATTCTTATATATATATAATAATTTTAATATTAATTTATGTTATTACAATTCTTATTAGTATTAACAGAAGTTCAATCAATAAGTTTAAAATTTAAAATACCTCCTGGTTAATAATAATGTATAAAGGATAATGTTTCATAAAATACTCTTATTTATGGATAATATGAATCATCTACTTTATTATATACTTTTACATTGAGTGTATGAAATAACTAAATTTGTTATATAGATAGTCAATTAATAAGAAATGGAAAATATAATAGCTGAGTATTCAAGTCAAGTAGTATAATAATTCCATCATGTAATGTAAGAATCAGGAGAGATTTCTATGTGTTTTGAAGTGGATGATTATTCTGAAATCGCAACTATTAATTTATTTTATGAAAGTGGTAAAAATATACATATTTATTCAAAAGGTGCTGAAATCTATGATCAAGATTAATTAGCTAAAAAGCAACATGTTCTAAATATAAATGAGACATTATAATAAATGGAATAATTGTAATAAGAAATTTCTAGGGAATAATTATTAATTGTAGATAGAGAACATAAAAGAAAACTTAGTTTTGTAGATATACAATCTAAAATTATTGGATTTGCAGGCATAACATTTGGTTTGCTAATAATAGTAGCTGCTTGTTAAGTCATTTATGTAAGAAGATATGTAGTGTATAAAAAATTAGCTTGATTAATTTAAGAACATGTTAATTTATAATAATTATCTCAATTTTACTCTAATCATCATAGTCCTTTCTCTTTTTCCTTTGGTTTTTCATGTTTATTATTTAAAACTTATATAAAAGCTAGAATTCCAATAAGAACAGCAGACATTATACCATAATAGATTATTGTTTCTTATTTATATTATGAAGTTTTAGCTATCTATTCATCTGTTAATTTAACAGGTTCTTCATTTGAGACTTTTAGATTTGTGTAATTTCTAAGCATTGCTATTATTAGTATTATCAATATGAAAACATATTTAATCCACTATTCTTATATTCTCTATTTTACTTTCTTTATATATTATTACATAATTAAATAATAAAATTATTGTAATCAACAGGAAATGGATGGATTATTTTTGTAATATTAAGAATTAACTTTGTTATATTTTAAATTAGAAGAACTTCTTTCTGGTATTTTTTAACTGAGTTCTGTTTGCTCAAGTTTTTTTAAAGTATGTTGTTATGATTTTGTTCTGGAATTATATGATTTCTCAAAAAATTAATCTAATCTTAATGATATATAATATTAACCTATATGATATAAATTTTATTTGCTTGATTGAGCATTAGTTAACTCTTCACTAGTTTTGTTAATAAATGATAGATTTTTCTTTTATTTAGTTTCTTTCTAAAGATTGATAATTTAATTTTTATTGCTAAATGTACTAATACTTTAATGATCATAATCTGTAAATTCTGTATGATATCTATTATTTAATTTTAAATGAGGAACTTTTAATTTCTTTTCATTAGTTATATTTTAATCATTATTCTTATTGATTAATTATGTTTATTAAGATAATTACATTTATACTTTCATAATTTCAATTTCTTCATTTATTTTTGAGTTCTTACTAATTTATTTAACTAATATAAATTTATGATTATTGATTTCCTTTTATTATAAAATAATTTTATTACTTATTCAAGTTCTTTAACTTTCTATTTTAACTCTTGATTTTAATGTTTCAAATCTATACATAATTTATTTAGAACTTGACATTCATCTCTAAAAAAAATCAATTTATTTTAAGTTTTTACTACCTAATCAAATTAACTAAATTTATTACTTCTGTCTCGTTTTCATGATATGTTATATATTCATCAAATTTTTATTATAAATTCTTAAAATCTGTAGACATTTGTTCAATAACCAATTTAAATGCCTTATAAAAGCTATTTTACTGACTTTACAATAGGCTTGAAAACTTTTAATTAGTGTTAATAATCAAAACTTCCATTTCCTTACAAATATCCTTTAATTTCTTAGCAACATTACTATCAAATGAATCATATGTGATTTGAGGTCCTGTAAGATAAAGAGTTGACATATTATAATAATTTTATTATTTACAAAATAAATAAAATTAATTCAAGATGATTACTAATTTTCTAAATTTTTAAAAAACATAGACCTATTATGAAAATGAATATTAAGTCCTTGCTTTTAAAATGTATTGAAAATTGATTAAAATCTTTAAATATCCAATCTATCTGAAGTTTTTAAAAATTCTAAAATAGAATTTAATTTTACTTTAAGAGATAGGAGGTTTCATACCAATTTGTTTATAACAATTCATTAAATATCGATCAAATTTTGATTGATTAATGATTTCATTATGTAAATATTGACAACGAATTCCATATGGACAGAATCCTTCATTAAAATATCTAACACAAGCTTTGGTCTTATAATTTTAATGTAAATGAATTTTAGGTTATAATTATGATAGACCATGTGCAAAGGAACACTATTTTATAATATTATATATATATTACTTCATCTCCAAATTTACAATATCCTAAAGCTTCATAATTTTTACATAATTCAGTTTTCTTTTTCTTAGTATACTCTTCTATAAATTGTTTTTTTTATTCTTTAGTTTCAAATCTCTTTTTTTTTGGTTTAACACTTAAGTTATTTAATGATATTTTACTCAATTTAAAAGAAAGTTTCATCATCTTTTTCTTCTGTACTAGTACTCTTTTCATCCCAATCCTCTTTTATACATTGATTAACAGAAATACTCATTATCTATTATAATTACTTTATTCTAAAACTGATTCATTAATAAAACTGAAAAATTGACATTTAATAAAACTGACTTTATTATAAAAAATATAGATATTAAATGTTAAAATATTCTCATTTAACACTTGTTTTTGGTCTTGTTAATTGATGGTGAAAATGTTATTAATATTCTCTTTAAGTTAATTATCTGTTTTCATCAATTAATGAAATTTACTCTTCTGGAAATTAATAGAAATATGGATTTAATTATTATTTTATTTAGTTGGAATCTTAAAATAATATAGTAGTTTTATTAAATATATTCTTTTTAATATCTTAGAAAGTTTGATTAATGTTACCCTAAATCTAATATTAAATAAAGTACTTAATATATTAATCTATTATTAATATATATATGAATTTATTTTACTCCTCTTTACCAATCTTTAGTATAATTATAAAAATCTATCCCACTGAAACATATAAGTTTATCAAACAATATATATATCTTATTTATATCTTATCTTTCCAAATCTCTTGCTTTTTATATTATAATTGCATTCTTATTTTTTAATTTCTCCATTGGAGTATTTATAAATGGAGCCAAGAAACTTCTCTATGGTTAACAGTTGATATCATGTGGAGGAATCACTAAATTTTAAACAACTCTTGGATCATCCTCCAACTAGAATTATATTTTAATTTAAGTACTTATGGAACTGAATGAATTGTATAAGGAATTGTTTTTCTTTATAATAAAGCTAAACCTTAATGGTCATATATCTCTAATCCATTTAAACCTATATAATTATTATCTCCCCAAGTATTAAACAAATATATTGTTACTAACATCCCACAAGGAGGATATGCTATAATATAATTTTAATTAAATAATTCATAATTAGCAATCAAATTACTAGAATAAGAATTATTATTTGGTTAAGTTAAATTAATTGTTTAAACAAAATTAATTTCTTCACATGGTGCAGGTCTTAAATCTATTTATATAATAAATAAATAATTACTAAATATTTTAAATCTACCATTATAATTAATTTTCACTATTTCAGGTCCAGAAAATGTTGATTCACTAATAATTTGATTACAATTATAAAATTTAATCATTGATAGTTTTGTCTATTATTTAAATTTGATATAAATTTTTTTTTATTTTAACCATACCATATTTGATGAATCAACTAAAGTAGGATTATTAGAATAGAATAAAAGTTATATGTCATAATCAGTTAAATTAGAATTTAAAATATCTTCTTAATGAATCTATTGGTTTTTATCATCAATAAAAATTAAACCATTAAGTCCTAAGTATCTCTTTGATCCATTATTAAACTCCAATAAAATATCAATTACAGTTATGTATTCTGGATATTGTATTTATACTTTTTCTTATTTATTTGAAGCTTTCTATATATATTATTCTTTATATTATTGTTATTGTCTTTAAATTTATATTGGTTACTATTATTAATCATTATTTTATAGCTAATAAACTCTAGATGAATATAATTTTGATGATGGAGATTAATCATTTTATTATTATCTTTAATTCTATGATTATAATTTAGTACCAGTATTTGGTCTAATTTATTGCATACTCATAGTTTATTATAGAATTTAAATAGAATAATCTTCAGCTCTTTTGTTTAACCAATCTAATTCAGCTATTCTACTTATTATTTTAGTATCCTATGTAAATAAAATGTATTCACAATTATCTTAGAACTTTTTTAAATCTCCTGTTGCTTTCTAAATGTCTCCATAAAATATCTAACTAAAATATTACATAAATAGTTTACTAATCTTTCATCTAAAGTTATCTTTAATAATCTAACACCTTTATAAGATTTAATCCTTGATTTATTGTAATTCCAAATTCTTATCAATGAGATTTTGATATTTGCAGTTAAATCAATAATAATTTCTGGTTTTAAATTCTTTGTTTTCCAAATATGTTTATCATCTTTAACTGCCTAATAACCATCAATCAATTTCAATTTCTCTATATAATCATCTTACATTGGCATTTTTATATATCTAGTTATATTACCTCCTTATGAGTCAAAAACTTCAATTCCATTAAGTCCAACTTGCTATTTATCACCCCAATTTGATAGAACATTAAATTTTAGATATTTACCTGATGGTAAAATAGGAATTTCAAATCTATTTCCAACAATACTTTGTTCTATTTAATTTTAATTATTTTTTATTCTCTTTTGACTATCAAATACATTATGAACTTTTGGATGTGATTTCATCTTTTAATCATTAAAACTCATTCTTTCTGGTTATTAAATCACTGTAGCATTTTCATTGAAACTCATATGTCCTTATTATTAATACATTTAGAATCCCTATTGTAAAATTTATAGGGCATGTTCTTTAGATTAAGGCTTTAATAATTATTGTTACATATATAAAATATTTATAAATAATAATGTTCATTATTAATAAAACGCCTAATACTATTACTTTATCCTAACCAGATCTACAAGAATATTAGGATTTCTTTAATCATGAGGATCCCAGGAAGAATTAAAGTGTTACAATTTATGATAGAATTAAAAAGGTTAATTCAAATCAAAATCAAAATTTATAATTCTCATCAAAATTATCTAATTTATCATTAACCAAAACTACTTTCAATAATATCAATACCCTTTATCAATTTACAAAAAAGTATTACAGTTATTTTCTATTTTGAAGAACTCTAAAATAAATTAATTAAAAATAGGAAATAACTCTCAGTTAAAATTTTGTCACTTCAATGAAAGAATCAAATTTATTTATCTATAATGTAGCCTAAAATATTTCAAAATTCATCAAAACTGATAAAGTGGCTATAGTACCACCTCATAAGATTATTGGGAATTGGGTATAATAATTGAAATCTAAATGCTTAAAAAAGAAATCCCCTTAAAATTCACAGTATCCAAATCATAACACTGGATCAAGGGATGAGGATGATGATCTTATTATAATATGAATTTTGTCATATTCAAATCATTATGATTATTATTTTTATGATTACTATGAATACAGTTGATAATCTGAAGATAAAGAATTAAATGAATTATTTAGGATTGTCTACAACTATTCATAATTTCCTTTAAAATTGTCAAAATCTGGTAAATATTTTAAAAAAATATAACTAATTTTATATATTTTTTAATATTTTACTGTGTATATTAAAATGCTAATATGTCTCTCTCTTCATTTTTAGATATATTAGCTTCACCAAACATCTACATAAATATATATACTTAATACTTTCTTTTATTTTACATAAATAGTAAGTCGATTTGCAATATTTTCATAATTTTTTCTTAATGTAGATTTATCAGCTGATTATTTTAAACAATGTAGAGCATCTGAATAGGAGGACATAAACACTCTTAAATCATATTCACTCTAATTCGAAAACATTTAATAAATAAAAAATAATAATAAACCATAATTATAAAATACTTCATTTTTTTCATATATTTATATTATTCTGATCATAAAGCTATCATGATGATTAATAGTTATCCCTGTCTGAAAAGATAGATGCTGAAATTTAGTGTATTTCTCTGACATATATCTATTTTTTATATTACTTATTCATATATATTCTTAGACTATTATATATATATATATAATATATGTTATAAATCACAAAATATTTTTAATATTTCTATTAATAACATTAAATATATATATATTTTGTTTCAGGATTATTATTAGATGTATATTTGTATTAGATATTTGAATATTTGTAGAGATTTCTATTTGAACATTTATTATTTTAATAAATTATCTAAAAATGAAAAGCGAATATATTTTGTAAATTAAATTTGATAAGGCAAATAATACCTTTAAGCCAGGAGTATAAATAATTTTTGAAATAGGATTTTATTTCAGGAGGAGTTACTGTTGTATTTACAGATCCAATAATGAAAAGACTTGAAATCTAATAATTTATATGGAAATCTGAAGGGACAATAATATCCTAAAACAAAGAAACACATAAAGATTTAGAGAGGATGTCAAGTTAACTTCATCCCGTTCTATTACATTAATTAGATGGTCAATTAACTAAGGATAAATATATGTAGAATCCAATTAATTTATAGAATATAGATTGTAAGAGAAAAATACATTTCCATTCAAATATCAATTAACTCCTTATTAGGATAGGAAGATCTTGGAAACCTATGTTGGTGTATATGTTGCAATACAATATTCAATTGAGGCAGAATTAACTTTATCAAATGGATTAAAAGTTACATCAACAATCCCATATTTTGTGTTTGTACCTGGATAAGGAAGTGATAGAATAAAACCTACAGATAAATATCCTCGAGTTGAACATTTTTTGATAACACCTGATAAATTATTAGGAAATTCAAGCACAATGAATAAATCATAAAATGCTAAATTCAGAATAAATGGATTGATAGATACATCAATTTGTTAATTTTAAGAAGATTTTCATGGATCTTTAATAATTGAAGAATGTGATTCTGAAATAAGAACTATTGATTTATAATTAATAAGAGTAGAGAAATTAGAAAATAACTTAGGCAAAATAAGTGAAGCCACTGAAATTTAGTTGATATAAATAGTTGAAGGGAATGCAACAAGAGGATTAGAAATACCATTTCATATGATATTTCCAAAATTTTTTTCATGTCCTAATTTTCAATTTAGAGAATTTAGTGGTAAAAAGATTTTATATTAGTTTAGTTGATTTTGAGGTAAATTTAGTTATGATTTTATATGATGGATTCAAAGTTACATTAAACTTCCCAATAAACATTATTAGAAAATGAATATTTTATCAAATCATAATTATATATATAAATAATTAAGATGTCTAAACCAGATGCCAAAAATCTGAAAGAAGAAATTCAAAAGTTGTATGATCCATTGTTATTTTATTAACATGGAGATAATCCAGCTTATAAAAGATATATTGAAATAATGTAAGAAAATGCATAAGAAGGTAAGCAAATAGATCCAAGAACATATTTTGTAAATAAATTACAAAGGTAATATATGTTATTTATTATATTTAGAATTCATGTAGCAAGAAATATTCAAGATTTCGTTGAGAGAGATTTGAAATGCTTCAATTTTGTTCGAATTTTCCCTGTTTGGATATGTACTACTGGATTCTTTTTATAAGGTATATATTAAATTTGAGTATTAATAAGCTGCCTTAACTTAGAGATAAATGTTTTTACCTATAGGATAAAGAGGTATAACTAGTATAAAATAGACTTCATTCTTTTATAAGTATATTAATGTGATCATTAAAATTAGTTTTGGATATGTTGGTTTGGCAGGATATGGATTATATTTATTGGGTGCATCTTATCTCTGGTGGTAAGTTACAAAAATGACTGCAGTTAAATTTTATAGACATTGTTTACTTGGAGAAAGATAATGGTCATATGAGAGAGAGAGATAAAATAATACTTATGGCAATTACTATTTCAAAGATGTTCCATTGTCATGTGAAGAGAACTTCCCAGATTTGGCAAGAGGAGAAATAGCAAAGAAGTAGAGACCAAAACCAGAATGGTGATAAAAATACATTCATAATTATACAAAAATAATCAATTATAATGATTCTATTTTAAAAGACTAAAGATTACAATTATTTTCAATTCATAATTCAATAATAATAATAATAATAATAATAATAAATATTTAGATAAATTTATGGATTTATTTGAAATTTAACCAGAATCAGATTTACAATTAACTTTTCATTAATAATTTCATAAAAGGATTTCAATTTAAGATACTTAACACAATTATAAAATCTTTGGATTTGATAAATGTTTTATAAAAAGTAAACTATTAAAAATTATAAGGATGTAAAAGTCTATTTAAAAATTTTGCAATACCATTTTAACAAACAAATCAATTTGATAATAAATAATTAATTTCTAGTTGTGAATGTTTGGATTGTGGTGGCAAGATTAAAAAGAAAATTTTAATTTGTAAAAAAGAATTAATAGACCCACAATAATCTAATACTAAATTTAGATTACCAGCATCACCTTAATTGTCAATATAACCATAAAATGTTAGGCCATCTAATAGAGATTTAAGTTTGATAGGATCTTCAGCTCATTTTAGTATCATTTTTATTAATTTTTATGTGATAAGCATTCTAAATAGACTATTTAAAAAAGTAATCGTGTCTCCATTATGCCAGTAATATAATTAATATAAGCATAAAATTTAATGAAAAAAATTAGTGCAACTCATAAAATTGAAAAAGAAACTAAAACTAAAATGAGCATATCAACACATAGCTTATTTAATAAGGTTTAATAAAAAATGAATATTAATAATGATACTGATAAATTAAGATCTGTTTTAGAAATAGAAATTAATAATCAAAATAAAAAAGAAGAAACAAATAAATAATAAAAATAAACACCAAATTATTGTTAATTTAGAATAAAAACAGAAGGTTCCAATTATTATTTTTCTTCAGTTTAATAAAAAAAATCTCCAATTAATATTCCTAATCTATATCATTTAGAGAATATTAAAAAAAATAGTCTAAGTATATTTGAATCAAAAACACCAAGACTTTTATTGGCCAGAAGTGAAAAATATAATCAAAAACAACCTTTAACTTAAAGACTTATGTGTACATATCTTAAAAAATAAAATAATAATTCTAAATTAACAAAAAGTAGTAATAAAGCTTGAAAATAATATTTATTGAATAATTATATTGTGTTAAATATATATCTATATTAATCTCTTCATAATCTTTATAGTTCTTGCACACTTGGTACATAGAAATAATTTCCATATGAGTTACTATTATAAATAATATTCAGTACATGGACATCTTCATTATTTGATCATTGATTCCATCTCCTTTTCCTGTCATTCTATCAAGCATAGTGTTGAAGTTATTTAAATCTTTGGCATAAGCAATAAAGAGTAAACCATGATCTCCTGTAACAGTACCAAATGGTTGAGATTATCTGACGATTAATAATCTCTTATTATCCTCACTTCTAGTTCTAGTAACATGACTATCAATAGGTAGAGGTCTTAATTCAAAAGAATTTGATTTCTTTCTTCCAACCATTTTCTCTTAATCTTCTTCAGTGACTTTATCTAGCCAATCTAATTTATGATGCCAGATTTGATGAATCATATAGCTGCCTCCTCTTTCATTAACAGCCACCTTTTATCTTTGTTATTTAAGACTTGGGTTCATTGTACCATCCAAAAATCCACTCATGTCTCTTCCATCTTAATATTTATATCCATATCTTTCAGATACTACACGATAAGATCCTTTAGGTAAACTTCTTACTACTTTCTAAAATGTTAATATATCATATATAGATTACTTAAACAGTTTCAAATGCTAAGGATCTATTTTGAGCTTTGACATGTACAATTACATTTCCTTTACCATATGGCATAGATCCATAAGTACCAGCTCTAGCATCATAATCACTTTATGGTGTCCTTGTTAATTTTTCCCAAAATTTTGTTTAAAATCCAACACCCACAGTAACAGGATCAAGTTCATCTAATTAATATTAATAATTAATACCATCCTCATTGGATTTTTTTTGAACAAGTTTTGGGACTTCTTTTAGTGCATTTAAGGCTTCATGTTATAGATTTGCATCTCCTTCAGTCAATTCCAAAACCAATACACAACAGAATTCATTGACATCAGAAACTACTGTGCTTTGGAATTCATCCAATCTTAAAGCTTATTTCCATGTAAGACCTGCAAATAAGGTTCCTAGAGCAACTGATTTAACAACATTAGGCTTAAATTTATATAGTTGAGTGAATGGTAATCGTTTTAAAATGGTAGGAATTCCGAATCTTGCCAATCTCATTATAATTTAATTAACAATTTTTATGCAATAATATCTGATATATTAATGTCATATTTTTTAATTAAATTTTTTGTGAATTTTTCTCATTTAAGAAAAATGAGAAGAATAATTCATTTTGTTAGATTCATAATCTAAATAATAGAGAAGAATTAAAACTTTTAGTTATATTTTGTTTAATACAAATATTAAGCTTGAATTGTGATAATTTTATATTTAAAGTTTATTAATGTTATATAGGATTATTGAAAAGATATACAAACAAATTCCTATAAAGTATTAGTAACGACTAAAGGATTTAGAATTAGAAAATCTTCAAAATATGAGAGTAATCAATTTTAAATATTTAGATTGAAATTACAAATGGCATTGTTTAAAAAACCTTTAATTATGAAGTTTTGACAAACTAAATTCATTTAATCTAAGTATATCTTAATTTTAACTAGACATCAACAGTAATTAAGGAAACAATTCGAATTTTATTCAAATTAGAAACACTTCCAATATATCCTTTAATATATTTGATTATATTACCAGATATGTTGAAATCAGAATTCTACATCATTATATATACAATACTTTGTTTGATTCTTGATTTATTAATCTCGTTTCTTTTGCTATTTTATGTATTGAAAGAGAGATGGAAATTTGAGGAAACTATTAATAAATAAGAATGCAGAATATTATCTCCAATTGATCAATTATTATAAACTTAAAACTAATCACCCTCATAAAAGATTGAATGGTAAAAATTAAAAGTTGGTTAAATTGTATGTCTATTAAAAGGTGAAATGAGTCCTGCAAATATTTTAATATTAGAATCAAGTCAATAGTAAGTGTTAGCTGATTATATTATTAAATATCCTTGTCCATGTACTTTTGTTAATTAAGCTTCTAAAACTAAAGGAATAATGACAAAATTCTTAATTAATTTAAGTGGTTGGATTCAATTTTCAACTTCTCATAAAGGTACAATTAAGTTAAAGAATGATCCTAAGGCTACTTAATTTACTGATGAAAATGTGATTTATAGAGGATAAATATTAAATTAAACAGATTGGATTTTTGGAATTGCAATCTAAGTAGGTCATGGTTGTTTTCAATAAAGAGATAGATTTTATAATTGGAATCATTATAATTAGAATAGTTTCTTTATATTTTTAATGACTCTCTTGATATTTATTATCCTCATAATACCTAAATTAATTTATGTATCCAATTCTGAAATTTCTACATATTCAAATGCAATTATAATCTGCCTTTTGTTATTTCCATAAAACTATTTCCTTATTAATTAAGTTTGGCTTTTAATCTAATCAATATAAACAAGATCCTTTCAAACGAAATAATCAAAAATACTTTCAACTAATATTTAATAACAAGGATAAAACAAATCAGAATCTATCTTATAAGAATATGAAAAAAAAGTCCTTGTTTAACTCTAAAAAATTGCATCAGTCAATACTTCACTTGTGAGCCTTCCTTAAATTAAAAAAAACCCAAATCAAGATTTAATTTATTTGTTTCATTAATTAAGTAATCAGACTATAATAGAGTTTATTAAAACTGATGTTGTGGTTTTTGAAAATCCTTAGAAACTTTTAAAGAAAAATATAAGAGTTTGCATGCTCTTTCATGATAAATGTAAATATTACTTCAATTATGAGAAATTGTAAGCTATTATTGAAAAAACAACTCCAAGATAAAAAATTAATTATGAAAAATTATTACTTGATACAAACAGATTTTCTGCTTATGATGAATAAAAAACATAAGACATAGATTTATTATTAGCAGAAAAACAATAACCTACACTAAGAGTAATAGAGGAAAAGAAGTCTTTTTAAAAAATTGGATTTTTAAAAGATTAATCCAAAATTAATTAAATTTAAAAAGAAATGAAAGACTCAAAAGATTTAAAAAAATCAGGAGGAGAACAAAAGATGAATCCTTATAGTTCTTTCAGAAAATAAAGTGCTCGGAATCTATTTTAATCAAATATGTTAGCCTAACAATAACAAAAAGAACAGCATTATTAATAACCAGTAGTAAATAATGGCAGTTTCATAGCATATTAAAATTCCCCAAAAATTTAACGATAAAAAAGCAACTCTCATTTATCATAGACTAATGTTTTAAATAATTAAAAATCTGTTACTGGATCTCTTAAAAACATTACTCCAACTTAATAGGATTAAAGTAGTGATTAAATTGTTGGGGATATATATAGTGAATAAGATTTCATCAATAAACTTTTAAATAAATCAGATGTTGTATCAAATGAAATTTTGATTATGCTTTTATTATGCAATAATGTAGAAAGTGTTTATGACAAAGAAGAAAAAAAGATAGAAAATATATATAAAAATACATTTGATAAATCTATTTTAGACTTTGTAAAAATTTTTGATTATAAATTTATTTCTAGTGCTATTATAGATAATTATAAGATTGAATATAAACAAGATTAAATCACCAAAAAGGCTATATCTATTTAAGGAGTGATTAAAGTTTTTGATATCATTGCTACTCTTCATCCTACTGAAAATAGATCTGATACCCTAACCATTTTAGTTAAAGATCCTGAGTCTTTTGAATTAGAAGAAGGTGTATTATTATATACCAGAATTGTTGCTAATGATTCAAATTCTAAAGATGAAAGACTTCCTTTCATTAATGATATTATAGATGATATGTTTTGGGATGGATAAAAATCAATTAAATATTATAAAAAATAATTAGATTCTTTATAAACTGAATAATTTTTAACTAAACTTAATACAATTAATGAAACTTATGGTAATAGAGAATAAGAATTAGATTCATTATACTAATAAATTGAAAGTGAAAGTGAATTGTTGTTTGTTATTGGCTTGAAATAATTCATTCCTCTTAAAAATTAATTAGTATCTTAAGAAATAACTAATAATTATCTAAATCCTGATAAATTGTTTCAGACTCTATAAAAATATAACTATAAATCTTGCTTTTTAATGGATACATATGAAGATTTAATTTCATTTTTGAGAACATATCATATAACAGAAAGAAAGTCAATTGAACATTTCATTGAACCCAATACTATACAATTTAAATTTAGATAGTTTATATAAAATATTGTTGAAAAATAAAATATTTTTGAAGTTTATTAATAGAAAATTGTGGATAATTTTTTGATTATTAATGATCAAACTTTAGAAGCAATAGTGAAAGATGATTATTTAAAATATCACTTTGTTGTTCTTTTTTATTTTTCATAAGGAATTGGAGCATATGGATTAGATGAAAAACAAAAGGGGAAGTTCTTAAAATTATTATAAATAACTGAAAGATATATTACTTCTATTGGACCTGGATTAGATAATCAATACTTCTTTTACAAATCTAATTATTCATTTAATGTAGTACAATAAGATCCTTAATGTACTTTATCAAATCCAAATTTTTTGATATAAAAAGTTGATCAATTGTTTAAATTGCTATTTTATTATTGTCCAACAAGTTATTTAAATTATGAATCTATTATTTTAATTTAAATATACAGAAGTTTTCTTTTTGGATTTACTTCTTATATTATAGATTATTAAAATAATTTTAATACTTTAGATGAATTAATTTTATTTTATTTATTTCCAAGTAACATTGTGACTTGTTTGTTGAATTATGAAACTTTTGTTATTCAAAGAAAATTTGATAATAATAATTTTGAAATTTATAGAAAAACATTAGAATTAATTAAATAATAAAATATTTACATAAAAATAATTAAGATAATATTTGTAGCATTATTAGATTCAATTTTAGTTGAAATATGCTTTAATATATTTGACATAACTTAAACATAAGAATTATAACATTATTCACTTTTTATTTACTTGATAATAGAATTGGTTGAAAAATAGAAATATCTAATTTCATTTTTTAATTCTTTTTATGAGAATGTTAAAATGTTAAAATTGATTTTTTCATTTATCATTTTGATATTTCTTTTAATATTGGTATATGCATTAATAACAAATGATATTTTATATCAATTTTCATATTTGAATTTTACATATTGGATATTTGGATTGATTTTCTCAGTAGTAATTTCATTTGTATTTTAAGAAGTATTAATATTGACTGATTTTAATCTGTCTAGCCCTTAAGATATAAGTTTTCATTCTGAATATTAAGTGGAAATAGAGAAGATAAATTCAGTTTTAAAATATTTGAATGTTAATATAAATCATAAAAATTAACCTAAGAAATTTATAGAGAAATTATTTTAAGGGAAAGATTTTATGGATGAATTGCTTGTTAAAAAGATTAAAGGAGATTAATAAATGACTGATTAGATGGAGAAAGATTTAAAATTTACAGACAAAAGAACTGAGAAAGATTTTTAAAATTCATTAAAGCCATAAAAATATTATATCTATTTAATTTATGAGATAGCCATATTTGGAATAAGAGTTTATTAATAAATAAATAATCTTAATATTTCATATTTAGTCATATCTATCATTTAATTTGTATCAATGACTTTGATACCATTAATAAAAGTGTCAAAATATTAACCAATCTTTCTATTGTGTTTGAGATTTATATTCTTTGTCATTTTACATAGTTTAATGGATACAAAATTAATAGAAACTTAGATGTTTATAATAGGTTTTTCTATAAGTCATCATCCATTATTAGGTATTTATGGTTATTATTGTGTTTGTATAATTTCAATATTATTGGATGTAGTGATGGTAGGAGTATTTAATAATGGGAATCCTTTTTATATTTTGAATCATGGTTTAATAATTATAGAAATGTGTATACCTTTAGTATTTTAAATATATAAAACTGAATTTCTATAGAGATACTAATATATCTTATAAAACAAACTTTTAGATGAATATAAGAAATTGAATGATGCTTTAGGATTGTTAATGCCAAGATTTATTAAGGAAAGGATGTCAAAAGGATAAATATAGATTTCAGAAGATTAAGGAGATGTTGCAATATTATTTTGTGATATTTATGATTTTGATGATATTATTAAGAATGAATAAATAAGAGTTGTAGATTTTTTGGATAATTTATATCGTTAATTTGATTAGTTTTGTTAAGCAAATGAATTATAAAAGATAGAAACAGTTGGTAAAACATATATGGCAGCAGGTGGATTAAAAGATTATAATATATCTGATAATCTTAATCCAACAGAGAGAATTTTGGATACTGCTATGTAAATGTTGGAAAGTGTAAAAACTATGAAATATGGTGATAATAAAGCAGTCATATTGAAAATAGGAATTCATTATGGAAGAGTCATAGCTGGTGTGATTGGTGCACATAAACCTCAATTTTCACTTATAGGTGATACTGTTAATACTACTAGTAGAGTATGTTCTACATCAGAACCAGGTATCATTACTCTCAGTTAGCAAGCCTATGAAAAAGTAAATAATTAAAAAAATCAATTTAAATTGAGAGAAGTTGAAGCCAAAGGTAAAGGTACTATAAATACCTATTAACTTATTAAAACAAGTAAAAAAAAGTAATAAACAACTATCAAAATGGCAGATGATGTTGCCAAATCACCAAATTGTCATACTCCAAATCAAATTTTTAAAAAAATTTAAGAAAATCTTTACACTAAAAAAAAAACCATTTTAAAAAAAGTTTCTTTTAGTGAAGAAAGACAAGATTTTGGAAATCCCTTAACAATTCAAAATACAATTGCTAATGGGAAATTAACTACTAATTTAGCTCCTTTAGCTGTTTAACCTCTTATTAGAGCTAGTTCAAGATCTATATTCAATTCATCTTATTAAATGGGAATTAATCTAAATAATGAATAAGAATAAGAAATTAATAATATAAATGCTATGAATAATAATAACATTCTAAATAATACTATTAATAATACTTTAAAAGATGATAGAGACAAAAATAAAGTAGAATAAACAAATATTAATAATATTTAAGGAGATGGATTAAAATCTAGTATTCCTTTAGGAGGTTATGGTACATAAGGTGCATATAGTAAAAGAGTTTCTAATCTTGCTATGGAATTAAATCCTATGAAATCAAGAAGATCTATTTATAAGAGAGCAGGTACTAAAACAAATATTGGTGAAGATCCAATATTGAATATGCCTATTGGTGGAGGATAAAAAATGGCAGAAAGTGTTAGAGTTGAATTATAAAATATTAAAAGGAAAAGAACAAGAGTTATAGCAGAGAATAAATTAGATTTTATTGAAAAACATGATTCTTAATCTGCTAACAAATCACCAAAAGAATAAAGAAATGTATAAAATATGGATGAATTAGAAATTAGAAAATTGATTAATATAGAATAAAGTTGTTATTAAAATTAATATGATCTAAAAAAGATGGAAGAAAAAGTAGAAATTGAAAAATATGGTATTTAAGAATCTGATTATTAAAGTGAGAATCATCATCTTTATTTTACTATATATGAATAATATAGAGATTATAATAGAAAATAGATTTAAATGTTTATAATATTTCTAGTAATAATGTTAATAATAAAGAATCTATTATATTATTTATTAAAGAATATAAATATTGATTTGTAGATACTTTTTATATGTTAATCAATTATTTGTTTATTATTGGCAATAGCAATATATAATATAACTAAAAATATCATATTGAAATGGTTAATTGGATTATATTTTTTAATATTTTCAATTATTGATATCTTAATAATTAATGTACATATTAGTGATATGGAATTAATATTTTAGGTAAGTCAAATTACATCAGTATATTTAAATTTATTCTATTTGTAAATATATAATTAATAAGACAGGATAAAATTATCTATTTTATATATCTTATTAATTTTAATAAACTTAATATATAATGAATATATATTGGAAATCATATTCTTTTCAATAAGTGTATTTTTATAAAGTATTATGATATAACATAAAGAATTAAAGATATTAGTTGAAAATTATTAATGTTACTCTTAATTTGAATCTAAGAATGCTAAGTAAACATAGATTTTATAATATTTATTACCTTAACATATAATAGGAAGGTTCTTTTCAACAGATGCAAATACTTCAGATAATTTTATAGATGTATTTGAAAATTGTACAATTCTCTTTGCTGATATTGCAGGTTTTACAAAATATTCAGGTTCAGTAGAACCAGAATAAGTAGTTAATATGTTAAGAATCTTGTTTTAATAATTTGATGAAGAATGTCAGAGATTTCAAGTATATAAATTATATACAATTGGTGATTGTTATGTATGTATGGGTATAATTGATGCTAATAATAGAGATCCAGTTGGTGAGGTAAGTATATTAACTATGATAGGCAATTAATGTAGTATTATTTGGATTGAAGATGATTTAAATAATACAGTAGATTAATAAGGATCCATAATATTAACATTTAAATATGAGAATAGGAGCACATACAGGTAGAGTTATTGGTGGAGTTGTTGGAACTGATGTAGTTCGATATGATATTTATGGAGAGGATGTTACGACTGCCAATAAGATGGAATCAAAGGGATAAGAAGGAAAAATTATGGTAAGTTAGGCTACCAAAGATTTAATAGAAAGTGATGATGAATGTGTTGGAATCTTTGATTTTGAATTCGCTTAGGATGTATTCTTACCTTAAAAGAATACAACAATATCATCTTATTTTGTGCATTTTGATTAAAATAGTGATGAACAATGATTTATAACAGAATTTTAACTTATTATATATAAATTATATATCATATTCATTATAGAATAGATCATATATATAGTGAATTTAGAAATCAAAGATTTTGTATAAAGAAATAAAGAAGTTATTGTGTGATTAATATTTAAAAAATAAAAATATCATTTTTAAAATAATGGGAAGAACAGGAATTGCAATTGGTTTAAATAGAGGATTCATTACATCTTCATTAACAAAGAAATAATTAAGAAGAAGACCATCTTAAAGAAAAGGAACTTTGGGTAAGAGAGTTTTACAAGTGAGAAAGATCATCTAAGAAGTAGCAGGTTTGAGCCCATATGAAAAGAGAATTATTGAATTATTCAAAACAAATCAACCAAAAGATTTAAAGAAGGCAGGAAAATTAGCAGCTAAGAGATTGGGTACAAATAGAAGAGGAAAAAGAAAGATTGAACTCGTCTAAAACCTCTATAGAGCCATGAGAAAGTAATAATAAAAACATTGAAATATTACATACATTATACCAAATATAGTCAATTAGATTTCTTTCATTTTCTTAAACATAATAGCCATCCATAATTTAATTAATTTATACATAATTATTTTTATATACTTTCTAATGAGAAGTTGTAAAAATCATTATAATATTCAATTATGTGACTCATGAATAACAATATTTTTTTGGATTGCGTATTTTTTATATATTTCTACTAAATCTTCATAAATGGGAGCATTAAACATCTCAGGTTACATCATACTTAAAGTGAAATCAAGTACTTTTTTCTTTTTATTTTTTTCTTTAATATAATTTTGAACATATTATTAACATTTTTATTTCTTTTCTTAAATGTAATCATCCATTATCTATAATAATAAAATACTATCAAAAATAAATAATAATGTAATACTTATCAATATGATATTATCTTTTTTTTATTTGACTATGTTTATTAATCAATTCAAGAATAATAGCTTAACCATTTTTATTTAATAGTCTCCATAATCTATCTCTATAAGCCTTATGTTTCTATTTTAAGTTTTTAAACACTCTCTTAACATAATTTACTTTTTCAACAAAATAATGATGTTTTTATAAACATTAAATGTATAAATGAGTAGTATGTAAAAATTATAAGACCAATTTAATAGCTCTTACTTTTGAAAATTACCTTAATTGTTAAGTAAAGATTTTAATTGATAAACACATTTTGAATTTACTTCTTTCCTCAACTGTTGCTCCCATTCCTTTAATTTTTATCATAGTTATAGTTTTATATTACCAAGCTATTAATCTACCTTTTGCTAAATATTTATTATGTAATTTCATTTTCTAAAATATTATAATAAATAATTACATCTAACATTTCTTTCATTTAGGCAGCATATTATGCTATTTTAATTAATTCAATCCAAATAATTTGATTTCTTATTTTTAATTTTTATTAAATTTCTATTTGTTTTTAAATATTTCTTATTTCTTTTAAAGATTCATTTGCTTTTAATTTGCTAATCATATCCATCTTTTTATCCTCTTAAATTATTTTCTTTCTTTCAACTACTTATAATATTCTTTATTTTAATAATCTTTAACTTATCTTAATTTTTTATTCAATCTCTTTAATTAAAATATAATTTTACAATCTTTTTAATATTATTTTGTATTTAAATTACTTGTTATCTTATCTATCTAAATTGAATCTAATCTTGGAGTATTTAATGAATATAATTCTAATAAATATAATAATTTTAAATACTTTATTTATATTTATCTGAATCAAATTCTTCTCTTATTATTTTAATTTTTTTCTTAAAATAATGACCAAAAATAAAATTAATAGCTATAAGACAATCTTCTTCTGAATACATTGATATATATAAATTCTTCACATGAAATGTATCCCTCTATTGTTAATCTGCAAATTTAAAATATTTAGATTAAATTGCTTATTCACAATTAAAACTTGTAGGAAATTGAGCTACTGTAGATATATACATCTTAAAAGTAGATAATTTAGAATTTTCACTCCTTACATAAGCTTGTAATGGACTTTCTCTATCATAAATTCTCACATAGAAATAATTAAATCTAAATCTTGTTATCTAAATTATGCTTGTTTAATTAGATTTCAATTCTTATAAAGTTAAAGAACCATCATGCTTAATATCAACCTACTTTTTTATTTCTGCAATACTTCCTACAGGTGATAATTAAGGAGTGAATTCTATAACATGTTCTAAAGGATCTGATTATTATATTAAATCATAGTTTCGTGAGAAATTCTCCATCATTCTATGTATTTAACTTCTTGAACTTAATATTTTTTTCTCTAATCCGTTACATTCTGATGTTTTTCTATTTGTGGGAGATTGTAAACTAATAAAGGAATTAAAATTAGAATTGTTTTATTTAAAATCCACATTACTATGATGTCTATTATGGCTTATTGTTGAATCACAATATAATTATAATCCAGTTTATTCTTTATAATTCATAATATTCAATTTTTATATTTAATTATTATTGAAACATATAATCAAGAGAGTATCCTACTTTGTATTTAACTTTGTGTACCTCGAATTGTGAATTAGGCTGTTCTCTCTGTTTTATTTATTTATTCATTATAAGATAGATTCCTTGCCCTTGATATACAACTAATTAGTTAAATATTATCAATAAGCCTATTAGCAGAGAAATTTTATTCCTTAGTTTTAGATTGAGCTATATTTAATTCAGGCTTTATCAAAGGTAAATGTAATTAATGTAAAAGCAAGTCTTAATTCCTCCTTTTTTACTTTAATTATTCCTATTTAAATAAAAGTGTTGGTTTAGCATCAATTGATCTTAACTTGAATTTTTACTAAGAGTTCTTACTTAATATTTAAGATTTTCCTGATTTTAAAGGTTCAGTTATAGGAGGTAATAAAAAGAAGTTATAAGCTCCTGTCTCTATCGTTTAAACTCCTTAATTTCTCATTAATTAAATTAAAACAATACCATACACCAAAATATTTCATAATCACTTTCCTCAAATCTATCAATTTCATTCTAAATAATCACATTTTTAAATCATTTTCCCTTATAATAAAAGACTAATATTATAAAATATAAGCTAACTTTATGAGTGCAAAAGTTGTCGAAAATTATTCCCTCTTAGAAGTTATTGGTTCAGGTTAATACGGTAAAGTCTATAAGGCTCTAAATATCAAGAATAACAGTCTGGTTGCAGTCAAAGTTGTTAAAATAGAAAAATTTAAAGAAGTTCCGAAACTTGAAGAATTTACAATGAATGAAATTCAAACTCTAGCAAGAATTAATAATCCTCATGTTGTCAAATTCATAGAAATGTTAAAGAGTTCTCGTAATTATTATTTTGTCTATGAATATTGTAATGGATCAACTCTAGAAGCTATTATATAAGAATAAGGGTAATTATTCAGTAATAACACTATAGAGTATAAACAGAAAAAGAAGCCTTGTACTACTTCAGATAATTAGTCTAAGCCTTCTAATCCTTAGTTTAAGAAAATATTATGCATAGGGATTTGAAGCCGAGTAATATTATGTTACATAATGGCTAAATTAAATTGGGTGATTTTGGATTCTGCAAGGCATTGAATACCCCTTAAGATTTATCAACAACAATGGTTGGATCACCAATATATATGGCACCTGAAATTTTAAAAGGATAAGAGTATACTATTAAAGCAGATATCTGGTCATTGGGTTGTGTCTTGTATGAGTTGCTTTATGGAATTTGTCCCTTTGAAGAAAAAACTATGGCTTAATTGATGTTAGCAGTGGAGGAAAGAGAAATATAGTTTTTGGATAATGTTAATGTTGTATCTCAAACGACTAAAGATTTACTATTGAAAATGCTAACAAAAGATTAGAATAAAAGAATCAGTTGGAAGGAATTATTTGAAAGAGAACTAACATATACTGAAAGTAATGCTATATTTAATTATTTAGGAATTAAAAATACAGAATAACAGCCAAATTAAATTTAATAAGAGTTAACTTTAAATTCATAGAGAAATAAGGAATCCAAAGCATTTAAATATTTATTAATGGAAAGAAATAAGATATTTTATCTATATAAAGTTGTAGAGGAAGTTTTGGAATTAAGTAAAGATGAAGTATATATTTATATTAATTATTATTTAGAGAGATGAATAGAGAGAATCTTAAAGTGTATATTGTGGATATCTACTTATTAAATATATTTGTTATTTAATAGAAATGATTAGGATGAATTTAGTTGAAAAGTTCAATGTTTCAGCTTTCCCTCATTTAATCAAAAAACATGAGCTATAAAATGATATTACTAAAACATTTGAATATAAAAGCTTTTGTACTTTAATTCAAAAAGAGGTTGAAACAGCTAGAAAAATGTTTAAACATTATTAGGAAGAAGCTGATAAGTTCTTTAAATCTTAAACAAATGGATCTCATATATATTAAGGTACAGAATTTGCACATTTTGAAAATGAATTATAGAGAGAATTAAATACTTCTGAAATTTCAATTACTTTTATGAAAAAGTTAGTATTAAAATATTGTGAGGATATGAAAAGTCAATATTTATAGTAATTCTTAGATAAAAATCCATAAAGTGGGAGCAAGTAATATATTTATTTATATAAGATAATTATTGCATATAGAAAAAACATTAGAGTCTTTAATTCTAGATGAATTTTTTGAAAATTGTATGGACATTTAATAAATAGATTTAGAATAATAAAATTATTTTGCAATTTTAAACAAATATACAAAATCTGATTTATTGTAAGTTATTACAAATAAGATGGATTACATTAGACATAAATTATATAAATGATGATTATAATATAAAATGGTCGATAACATGATTAATTATTTAATTTGATAATATTAATTACAATTTATTTCAAAAAAGTTCTTATAGTTTATTTCATTATTATCTCCATTTTTTAAATTTTCAAATTATATATACTTTAATCTGAATGAAAGATAATGAAATATTCACATAGCAAGAAATTACAAATAGAAAATTTTAGAAAATTCACCAAAAGAAATTTGTCAACTGCTTGTTATGTTTATGAGATTATTTAATCCTTTTTCAAAATTTAAGTATAGAATCTGAATATAATAATAGATTGAGATAAAAAAAAATAGATAATCAAATTATGACTTTCAGAGAATGTGACAGCCAATTGCTTTATTTGATTACCTTCTATTAAAAAATTTATTTCTTTGCAACCCAAAATCTTCTTTAGGAATAGTATTATTTTGAGATCTGTATTCTTCCTGTTTTTTTCTAGGATCAGTGCAAAATTTTAATTCAATTTTCCTTAAGTAGTTTATTATAGATTGAATTTTAGGATTAGGTCGATGATACATTTCTAATTCAATAGAGTCAAGACTTGAATTTAATTCTTCTGTCATTCTATTATTTTAATATTAATAATCATTTTATCAATCGAAATCATTTCATTACAAATACTAATTTTTTATTAAATAGTAATCTTAATGATAATAATTATCTAATACTTATTTGAATTAGAAAATATAGTTATTTAGTTACATAAAAATAGGGTATCCACAGAACATTAATTAATTATCATTTATTTTTTCTTCCTATAGATTTTGCTATTCTTTTTAATTTTCTTAATTTTGTATTTACTTTACTGATTCTTTATTATCTTTATTAAATCTTCTAAAATGAATTTTTTGTTGTTTATTTCTCTTTATCATATTCTAAAAATTGGTCAATTAAATCACTTTAATTTTTCTTTTTCTTTTTAATATTATAATTATCTATTAAAATATAAATAATTAATACCCATTCCATCAACATAAGTTCCTACTTAAAAATACTTAGGCATAGTTTTAAAATCACTTGATTTTACTGGTTGCTTTGGATCTAAGTATTTCTTTAATTTCATAATTAAAAATTCTTATTTCATAGTTTCATCTTGATCCTAAGATTTCATTCCAAACCAACCTTCAGATAATTATTGCATTTTAGCCATTTTTCTTAATCTTTTTTCTTCTCTGTTCTTTTTTAAGCTAGGTATATCAACATTAAATTAATCTGCAAAAAGAGACTATTATTCTAACTTTTCCACTTCCTTGTTCATTTCCTATAGATATGTAGGTTATATTGGTAATAAATCAAAATTTGGATCATTATTTTAATTGATCTAATACTATTTCAGATTTAATAGCTATTCCAATTATTCTTATCTCATATTAAACACTTTAAAACTAATAATAAATATTTATATATTTTTATTTAAGTAAATATCTATTATATATTAAAACCAATATCAATAATTTATTATAGTTGATCAGATCATAAGAAATATCTATTATCCTCAATATCAAATCTAAACCATTAACTTATTTATTTAATTATATAAATCACTCTTTTAAAAGTATTTCATAACAAAATTTTCAAAAATAGATAATAATATTTATTATAGTGAATGTCTACTACAATATCAATATGTAATAAATATTATTTATATGAATGTAATTATTCATACTATTATTATTTTTAGTAAAATAAATTAAAATGAGTAATAATGTTTAAATGTAAATGATAATTTATATTTATGTAATCATAGATAATGAAATAGTTACTAAAAAAAAATAGAAAACATAATTATTTATACACAAATATTATATCAAGTATAAAATTTTATAATTAAATTTATTAAAATGAGAAGTACAATAAAACCTTTACCATAAATTAACAATAGACCATCAATTGATGATGAGGATTCTTATCCTGGAAGATTACATACTATATAGAGAAAGTTGAAATTTGGAAGCAACACTTATATCATTAGTAGTAATACTACTGTTTCAGAATCTTTAAATAAAAAGTAGAAATAAACTCCTGTGACAGAGTCATAGTTGTTAAGGCAAATTGATACAAAATTAGAAATGCATAAGAAAGACATTGAATAAAGAAATGACATGATTATTTCAATTGAGAAAGGCTTTGAGTCAATGAAATAGGAGTTAGTTAAAGAAAAAATATAAAATGAAGAGAAATCTAAATAACTCTAAGAATTATAGGCTAGCTATTAAGCAATATAATTAAGATTAAAGTAGGCAGGAGATTCATCTAAATTAAATTTATAATCAGAAAAAGATAAAGATAAAATTAATTCGTTAGAAATTAGCATTAAACAATCATAGGCAAAAGAATAAGATTTATTACAATAAGTAGAATCATTAAACTAATAAATATCTCAATATTAAGAAAAATTAAAAAGTAAAGAAGAAAGTAACGAAGAATTTAAAAGATTAAAAGATTAGCTGCATAAAGCTGAAGTAATAAATTGTTGTTAATAAAAAGGATTTATAAAGTAAGATGGAACATTAAATTACTGACATCTAAAAAAATATAGAGAAGGAAGTTAATGAAAAAAACAACATAAAGAAATAATATGATTAATATAGGAATGATAGTTAATTAAAAGAGTAGAATTTGAATAAAGAGATATCAGCTTCATTGATACAAATTAAACAATTAGAATAAGAAAAGATAACAATCATGGAGAATTTAAAAAAATCCAAAGAATAAACTGATCAAAATTCTAAATTAAATGAGCAAATATTAAGCTTGAAATTATAACTTTCTGAATTATCTAAAACAAAAGATGTATGATTATAAAGCTATGTAGAAAGAAATTAGTCAATTGAGATAAAAAATAGAAGAATAATCCAAAAATTCTATAGAATCAAATAATCAACTTGAAAAATTAAAGCAAAGACAATAAGAGTTATAATAATAATTACAAGATAAATTATCATAATTAGAATCACTAAAAAATCAAAAATAATTACTAGACTAATAAAATCAAAATAATTAATCAGAAATTAATAATTTAAATACTAAATTAGAAGGTTTAAAGGAATAGTTATCAAAACCAAAAAATACAAAATAAATTACAGATACAATTTTATTATTAGAAAAAACAGATGTATACAAAATCTTATTAATATTTCTTAGAAAGATATCTAAAAGAATTTATCTTGTACATTTTGTAACAAATTCATAAAGTAACCTGTTACAATTATTCCATGCGGACATTCGTATTGCTTTGAATGCAAGAAAGGTTATAATAAAGAATGTTTTAAATGTGGACCTAAATTAAAAATAGAAGCAATGTATAGAAATGAATTACTCGATGATATTATTGCAATGGTTAAATTAATTGAATAAAGTATCAACAGCATGAAATAAGTTACTAAATAATGATAGTACATATATCATATTACAATCAAATAAGCAGTTCTAGCAAAGGATTTTTGTAATTTACTGTATTAATTATTATGATGCTCAGTTTTAGATCTTTTTTTTTTAGTTTATGTAATTTCAGGAAATTGACAAAAATATTCTTATTCTAATTATTTTTATGTAATTTTGTTTAATAATTAAGCTGTGAGTACCTTTTAATTTTAATTATCTGGCATTATTTTAGCTTTAATCATTTCTGGTTTAATTAGATGATCTAATTCCTTAATTGAAATATTTCTATGTTTAGGTCTCTAAGGGATTAATATATAATAATACTGATATTGGCAATTATTCTTTATGATTAGAAAATAAACCTAGTTTAATCCTATATTTATTTAAATAAAGTTGTTTAAATTTTGTTTTTGATGGATTTTCAACTTATTCCCAACTTACATTATTTATAGACATTTTTTGATTACTTTTAATAAATGTTCTTTTAATTTATTTTAATACTTAAATTCAATCAAATTTGTCTTAAAAAATTGTAATAATAAGTATTTCAACCCTAGAATTATTTCTAAATAACGAGAATTCTCTTAAATTAATATGGGAATCATTATAACAAATAAATTAGTTGATATAAAAATGTATATAAGTATAAAATAACAAGGAAGGGATAATTATTCAAATAGAGAGTTATAAAATTAATATTTAGATTTCAAATTCAGTTTTTGATCAATAATAATAATAATATATAAAAATAAATGTTTAATTAATTAAGAAGTTTTTAATGAATAAAAACCATTTTAAGAGAATTAGAGAATGATTATTGGATAAAATAATCTATATTATATTTTAAGTTAAGATAAGATAAGATAAGAAAGCAGTAACAATTGATAGAATCAATAATTAACATGAATTGATTAACAAAATAATTAGAATAGATTTCTAAAAACAGTTTTGAATTAAAAATTAATCAACATTTTAGCTACATTAATATATGATTAAGTATTAAATAAAAGTTAATTTTGAATTTAATTGTATTAAAGGATAAAAGGATGATATTATTTTAATTTTACTAATGATATTTCAATATGTTTTTTTAATTCTCTCTGCATTTTTAGGAGAATCATAAATAGTTGGTGGACGACGCATCTCATGTTGGAAATGGTTATATTCAAATGTTCTATTTGATCTTCTTGTATATGCTAATTCCATTAAGAAATCAAACATATCATCCTAAGATTTTGGATTAAGAAATTACTGTACAAGCATAAGCAGCCTCATAAAACATTGCATAACAAGGATAAACTTTGGCTCTTTTCAAATAATCTGCTTCAGTTTTATCCATTTTGAAATGCTCAGCTTAATCACAATCAAACCATTTCTAGAATCTTAAAGCACATAATGTAAAGTAATCTTATTATGATTGATATGTTGGATAAGGAACATAAACTTTTTATTTAGGTGGTAATCCAACTTAAAAACAATTAGTTCTCCCTGTTGGGGTTGTACCTCTGAATGGAAACAAGCAATCTTCCAATGCCCCTAGATTTGAATAATAAATTATTCATTACATCCTTCAAACAGAATGGTATAAACATCGTCTGGCTCCATCAAAGAGTATTTGTTAGCTGTTGTGTCAAAGTAGAAACACTAAATTTATTAAATGGTATACTTTAGTATATAATCTGAACCAATCCTTTAATTGATCTTTTTCCCATACAGCATCAGTTCTTAATACAAAATCTTTCTCGTAGTCTTTCCAATTGATTCCTTTGATATAATAGTTTAATACCTTTATGAGAAAAGTCATAATTTGGAGGCATTTTGTGAAAGTCTTTTGGTAATGTCTCTAACAATGGTTAAGTGGCCATTTTATATGTTTAATTAATTTATTAACAAAAATTATATCTGATTCATGCATTGGATAAAATTAATTGAGGAATCTTTATAGTGATTATGCACTATTTAAAGTTATTCTGATATTAAATATCTACTAATAATAATATATTAAGATATCCAATATAATAGTAAAATTAGAATTAATGACTAATTACATGGATCCTGAAGAAGATTAAGAAATTATTGATTCTATTCTGAATGGTACCATTTAGTTAATAGAATTTTAGCTCTTGAAAGTGATGAAGAGAGATCCTTTTCACCATCAATGACAAGATCTGAAACGAACAGGACTTATTCTCCTCAAATAATACGATAGTAACATTAATTACAGTAATCTACTTTCAGCTAAATAGATATTCATTAAAGAAAATATAAAGTCCCATTATTGGATTTAAACTAGATTGTTGGGCAATACAACCATTTTCTTTGGATGAGGATTCTTACCTTGATGGAGATTTAGTATTAAATTTATATAAAATAGATTCTTAAATGCAAAGACCAATAAAATAGTAGAAAAATATAGAGCTTATTTGAAAAAGGAGATGACGAATAAAAAGAATACATTTTTTTAAAAATATTACCAGGTATAGTTCAACTGGCCAATGATATTTTTGGAAATTATGTTGTCTAAAGAATTTTAGAATAAGGCAATGAAAAATAAAGAGATTTAATCTTTGATCAACTATCTTAATCTATTTTGATATTAAGTTACAACACTTATGGATGTAGAGTGGCTTAGAAATTATTAGAAATTTCTTATAATACTGATAAATTCGAATAGATGTTTTCTATTCTTTAAACTTAAATAAGAAATCTCGTTGTAGATATCAATGGAAATCATGTAATTTAAAAAATAGCTGAATTGATGAAATCATAGAAAATTGATTGGCTTATTGAAGGAGTTCTGGGATAGATATAAAAGTTATCAAATGACTCTCATGGTTGCAGATTGATTTAATAAATCTTAGAATAATCTGCTATGCCATAGGTATTTTTTTTGTTCTATATTAACATATTAGTTAAATAGCATATACAAAGAATTATTGGTTTTATAAGATGAATTATGTTTATCACAATATGGAAATTATATAATTTAAATTTTGCTGTAAAGAGGACCTTTTGAAATTGTCCAAAAGATACAAAGTAGCATAATTAAAAATTTAGAAAAACTTAGTTGTGACAAGTTTGGAAGGTAATTATGAATGTCATCAAATAGTAATGTAGTTGATAAAAGTGTCAATATCTCCTCTTTTATGAGGAAAGAGATCCTTAAAGTGTTTATAAACAATATGAATGTTTTCTATAGGTTATCTAATAATTGTTATGGAAATTATGTCATCTAGAATTTTTGTAAATAGCTTGATTATAACTAACTATTAAAAATACATCCAGATGGTAATTAACTCAATACTTAATTTGGTTAACATGTACTATAAACCTTATAAAAATTGAAAATTTGATTTGATGAATAAGAATAATATTAATAATCCAGAAACATGTAAAGACTTAATGGATTATAAATATTATTTTTTGTATATATTGTAAATTTATAAATCTTAGTATTATTATTAAATATATTATCTAATAATTTAAAGAAATGGGTAAGGATAAAGCTAAAGAAAAATAAGTAAAATATTAGATTTATTCTAATAGGTATCATCAAGCAAAGAAAAGAAGAAAGATAAGAAGGAGAAGAAAGAAAAGAAGGAGAAAAAAGATAAAAAAGAGAAAAAGGAAAAACACATAAAAAAAGAAAAAAAATAGAAGAATGATGCTATAAAGAAGAAACCAAAAAAGAATTAATGGGGCAAATATGGTACTATCAGGTTATGTGTTTTTAATATTAAAGTAATACAGATATGTATTTAAAACGTGAAGAGTTTTTAATGTGGTTATCGGATGTCAAAATGTTAAATGTTGAAGCAATTACACCATAAGAAGAAAAAAAATACTTTGAAGAGTATGTGGAATGCTATAATACAGCAACTTTTCCATCTTAAAAGTTTTATAATTTTAAAGCTTGGTTTGAAAAGGAGCAATTAAAAGAAAAAATATAATAGGCTGAATTAGAAATGCAAACTTTTGATGATGAAAAAGAAAAACAGTATAAAATTATTTCTATTATATTTAGAAAGGAATATTAAGAATAAAAGGAGTTGATAAAAAAATAAAAATTATAAAGAGAATATTAACATTTACATGAATTTCAAAATATTGTAATTAAATTATTATTTATTAAGGCACAAGACATGCAAAAATAGAAGCAAATTTAAGATCTCGTTAGACATTACAATTCTATGGGTAATCATGAGGTTGCCATGAGATACTACAAATAATTAAATCCCATTCATACTATTGATGCTCCTCAAATGTAATAGTAGCCTCCTATGGAGTATGATTATGAATACGAAAACTTCTGATCTAATCATAATGTTTTACATACAATATTAATTAATATTTATTATGTGTAGCTGTTAATTTATATAAATAATTTGAATATTAAATGGCAAAAATTATAGATAATTATATACTAATTGAAGCAATTGGATAAGGAACTTATGGTGAAATACACAAAGGTCGGAATTTAATTTCAAAAGAAGCAGTTGCTGTTAAAACTATCAAATTAGATAGATTTCTCAATGATTCTCTCTTGAAAGAAATGATTATTAATGAAATCTAAGCATTGAAAAAGTTAGAGGATCAGTACATAGTAAGAATGATAAAGATGCTAAAATCTACAAACAATATCTATTTAGTTTATGAACACCTTAATGGAGGGTCTTTAGCCAATTATTTAGAGGAAAAAGGTCGGTTAAGTGAATAAGAAGGAAGATAAATCATGATAAATTTATTTAAGTAATTAAAATTAATTATATCTAGAGGATTTAAAACATTAAACCATGAAAAAATAGTTCATAGAAATATAAATCCTTAAAATTTATTTTTTAATGATGGTATTATTAAAATTAAGAATTTCTTTTGTTGTAAATCATCAGCAAGTTAAAAATTATTCGATCCAGGTATATTTATATATGAAACGATTAGAAAATTATTTATACACTGCTCCTGAAATTTTATTAAAGACTTAATAGACTTAATATGAAGATAAATGTGATATTTTTTCATTAGGATTGGTTTTTTACAAGATTTTTTTTGGAATTTTGCCCTTTCCTGAGAATATTGCACAAGAATAATTAGTAGAATTATATCGTTCTTAAGATTTTAATCCGATTATAGAAGATTTATCTGAAAATACAACCTAAATTTTAAATGCCATGCTCTAAATTGACCAATAACATAGAATTGAATGGTAAACCTTATTTAATGAAGATTAAGTACTACCAACATCTTAAGGACTTGCGAATTCAATTCATGCAAATTTTGCATCTAATTATCAAATCAATTCACAAGTTTAATAATTTGAGACAATAGGTTAATAAAACTTTTACATATCATAATAATCAATCCAAAATTAGATAACTACAAGTCCAAATGAATAAATCAAAAGAAAAAATAATTAATCAGATAAAGAAAATATTAAAGCCAATAAAGAAAATGATAATATTTAATTATTTCCTAAAACTGTGGAAAAGGAGTCTAATATATCATCATATTAAATATCGATATAATAATAATAATAATAATAATAATAATAATAATAATAATAATAATAATAATAATAATAATAATAATAATAATAAACATCTTCAAATTAATAAATAAATAACTTAAATGTTTAGTCAAGCGTTATTAAATAAATTTAAACCTAATTATTTGAACTTCGATATAAATTTAATATTCTAATCTAAGGAATTATTAGAATTGAATAGCTTGAAAATTGGTCAGCAAAAATTAAAACTGAAATCTGCATGATCTTTTTAATAAAAAAAGGCATTAAATACATAAATGAAATGATTGACATTTGTTAAAACAGTGATAGATAATGGATAATGTCTAAAAATAAAAATGACATCATCAAATTATTATAGAAAGATTATGATGACCTTTTATTGTAGTTTAGATTCCTCAAATAAATTGTAAATTAATAAATTTTATTTTAAGACTACTTGTTAGCATGAAGAATTAAACTCTCATGAAATTATTGACGAATAATACATAGATAATGTTTTGATAATGATTGCAAAATAGATTTCAATGGATTTAGGTTAAGTAAGATCTAGCATGCGGACTAATTCTTAAATTAAAAGCAATGTAATATATGTCATTAAAATAGTCGTTTAATTATGAATAAAATAGTTAAAGAAATGGTAGCTTTATTGAATAAAAACAAAATATTACGAACCAATAGATTTTTGCAATCTTTTTGATTGATTTAGTTAAAGGATAAATCTAAGAAGAACAAAGGCCTTATTTTAAAAAGATAGAAGAATCAAAACTTGCTGAATTTTTAGATTTTAAGTTAAAAGCAATCTGATTTTTTATTTAATCAAAATATAATTTTGTTTTTAACTTTACTAGAAATAATCATAAAATCTTAGTAAAATTTTCATTTTATTCTAGAAATTAATAATTGTTGAAAATTTTGAAAATTACAAAATTTCTCTATATTAATAAATATACAATCACATTTTTATCGAAAAATAATTCAATATAAATTATAATAAAATGAGAACTAAATCTTGTCTTCCAGAAATATCATTTAAAGACTATTGTTAAAAATACTTAAATGATTCTTTTATTACTAGCGAGAGATAAACAAAAAATAAATTCAAATTAGATGAGATGAAAAGTGTCCAACTTGGAAAAGAAAAATAATTAGAATTTTAAAATTATATTAAAACTGCAATTGATCAAACAAAATAAGTAAGAATTGAAGCAACAAAAGAAGCAACAAAAACATTTGGTAATCCTAAGCAATGGCTTAGAGCATAAAAAGAATATTTTAAATAGCCAGAAGAAAAACATAAAACATACATTGAATGCTACTAATTCTAAATGCCTACTTAAATCAACTTTAATAAATGGAAATATAAAGAGAGACTTGAACAAATTAGATATCGATCCTATTCTGTTCGTAAAACACCGAATAGTCAGAGAAGACAATATATATTTTGAAAATAATTGTTTGCTCGTTAATGTTTATAGAATTTCTTTAGTGAGATTAGTAATTTAATTAATTCTTGATTATTATTAAGTTTTGAAATCTAATTAATCATCTAAGCAAAAAGAATCCTTATATTTGGTTATAATAATTATTCATTAATTATAAATAAAAAAGAATAGCATTTAAGTCAATTCAAAATTTATCTATGCTTTCATCTAAGAATAAATACGTAGGCTCAGATTTTTCAGGTTATTTAGAACCAAAGGGTATCTAAGGTTCTCTTTAACAAAATGATAATCTTTGCTAAAATCTAAATTTGACAGAATACTCAAGATCGTCTAAACCAGAACAAGAAAAAGTAAGCATTAGGATAAATTAGCAATTAAAATTAAAATGGCAAGAGATAGCATAAGATTGGCAAAAGTATTAGAGAGACGTTAAAGTTATTTAATTAGCAGAATTTGGAATACCTTTTAGTTCAAGAAGATTTATGTGGCCTTTAATTGTTGGTAATAAGCATCAAATTACTTTGGAGTTATTTGAAATTTTATCTGAATAAGTATAAAACATTATTATTGATGGTAAATATAATTATGGAAGATTAAATTCAATTAAATTAATTGAGAAGGACTTAGGGAGAACTTTTGATGTTCCAAGTATGAATATTTTAAAATAGGTCTTCGAAACATTTTTTCTTCTGGAGGACCTCTTAGTGGAAGTCTATAATCAATATTGGAGACATTTTGCCTTTATCGTCCAGATATTGGATATATTTAAGGGATGACCTATATTGCATCTATACTCTTGACTTATTTAGATGACTATTAAACCTTTATAATTTTTAGCAGTCTTATAACACATCCATAATTGCTTCCCATATATTTACTTGATACTAATTTACTTTAGATAATTTTTTTGCAATTTTAAAAATTGATAAAAATAAACATCCCTTAAACATATCAATTGCTCAAATCGTACAATATTGATTGCTCAAATTTCTTATTGGAATGGACTATAACATTATATGCTAAACCTCTAAATCCCGATATAGTTGGGCGAATTTGGGATAGGATGTTCTTTGGTGGAACCAATATATTATGGAAGACAGGCATCGCTTTGCTGAAGTTATTATCACCAAAATTTAAAGATTTAGAAACTACACTTCATTTATTGAAATAACCTTAAGTAAATGAAGAAGAGTTACTTAATGAGATCAATTTAGTGGATTATCCAGATAATATTTCAGAAATTCTATATAATGTATAACTATGAATATATAACTTATTGATAATAATTAATATTATTTTTTCATACTAAATAAAAATATTAATATAATTAATAATATTGATTGTATCTTATAAATATAATTATTTATTCATAAATTTTTCATAATATGTTAAAAAAAATTATATAAAATTAACTTAAAAATCAAGTATTTTATATTTATAACTACACAAGTTAAAAAAAATTAAGTTTGTATTGACCAACTTGATTATATAAAATATTAATTTTAAAAAACATATTTTTTGGAAATAATCTGTAAAAATTAAACAAAATTGGTCTTGTTCATCTTTATATCACAAAAATAATATATTTATAATTAATCAGAAGTACAGAAATTTTATTTTTGGTACTGTTGCTATTTGTTACATTTCAACCTTTTTAAATATCATAATTGGAGAGATACACTGGAAGAATCGAGAGAATTAATGGTCCAGCACTATGAATAATAGGGATACTTCTTGCCATTTGAATTATTTCTATTTTTTGTCTTATCCTTGTTCTTAAAAAGTATGGGTATCAGTTAGATTGAACCCATTTCTATCAGATATTATTCTAAGCTTCTAAAATTTTATAGTTGTTATAATGGAGAAAACATAGTTTTTTTTCAATATAAAATTCAATATAATGAATATATATATTGAAAAAAAAATACGTTTATGAATATGTATATTTAGAGAGTATAATACTATTTTGTCTAGAAATATGATATTCTCTTCATTAATTTATTTACATAATTATTTTTTTTGTCGAAATAATATTTTTAACAAATAAGGATTCTATTTTTTGGTTTTTAAAATAATATAATTCTATGTTTTATATATATTATTAATCAATAAGGATTCTCTGTTTGTATAAAATATTTATAATCAATTAGGATTCTTCTATATTATATTAATTTTGATAATTTTTTAAAATTCATTTTTCATTCCATCTTTTAATAATTAAAAACGTCTTTTTGTTGGCTAAACCTCTTGAATTTAATAATCTTGGGAATCATTTTTCTTTAAAATCTATTCATAAAATTTGATTTAAAATTCAATCTCAATGGCATCTTTTCATTTCTAGCCTGTATTTTATATTTGAGCTTTTTTTTCCATATTGATTTATTATTCTCTAGATAAGTCGTTATAAATTGATTTTGAAAAATTTAATATTTTTGTATCCCAAAAATGTATCCAACTATTTCAATAGACTATTAGGATCTTTAAATAGTCCTTAGTTAAGTTGATAACATTAATGCAATCCTAATAATATGTAAAAATCTTGTTTTCAGAATTTAAACTATAACATGCATTCAATAACCATATTTTATCTGGTAATCTAATTTATCTTCGCTTATTCCCTATCAAATTCAATATATAATTTATTTTTAGAAAATTCTTTCAACACTTTGAAGCCTCTTCCTAAAGCTACATTTCATAAATATCCACTAGACATAGCAGAAAAATTAAAATCTAGTAAGTAGATGCCATTTTTTATCAAAGCCGTGTACATGCTCTCTTAAGATCCAACAACAACATTTTTTTACTTGGTCTATAATAATAATGAATTCCTTTTGAAAAATTATCCATAATTAAAGTTAAAAATTTATATATAATTTTTTTGAAGATTAAAATTCTATTGAATTTTATGGAATTTTTTACAAAATCTAATGCTTAATAAACATTTTTTATAATTAAATAATATATAAATATTGATTGAAAAATTTATGAATATATCAGCAAGAAATAAAAATAGAGTTTTTAATATTTATCAAAATAATAAATAAGAACTATATATTAAATCATTAATAGAATAATATAAAAGATTAAGAGATGTTTTTTTTAAAACAACTAATTTATTAATTAAAAAATCTAATTTAATTTAATTAGAATAAATAATAAATAGATTTCCTTTTTTAATTAATATTAATAGCATTAGATATTTTTAAATTTAGAACTTCATTATTGGTTATATTTGTATAACTTTCTTAATTGATATAGATATTAATAATTTCTTTATTTTGATTATTAACATGAAATATGATTAATTTAACGAAGATATTAGTTATGATTTTAAAATATAATTTTTAATTCATTCAGGTAATAAGGATTTATAAATTTTTTCTACTTTTTCTGTTTATTTTTTTACATCTTCTTCTATTTTATCAGCCTTATAAATATTTATATATTAGTACCTTCTTATTCAATAAATCTAATTGTTCTAATTTTTTTTTATCTTCTTAATTTTCATCTGTGATACATTTAGCTTTCTTAATTGGTAACCATCCTAAATCAAGATTTTCCATTTTAGTGCTTACAAAAGTTTCATTGCCATCATATTCTGTTGGGTCCTTGAATTGCAAATAGGCAAAATAAAAAACATAATTCCACATATGATGCTCATATTTGATATGAAATGCAAAACCTTTATCACTATCACTTGATTTATCTAATGTTTCCATATCAAAGCCACATACAAAACATTTAAATTCCATATCTTTGTTTTTTTCAGCTAAATCTTCCCTTAAAGATGAAAATGTATCAATAATAATACCCTAAATCATGTTTAATAAAATAAACACTAACATGATGTTAAATAAATTATCAAAAAAGAATCTTTCATAATAAATAGCTGTTTAATCTGCATTCACATAATCATATGAAGCATCTTCATCCCCTTATAAAACAGCTTATTTTTATAATTCTTCCAAAGTTGCTGGATCTTATAAATGAGCACCTATTGATCCTGTAAATTTGAATGTCCAATCAAATGTTGTGATAAGACATCTCCAAAATTCATTACAATACTCTTGACCTGATTCTTCTGATGCAGGATATTAATTATAAAATACAATCCAGGCCAAAATATTAAAATAATACTCTATAATTATTAACAACATAAGAGCCAAACCTAATTCTACTTTTGGTTTCCAAATAGCTTAAACAACAGTCTTCAGTTAATCTAGTTTTAGAAAATCCATTAAGTGAACACAGAAAAAGAATGGATGAGCTGCTAATCCCACTATACCAGCTAAAATATAAGCTGAATAATAAAGTATTTCAAAATCTTATAACAATACAAATATAGAAACCAAAGAATTTTTGATTAATCTGATAATGATTTTAAAAAATCCTTAAGTACTGAAAAATCCAACCCAAATATGATAAACTTTTAATGGGGCTCTTTTAAGGGCAAAGAAAAATACAATTAAGGAAGAGAATGCTAAATCTAATATTCCCAATATTAAAATAATTTGTTTTGTAATACTTAGTTAATCATACCATAATAATCTTGGTTCATATAATCTATAATATTAAATTCTGCTATCATTATCCATATATTGATCTGGAACTAAAAATTAGGAATAACTAAATAATATAATTAAATTGATAGCAATTGTTGTTAAAAATAAGCAAAGTTCCCATAATTTTCCTTAAGAAGCAATAGCTCCAAAAATAGGATTAATATTAAATAATATTCTTAAATATTCTTCATGTTTCATAGTCTTAATTATGCTTTCAGATTTAGTCATTAGATAATTTAATTTAGTTTTAGCACTTGATCTATTGACTTCATCATGAAATTCAGTTTTTAAATCTTTTGGCAATTAATGACAATAGGGTAATTTTGGAAAGAATACTTAATAAACCTTTTCATCTCTAACAATTTCGATAGAACAAGAGTTTTTCTTAAAGAATCTAATTGAATTTTTTAATAATTCTTTGTTTTTCTTTTTCTCTTCTAATTCTTATGCTTCTTTTTCTTTTCTTCTATCTTCATCAGTTTTACCTACTTCTTCAATTCCTTATTTGAATTTCTAAAGTCCTCCCAATCCTACTTATAACATCTAACCTCCTAATTTAGAAATTCCACTAAATAAACCATTTTACTATTCATCTGCTCTATCAACATCAAATTCATTTAATATTTCTCTCATTTCTATGTCTTCTTATAAAATATCTTTTCCCTTTTTACTTGCTACAAAGATTTACATCAAAATATAAATATAAAACCCAATTTCTACAACTAATTCATACTTTTCTTCTTCCTCTGTCAATATTATTAATTATTCTGCTCTTCCAAATAATTCTTCTTTATATTCATCTTTAAAATATTACTAAAATAATGAATATACTCTTGACATATTATTAGTTAACACTCTTATAGGAATAGCTCTAATAATTCTTAAGATTAAATTATCTTATAGATCACAACATTCTACTAAAGAAACTAATGAAATTAAGGCTTTTAGTTTTAGTCTTGCTAATTTTGCTAAATGCAAAGTAAGATTATAAGGTTTTGTTGGATCCATAATTTTGTTTCTTTTAATTCCTTATTGTTCTTTTGTTTATCCCATTTGATTAAAGCTTTTAAATTCTTTTTTCTGTGTTTATACTTATTTAAAAATAACTCCAAGTAATTTTGCTTCTTGTTTTTTTTAGACTTCTTAAGTCTCAAATAACTTTTCATTTTCAGATAAGACATCTACAATATACTCCATAAATTTAGAGTTTGATAAAGCTATTTAATTAGTTTTACAAGGTCCTTAAATAACTTCTGTTATTGTATCAAAGCATTAAGTAACAATTCCATAATTTTTATTATCAATTTTTATACATTGTTAAAGTCTTACAATTTATAAAACTAAATCATAAGAAGTTTTAGAATTTGTTTATTAATGTAAATATTCTTATAATTATAAATTATGTCCTTCACATAATAATTACATAAATTATAAAGTTTTACATATTAATTTAGTTTATAATTTACCTTATTATTTTAATTCAGCTGGATTAGAATTAATATAATTAGAAATTATTAAATTCAATTTGAAATAAAGTTTCTCACATTCTTAATTTGATTTAGAATATTCCAATATTGTTGTTTATACAACTAAATTACCTTTTTTTAATAACATGCAAAATAAGGATAAAAGAGTTGTTAAATATTGTAGATCATTTTCATCTTCACTCCATAATAATTACATTAATATTTTAGTTGCATTT